TATACAAAATAGCTGTATGATGGCTTGAGTTGTTATTTGCTTAATAATTAAGCTCTGAACAAAAGTTTTCAACAAGCTCTTGGAAAAAAAGTATTGCTTATGCCATGGCCTGTGATTTCAAGAGTTGACTCTTAAACCACATTCATTAATAGCAAGCCAAGTGAGGATAAAGTCTTTAATACTAATATTATAGTATTTGATAGAATTACAACAAATCTGGGTTTCGTTTCTTGTTTTTTCTGTGGGTGAAGTAGCACTCGAATTGGAACATAACAGCATTTCAGCAGATGTTTATTTCTTGAAATTGATTCATTTGAAGTAATATTCTGTCTTAGAATGAACATAAAATTTAAGAAATTTTAAACTTGGCCAATAAGAGCATATATTCATCAGTAGATATACCTGATGACATAAATAACATAGCAGGATCCTTATATAATCCGATAAATCCAAAAAACTTAGTTATTATCCATAAATATGCAATTAACTATTAATTAGTTTTATGAATTTTCCAGATTTTACAGGGAATTTGTTGTAAATTTATGACACCAGGTTCAAGTTCACTGATGAATATATAGGCCTACTCATATTGACCATTCTTGAGAACTTAAATTTTATGTTCATTCTAAGACGTTGTATCATTTTAAGACATCATTATTACAACTAAAGTTGAATTATTTCAATATTGCAACACTTATTGAACTATTTTTAATAAAGGAATGTCATTTCTTAGTTACAGCAAATAACACTGATATCAAAACTGATCTCTACTTAAAACAAGAATTTTATTTATCAGTTTTAGTATTTATATTTCCTGACTCATCAAATATAATTCATTTGAGATTTGCCATGCATGTCAAAGATAATACAATTGTTCAATAATTTTAACAAAAAAAAGAGTAGGAATTGTTTATTATTTCAGATCAATTATCAAACAAAAATCTTCAACGATTGTTTTCATTTCCAAACAGTTGACATGAATATTTCATCTTTCCACTTTGGAGAGAAAAAAATGATTCCTTTTTTTCCACCCTTGGAAGTCATCTTGGTATATTCTACAATTTCTAGATTCTACTTCTATAGGTGTTTGTCCAAAGCGTGGTATAATCTTAAAGTTGAACCACTGCAGTTATGATCCCATGGCAAGGAATTTTGATGACTCAGTGAGTTAGGTAGACATTAAGATAATACTTTCGGATATTTCAATCTGTTTTTTCTCCGTCAGTGATGCAGACATGAAAATAGCTGACTGTCTTTCAGATGGGACAATAAACAGGCCCCATGTGTACTGCAGGCTGTGCACGTTAAACTACCCATGACAGTTGGAAATAGAAAAAGAGTAGGCTAATGCTGTTGTCTGGGAAAATTTTTCCTTGTTGCAATCTGCATAGCTTTGCCCATTTTCACTAGCCCGATAAGGTGCAGAAAAATAGGCTGTAAAACCTAAAACTCTATTCATTTCATTTATTATCACACAGATATGTTTAGGTAACAAATTTTAAAAATTATGCCATCCTTTTACATGGATCTTGATTTTGACTGATGATTTAAAGCATATTTGTATAGAACTAAGATCCTTAGTTCGACATGGAAGCAGCTGTTATTTTTTCAAAATATATTTTTTTTTGTATGAAGTTGCTCAATGTTTCAAGCCCAAGCAGGATGTAAAACACTATTTGATGGTCTGTATTTTGTTTTAAAATGGTTTACCTTCATGAAAAACTTGATTCAATGTGTTATAAGTAAGGTATATTCTGGATGAGAATTACAAGAAAAGAATATTGATCAACCGACTCTACACCAACCGGACCTAACACAGTCTACTTCCAATAGGCCCTCCATTTAACTCAATTGGATTATCAGATTGCAAACTTTCCAATGGGATCCATGACAAATCTAAACTTGGACACCCCCACTTCTTTCTTTGTTATACAATATTGATATATGGTCAGATTTTGTGATTGAATACATTTGTTTTATTTAAGAGTAATATAATTGATTTTCTCTTATAATTTATTTGAAAAACTCTTGGAATTTGGATCCTTCTTATTCACCCTTATTAATCAATGGATATGTATCATTCTGAGCTAACCAAAGATGACAGATAAAGCACAAGGTCTAACAATCCTCATGGCAAATCGAAACTAAAATAACAGATTGGCCATACATTTGTAGCAGCAAATGAACTATTCATATGAGGAAGTAGGCCTAAAACAAGGGAAAATATTATTAATTGTGATAAAAAACATGTAAGTGGGAAAACCATTTTACAGCAAGACAGAGTTCTGTTGGTTGTTTTGAAAAACAATGTGATAACCTTTTAGTTTAAAAGGTAGAGTGGCTGTCTCTTCTCCAAAGGGTACATAAATTGCCACTGGCTTAACAATACTTTATTGAGACTGTCTACACACAAAGTTGACATTTTATACAGTATGACAATCAGTATCTAGCCTGGCAGACAAAATCAATTTAATATAAGAGGATTTGATTAGATACATTATATTTTTATAATACATTGAAATGTTAGAGATAATATCATCTTCCATCTCTGTATCAACAGAGTGAAGTTCTTTCAAATACACTGCACTGTTATTTCTAGAAAAAAATTAATAAAATTTGTAATAAGCTTTAATATTTAAGAATATGTAAGAACATGAATCTGGAAAATTGAAGATGCAAAAAAACTTCGGGTAAATATTTAATTCTGTCCAAGGAGCAACCTGAAACACTTGTCTGAAATGAAAATATCCAAGATATTTTGATAAATCCAATGGCAAAAAATGTTTGAAGTTTGTTTTTGTCACAATAAAGCCAAACTTGTTCTGGGTGTGTTTCTTTATGTCCTGGACCAATTCTGAAAAGTTTCTTGGACTTACTTTTTTTAATGCACACAGTTTCCTTTTAAGTTTTTGATATGCTTGGTTAGTTTTCTTTTTTATTATCATATTTCAAATGTTTATACAGCCTTCATTTTCAAGAGGTTTGGCGAAGGATCAGCCAGTGGTTGACAGGGTTTCTTGTGAACTCAATCTTGAAAAAGGTTTTTCTTGTCAATCTTTCATATCAGCATATCAGCTGAAAATAAATATTATGAAGGTTTGATTTTTAAAAATTCAAAATGAAATATTTCATGGAACTGTGCTGTTTGCTCTCCCAGAAAGGAATTGGTACCTTATGTAGTTGCAGGTTTAGACAGGTACTGGTATATAGCAAGAAATGTTAAGTTGTCTTAATCTTGCAATGCCCTGGATATGGCAGAATAAATGAATTATCTGTCTGAAATGACTCATGATGTGGATTAAAAGCCAGAAATAGTCTGGGTTATTTAATTCCATTTTCTCTTGTATTTAAACCATGTCTGTATCAATACTGATAGCTACATTTTGGTTGATTACCTGTTCAGAAAAGATGATGGAATGGAGTTAAAGGTTCCGTTTGATTCATTCCAATTTCTCATACAAGGTCTGAAATTTCTGAATTCTTTCTGAGTTGAGAGTTGACTTTCTTAAGCACTTTTTTTAACAACAATTTCTAACAATGAAAAGGAGACTACTGGTAACCAGCTTAGTTTAAAGGAACAGGAGGTTTGTCATCCGTTTGACCAATCATACCTTAGTCTCAGAAATGGAAAGTTGTTATCAAGTCTAATCAGTAATGGTTTTCACAGCTCACCATTGAAATTTGAACCATGTGTGTCCAGTATTATTCGTGTTTGAAAGTTTAAATGAGGACTTGGTTTGAGGTATTTTTGAAGGAATTATGTGATTTTCATACAGCTCTAGTACTTATGAAGATTATTTACATATATTCAAGATTCAAATGAATACCTGAATATTGCGAATCATGGCCTTTAAAGATGGTTTTCCTTATTTTCAGTGTCAAATTAAGCAAACTGTTTTATTATTTGGTGTGTCTAATGATTCATGTATTCTGAATCATATCATTATGTTCTTATTGCATATGATTAAGAGTTTCAACCAATCGTAAATGTCCATGTATGTACATTCTGGATAAATAAAAAAATACTTTTTGGTCTTTCTTGATCGGTCACTTATTGGAATTCTGCTTGTAAATTCTCTTCTAATTTATCTAATTATGAATTAATTATGGACATGTGAGACAAACCGGTATTTTTTCATTTCATTAGAACACAGTCTACTTTCTAATCATATAAGTATTAGTCATAAATGAAAATATGGGAACCCATCTTTATGTTTCCCTGATGTACACAGAGAAGAAGAAAATAGATAGTTAATATAGAATATAATTTGATTATCTGATCTAATTGAAAATAATAACCTAAACACCTTGGTGTCTGGGATATGTCTAGATATTGAGACTGACTTTATTAGCATATTAGTATTAGATACTCATATCAATTAGATTTCATATCCTTTTCTCATCTGGAGACATCATTTGTTTTAATCTAGAATTAGATTGAGTAATCTAATCAATGATCTATCTTATTGAATTATTTTTATACTGGCTATCGTGTGGTATGTCCCACACCTATTCATCATTATAGTAGTATACGGATCTGTCTCTTACTTTGTGGATGTAAAACTCCATTTCATTTTTTTGTCGCTTACATTCGAGATGTTTTTATAGAAACAAATCGTATCAACTCGTTTTGACGGCTGATTATCAGCAGGTGGTATAAATTAAATTGCCTGAAATAAATGACCATTGGCATAACCAAGTTACATGGTTACTTGTTTACTTGTATACTTCACAATAATCCCAATACAATGGTTATTGAACAGTTAAAACTGCCAATGGAATTTCAAAATTTCAAACTCTGGTAAAATTAATATTTTTGTTTTTACTTGTTGTCAATATTGCCCGCCATTTTGAATCTCAAACAAATTGTACCAAAGCACTGAGAGCCACATGAGAAAAGTACTTTGGCAATCCGCTAAAATAAATTTGTATTGGACCTAAAAACTCTAGTTGTTTTGTAGTATCGTGTATGTTCACTTTTTAATTATTTCTCATTTCAGAGTAATAAATTGGTGGAAGTTACATCAAATATTTGGGGTACAAAGTTTCAATTAATGGGCATAGCATCTTATCTACCAGAATCTCTGGGCAACGTAGTTTATAAAACTAGTTTATTACATCTGCAGCCAAGACAAATGACTATAACTTTAACAGAAGTTGATGGAAGTTCACAAGCTTTATCACGAGATCCAAACTTCACTCCTGCTGGAGCTCCTGAAGATGAAGAAGAATCATGTGAGTATTATATTTTGTGTTCAAAATGAAACTTTATACACCTGTTGACTTTTATTCTCAGTCCTTATTTTTTGCATCTGCTTGGCACCGTTTAGTTCATTTTACCAAGTAGAATGTCATGGAACTATTGACAACTTATATATTTAAATTGTATTGTAACTTAATCTTTATACGCCCACATGAAATGGCGGGTGTATATTGCTGTCACCCATGTCCCTCAGTTGGTCCATCCACAATTCCTCCACAAGGCACCATTCTTGACAGATTTTGACAAAACTTGGCATGAGTGTTAGTAATCACCCAAGGATGAACCCTATTGAAGAATCAAAAAAATATTTAGTATGAGTTAGCTCTTGTTCTGGAATTGCTTGTAAACACAATTCCTGATGGATTATGACGAAACTGTGTGTGAGTGTTTGTAATACCCAGGGATTAACCCCATCGAAATTCAGAAAAATATTTACTATGAGTTATTGCCCTTGTTCTTGAACACTTGTTAGCTAGCTAACACTACACAACAAAGTTATTGATGGTTTTCGGTGAAACTTGAAGTGAGTGTTTGTAATCACCCAAGAATGATCCCTATTGAAAATTAGAAACATCGAAAAATATAACAATTCTCCATAGATTATGACGAAGTTGTTTATTATTGCAAATTGATGAACCCTATTTAAAATAAAAAAAATTGAGAACTATTTATATGAGTTATTGACCTCAATCTTAAAAACGCATTCAATTTTTAGCTCGTAAAACATAGAGGCTCGATTCATGCCGGATTTTGACAACATGATAATATTATAATAAAGTATTGCCCCAAAATGTTAAAAAGAAGTGTATGACTGAAGGTTGAATATTTCATACTGGTGATTATAACTGTACTGCCAAATATTTTTATTTAAAATCAAAGCTGCCAGTGGGCATATATTATCTTGCCTGGCAAGCTATCTTTAAATATTCCAGCAACTGTGAATGGAAATGAATGTGATCCATTAACTGATATAGTCAAAGAAACTAGATATGGATTTGAAACAGAATTTACATTAACTAATCAGATCTGTGTTGATGTTCAGCCTACTGGTGAAGCAGCCAGTTATATCGAGGGATTAACAAACGGCATTTCAAACTGTGAAAATCCAAATGCAAGTCTCTTGCCAAAGTTAAGTCACACTGGAAGTGTAAGGTCTAAACCCCTGTCTCCCGTGTTAAACAGCTTTAGTGTTAAAACAGATACACCTCACTCAGACGTTATTCACACCCCAAATTATGCCAATCAGGGAGCTCGTCCTAAAATTATTAGTGGTGTAGAATCTTACAAATCAAATGGGCAGCTAGAGGACTCCTCAGATAGTCCTAATAATGCACACAGAACTGATGCAAAGTGTTCTCCTAAAGTCATTGTCAGTGAAAATACTAGTCCAGTCACATCTTCTGCAGGTGGTAGTCCACGATGGGCTGATCCTGCTTCATCTGCCATTAAATTCATGGACGAGGAACTTCCTGACAACTCAGAACTGCCCTTTGAAAATAATTTAGTAGGAGATTGTAGTCCTACAGCTCCATGTTTGCCTGATTTACAACGTCGTCTGTATCTTGCTCAACAAAAATCTGTAGAATTAGAGTTAATAGAAGATAATATTTTTAATTCTTCTGAAGAATTAGATAATAGTGCTTTAGTCAGTGATACTATTTCCCAAACAATAGTGTTTGATGATCAACACCCTGTGCTTAATGGGTCAGTAGATCATAGTGTTTTACAGAAAGACACTCTCTTCACAAATAATAGTGATATCGAAATTTTACAAAGTGCTTCTCTACCTGCCTCGCCAATCAGGTCTTCAGAATTTGACTCTCCCACTAGGAAATTACGCGAAGAGGTTCTAAAGACTAAGTGCAAACATCTGAGTCCAATGTTTAAACGGCGTTCAAAACATCATCATCAACATCACATTGATAACTCAGAAGAAGACATTCTACTTACTATAGAGAAAATAAATACTGGTACAAATTACAAAAATTTAGAAACATTCCAGAAAACTCAACTCAAACAGAAGGTAAGACCTTTAACGTATATTTGAACTAAATGTTTTAAGGAAGTCTTTGTGTCAACTGCAATTTAGATACATCATACATGTAACATTTAACAGGAGGACTTGAGTGTTCCAATGTCAACTTCAGAAGGTGCCAAAACAAAAAAAAATCTGCAACTTGTTTGTTCTCGGCTTGTGAGCTAAAGCTTGTTGTGAAAAGCTTTTGAAGTAGAAAATTTATCAAGCCTATATTTCATGTTTGTCTTTTTGTCCAAATATGAATTGACCGAATGTTATACAATTAAATTACTTCTTGATAAAGAACAGACATGAAAGCACTATCCTTACTGCCTGCACCAATGGTAGTAGGATTCCTGCCATGAGTGACCTCTTTTAAACAATGAATACATCACTGTCTATCTTAATAATGAATAATAGTCATTTTATAGATCATTTAGCACCATCTAGAGTAACATTTAATAGTTATTAGACTTGGTTCTTGTATTAATATGATAAGTTAATTATCAATAATTATTAGTTATTGCCAACATAATCAATAGATTTATTTATGTAGTATAAAGGCTTTGGACGACATGAAACACTAGTCAGCGAAAACCATGAAAAAACAAAATGCCCTGTTTGGTCTTGTCACTATCGGTGTGGCCCGCAGATAATTGCTGCCTATTCTATTGAATTATGTTATTGAATAAAAATTGACATAAAAAATTGCACGTATCTCATTGTTAATTCCATGATTCAATGATGGTCAGCCTACTCGCATCCCCCAAATGTTGCCTGCCGTTGCAGAAGGTTGCACAGGCCTGACCTAGATCATTGTGAAACCCAGATGATTCCATGTGATGTTGTCAAGACATAGCATCTGTACAGTTTCAGCCTTTTTTGAAAATTTATCTTGTATATCCTCATATTAAATTAGCTCAGACCACAACCGTTGACTAAGAATTTGCTTGATTTATTACTTACAGCAATTCTTAATGTAAATTCAGGTAGTCTGTTTAATGTTAAAGTCCATTATGTGTAACTTATTGTTTGGATTTCAGGTTTGGATCGTTCGTACTTCATATATTGACTTCACATTCAAAACTTGATGATCGCTAATTAATTCACAATGTCAAATATCAAAATAAAGGAGCCATACCAGATAAATGTTATTCAGCCCAAATACATATTACATGAAACAGTGAAAGGTCACACAAATTTCTAGGGAAAAGGTTTTGAAGGAAAGTCAATTCTCAGGATTAGAGGTTTGACAACCAATATATTTGTCAATATGGCCATGTTCACAATGTCAAGCTATAACTAACTGTGTTTAATACCTTTGTACTGCAGTAGCCACTTGCAGTTGAGTTATTAGAATGATATAATTTGTAATAACATGATAACTTGACATTATGAAGATGTATTTTGGCAAGAAGCATACTTTGCTTTGATTCCTGGCATAGCGTTGTCCTTAGTAACTGATATTTTGCATTAAAATTACATTTATCTTCTAGATTTATTTCTTCTGTATCCATATACCAGAGGGAATATAGCCTCACAATTCATTGCATTAAGACAAAGTTAACAATCCCATTATTTCAATTAAGCCACAGAAATTGTCTGAAATATGCATGTCCTGAACAATAAATATAGTCATTAGATAACAGAGTATTATCTAACATAACATAATATAGCAAATTTAATGTTTGTAAAACAGTTTGTGTTGTCAACTTGAACTTAGATTAAGCTGTTAGCAGTTTAATTTATTTAAAACATGCTATGAGCTTCACGTTAGTCATAAGATGCATTTTGATTTATTAATGTCAATGGGCAACATACATAATTATGTCACATACAAGCCCTTAACACCCTATTTGGTCAATTTTAAGTATAGGTTAAGCCTACCTGGATGAGGCATAGGCACATTATCCGATTATCTAAAAACGTCTAGATGAATGGTTCAGCTTTGTATCTTTACCAAAAAGTTCTCCCAAATTTGGCTTTTGGCATGGTGAAAATTCTCACAAATAAAAAATCCAAAAATGAATTGGAGCAATTCGCACAAAATTTGACCTTTTGAGTCTGGCTCTAACAGTGACATATCAAATCTACGTCTGACAAGATTTGTTGGGCTATGATAATTGAAGATGACATATCTTAGGCCTATTGTCATTCTCATTTCTTTTAACATTTAGAAACCTAGGTTGATGAAAGGTGACAAAGCACCTCTAAAAGTGTTATAAATGATGTTTCTTAACATCTTGGTAGGTGATAAAGTGATAAAATGATAGATAAAAGGCCAAGTGCTATGTTCTATAAATATACTACATTTTCCAGTGATTATATAAAATCAGAACAATACAAAGAATGTTATTTTCTTTTACAAATAAAGATTTGTCTATCACTAATCTAATCTTTAGAGTATTAGTTTCTTACAATTTTATACTCATTGAGACATTTAGTTTCATCAAACTGTCCAGACATTCTAATTAATCATGACATTCTTCATTATTAAGTCAACAAAGGTCATTGTATTGGTCACTACCATTTTCTTAATTCAAACATTTTTATCTCTAAGCTTTATATATTTGGAAAAATTACAACATACTTAATCTCTTCAAATGTTTTTGAAGGAGAGTATGATTTGCCCTACTTGCACAGCTCATTGAGCTTTGACTCAGAGCTTAAAGCTTATAAATTAAAGGACAATCTTGGATATCTCTTACTAAAGTAGTGGTGAGCGTGGCATGCAAGGAGACCATTCTTACTCTTTGTGAAACACCAGATGATGCTTGTTAGCTCCTAATTTTGACATGCTTTGGATGAAATTATTGGTTAAGGGAATTGTTTTTCTTGAATGGATTTTTTTCATGGAAAATTCAACATACACTCACATCTCTCCATCCATTCACATTAGTTTGTAAATTATTCTAAAGAATCTACAGTGAGTTCTTTGACAGTTTACAGTTATCCCTAGGATTTCCAATGTAGAAAATGTTATAGCTCCTGTAGTTTTTAAACAATCGTGATTAAACTTAGTATTAGTTTCTTCTTTAACCACTTTCTTCAAGGCTCTGGGGGTATGCATAACTTCCCCCTTAATAGTTTTCATTATTTCAAATAATATGGTTTCTTCATCAAACTATTTTAGACATTTAACCACATCACCATTTATAATCAGGGATAGAAATATCCTCTAGTTAAAATTGTAGACTGTAAAATATTGACCATTTATTTAAACAAGTTATCCGGACATAAATTCTTGTAAAGTTTGTGTGAGGAAAATTGATTTAAAGTAGTAGAAATATCCTACAGCATTACTCTGATTATTCTATTCTATACTGATATTTGATTTTTCACATCAGTGCTTACAGACTGAATATTTCACTAGTAATTACTTTATTTAACATGATCACAGGCCAACTTAGAGAACTTTTTTATGCTGAATGAAATCTGAGTATAGAAGGTTTTTCCAATTTACAGACATTTTTCTTTTTAATGGAATTCTATTACATATTCTCTTTTGATGTCTTGTATATATGATGTTTGATCACCTGGTTTGGGCAAATACAGATTAACTGGAATATAATTCTTTGTTCAAATAAATCTCTCTTGTGAGTGGTCAAAACACAAAGGACACGGTTTTATGGACATTTGTGACATAAGCCTGTTCCCCAATCCATTTAATGTATTAATAAAATATTGTTTATAAAAAAAAAAAATTTTGAGACAAAAAAAAGTGAAAAAATAAAATCTTCCAAAGACTGTAGGGGTCAAAAAGATTCAAGCTAAATAGTCATTGTTTCATCATTGAAAATAATTTTTTGTTTCATATTTCAGTTGAGGCGGGTAAAAAGCACAGGAACTAACAGTAATACAAGCTGTTTACAACAATATGTTATGCACAATAAGGCTCCATTATGGAATGAAAACAGTCAAGTATATCAATTAGATTTTGGTGGTAGAGTTACTCAAGAATCTGCTAAGAATTTTCAGATTGAATTCCGTAACAAGCAGGTATATAAGCTTTATCCTAGTTTTACTGGTGTTGAAATAAACTTAAATGTTCAACTTAAATGTTATAATTAACTAATTGGACTAGCAAATTGAACTAGCCAAGTTGACTAATATACTGTGTTTCCACTGAGGGAAAAAGCCGGCTTTAAGCTAGCTTTCGTGTTTCCACTTGGCAAATTGCAGAACCATTCGGGAACCGAAAACCTTTCTTTTTGTGTTCGACAATTTATCGGGGGCCAACTGAAAGCTAGCTTAAAGTCGTCTTTCACTTAACCAGTGAAAACGCAAAAAGACAGCTTTATCTCGTTCGGCAATAGGGGTCTCCCGGTCTATTGCATTTCTTACTGGTCTGAGCAGTAATCTTGTTACTTTTAATGTGTTCGGCAATAAAGCTGGCTTTAATTTAGCTTAGAGCTAGCTTTATTTTACAATTCTTAGTGGAAACTCGGTTATAATGAATAGTATCCCCAGGTGTTAAGTGTAGGCCTTTTTTCACGATATTCTATGACTAAAACTTAAAAGATGTTACTGAAGTCTTGTTGAAATCTATAGGTGTCTTACCATAGTCATCACTAGTTGTGTATGGTTGTGAATGACAATAGCAGTCATAAATGACAATCACAGCTCTCATGCAACTAAGTTATATGAGTTTTTACAACTGTACGCAACTGGTGATCAATATTGTGTGAGTGCACCTTTCTTAACATGTAACTGTGTCATTTTAAAAATTGGTTTAAGGTGAATTCGAGTAAAATATTTGCTACACATATGTTTTTGCTAAATTATTTAATGCATTTGATTACTATTTGCAGGTTATGCAGTTTGGAAGAATAGATAGCAACGCCTACACATTGGACTTCCAGTATCCATTTTCAGCAATCCAAGCTTTTGCTGTAGCTCTAGCTAATGTTACTCAAAGACTCAAATAGTGATATCTCAAATAGGCCTACTAGGCATTATATACTTGCATAATAAATTATCCTTATTATTGTTAATAGTGAATGGAATCAGATCCAGGAATTTTTCAATTTCATTTCACAATTTTTTAAGTTCAAGTATTATTTATCTAAGTTTATTCTTCATTGAAATCCATCTTGCATTATCTTAATATTTATAACAGATTAACAGTATGATTATCATAGTATACTGTTTTGTATTTATCAAATACAATGAAGAATTATGCCACGTATTCTCAAAACTATTTTATAAATGAAATGAAATGAATGGAGTTTTAAGTCTTACTTTTCTGCACCGTGTGGGCTTGTGAAGACGGAAAAAAATCTTTGAGCTAGGATGTCATAGATTGTTTTGAGAATACGTGGCCTTGGTTTCTATTAGTTGATTGCCCAAAAACTGAATAGATAATTGTCAAAAAGAAATGTCATATACATTCAAGAGGGATTCATTAATACATATCTAATAAAAATTTATTGTTTTGATCAAAGTTTCACACATTTTCCACCTTAAAGTTTTCATTGGTACTCATGTGTTCTGCGTTCATACACAGATAGTCTTATATTATTGAAATTTATTATATAAAGAAAATTGGAAAATTATATTACATTATGAGCTATGAATGAGATTATGAATCAAATGCACTAATATATATATATATATATATAATATAACTAATTTGATAGTATTGAATTTTGTATAGGAATTTTACAAAAGATACAGTTGCCGGATTATTTCATTTACAAGCTAGAACTACAATTTAACCACCCATAGCACACAGCTTGACAATGTCAGATTATTACGAACTACATGTAATACCTTGACTTCAATTAGCTACCTTCTTGTTTCATGGAAGTTTGTAAATGCAGAAATTTGATTTAATGTACAATAGAGAATACAGAAAGACTGCAAATCGTAAGCCATAATGTTAACAGTCTTGAGGTCGAGGGCTCTGATTGGCTGTATTCTCTGTTGTGCGGTCCAATCAAAATGCTAGATTCTGTGATGCAAGAAAGGTGGCTATTGCAGTCAAGGTATTATATATGCAGTTTGCTATAGCTTGACATTGTGATGATTATAGCTTCAGTAATAGCGAAAGTAATTTAATATCATAATAACAGTATTATTAAAAGAGCTCAATTTTTTGGTTCATATTTCAATCATTCCTTATAACTGTTATGGTGTTATCATTCCTAAATGAGATTGTCTTTAAAGATGAGTTCCCTTATTTTCATTTATGAAAATGAAAATGCTAATGCAAAAAACCAGTTTGTCTCACATGTCGATAATTAATTCATGATTAGCTAAATTAGAAGAGAATATGATAAAGAATACATGATAATTCATTAGAAACACCAATTAATCAAATAGTTTGCTTAATTTGATACTAAAAAATAAGGAAACACATCTTTAAATAATTGTATGTTTAGTCTTTCACCACAATTAAGTTTCATTTTCCAAAGAGTTACTTAGTTACTTGTTCTTAGGTATACAAATTCTGTAAAAATATCAAGGAATATGGTCTAATGATAAAATAGCAATATGTGTGTTGGTTTATGCTCTAACATTGTACAAAGTACATTACAGTTAATCATTAGTAATTTATTATAATTTTACTGCCTTATAATTGTATATAAATGTTGTTGTTTTTTTTCTTTATCTGTAATATTTCAGGTCATTCCAAAAAGTATTATTTAAATGTGCAATCTCTATTTAAAATTATTTATATCTTGAAAAAGTTTATTACTATTCATACCTGAATAGACCTTATTCACACGTCGGTCATTTTGAATCCAGAATGAGGCTCACAACACAAACAAACAACAGCGTGTCAAAGCAGCCATCTTGATGCCTCCTTCTGAGTATCAGCAGTTTTAAGCCCAATTTCTCTCTGTTGGTGGAGTATTATTTGATGTCATATGACTTATTCCTTCATATGTCGCCAACAGTTGACGTAATTTGTGGTATGAACATCAAAACTGAGGTGTGAATGAGGTCTATGCAGTGTTTTCTTTAGAATATTAATAAGTCCTTATATCATTAGAATTAATATATAGTAACTTTTTTCCTTATGAAGTTATTTGCAACTGGCTTATGAAAGACTGTTGCATATAAATATTTCTGCGACAACGTGTATCATTAAAGGGATTATAAAGAGGTTTTCTGAATTTTGTATGTGTATTGGGGACAATCCAATTTTCAATCATACATCTGTGGTTCTAGCAATTCCACTAAAACTAAGTGCTTTATGACGTCACCCCTGCAAAGGTCTTATGTGATACAAGCAAATTTTGTGGGGGTGACGTCATAGAACGCTTAGTTTTAGTGGAATTGCAGGAACAACAGACGTCTGATTTAGATCAGTGTCCCTGATAAGCATAAAAAATTTAGAAATTCTCTTTACAATCCCTTTGAATATAATGTACTATATTAGGTCAGGAAATATTATTTCTTACTAAGCAATTGCTCAATTTCAAGAAAATCATATGTAAGTTACATTCCAAACATACTGGAGTGATATCTATGCAATCAACATATAATATTAGGCCTAGTCTATTTCTATGTTTGTTAGACTTAGTTGCTTCAAGCATATCACATCCTGCAATTTGTTAACTTTCCTCCGTCTCTATATAATTTTGGGAGCCCTGGTGGCTCTGTGAGCGAGACGTTTGCTTCAATTCCTGCATCAGTCGTGAAGTTTTTGCAAATTTTTCAACCCATTCACTTACTAGATGGAGGTAAGCGGCTGACAATAAAAGGATCCTTGCAAAATTCCCATCATTGCACTCTGCATAGCGTTGCCCGCCTTCAATGGCCCCATCAAGTGAGGATAACTAGGACATCATTCATTTCATTTTCTCTTAACTTTAGAGGAGCGAGGCTTTCAGTAATACATATTTTGACTGCTACTGTGTGACTGAATTTCCTTCAATTTACCTTTCAAACTTATAAAGGTATCGATGCTATATGTCACTTCGAGGGGCAGAGGCAGTACTTCCAGAGCTCTCCAGAACTATAAAACCCAATAGACCTTAAACAAGAAACTATTTATTTATTTCCTTCACAAGCTTATCTTCTCTCTGAAATTTCGTGTATCCAAAAGTCGATATAATCTCTGAAATCTTCCATCGCAGCTGTGCATAGACAAGTGGGACAAGATGATTGAGTCTACTGTATGCACATGACGTCAATGATATTCAAAATAAAGTCTCTTTAAATGACTTTCAAACATAGATAATTATGAATACGCTAGAATTTGAAGGCTCAATTTAGAATGGTACGTTGTGAACATTATTACTGATTAATTTAGCGTAACAATTCGAGTTTCGAGATCAAGGTTACTTACTCCCAGAAATGCCACATCTGTACCTTTAAGTCAACTAGTTTCAGTGAAGCATATCAGAAATCGATATTGTGGCAGGATAATCTATTAATTAATATTGTGATTTATAACTACTTAACTTTTAAATGTGATATGTAAATATTTAGCTTTATTGCTGCCTCCCATCATGTTCATTACATTTCATTTTTTGTGTTTTATCAATTCTTTTGAAAACAATGAATTTGATCATGATAAATGGTAGCTATATTTGTGTTTTGTATTTAAAAATAATACTCTGTTGTTATTGTCTAGTTATGCTTTATTGTGCCAAAACTGTTTTTAATTTTTTTTTTTTCGTAAGTAAATATGTTTTTTTTTTATTCATCATTTTTGTATGCCAAAATATATATCTATATATTGCTTGCACCAATGTCCATCAATCCTAATTCACACTGTAAAATTCCACAGTTTTCAACTGATTTTAAGTCAAGTAATATCATTGTTATAAGAGCAAACCGAACCACTTATCACCAACTCTCCCATCTTTCCCAATTTTGAAGAAAAACGTGCAAACTAAATTTTATTGAAATCAGAACTGTATTGTCTATTGCTTTGTTACGTTTTGTCAAGAACAGTTACTCAAAATCGTTCCATTAGAAAAAGAAAGTTGATTGACCGAACACACATGGATAACAGAATTATGTTTCCACAATTTTATACTATGAAGTTTAGAATAATAACATCCTCGCATCATGCTTGTAACAATTTACCTGCCCTATAAGGTTACTTGCCTCAATTTTCTATGAAGATTTTCTTTTGAAGATGCTACCTTAATCTAAATTATTTGCCTATCAAAATGCTGCAAGCAAGGGATAATCATTAAAATATATGTACAGCATTTCACACTGTGTTACCACTACTACCTTATTAGTTTGAGGCAGAACCAATACAATATAAAACCGAACTCAATTTGTAAAGTTAATGAATTTAAAGGGATGTAGTAAAAAAATTAATGTGAATCAGACACATTCTAATATTCAGATGTCTGGTATTTGCTTTCCACATGAAATGGGGGGCGTATATTGCCGTCACCCATGTTCGCCCGTCGACAATTGCTCCTAGGCACCTACAAGGCCCAATCCCGACTGATTTCAACAAAACTTGGTATGGTTGTGAGCACCCAAGGATGAACCCTATTGAAAATCAGAAAAATCAAAATATTTAGTACGAGTTATTGCCCTTTTTCTTGAAACGCTCATAAACATCCTACAAGATGCAATTCTTGACAGATTTTGATGAAACTTAATATTATTCAGTATCGACCTAAAGAGTTCAAAAGAAGTGTATATCTGAAGGTTGAATATATCATACTGATAATTGTTATTGTACTGCCAAATATTTTTATTTAAAATCATTGCTGCCATTGGGCGTATATTACCTTGCCTGGCAAGCTATCTTCTACTTAAACTAAACATTTTATACATCATTATCACAAAAGATAACCTTTTTCCTTTTCGCTCTTAGCAATAGTCATAAAATGATTAGTTTTAGACTGGAATTGTAAGAACCACTGAAGTCCGACTGCAAATTGGAATGGTTCAAATTGATCAGTGTCCTGTATACATATAAAAAGTTAAGAAAAGCTCATTCCCAAATGAAATGCACAAAAAGCAGAAGTAGGATTTGTGTTGAGAAATAAAGCTGCTAAAAAGATATAGAAAACCATATCCCTTTACAAATTACTACTTTTCCAGAGAACAAGAATAGAAATAAAATTTAATATAAAAATAGCTACATGTTTTAAAATTTACACAGAAACTGATAAGAAATCTGTTTTACTTGATCAATAATTTCAATTAGCACTTGAAACAGTTGCATGTTACACACAACATCAATAATTCAATAACTTTGTTCTCTGTTTAAATGGATACTCCTTCGTAGTATATTGTATGTATTGGTATCTTGTACTACAAAGAAAAGCTTTGATGGCGAGTTTGAGGACTAAGAGATAGGCCTAAGGTAATTTGATGACAAAATTATTACAAATAAAATTACTTGATTTGTCTTCTCAAATTATTGTAGATTAACGAACAAGTGTTAACGTTATATATTAACTCAAAATGGTGTTTTTATGTCTTGCGAAGTTTTGTGAAACGTCCAGATTTCAATTCTATGCTAAAAATACAAAAACTGGACACAGCGAAACCATTTTTAAAAAATTATCCAGATACACAGCGCAATGAATATACAAGAAAAAGTGGTGAAAGCTTGACTGTAGTTAAACCGTGACAATGTTTATAATGTAAATCAAATGAAGCAGACAGTTTCAGTAAGCTGTTAATTGACCTATTGGATAAAGTGTCTACTTCCCAGATCAATTACTTTTGTTATATAAAGACAACGTTGTTAATTGAACTCTTTTAGCTTTGCCGCTAGTGGTCTTGATTTGCATAGCCGGAGTTGTGGTCTGGGTCTTACTAGTGTTATTGTCAGAAGTCACTGAAGTGCTTAATAAATTCACATCAGAACAATTTGTCACACTCTTGTCTGAGGTTCTCTCGTTAGATTCCTGTTTTTCTTGAGTATTAATTTCTCTTTTGTTGGTAGAAATGGTGTCAGACTCATCATTTGAAGTTTCCAACACCAGACAAATATCACTATCAGTTTCCATAGCTTCTATATCAGACGTTATCTACAATAAATATCACATTCTTCATAATATTTAATATTAAAATAGAAATTCTAAATTTGATAATAAGACAAACTTTGTTACATTCAATATCAATTATTTATACTAATGAGTATTTTTATATGGCCACATGAAATGGGGGGTGTATATTAGCGTCACCCATGTCCGTCCATCAGTTCGTCCACAATTGCTTGTAGGCACAATTCTTGACTGATTTGATGAAACTTGGTGAGAGTGTAATCGCCCAAGAATGAACTCTATTGAAAATCAGAAAAATAAAAAAAATATTTAGTACGAGTCATTTTCTCTTTTAAACAGGCCTAGTAAAAACTTCCAAAATCACTAGATTTAAAATAAAAAACATATTTGATAGAAGACACTTTGCAGACCTTTTCTTTTTCTATAGATTCTTTTATAGGAATTTTTTCTATCGAGTCTTCTATTGTTTTTTCAGTCTCTTTAACATAGATCTGTCCAAGTTCCCCAGTTTTAAATGTAACAATACTACAAAATCCATCAGTTGAGGACACTACCAACATTTCTCCACTGCTAGACCTAAAATCATTCATTTATAGCATATGTATTATTCTTATGATAAACAAATAATGATTCATCATATTTTAAAACATTACCAAGCTAATAACTCAAGTTGTCTTCCGCTTTCTGCATTTACTTATCTAGTTATATATTATATTTAGTTGACATTGACAATAACTTACCAGCAGTTGATGATAACTTACATGATGATGATGATAACTTACATCAGTAAGTTGATGATTACTTACAAAGTTAAATTACTGAGTTAAAGGTAATTTACAAAGCTACCTCAGTAAGTTAATGATTACATACTAAGTTGTTTTGTTGATAACCTACTAAGTTATTTTGTTGATAACTTACAAAGTTAAATCACTGAGCTGATGATAATTTACAAAGCTACCTAAGTAAGTTAATGATTACATACTAAGTAATTGTTGATAACCTACTAAGTTAAATCACTGAGCTGACGATAATTTACAAAGCTACCTCAGTAAGTTAATGATTACATACTAAGTAATTGTTGATAACCTACTAAGTTAAATCACTGAGCTGATGATAATTTACAAAGCTACTTAAGTAAGTTAATGATTACATACTAAGTAATTGTTGATAACCTACTAAGTTAAATCACTGAGCTGACGATAATTTACAAAGCTACCTCAGTAAGTTAATGATTACATACTAAGTAATTGTTGATAACTTACAAAGATAAATCACTGAGCTGATGATAATTTACAAAGCTACCTAAGTAAGTTAATGATTACATACTAAGTAATTGTTGATAACTTACAAAGATAAATCACTGAGATGACGATAATTTACAAAGCTACCTCAGTAAGTTAATGATTACATACTAAGTTATTTTGTTGATAACTTACAAAGATAAATCACTGAGCTGATGATAATTTACAAAGCTACCTAAGTAAGTTAATGATTACATACTAAGTTATTTTGTTGATAACTTACAAAGATAAATCACTGAGCTGATGATAATTTACAAAGCTACCTCAGTAAGTTAATGATTACATACTAAGTTATTTTGTTGATAACTTACAAAGATAAATCACTGAGCTGATGATAATTTACAAAGCTACCTCAGTAAGTTAATGATTACATACTAAGTAATTGTTGATAACTTACAAAGATAAATCACTGAGCTGATGATAATTTACAAAGCTACCTAAGTAAGTTAATGAGTAGTTACTAAGTTGTTTTGCTGATAACTTACTAAGTTATTTTGTTGATAACTTACTAAGTTATTTTGTTGATAACTTACCAAGTTAAATCACTGAGTTGATGATAATGAATATTACCAATATAAGCTATAGGAGTAGTTTGCTGTGTGTCATATAATAGAACAGAATCTTCTGTTGCCACAGCAAATACCATTCTGTATGGTAAACTGAAAATATAAATTTCCTAATCAATTTTATGGAAGCTTCAATTGTATTTAGCCTTGAGGTATATTTTACTTCAATTGCATTGTGGGTGTCCATTCTACTCTAAAATAGAATTGTAATTGAATATTTTGTTGACAAACAAAACATTACTCAAGTAATCTATAATTTTACACAGATTGAAAGCAAATTAAAACATGGCATAAATTGTGGTAATGGAGTAGAATTCAATGAAGTAACACTTTAGTTTGAAAGTCAATTTCATTTGAAAAATATTTGTAAAGATCGTTTCCCTTCTTTTCATTTATAAAAATGAAAATGCTAATACTTATATAAATAGAAAGTAGAGATGTTCTAATGACTTGGAAAAATACCTGTTTGTCTCACATATCCATAATTAATTCATAATTAGCCAAATTGTAAGAAAATTACTAGCAGAATTCCAATGAGTGATCAATCAAGAAAGATCAAGTCTTTTTTGTTTATCCAGACTGTACATACATGGACATTTATGATTGGTTAAAACTTAATTATATGCAATAGGAACATAATGATATGATTAAGAATACATGATAATTCATTCGAAATCAAATAGTTTGCTTAATTTGACACTAACAAATAAGGAAACCCATATTCAAGACCCTAAATGTCCAGATAAATTCAGATCTATTAGAAAAACACTGACTGAATGTTTGACTTTTAAAATCTGAACGTACTGTTGAGAATTTTTCCAGAAGTATTTCACTAGGCCACGGGACAAGATTAAAAGATAAACTACTACCTTTCTGTGGCATAAAATATAACAAAAGATCGATAGAAATATGAATAAGTAATTGAATAGAAAAGGTTAGAATCTAAATTGATAAGATGGAAGGAGATAACCATCAATTTGCTTATATAATGATATAATTTGTATTACTAAAGGAAATAGAGTAGTGTGTCTGGATACATGATTAATCTCATTAATAAAAAGCTTAGGAGGTTTCAATGAAGTCCCATAGTAGAGTCTGTATGTTTCCCATATATCAAATTATCTGTCATAACTTACAATATTTGATATAATGCGCACAAGGCACAGTGTTTACAAAATGTTTAAGTAATATTCATACTTTATAGATAATAACCAAATGGTCCATAGTCAAACCTCTTTGCACTGATCGTGCTTATATTTATTTGCACCCATTTTCAGCTGATTAAAATATATTGCCTATTTTCAAATGGGAAATGGCTTTTGAGCTGAAGCACACCAAAAACCTTTTCTTATAAAACACATTTGTCACCAAAACACATCCTAACCAATATGCACTGTGATAAAAACTTGTGCAGACCAGTACCGCTCTTAAAACTACACATACAATCAATGGATTTTACGCACATGATATTCAAGCCCCACTTCCTACATGACCATTATTGAATTAATGCGTTCATTACTTCTTAACCAGCCGTTAGAAGTAAATCCAAAATGGCATTTCAGATCTTATATTCTTATCATGATTGAAAACTATCTACTTGATTTTGGCAGCTCAAAAAATTAAACACATTGAAAAAAAGTTTTCCTTTCATGATAAATGTGGATAATGTTCAGCTTGGGATTTCACCATCATTCATTTCCATAGAAAATTAGTGGATGATATTAAAAAAAAAAATGATGAAAATAGACTTGTTATTTGTATGAAATGGGGGTTAAATCTCGGCCACAATAAATATCTGTCAACTTTAATCACATTTCTTTTCAACACCTACTTTTCTCACAATATTTCTCTATGTGAAAAGGTCAAGACATTGATGAATTGTCTAAGAAAAAGAAAGTTTCAGACATGGCCTTCCGTGACAAGTCAAACGAAATTACACCCGTAAACTCTTGAGAAAAAGCTATAAATTGGATTTAGATTTTTGTTCACACTCACTGAGTTGGTTAATTTGACAATTCTGACTAAAAGTCTAACGATGTTATAATCTTCACCAAATCTGCTGTGATAACAATTTTAAAAACTTTTTTCATCATAAAATTTCTCGAATCAGCCCATGTGTGTATCAACTATCAAAATTATTGTGGGTATTATATCAAAGAAATTAGCATAAATAACAAGTCAATTAAATCATGAATAAAAAAAATATATGTGACATATTTTGACACTAAATCCCAAATAAGTATTAATTTTCAGTCAATTCTTATAAATGTATATTTCTCTACCATGCACAATATAGTAGGGCTGCAACGATTCACCGATGAACTGCGATTCTTTCCTTCTTATCGAGGCATTACATTGGATATAAAATAATCGTGATGTATCGGTCTGATTAATTCTTTGCCCCCTTTAATAACAAATGACACAGAATCAATTGTTGTGTATAAGAAATTGTGTTTTCATTTTCCAAGTATGATTTTCACATCAAAATTTGCAAAAACTCATTTCTGACAGATTTTTTAAAGATTTTTTTCACAATTCCTTATTTCTAAATATTCTCAAGTTCTTAATAGTGACAAACTTGTTAGTAATTTTACAAATTTCTACTATTTTTTCCTTATCTAATAAATAAATCTCAATAAACTGTAGCATTTTTATCGTTTAGTGCATCGAATCGCAACTTCTAGAATCGTTGCAGCTCTATAATATAGTCATAGACAAATTGTTACATTTCTGTTCCTTAATTCATATATCTGAACATTTGTCAAAGCAATAAGAAAAATCTGTAAATATTCAGAGAAACAAGTCTGATGAAGAAAATCACTGCCAGACGTTTTATAATATCAGTCAAACATGACTACACAACCACATGTAGTGTTTATCAGCATGTTTGTCTAAATTGTTAATAATTTCAAGCCAGTCCTATATCAATATTGATTTTACCAGTCTGATATGTGCTGTATGAATTATGAGATATAGATGATGGTCGAATCAACAGGGAGTTCCAACGTAATAACATTTTCCTGTATCATAAATGAATAATATCAGACTAGGACATGAGATATCAAAAAGTTTTTTACTGTACTACAATTACATGTAGCCTTTTCAGATAGGTCTTTTTTACAGTTATGGCATTAAAAGGTCACAATCATACCAAATACCATCATACTGTATCTATACCGAAATAGAGAAAAGACCACCTGCAAACCTAAAGCATAAAAGACAAAGTTTGGGAAAGAAGATTTAAAGGGACAGATGTGCCATTTTGGGGGGTTGATTTTAGTCTTGAATATATGTGAATAGTCTTCAGAAGAACTAGGAATGCACGAAAATCACTTAATTCCTTTAAAAATACTTCAAACTAGGAATTTTACTCACTATTTCTATATATATATATGTTTTCTATATATTAAATTCTGTATACACATGGATTTGATTAGCACAACTAAAAAAATTCCAGTTTCTGAGACTAAGGTGTAATTGGTCAAAAAAATGGCCTACCTATCCCTTTAAGAACAGAACTTTTCAACTGTTTAGGGTTGCTGTTAAAGAGATCAAAGGCCCTTATAATCTCTTCATCTAACTAATGACATTAGAACTTTAACTAAAAACCAGATAGTATCTTCTCCTATATCAGACCAAGGTCTCAGAATCTGGTTTTAATAGAAAAAGCATTTTGGAACAAAAGTTTGCAAATTCAAGTGGAAAATTAATTGCTAATATGATGGTATCCTTGAGTATCCTACTTCTTCCAGAACATTGCGAATCAGCACGTTTTGAAGCTCCTGTTTAAATACCCTCTCAATATTTTTACTAATCAGTTCTCTGGAAGACTACTCCCATTTCCAGTTGGAATTAAATAGAAAACGTTTTGGTATACCCTCAAATGATTTTGATAATAAATATAATGACTTATCAATTATAAAGCTATAACTGTCCAAATATATAATACATCATGAATATGGTAAATACCAGGGCTTCTATCAACCTTCATAAAATCATCATTTGTGGACATCATTCCAGTAATAGGAGTCCCTTGAGAAATTCTGGATCTATGTAACTTTAGATCAACTAATAAGGCATAAGACTTGATTATACTCAAGCTACTATTCCCTGTAGACCTCTTTCATATAAATTAACAATTGTTTTTGCATATCATTTCATTTGGTCTTGAGGTACACATTTTTTGTTACTTTATTAGTAAAATTTGGACTGGACAGTTTTATGTATGACATTTTACTCAATCTGTTAAATATACAGATTTAGACATTTATTTTCTGTTTGACATCCATTATCTGTGGAAATTGTTTTTCACCACCATAATGTGTCTACAAGATAGCTTGCCAGACAAGGTTACATACATCCACTGATAATCAGCATGGAATGAATAACAATGGCTTCATGAGAAATAACTCATATATATTACAAATTAATAGCTTTTAGATAGGGTTCTTCCTTGGGTGATAAAATCAACACCAAGTTTCAACAAAATCTTTCAAGAACTTGACTTTTATGGAAAATTATGTAATAAGAAACAAAATATAAGGTGTGAATTGCTGCATTAATGTCAATATCATGAGAGATCTGTTTTGTTTTTATTCTTGCAATTTTTTAACCACCTACTATTCTGAAGTTAGCAAGTGAACTTTACAATGAGTGAATTTTAACACTGTAATGGTCATAAAGTGTTCACTCTCACTGCTTCTCAGTCATAAAAAATAAATCTAGAAACTCTTCAATTAGAAAGCAAATATCTCCACTCAATTTCAACCCAAAGTTAATGTAATTTGATACGAACCAGTTACTTCCAAATACAAGATATTGACGTGCTCATACAGTTATTTCAAGCTTTCAAAATTAAAGATCAATACCGTTTTCATTTCATTAAGTGTATCAACTTACCAAAATAAAGTTTGATATTTTTCCCATTCTTTGCGATTATCTTGACCTAGAAGGAGTAGAAATAATAAGATTATATGAGTATATATAGTGATATATTGAGATTAATAAATTGAATTTATTACGTTATAAAATCTGTCACTATCTATCATATCATGATTATGAACTAAGTAAGTTTGTTGAAGTTGAGATGCTATAAAAATCTAAATCTCTAATGTACTCAGAATTTCAGAATTGTTCAAGCTTTTTTAGCCCTTGTAGAAATTCAACTTCCTAATAGCTATCCCAGTGACCTAAGAAAAACTATCTCGCTTTAGAAGAATACAGTTGGGAAGTTTTTTTATGGCATGGTTCGCCTTATCTGAGGTTGAGTCTTGAATATATGTAAATAGTCTTAAGAAGTATCAGAACTGCATGAAAATTGCATAATCACTTCAAAAATACCACAAACTAGAAATATCACTTTCTATATAGTTTTTATCAAACACTGATAATTCTGGACACACATGAATTTGAAGGCTTAAAAAAAATTCAAATTTCTGAGAAATCAAGCGGATGGTGAATCTTTCCCTTTAAGTCAAACACAGGAGAAAAAAAAAAACGGAAGAAGTTAGAGCCAATACTGAGCTAAATTTTGCAAGCACTGGTTGAGGCATCAACCTTTTCTTCCTTCTATTGTTCATTCATAATTAATTTTTGGTAATCATGAGGCGTTTTAGTAGGCCGATTGGGTTGGATAGAATAGCTATTTTGTGTATTTGTAGGCTAATCAATACATTTGTAAGAAAATTTACCTTAACTAATTAGGCTAATTATCTTAATCGTCCCAGGTGGTAGTTAGGCAATTAGATTATACTTTTTAAAGATGGCGGCATGTGGAAGTTCAACAATAATAATAATCAAAATAGAGGACTTTCTTTTGTTGTCAGTGGAGGCAGCCATATTGCCTGCCTAATCGCTGATATCAAAATTCACATGTGAAGACCACTGCTAATCTAATCGAAATTGCACTAGCAAATTGAAACTAGTGTTTGAAAAATTTAAACTGGTTTCTTTCAAAACATTTCTAAAAACCTATATGCACAACTGAGAACAGATATCTCTTCAAAATAATTGCAGAAAATTTAAAGACGCAAAGCAAAAAATTAATTAATTAATAATTGGTAAAATTACAACTATGTAATGGGAGGCAACTCTCTCAAAAACATACCTTCTACAGGCTTAAAACCAATTTTGCGTAGTTGAAATAATGTAGGACAGACTCTAACAGCTATTGTAGCTTTCTCAACACTAGGTAGATACACGGCTGGTCTAAAAAATATGAAATCAATTAAAACCTAATTATCTTAAGGTGCAGTTGCTAAGGCAAAACATTTTACACCATGCATTAGGATTACCAACAAAAGTTTATTTATTATTTAGTCTCTTAGTCTTAGTCTTGCTTCACAATAAACTTTATTTGAATTCTGAGACTTGAACAACATGCATCAATTCAAGCAATTGGCAAAAAGCCTTTACAATGTGTTGGGGTTACAGAAGATACTCTGCTAGCTATTATATTCCTGCTACACACAATGCCAACTTTTTAAAATTGATATCCCTTACCATGAAGTCAACATAACTAGACTTCAATGTGTTTACAGGGCAGTGGTCAAAAAACAGAAAGGCGAGGTGTACTTGCTTTGTACTACAATACATGTAATCTAAGAAGGTGAACTTGATTAATTAAATGTACCTCATGGTACTTTTTTTCTCCAAAAAGGATCAAACAAATGGTTACTTATAAGTTGAAAGAGTACTCACTTGTTAAAGGAAGTTCTAGTAAATATATGAGTAGCGTTGATTAGTTTTTCACCACGTTCTACACATCCCGCTGGTGTTATTAATAAAGATCCATCTGGAGTAAAGGTCAAACGTCTGAAAAATGATCTCATGGTATCATCATGAAAGATCCGGAAAGATTTGGGTTTGTTGTCTTTATTTTCACCATCACTTGGTTTAGGAGTATTGGGTGCCACCATTTTAAATATATTGTGGATACAATTTTTACTGTTTATATTATAAATTCTACAAGACCTAAAAAAATAAAAAATATGACTATAAACTTTTTAACACAAAATTGTTGTCTGAATGCAGAAGTTTGTGAATCCTATTTTTGATGCAAACTTGATATCAGGTTCTCAACAGTAATGACTGAATTTAATAAAATAGTTTGTGACCAAACTAACAAAAGCTCTTCTCTCCAAAATTTGAAACCACCACACATACATCTTCACAATGTCATCGTTCACTGCAAACTTCCACTTATACCTGCATGCAATAGCTAGCTAGTGGTTCGAAATGTTTCAGATACAATCATACATAGTCGATCAGATATGACTACAACATTGTAATAGCTTGTTAATACTTGTTAAATTCTTACCTATCTGTGCTCAATGTAGCAACTAGATCATTTAATGGATCCATGGCAACACCTTGTACTAAACTTTTATGTTCATTAAATATGGCTAACTTTGTTTCTATAATGTAAACAAATTGAAATAAATATCATTACTGAAATGAAATACAGCCAGAAATGAGAAATGTTGTACATGTATTACAAATTTGTGTATATTCTTCAAATTACTTACAAGGAATAAGCTGTTTGAAAAAGTCAAACCCAGCTTTACAACTATGGGTTTTCTTACAACTAAGTACCAGTTAATAATATTCGCTTGAGAGAATGAAATGACATTGATATAGCACAGATCAGAATTAATATTTTCAAAATGAAAAGAGCTACAGGAAGCTTTGTTGGCTGGAAACATAAACACTTCAATTATTATCTTTCTTACAAGAAGAGAGTAGGAAGACAGTACTAAACTAGTATTTTAATAAAAAGGAACCAACCTTTAGTCATATCCCAGACTATAGCACTATTATCAACAGAACCAGATACCAAATACTTGCCATCAGCAGACCATGATAAATCATATACATCTTCTATATGACCTCTACAAAACATAGCCAAACATTAAATATCTTTCAACAAATTTGTTTTATTCTCTCTTGCTTCTTTGTTCTTTGGTGTACGCAGTCTTGACTGGTCAAGGATCAAATGTGGACAAAAGTCCTTGATAACAATTGTCCAGCACAAAAAAGTTCAGATATTTCCATAAGGATTAGGATAGGATGAATCACATCATTATCGTAGGACCATAACTTGAATTGTTAACTTTTCTTTGCTTGGCTTATTACACTTTAAGGGACTGTAAAGAGGTTCATTTCAATAAAATAATTCCTATTGACAACTTTAACATCTTCATTTAAATGTTTACTTTACTTGAGAGAAAATACATCAATACCTGAGCATTTTGTGTGTCACCCAAGTTTCCTTATTATCAGCATCTTCTTCTTGAAATATATTATTAGAAGGTGTTGGTGTATCACTTAATTTCCACAATATAATTACACCATCTACAAATATCATATTTATCATAATATAGCCTTATTACAACTGAAAGACAATACAGTTGAGCTGATAGGCATGGGATGATACAGGTGTCAAGCCAAGCATCATAGTGTGTATCATGTGCCAGACATTGCGAAGACGATGGTCTTTCTTTCCTTGTCATCAATATGATCATGTAGATAAGAAATTATGATGATAAAATCTAATTTGTTTCAATGTGGGATAGCCATGACAAGCTTCATGTATATTCCTTATATTCACAGTGATGTATCTTTTCTTAAATCATGGTAACTTTGTTGTTTCAAACTGTCAAACCGTCTTTGATTTGATTGAGTTAAATCATACCACTATGTCCCTTGAAATACCAACATATTTGGTTCACAAGCCTCAAATTCAAACATTATCGCCCGTTCTGTCTAACGACCTTTTCTAGTGTCTATTTGACTCAGCATTAATGTCTTAATTGTGATTGATAAAAATAATACAAAAGACTTACCATCTCCCGCAGTTGCTAACATTTCACCTGCAAAAAAACAGTTAAAATGTTTATATTATCTGGCACACTTTTAAGTATTCTGTAGGAAATCTAAATTCACTATCTTTTGGAACAAAGACATGATTGAAATCTAATCCCTCTCCAAACCAGCAAAGGATTTTACATCCAAGAAATTTAGGTTTTTCTTCTTGCTTATGTTGAGCAAAGGGGTATGAAAACCATAAAATTTGTGCATTGTATCATTGTAGTCAAGTTGATAACCCACTTTTTGTGCACTTAAAATTTTCATTTATTATTATGACAAATTCTTCCGTAAATCATTGAAGTTAAAGTACATACCATTAGGAGAAAACCGACAACAATTTACTGCTCTTGTATGTCTTCTTAAATTACTTAGAAATTCTATTTCACCTTTTCCTTCATTGTCCACTTTAACACTCCATATCTACAGATAATAAAACATCTTAATATCCAAAAAATTGGAGAGAGGTATAAAAATAAAGCTATTACAAACTTGTCTTATACCTTGACTGCAATAGCGACATTTCTTGTATCACGGAATGCAGAAATTTGTTTTGTAATTGTATCAGATTGTAAGCTTGCAAAAACCACAAATCACAGCCCTCCACATAAAGGCTGTAATCATTATGGCTTATTGTTTACAAACTTTCTGTGGAGAGCTCTGTATTTGCTAGCATACAATCCAATCAAATTCCACAATTTTGTAAAGTTCGAAATACCTTGACATGGTGAACATGTAATATTCTGTGTTAACCAATAGGTATCATTGTGGACAAAAAATGTCAAGTGCCAGAAGCCAATGAAATATTTTGATAAATCAGTTAGCAAATTTGTATTTGTTTTGAAAGCGAGGAAAATTAACAATAGATTTTTCCTGTTTCTTACTCTACCCTTATAAATGACAATGACTGTCACCAGATGCTAAGGAAATTTGTATGGAAGAAAGCACAGATGAACTCCTGCACACTTACTCTCACTGTCTTATCTACACCACCAGTGGCTAATCTTATAATACTGTGATTACCACCTTGAAAATCTACACTATATATAGGCTCTCTTTCATGCCAAGATATTTCTGGTGTTATAACCTTCATTTTTCTGTAAAAAAAAAAGGAAAGACTGCTTTTATTGCATAAGCACAGTAGGCTACATACAGAATACACAATATGTATATGACACAAAAGGCAATCAATTTTATTGCATTTGTTATCATCACTACTCGTAATCTAAAGCCACATTGACACTTGATGATCTTAATAATAATAACAACCAAAAATATCCTAGACTAGATCTTACAGATCTAATGAGATTGTTTATCATTTCTATCAACGCAAAGTCATATTAAGACTAACACAGTACTATGCAGTTCATTATTAACAGCTGATTCAATTCTTATAGAAGTAATCAAAGAGAAATATATATACATGTAGATTTGTAATGGTTTCTTCTTTCTCTCTTTACCGCAAAAATGTAAACACTAATTTCCCGCCATATGAGGTCAAGGTCATGAAACCGATATTTCTGAAACGAAAATAATTTAGAATTAAAAGATAAAAAACAAACCAAACCAAACCAAAAAACTATGAGTGTGTAAAGTGGTGAGTAAAACTGTCAAAATTATACAATTATATCAATTCTAAGATAATCTGGATTGTTTTTCAATTTATATTTGTTGAAATTTCGTTTTGTTTTGTAAAGTCTTGAATTTAACTCTCTGATATTGGAGGTCAAAATAGTGTTGATCTTGTAAACATTGAAACTTAAACACTGCTGGTACTAAGAAAAAATGTCCAGTTTACTTAATTTGTTTGGCACAAGATGCATGTATACATCTAGAAAATACTCTCTTTTGACACTTCATCAGGTTTTCCGTCCGAAAATACAGAATTTTTACAATGTCAGAGGACTAAATCAGAATTTGAAAGGCACAAGAAATAAACGTGTGGAATTACGTCTGCTCAATTTTATGAATGGGAGGAAAACGAATGCATATTATGGCTTAATAACCTCTTCAGTTAGACATATGTCTAACAAAAAATCAAAAAACTCACCTGACATCCTTGTTTTTTCTATAGTGGGATCATTTATATTAGGAGCAGTCCTTTTAGTTATGGTCATTGCAAGATATTATAACAGGTATGCAATGAGTATGCTTGGTGTTCAAAGATTAAATGAACCTTTGTTGGGAAGAAGATCATCTATTTATAAATACAGAGGATATATCTATCCAGAATTTATTGCCAATAAAACTCACCAGATACATTTCTTTAAAACACGTGAAGATGATGTTTGGATAGTTTCCCATCCGAAAGCTGGTAAGCATAAACAATTTTAGAAAGTACCGGTATTGGTACTTAGGGGGGGCCATGTGATACCGTATGAAAAGTAGACCTATGATTTTGGTGGCTTTTATAGTATGATTGTTATTTGTTAATTATTTATTAGATTGTCAGTTTACCACAAGATATTAAACTTAATTTAGCTGATAAGCTCAACATTTTCATTAGTTTAATAACATTTTCTAAGTCATTTGGGTTCAATATATCTTACAAACTTACTATATGATAATTATGAAAAATTTTAAATTTTAAGATATTCCTAAGACAAATTATTCCTTAGTTTGAGAAGTTGGACACTGGTACTGGTACTCAGAATTTAGAAAATTATGAATGAAACAATTTGGTTCTTATTTCTCTTCTTTCAGGAACTACTTGGATGGAGGAAATAGTTTATTTAATTACATCAGATTTAGATTTTAAAACAGCAGGAGAAAAGACTCTGGAAGATAGAATACCATATTTTGAATTTGAATACCCAGGGTTGCAACATATTAAAAATATGCCTTCAAAACGAATCATTAAATCTCATCTTCCTATGTCTTTTTTACCAAATGATATTAAAAAGACAAAGCCAAAGGTAAGGAATGAGTTTTTGTATTTTGATGTCTTATATGGTAATTTTTTCTCAATTACTGTTTTCCTTAAAAATGTTAAATTTTGAAACTTTTAGCTTGAGTTAGATGAATATATTTTTAAGTTTCAGATTTTGCAAAGCTAATAACCTTATGTTAAATATTGTTGTCACAAATTTTATTTTGTAGATTGTGTATGTAGCTCGTAATCCAAAAGATACTGTAGTTTCTTATTACCATTTCCATAAAATGTTAAAAGTCATCACCTATTCTGGTACAATAGATGATTTTGTAGATAGTTTTATAGATGGGAAATGTAAGTTACTTTAGTTCCTGGTTCATTTCATTTTAACAAGTGGCAATTCTGTTGGTGCTTTTATAAATAAAAACATGCTATCAATGTTTTTCCCATAAAAAAAGACGACCTATCCTGGTCCCTGGAATATTTTGGTGGTACAAATATATCCTTTGCGGATGCTCATCATAAAATTTTTTAAGTGTGACATTTTGTTTTTGATTTTAGGTATTTATTCTCCATGGTGGAATCATGTATTAGAAGCATGGAAACAAAAAGATAATGAAAATGTTTTCTTTGTGAAATATGAAGATATGAAAAAGGTATCTATAACAATATTTTTTCATTATATTGGGGGTATCTGAAGGTTGTAAGTCTATAAAATAAAATACCAATGCTGTCGCTGTACTAAATTCTTTTTTTTTATCAAGTCTTACTGTTTTTAAACAGGAGGCTCTTGGAAAGATAACTCCTTAAAAAAAACTTACCGTGGAAACGAAGCCCACAATTTGGATGGTATGCTGTGAACATTATTAGTGATTAGTTCGAAGGGACAATTTCTGTTTTTGAAACTAAAGTACGATTTACTCCTGAATTAGCGAATCTGCCCCATTGGCAGCATGAGATGAGCTGTTAAATTCTTGAAAATTGATGTTTTTGAATTGTCTTTGTAGGACATTAAGTCAGTCATCAGGGAAGTGAGTAAGTTTTTAGGTAAATCATTAAGTGAGAAAGAAATTGATCAAATAGCAGAATACACCCAGTTTGATAAAATGAAGAACAATCCGATGTCAAATTATTCTTGGTGGAAAGAATCTGGTTTTAAAGATGGTCAGACTGATTTTTTACGCAAAGGTAAGTTTTTAAAATTGTCAAAGTGCAGGTATACACCAATTCACTTGTTATACTTTGACATTGACATTGACAGATTGTTTTTTAATGAGTTATATCAAATCCAAGATTCTAATGCAAGGATTTCTCCCTCTATTGAATATAAAGACAAAAATTAACTTCACAATATTGATAAAACTTCATATATTATATAACTGTATCCCATCTACACTATATCAAGCTATTACGAACTTTGTCTTATACCTTGACTTCAATGTTAATGTAATGCAGTGATTTGATTGTACGGTAGCGAATACAGTCAATCACAGTCCCTGAAAGAAAGTCTGTAAACTTTTCAGTCTGTCTCTATCTATGGTTAATAAAAATGAAATAATTTCTAAATGTCTATGTACGACATTCATTTTAAGAGGCCGTTTAATCTTTCACTTTCATTTCAAAACAATACTGCATTCCAGGTATTGTAGGGGATTGGAAGAATGAATTACAACAAGTTCATGTTCATGCTATAGATAAAATGGTAAATGAAAAGTTAGCAGGATCTGGTTTAGTCTTTGAAGATAGTATATAGCAATTTACATAGTTTTTAAGATACTATAGAAAACAAATGATAGTAGTTTTATTTCAAGGAACATGATCAAATTGCAAATCTGGCTAATCATTACATGTTTCTTATGGCACTACTTCATTTGCAATCCAAGATCGAACAGAATTCTATTTTGATACCCCCCCGGTCCATCAGTTCACATTTTGCTTGTGCTCTCTCTCAATTCTGTACAGATTCTTTTGATTTTTATTTTGTGGGTCAATGTCATTGCGAAGATGATCCCTATCAATTTTTGTGATGATCTGATAATTTTTCACAGAAATATCGTGTCCAATCATTTCCCTCTATTAGCTATATTGTGCATCTCGTGCTTACTCTACAGGCTAGAATTCTTTACAGATTCTTTTGCTTTTTATTTTGTGGGTCACCCGGTCAATGTCATTGTGAAGATGATCTTTATCGATTTTCCAGGATGATCTGATAATTTTCAGCGAAATATCGCGTCTGACTTGACGTTTTTCTCTATTAGCTATATTGTGTGACTCGCGCACACTCAACATGGAACAATTCTTTATGGATTCATTTGATTTTTATTTTGTGGGTCAATGTCATTATGAAGATGATCCCTATCGATTTCAGGATGATCTGATAATTTTTCACTAAAACGTTGTTTCCACTTGGTGTATTCACTCTATTACTCATATTTGCTCACTCTGTATGCAGCAATTCTTTATGGATTCTTAATATTTTTATATGCCCACACGTAGTATGGAAACATACTGTCATCCGTCCGTCTGTTCACACTTGGTTTGTGCTCACTCTACAGGCTACTAACAGTGCTTTGATTTGTACTTGCAATCAAAGCTGCTGGATGGCGTATGTCACCTATCTTTTTACCTGGTTTACCCCTTGCCAGAGGTTTCATGTGTTACAGAGCACAGGCTGGTATAACCAATAACTAACACTTTCCACCAACATCTAGCATGGTACTTTTCTCAAATTTTCTCTTGAGTAATTGTTGTTCATTATTTTTCGTAGTTTCGTATGTTATATACTTATGCGGATTGGAACCAACACGAATGGGGTACAACAATACAACAATTAAAAGTTGAAAAAATGCGTGACCTTTATTAATGAATAAATTGATAAATGCAAATGATAAACAATGAAAAAAGAAAAGATGGACGGAATGATCGAGAAGCGCTTGTTGGACATAATTCTTCTTTCTCATCTGTAACAAATTCTATTCTACCATCCAAACCTTGAATAATGGGCGAATATTTCTTGAGGTAGTCATTAAACACAGCGTTGTCAACGTCACCTGAAAACAAAATCAAAATATTTTTGGTAAAACTTTGTTTAATAAGGCATCATAGGATTTATCAGCAAGCTTTAATAAGAGAGGGTAAAATGGGACATAATCCATTCGGCTCTAAGTGAGTTACCTCCTACTCAAATTTTGACAGTGAAATGTGAACATTAAAATTGATGAGCAAAAAAAAAATCCCGTTTCTGAGACTAAAGGCTGGCGATCCTGTCCTTTTCAGAAGCAGACCATAATCTTAACGATCATGCCTTCACTGTCCATAATGATAACCTTACAAAGATAAGCAGTTGTTTCTTCCATGGGTGATATGTCGTCATCAAGGCTTTCGTTGTCATGTAGACGAAATGGGTGGGCCTCGACCTTTACTTGAATCTTGAAATAATAATACAAGTATGTGGAAACAAACCTTTATCCAAGTAATTGATCCCTTTGTTTTTGATCATTTCATAACCATCTCCCCCACCAGCTATGTAGTCGCCAAGTATCACTCTGTAGTATTTATTTAAATCCAATTCTTCAAACGTCGGTATTCTACATTCTGTACACAACACTTTGACATCAACAACCCTGTTACCAGCAGATTTATATAGGTTATATTTTACTCTTAATCCTAAAATATATAAATTATATATAGAAAATGTGTTAAATTATACTCTTAATCTTAAAACCTTAAGAATATAATTTAGATTATTTAGCCAAGGCAAAAGGCAGTTAGCAATATGGGGCAGTGTGCCCGGGAGGAGGAATTTCACATTTTAGTTGGCAATAATGTATGGACAATTGTCAAATTATTGATTAGGCATCAGTTTATTGACTACTTTGCGATATCAGTCCACTGGAAGCGAAAGTTCACTTGTCATCTACCAACCAACCAGTTCATTGCCTCTTTGAACGACTTAGAAAGTTTACATAACTTACCCGAGAACTGCAGAAACCGTCCTTTCAAATCATCACTTTTATCTGGACTTAGAGAACCAACAGAATGTTCTAATACTTCCACAAGAACGTCGCCTTTTAAATCTATTAAACTGATAGTGTTTCTAAATGGTAAAGTTGTTAAAACATCTTCAACTGTGATGATACCTGAAAGGATATAATTTAGTAATTGGCGGTGATTTGACACGTTTGAGTTCTGAACAGGACATATTAGTTCCAATTCTGGCCTCAATCGAATATGTCATATTCATAATATATACCCCTTTGTTCCTTTCTCCGTCAATTTGAATTCTGTCTACCCTATAATATACTTTTTTCGGTTCACGTGGAACGCATTCTGATCCCGGTTCCAACTTATTTTAGTGTACTTCCGGTTGGTTCTATGAAGACTGACTGTATCCTTTCTGGTCTGTACAGACGTATGATTCATTTTCAACCATAGTTATGTTACCAATTCAGTATTGTTTTTTGGAGTATATTGTAACTCGTATACTGTCCTCTAATTATACTACTACATAGTCTACCTTGATCAATTGGTGCTCTTATTCCACCACTATTCAATAATACTATAGATACATTATTCCATTTGTTTGCTACTTTATTATTCAAATTATATCTCAACATGCCATCAACTATAGCATTGCCTGAAAAACGATAACAAATTTAACATGCAATACATTTCACTTGACCATTCTGATATCCATGTTCAACGTCTGTGTGTTGGTGAAACTATATTTGATTTGAGTTCCATTTCATTCATTTCTGTCCAGTCTATCGATCCGCTATGTGATAAGTTGTAAATATCTTTACTAAAGATGCAAATTGACAAACTTCATCTTAACAATGTCAGGCTTTTACGAACTTCGTCTTATACCGACTGCAAAACCCACGACATTATGACTTTAGACCTAATGGCTACTGGTTTACAGAATTTCTGTTGATACAAATACAATACAAATCGCTGCAACAAACTTCCACGATGCAAGTTCGTTATAGCGCGACATTGTGAAGATGGACAAACCCTTACCCAGATTACATTCAGCTCTTCGACAAACCAGGGAATCGCCTTCCAAAAAAACTCGAGTTTCACCAATTTCAGTTTTCTTAAAACCATCAACCTCCTCTCTCCAGGGTTTTAGTTCGTTTAAAACTGTAGCATCTAAAAAAAAAATAAACAATGTCAAAAATACTCAAGTTAAAAAGAACATATTATAACATCAATTCTGTTACACATGAGTGTGACCTTTTGTGCAATCAAAATCTTCTGAGAATCTCAATGGTCGCCAACACAGAAAGCAGTTCTTGATCATTCGGTTCTAACCCAACACTCCCATGTGCCGTACCTTCCATTAAATTTACGCTGTGTAGGAAAGTCAAAGTAGCTCAGAAAAACATAAACAATTAGCAAAAACCCTGGACACGTGTCCAAATCATGGCATCATCTAAAATTGGTTTGTACCACCTTCCAACGACTCTAGCAACTTTAATGCCTTTTACTTTTTTTGCAAACCGCCCCAGTAAACAACATTGTCTGTTGGATGTTGTAAAACGATCGCTACCAAGGCTCCAGTTCCTTTTAGATTTTTAACTCGACAAATGGGAGTAGCTCATAAAGAAAAATATGATCTCGCATAGGGTTCCCTTTTTACCAGTATATTACTTTTGAGATGTATCACTATCATAACCCGTCAGCAAATGAACAAGATAGAAACTAGACTTTCAGGTTCTGACAATATGTTCACGTCGTGGTCTTTATTGTAACCATGATAATCAAAGCTGGTCACAGTTTCATGAAGTTGGATGAGCTAATTTTTTGTTATGACCGAGTTAAAGTTATATGACCTTTTTTTGTTAAGATACTGCTGGGCGGCTTTTAATCATATGAGAAAATAGTTGTTGAACAGGCTGTATTGACGGATTGAAGTAGTTGAAACTTAAAGATGGGTTATGAAAATGATTAGTATTGATATTTGATTAGTTGTTGTTTCTAATGAATTATCATGTATTCTTATTCATATCATTATGTTCTTATTGCATATAATTAAGAGTTTTAACGAATGATGTCCATGTATATACAGTCTGGATAAACAAAAAAAAAATACTTTTTGACCTTTCTTGATCGGTCACTCATTGGAATTCTGCTGGTAATTCTCTTCTAATTTAGCTAATTATGAATTAATTATGGACATATGAGACAAACTGGTATTTTTCCAAGTCATTAAAACACCTCTACTTTCTATTCATATAAGTATTAGCATTTTCATTTTCATAAATGAAAATAAGGGAACCCATCTTTAATTATATGCAATAAGAACATAATGATATGATGAAGAATACATGATAATTCACTAGAAACAAAAATTAATCAAATTGTTTGCAACTATAAAATAAGGAAAACCATCTTTAAGAACGTAACTAACAATAATGACATTATCTACCTGTACTGGATATAGAGGGTGTATCAACAGTGGTATAACCTATTACCGCCACTTTTTCCCCACCAACGTCTAGTATGGTACTCTTCTTAAATTTTCCTTCTATCATTGATTCTTTAGACGCGTCAATATTGCTGCTGAGAACATTGAAGTTTGTTTTTTCAAGAAAAGGTATCAATCCACTTACTTTGTTATCGAATTCGTGATTACCAATTGCCTGCAATTATAAAATATTCACATGCAAGGTATTTTATAGATAAATATAGTTTAGTGTCAAGTATTGTATAAAATATAGGTTCCTGTCAAGTATTGTATAAACTATAGTTTGCTGCCAAGTATTGTATAAACTATAGTTTGCTGCCAAGTATTGTATAAAATATAGGTTCCTGTCAAGTATTGTATAGAATATAGTTTGCTGCCAAGTATTGTATAAAATATCGTGTACTGTCCAGCCTTGTATAAAATATAGCTTGCTGTCAAGACTTGTATAAAATATAGTTTACTGCCAGTACAAGTATTGTATAAAATATAGTTCGCTGTCAAGTATGGTATAAAATATAGTTTGCTGTCAAGTATTGTATAAAATATAGTTCGCTGTCAAGTCTTATATAATGTATAGCTTGCTGCCTAATTTTTTAATTATTCGCCGCTTAGTTTTGTATAAATTAGTTTGCAGAGTTTCCTCAACATGGTTGGTTGAGTAAATAGTCAAGGGAGCGATAATCCAAAAAGAATATTTACCATTGCATCATAACCTAAGAGATTCATAAAGTAAGCTGTAACATTTCCACCATATTTATAAAACCATGTTGTACCTTGGAACTGGTCACCACCATCTAATACTATACTATTAGGATATTTCATTTTTATATCTTTTACTTTTCCTATTAATCTGGCGTAACCCCCGTAACATTTTTCTGCTAGCTGATTTTGTTCTGAACACGCTGAACTATATTTATTTGTTTGTTCGAAACGAGCATGTACATCATTTGTATGTAATATTGTCAGATTTAGACTAGCAAAAACACAGCTCATACATAGAGTCGTTATAATGTATGTGAAGAACATTTTTTACGATCTAAAAAAAAAACAAAAAGATGATATTTAGGGAATTTGTATAGGTTCAATAAATATATATATACGATAAATAGTAACTGCAGTTTGAGTTAACAACTGCGGTCATATACCAGGCAAGTTACGTTTGTATTAATAGGGCATTATCCTGCTAAGGTTGCGCCAATTTTTTTAGGGGGGGGGGGGGGGTGATTTGAGTCGAGAATATATGTAAATATGTCTTCAGAAGTACTAGAAATGTACGAAAATCGCATGATTCCTTCAAAAATATCTCAAACTAGGAATTTGTTTTCCTATGTCTGTCAAAATCCTGTTTCTGAGACTAAGGTATGACTGGACAAAAAAGGTGCATCTGTCCCTTTTAAAACGGATATTACAGATAATATCACACTCCAAAAATTTTAACTTTTCGATTTTATTTAGGTTTGTGTTGGGTCCTTATTGGTTGAATATAGAAAAAGAGGTGGGTCAAAAGGATATCAATACAATAACAATACGTGACTAGAGTTAGATATTTCAATAAATATTCATATAATACCACACCTTTTTATTGTACCTTTCTATAAGCAGCACTACTCTTTACGGTGTTGTCCTTCAAAATAAAACATTAAGTAGACGATGACAAAAAGCCTTCTCTATTTACTTACAAGGGATACAGTAGTCTGAGTATTTGCCTTACCGGCTAACATAGCTATCTCAATCTCAAGCTATCACAAATAATGACAACAATATTTCCAAGTTGCCATTCTTTTAATTCGGAAAACAGAAGAGTGGGCACACTGATTTGGTCACAGGTAATTTGTTTCAACGGAGCTTTGATCACAGTAAATTGGTCACAAGGAAAACTAATCAAAGTAAACTGGTCACAAGGCAAATTGGTCAAGGTCACAATTGGTCACAATAATTTTAGCACAGACTAAATTGGTCGCAATAATATTAGCACAAGATAAATTGGTCACAATAATATTAGCACAAGATAAATTGGTCACAATAATATTAGCACAATGTACATTGGTCACAATAATATAAGCACAATGTAAATTGGTCACAATAATAATGTCATATCGTAATTCGGACACAAGGTAAATTGGTCTCCTGACATAAGCAAACACTGATGCATGCAAACTATAGTCATAAGTGTAAATTAAATTTATTTCACATGTACATTAAATGCTTTGGTAACACAAACCTAAAACGTGAGCCTATTATATTTTCTGTTTGCTTTATTTAAAATGTATATGTGAAAATATTGTCCTGCACACAATAGCTCATAGCTACCGATTTGTTAATTATATTTGCTTAAGAAACCCACGATGAATAATCAATATATCAAATGACGTGCGAATGGAGAACATAATCTACCTAAGAATATCACAATTTGAATATAGAGTCAAAAAAGAATGCTTGCGAGGCAAGGTAAACATACGCTCACGCATCAGCATTTATTTTTAAATTCATACAAGAACAATCGGGATGTCTAAGATGTTTATTTAGTCTAGTCGGTTGCAATAACTTTGAAAATGATTGTAACAAAAGTAATCAGGCTGAAGAACAGATATTGTGCATTTAAACATAGTTAAGGGCAATAACTCACGTTCACATCAAGTTCACGCTATTCCATTATCTTATCTATCTCAATGATTACATCGATTCTGTAGTGTTTTTAATTGTTTTAACTTTTTAAGGGCCACAACTCCAAATCCATTCTCCGAAAAATCGTCAAATTCGAACGAACTCGAGAAAGATCGTAGGCCTATGTGATTGATCAAAATAAATTTCCTTAAAGATAACAGTTTGAAGAGTTTTAATTTAGTCAAGAGTTCATCAAAAATTCGTCAAATTCGAAATTGTCGAAGATCTCATCATTCTCAATGATAACAAGTTTCTGTCAAATCAGATGAAAACTCTATAGTCTCTCTAACAATTATTGTTTTGAGTTTGGTATATATATGCAGTGCTACTCTTTCATGGCGTTTCAATTCACCTTTTTAAAAAAAGTTTAATTAGTTCGTTAAAAATATTGACAATATGAAATTGATTGCGATGACATCAATAGTAGGCCCCCTATGTCGATTTTTTGCTTAACAAAATTTTATATGTAGATGAACCAGGCAACTACATTTTGAAAGTAAAGCAACTTCAATAGTAAATCTTTAAGCTACTATATCCGTTTGATCATCCTTTTACGTTATCAAATAAAATGTTAAAATACGTACCGTAGGCTATGCCTATAATATGATGTAAACAATTATTTATGTATATGTACAATATAACTTTTGATACAAAACTAGAACTTCACAACTACCTTGACAAATAGATTTAATTTTAAACTAAAATTTATTATTTAGTACTATGAAGACACTTACTTGATGTCCTTGACTAGGTTTAACGTGCACCATCAAACGTTTTAATGTGGTACACCCAGGCTGGAAGTATGTCACACGGATATTTTAAAAGAAAATGTCATGCGTAGATGTGAATCAAACTATTATTTCTTAATAATACTCGTCATCAAAATTCAGTATGCTTTAGTAGACCTATTTATATCCTAAGTCTATACACATTTGAACTGTAACAATGAAAAGTGGACGGACACTGGTGTAAGGGTTGACCTTTTAAACTAAGTACGCTGATGGGAAAATTGTATCCTATAAAATGAATTGTTTGAGTGTATACCGTATAACTGACACGGGATATTAAAGGTATACTACCTCTTAGGATCAAATGAGTCTTTGTTCATCAATGGTTTTACCTAGTGTCATAGACATACAACAGAATCCCTCTATAAGTATAATCCAATAAATGCATAAAACTAAGTAATAATCCATTAAACTAAGTAATTGTAAAACACTCTTAGAAGCGCTTTTTCAATAATTATTTAGTTATATGGATATCTTGTATTACATAGAGACTCTATTCTTTAGTTATGGCACCTGGTAAGTCTAACTGGTGAACATATACACGTGTTTGAGTTTAAATTGTAGGACCTATGTCCATTCTAACAGGCAGTATGCATTTAAGTATAGCATACATCCCTATATCTTATCATGCAGTTTATTAATTTGTGCAACAGTTGGTGTGTTTATTTGTTCAATACCCGGGCATAAAATTTATAACCTGAATATAATATTGTTTGCCCAGAAACTTAACATACAATTTGTGTAGTTTTATATCACCGATATAACCAATTTACCTCCTAATTTGAGATGTGTCACATGACAACTGGTAACTCGGTTCCACTAGAGAGCCGCAATGGCTCAGAGAGTTAGACCTTTGCTCGATAACCTGAAGGTCCAGGTTTTAACCCTGGCATAGATCGAGTTAATACCACTTTCAGTAATGAAGATAGGCGCTGACAGGGAGAAAGCGTCTAGTCATTCGGATGCTAATCCGATGCCCCTTAGGCTGCTATAGACTGTGCACGTAAAAGATCCTTCGACAGTTGGGAAATCGGAAAGAGTATATGCCAACGCCGCTGTCGTGACAAAATTTCAAACTGCATGGCGTTTCCCGTCTTCAATTAATATGTGCATAAAGGACGTAAAACTCCATTCATTTCATTTCTATTCTCTTAGTAAAGAGAAATAACCGTGCATAACTTATTTCACTAATTATAATCCAACAAAGAAATCTTTCCTCATCCGGGTCCGATTCAAAACATAAACACGAATTTATAGGTAGAATAATAGTAAAAAAACCTATGAAGACTAATTGATTTCCACTAAAACTAACTAAAAATAAAATGGACTGCTTTGTTTCAAATCAGACCCGGATGAGCAGAAATATCTTCTTTGACTATTACATAAGGAGATAAGACAACCTTTGTTCCACTTTGTTATGAAAAAAAATCTTAAACAAATATCCAACTAATCATTTAAATATAATTGTTCATAATAATCTTATCAAATTTTAGATTCACTTGAAATGACTGCCCCGTTTATTTGGTAATTAATCGGCTATAGGGCAAAGTTTCTAGATTTAGAGATCAAAATTAACTCTATACCAATTTGTACGATATGTGTAGATTGAAATCCAACAAGCAAGCAGTACTGTTTTCTGCGAACAGATTATTGAATTGGGTCAAATACATTACAATTAAATTGATGTTTCGATTTTCAATTACTACGGTTCGAAAGTCGAATGAGGCAAGGCGAAATTAATTTGATAAACATGTTTCTCACTACTTATCTTTCTAACAGGAAGACCAACCTTTATGTCATGCCCAGACACACTGAAAAACTATTCGTCCTTTCTGTTTGTTTATCCTAAATTTGTAATGGTAAAAAGCAAACAGGGTCTATACCGGATACTAAATTGACGAATAACTGGTTAAATACCACTCATTTAAATGGTAGTAAATACCACTCATCTGAATTTTAGTAAATACCACTTATCATAATCTGATACCGTACACATCTGAGTCCGCCTGAAATGTCATTGTCAGTGTATGGTATATTTTCGTCCAGCGCTAACTTCGTGCATCTTTGAAGGTTGATATCCACTCAACTGAAACACAAAGAATGTTTCTCGTCTGAATCGCAATGAATATCGACCAAAAGTGTAAGCCTTCCGAATTTCACCTTTTTCACTTCACCAATTTTAGAAATTCCATTTACTGTTTTGCTTTTAGTGCCATAGCTAATTCATAGTGAGACATATGAGGATTTCTGTTGTGAGAAGAATCAGATCCACCATCAGAATCGTTATGTTTGTCGACCGGAAGTGCCAATTTACCAGTTTTTCCTCTTCGTATAGTATCGCTATTTTCATAAATACTTTCATCCGGTTGACTATTGGATTCAATTGAATCATCTTTTTCAATATCCATATAGACTCCCTTTAAATGACTATAACCTGGTGGAGTGGGACAATCTCTTTCCTTTTCTCGGCTTAATCTATCATACTCTCCTGTCTTTTTGACCTTGGCAGATATTTTCTCTCGAAATTCAACATCTTTTTCTGCTGAACTGTTTTGGTCCTGTATTTTCTTCTTTCTAACTGCGCTTGCGTCAACATACTCGCTGCCTGCATTAACAACCGGAAGCTCACGACTTTTTTGTTTATCGGCTTTCTTTTTATTTCTAACATCTGATGCGTCCACATACACGGCATTTGGGAATTCGCCGTCAGCCATATTGTTCATGGTTGTCCTAACGTCCCAGGGATCCGCATAATTGATGACTGGTTCTTCAAACACAACATGTTCGTCAACCTTAATTGATTTTTTCGCTGCTTTTTTGGGACGGGGTGCTGGAGCTGGTTCAATTGTAGCGTAAGGTTCAATCAAATCAGGTTCAACACTTGCACTTGGTTTCGGTTTTGTGTTTCGTTTCCTGCAAATAAAGCAAATATTGGTATATTCTTTTCATCGTGTTAATCTGAGAATCAGGTGAAATCGATCAACTTCAGTTTTGCTAAGTAGGGTATCAAAAAATCTAAAGCAGCCATTTTTGGACATCGAAAGGCAGCACAGATTTTACTAATAATGTAAAGTGGTACTTAAAAGCAAACACTTACCTAATTGCCAAAAGAATAATCATAGTTATAATGAATGTTAACAAGGCTCCGCCCAAAAATCCACCTATCACTACCACTAATGGATACCCTGAAAAAAAAATTGGAACATGGAGGAGCATAAAATAGATGTTTATTTCGCTCAAAAAAATAATCGTCATAAGCTACATAATATACTCTCAGGAGAGAGAAGCCGGTTTGGCAGACCCAGCCGCTAGAGTCATCAGGTGTTTCAAAAGATGTCCTGCTTCATTTTTTAAGGCACGTTAGTGGAATCCGATTGATACACATGCCCATGCAATCCTGGGCCATTTAACATAAAAATGGATGACGGAAATTGGTGTGTATACTGTGAGACATCAAGATCTAAATATATACCCTACAAATTTCGTCAACAGTTCTTTACCTCTTTAAAGAAGAGGACGAGGATGTTAAAGAAGATTCGCAAGCTATTTGTATCCAATCGTATTCCATATCCACAATGTTACAGTCTAGACGAGGCAATGCAGTCGACAGAAGATTTGTCTAATAACTTTAAACTCACCAAGATCTTCAGCAGCAGAATCATCTGTTGGAGGCTGAACTTGTTGATTACCATTTGGTGAAAGAGGAGAGACAGTGATACCCGTTCCTTCTGTAAGATTGAAAACATTTGATGTTGAAGGAGTACTTAATATCATAGATAAAAGCCAATATACTGAATAAATATACAATATTAAAGAAGTAGACGCTCCGAAAACATGTCAAGTTAACAAATCAGGATTATCAAATCTAATTACTCACCAAACCCATTCTTCCATCCATGAAGTCCACAACTGACTCTTATTTCATCGTCCAAAGAAGCTGAAATGAAAATTTGAACAATCTATCTTAACGGTCTTCTGAAGTTGTATTCGCCAGCACCAATTCAATTAAATGGCAGAAATTACAAAATTTCGTCAAAGTATAAGACGGAGTATAAGACGGCGACATTATCAAGTTTGACTCACCTTCAAATCCCAGCCACACATATTCCGGAGTTTCGTCGTGGAGCACTAACTGTGCTAAAGCTACTGTAGTTGAATTTAGGACAGATACAAATGGATACGGAAATCCTGGATCGTGCACACTTTTACAGTTGATGTCTTTAATGGTCTTTCCGGCAGATATGGAGACCATAGAATCCGAACACTGGGTAGATTCTAATTGATTTAACCTAATATCTACGACAAAGACTGAGATAGGATTTTCTATTGGCCAGGTTGTAGAATGAGCTACACATGTGCACACTCGACTGCTGCTTCGGGTCTGTGCAGATTTGGCGTCGAACACAGCAAATACAGTTCTTCCCGATACAGTGATAGTCTGTTCACTACAGAAATCAGCAGTAAACGTGTCTGAAAAATACAGAAACATTATATTATGTTATATATGTCACCAATTCCACATTTGAAAAATTTACTAAATATCTCCCCGAGACTGGTAAAAGTAAGAACGTTTCGAACTGATTGAATATAAGTCTTTTAGTCCTATGGATTCATTAAGACGTGTGTTTGAAGTGTTTAAACAGAGGGAACATAAAGCGACTGTCATTTAACAGAAAATGCTTTGGAAATCTTAACAATAAGTGTATCAAAATCCTAATTCAAACATAAGAAAACAAAATAGACAACATTCAGCACCCCAAATAAAATTATCCCATGTCCACCAATCTAATGGTACTTTCTTACCATTGATACAGACATAATCTAAGATTGTGTACGTTGTATTAGGTTGTGGTGTAGAACTTCCTGTATTACAAACTTTAGCCAAGTCTTGATTACCAACAATATCAACTTCACACTGAAATCATATCACAATCACACATTATAGAGCACATTGATATAATAGTCCGAGAATCAGCATAGCGTGTAAGAAAGGTTTGACACATGGATTGAATACCTCAGTCGATATGAATGCCTGAACGGGCATTCTTCAGTACTGCAACTGTGGTATAAATCTTTTTGTGGATTTGTAAAAGGAATCTGAACGCTAATTCATCAGCTGACGAATTTGTTAAAATATTAATGTGTTCCATACCACCTATGTCGTTACACATCGGGCTAGACGAAAGCAACAGATTAATATAGGGTAAAGTCTTAGAATGGCATACGAGTATAAATAATATGGAGTACGATATAATATACATGTCGAAACGTTAAATTAAACATTAACCAGTGATTGTTGTTCCATAAAGCTGTGTCTATATATAGATTAATAGGATGTCTGATTTTCTTATTGACACTTCTTATCTGTAATTATTTTATTCGAGTCTACTTTACCTTTTCTTTTCCAGAGCACCCCTTATGTAGAGGTTCGAGTCTTTCTACAGGATAAGGTAAGATGCAATCTGTACTCGGTGTCTTTTCACAACATATATCACTTTGTATTCGGTCACAATTGGTGGTAGCTGGACATGTTGGACCATTAGGATGTACACCAAATAAAGCTTCTCTGATGGCTATACCATGTTCTGGTGGGCACGTCAAACTTACTTTAGCACAAGGTCCATTACAAACGCTGACTGTTTTCTCCAAAATAAAACCATCAGAACCTAAAGCGGACAAAATATGAGTACTAGAATCGTTTATAGCTTATGTGATAGAAATTAAGCAGCTTATTGCTTTGCAAATGAATTCAATTCTTTAAGGTTAAAGTCGAGTTGATATCCCATTGATGGATGCTTTTATAGTTCCTATTGATTCCAATGTAGGCCCTATGACGGAGTTCGTAAGTACATTGTGAAAATTCAGCTGATATAACTATGGATAAGAAAGTTTTCTGAAATAACTTGTGATGGGGTTTCTTAACAATGAATTATCTTAATGTAAAACCATATAAACCATTTCACAATCAGCCCTTAATTTGAACGTAGCAAAAACGGCGGGAAATAACTACCGTACGTTATAGCCCTAAATATATAATCTATCGATTTCTGTACTTTATCTGGAATTTATAAACTATGTATAACAAACCTTGAATAACAGAAAGAAGGCATATAAACAAACTCAGTCCCAAAATATCCAATTTCCATATAAATTTCAATAAATCGACGTCCATGTTCACAGTGTTAATAGATCACACCCTCATTAATGATGTCAAAATTGAATTAAAACTTTACTAATTGATTTCAACGATTTCGTGGTTCAATTCACACCAACCCATCGAACACTGCTGCAGGGGAATCGAGTTTTTAAAGTAGGTATATGATCGAATTCAGGAAGTTGTCGACCACATCACATAACTGTCCATAAGTCATTGTGTATAAGTTCGAAAATCAACCATTCTATTACAACTGGTAACGAGACAAATGATTCAATGTGACGGATTGGAAAGTAAGACAAAATTAGATAAATATTTGGATCATCTTTTGAACGATGGTAGAATCATATCCGAAGTAGTGGGACATCATATTTCGACTTAATAGCAGTCTGAAAAGTGGTAGAATGGACAGGCTTCAAAAGTCAATTTACTCCAGTCCATTAGTCGCTAGTTTTTGAGAATTAAATCCATGACAAAGATCGTAACCTTCGGTGTATTACATTCAAAGCTGAACCACTAATGAGTCTACTAGACGATGCTCGAGGGCGTATCTAGAAAATGCCTGAAACGGGGGAGGGGGGTGTAGAGGGGGTCAATAATGATTCATGGAGCGTTCACCGACTTTCTCAGGCCTGAGCTCCAATGGCCCACACTCTAAATACGTCACTACGTGGAATCACAATACAGTATATACACTTCGGACCAGGGATAAACTGTGTATAAGTATGAGGTAATATACATCTATGCCACGGGCTTTCAAAAAGACTAGTATATTGATAGGATGTAATTAATCATTTTAAATTGACAGTTATCATCACATAACTTGTAAGGTACATTACATTATATACATGTGGTCTACGATATATTGATTAAGGTCGCAAATTAGTGACCGTATGCAAAATGTATCACAAATGGCCAGAGATCCCTCAGTGAAAGAATTCCAACCCGTCACTGTACAAGATGAATACATGTACAGTGGCATAGAAGGGATTTCAATATTGTATTGACAAGGAAGGGGGGCACTAGTCATGGTGGGTGTTCGGATCGGAAATTTTTTTAAAAACTCTCGCTGAAGGAAAATCATATTTTTAATTAATTCAATAAATATACTGCTAAGTAACATTGCACATTGTATTTAAGGATTTGAAATGTGCTTCTGCCACACCATCCATTCTGAGTTTGACTTTTTGACTGTAAGCAGTTATCTAAAATGATTTGGTACATGGAGGACCCTGTCTGATTAACTGAGCGACTTACAAAATGAGTACTGGTAATTTTTAATTTTACACATAAATACATTAATTATAATATCAGCTTATTTACAAATGTAGTTATACTTAACAGATCAACAAATACATCTGTGATCAAAAGCTTTTTTCCTTATGGTGTATTTTTTGCCATCACGCATAATTTTGATTTCAGTAAATGCAGAAAAGAGGCTGGCTATGGTTTAGCCCCCCACTTTCACATTTTTCATCAGTTTACATAGTGAAAGAATGACCTGTGGCACCCCCTGGAAAATTTGGTGGCCCATACTTGGCCCCCTGACTTGACTTTTCTTACAAACGCCACTGAGTAAATGATCTCCTAAATTTACCTTTTTTGTCTCCATATTATGTTTTTCTTTGCATATTCAAATCTATAACATTAACAATGAGCCAATGGAAATCAAAGTAAGAAATATACATATATACCAGGTAGTCCTTTAGCCACACAAATCAATTTTAAAGCTGTAGGTCATACTTCGAAATCATTATGCCAAATTGTACTAATTCAAACTGGTCAGTTGATATACATACACATAGTCTTATTAAAATCAAAGTTTTGAAAAAAGACAAAAAAATAAAAAAAACACACACACATAATATTTGAAGGATGTAGTCATTAATCATCTAAGTATTTGTTTCACAAAGCTTGGTATACTTTGACAGGCATCCATGAAAGTATGTGTGGAAGAGTTAAATAGATATTTAGGGAAGTCGAATCAACGACAGAAATGGCTAATCCAGCCTTGAACTGATTTGAACTATTTTTTTAGCTTGTCTAGAAATAAAATAAAAATTGCATCAAATAGTAGAAATTACAAAGTATATATGTCCATGATATTAACACTATTTTCCGTAACATATATTACCACAATGCTTCTATTTAGGTTACAAACTATTTCAATTTTTTTAAACCTAATCTTGATATATAAACAGTAATACTCCTTATTGAATCAAACCATGATATTATATGTACTAATGGCTCCCCTCACAGCAACATATTTTGTTCAGATGAATCAAAGAGGAATCCCAGATGAAAAAACTACTAACTCACTGATGTCAATAAAGATCAGATCATAGATGCGCTGTCTATATCTATGTGACCTGATGCCAAATCATGACCTTTTTAAAGTCTGGATAGTCTTGGCTACAGAATTGAACTATTGTGAAGGAAAAAATCTCTTATGTTTTAAATTGGAATATTACCGCTGTCAGATCTATCTAGGAAGTCTACTATTTGCTCGATCAAATGTTAGATACTAAATAGGCATTTTCTTAAACAATTTTTTTGAACAATTTTTCATGAATAAAATATCACAGTATATAGATCCATACAAATTCTACGATTCAGACCCAGTTGTCAACAGTTTTAAAGCTTTTGATAAGTTGTCAATGGCTGTTTTAGAATCTTCATATTGAAGAGCACTACTGGCAAATTTACATAACTTCATCGCCCTTTGATATTCTGATGTACTTAAATTCACTCCAGCTGAAAAAAGGAAGAAAAAAAGTTTTTGAAAAATAGTCATTGCCGCTTTTTTTTAATGTCGAAACAAACCCCTTCATAAAATTACAAATTGTTGAGGAATACTGGTAATCTTATTCTAATTTTCATGAAGAGAAAAACACCAAAAATGATAGAATATTGGTATGGAATGGAATGGCAAAGTTTCATCAACAAGAAAACCGTTGTGTTAAGAAATATTGAAAAAAAAAACTGTCGGCTGAAATGTCTGGAAATGGTCTTTCTAACATCATCTGTCCCCAATTACAGCACTTAGCTCTAGTCACGGACTAAGGAGATATTTAGCTGGCTTATACTTTCTATAATACAAAAGACGTACCTGGATTGGGTTGTGGAGCCCATGACGTATTAACTGGTTGTTGTGGTGGTGGATTGACTGGTGTTACTGCTCTAGGTGTGTCTTGAGGAGTTGTTGGAGGTGCATAGGATCCTGTAGCAGGATTATACATACTACCATCCATAGGTCCTGGTAGATTTAAACCACCCGATCCACCAGGTTGTGGCATACTTCCTCCTCCAGAAGGTGGTGGCATACTTCCTCCTCCAGAAGGTGGTGGCATCATACCATCTTGTGCTATATGGGCTGGTGGTTGACCTACTTCTTCATCTGTAATACATATAACACTATGTTTATTGTCCAATAGTAGGCTTTCAAGCTTTCAATTGAAAAACAAATACTCATATTGCACATGAAAATAATTGTCATAATGCAAAATTATTTGGCCTAGTCACTGAGCTACCAACATCATATTGTGATGAATTACAGCTAAAGAATTGCAAACATTGTTCGTCTTTTTTAAGACAGAGAATGTAATCCCTTAACAAATAACTAAAAAATAGATGTTGAACATGCTTTGCAACCACAAAGATCAAAAACAAAGATCAAGGCTACTTACAATCACCATCTTCAGGTAAAGGACCAGGTACAGGGGTCTCTCCATTCTTCAGACATTTATGTATATAAGCTGCCTTCCATTTTGCATATTTTCTATTTTTTTCAACCTAGAAAGTTTAATCAAATTACACGATACAGGAGGTTCTTTAACTGTGAAGACGGGTATGGCAACCCAAAAATCATGGAGGAAGATGGAGGATTCTTTAGCTAATATAAAATGTTATTTTTGCTTCAATTTTTATGGGAAGGGAGACAAATATAAGTAATGTTCTGGTGTTCACCATTTTACATTGAATATGGTAAAATATATGTGAAGATCAAACAATCCTTGGAACATGAAAATGAATATAACCCCCTCTCGGAAACACAATCATGATTTTATAATAAGAAGGAATTGATACACACTGTACAAAAGGATAATTGATTCTTTTTAACAATTTTTGATATTTTAAGCAAGGGCATAATTCCATTTGCCCTACAAATGATGTTCACTACAATACTCAAAATTCAAATTTCCAGTAAGTGTGTTTTGTCCAGCCAGGTTCAATCAGAAGATCATTGCTACTGAAACAAGCACTTACCATATCAGATAATTCTCCAAAATTTGATAAGACATCAAATAACATGCCAGCTGTATAGAAAGACTTGACAACATTCCTACAATAGAATTAAATCTTTATTTACAATCTACCTCATATGCAAGTTGACTACATTAATGTCAATTAGATCCAGTCAATATCAAATCATAAATAAACTTTCAGTTTGAATTTTTTTTCTTCTCTGGTCATTCAAACTGAGAATATTGTTACACATCAAATTCTTTGTTCAATAAATAGACATGTGCACTTTTTTTTTATCTTGTAAGAATTGACATGTGCACTACTTGACATGAATTGTGTACATTTACTTGTAGGCTTGTTGTCACGAAGAGAGAGTTGGAGAACCAATTAAAATTTTTCTAAAAGGCGAATGTAGGAAGTAGCAGGAAAAAACATTTAACATCTACATTTTGATCAGATTGCTACAGTTTCAGCTCTAATTAGTAAGCTTATGCTATATTATATGCCTCTTATTACTTGTTAAATCTTCCAGCTCTATCTTCATTATCAGCATACAGAAAAACTTTTAAAGCATAGTTTTCAACATGGGCTTGTCCAACAACTTCATTGTGAATAGCTTCATTATCACTGAATTCTGTCTTTTTCTAAACAAATGAAATATTAAAATTAAGATCATTCATTAATATCAAACAATCTTTCAGACTATGGTAATCACTAGTGGATAATTGTAAAACCAAATGTGAAGAAGCAATCAAGTCAATGGTAAATAAGTAAGAAAATTTTGATCTACAGCTAACCAAGTTACAGTTGTTTGGTGTCAGTAAAGAATAAACACATTTAGTACATTCAAACCTTTTCAAGCAGCTCCATTAAAGACATGAGAAATTTCAAACAATCAGGAGATTTCCTATCAATAGCCATTCCTTTTTGCATTGCATACAACTGACCTGGAATTTAAAAAAAAGGGTTGTCTTTATATATAATAGTCCAACGTCTATCAAGTCTATTGTGTGACAGTTCATGACCTCATGACAGCCAATCAAATCATTTATGGCCAATCACCTATCATTAAATTGGCGTTCTCACAAGATATTTCGTATTTTCAAACTATTCGCAAAGTTGAGATAAATAAACATAACTTGGAATTTGCTGGGTGTTGACATGAATGGATATCTTAATATTGTCAAAAATATTTAAACTCAAGGTAACAGAGGAGTCTGAGAATGGACATCGTTATTTTTCATAATTGACTATAATATATAATTATATCAAAGTAATGTTACATACTACATATTCTTTGATATTGTATGATCAGTATTGCGCAAACGATCATACACCAGTTCGTCATCAAAAAAAAAAGGAGAAAAGAAACGAATAGGAGACTGTCTTGAAGTTGATTCTGTACTTTCAGTATAAATGAATGATTGTTATTATCATGCTTGTATCATACTTACAGTAATATGCAATCACTGCATCTCGCTGTTCATGTTCTATAGCCGTTTTTAAATAATGTTGAATAGGTTTTAACTTGGCAGGTAATGGAGGAAGTGTTGACGACGCCATTTTCACTCCAAGAATCCTTTTCTACTTTCAAAATTGAAGAGTTAAAGTTGTCTTTTTACAGCCGATAAACTATTAGAGTAATGGTTAAATTATGAGTGGTCTGAAGTTGTTCAAAATGGCGAATTCTAACACAAATTATATTTTATTCGAGCAATGGACAACTAACCAGGTGGTGGATTGGTTAAGAGGTTTGTATACGTGTTATCCTTTAAAAACATTTTTGATGTATGGAGATTGAAATGCAATATCATGGATCTTTGGTCAGATATTACGAAGCGGAAGGTGTTCTTAAATTTTTATATGGTAAATTTATGCATGTAATCCGAATTTCTTTCCCGTTCCCTTTCATATTTGGGGCCTACGGGTAAATGGAATTTATTTTGTTCAAGATTCAAAGTATTGAAGCCTTATCACATCTAGGTTCTTTTTATCCTGCTTATTCATTTCAGCTCATATCCATAAAGGTTGAAAAGGGGATTAGGGAAATATGTTTAAAAAAATGCTTTTTCTGATTCAGAAGATGGAAAGTGATTCGGATTATTTGTTAAATAATCTCACCTGTTGTAATTTCTGGAATTTTTTTTTGCATTTTGTCCCAGTACTCCCAATTGAAGAGAATTTGTTTGCCATGGCAGCTATAGATGCCTATTTGTCAGAGATGGATCTCCCCCAACAACACTTTTGAAAAATGAATTGAATTAAAACTAATTCCTATTCAGAAGATGAAAAGTGATTCGGATTATTTGTTGAATAATCTCACCTGTTGCAATTTCTGGATTTCTTTTTTGTTTGCATTATGTCCCAGCATTTTGTCCAATTGAAGAGGATTTGTTCGAATATGATTAGCTATGGCAGCTAGATGCCTATTTGTCTGAGAGGGATCTCCCCCAACAACATTTTTGAAAAATGAATTGAATAAAAACTGTTTAAAAACTAATTTTACCAAAGGGTTACAGTTTTTTTTTTTAAGGATTCGAGCTTAATTTTAACTTAATTTCAGGCTTAGATGATACAATTTTACCATACATTCAACACTTTACCAATAATAATATTGATGGTAGAAGACTTCTTATGTTAACACATTCAGACCTAGAAAAACTTCATGTCACAAAACTTGGTCATCAAGAATTAATCCTAGAAGCAGTTGATCTTTTAAGATCATTGGTAAGTTGAATCCTAAAATTTGATCAGCCCTGTTGTTAGGGTGGGGTCCAAGAAGGCTGTGCCCCAGCAAGTGATAATTAAGTGACGGCAAACCATCTTTGGGTCGATATTGATTCATTTGCATTGTCTTCTTACAAAGCCTAAAAGATAAACGTTTTGATAAGTTGTTTGGTGCCTCAAAAATTTTTTTCTATCTTTTCAGAGATATGGACATGACACAGAAAACCTACAACATCTAGCCTTACAGTTAGGTTGTAAAGCTAGAAGTATCCATAATGAAGTTCAGGCCCATTGTGGTGAAAATGATATCAACAAAGCCAATGTTCATCATTCTTCTCATCATAATAAACGACTGTCCATCTCTGTTCTATCAGGCATTGCTGATCTTCTGACAACGCTGAAGAACCTCATATCCTGGCTCGATAGGTAGGCCTTCCATTTTCACTTTCAATACACTGGGTATGCTCCCCATTCTGAGAACAATCATTCTGTTGACCTTATAATTTATACTAGAGACTCATTTATGTCAATAAAATAAGCATTCCCAGCAAGCAGAATAAAAATTACTATAATCGTGTCTAAATTGTTCTAATAATTTGTCAAATGATTAAGGTCAATTTCTCTGTGATTTAGGTCAGAGCCAGTGCCTGCAAGCAGAGTATTGTTTCCATAATCTTGCATCTAATTATAAATTATAAATACCTATTGCTCTGTGATCAAGGCCAGACTTTACAACTGTACAATATATAAGACTCAAGTTATATAACTTGGAAAATAGGGTGTTCTATTTCTATTTTCTGTCAGAAATCAATCAACTTTGATGGTTTATTAGGTCTGCTCAGATTTTACTTCATACTCAGCACTTCAATCTTAAAATTTAGAAAGAAGTTAATTTAGAAGGTTGATGTTCAAGCATTACTGTTTTTTTTTTTTCAGAGCACCATTTGAAGGAATATATGATCTATGTTTATTAAGGAATACTATATTAAAGAATGGTATAGGATTAGTAACTATTTCTCAGAGAGATTCACAAATTTCTGATGCTGAGGAACTAATTATGAAAGATGTAAGTAATTATTACATTGGTGTTAGTAATTTGTATTTTATTGACGGAAAAACTAAATCACAAAATTGGTCTATGGGCATTTGTATGTCAGCTTTATAATAGGTTTTATTGTAGCCAGTTGGTTATCTTCAAAATCTAAGAGAAGATAAACGTTTTTGTTTAATTCTATACATATCTTTGTGAAGTCAACTATATCACATTATTTTTGTGTTGTTAAGATAACTCTGCCTAAAAATTGTATGTAATAGAAGTGTTTTGCTAAACTCAAAACTGCAGCTTTTATTACAACAATAGTCCTTCTCAGAAATGTCCATGATCCCAATATTGTTATATAGAGATGGCTTTACGAAATCTTTTGAATTGTATTTCCCTTTTTTTTGTGTGGCACATGTGATGGTTGTTCCATAAAGCTGTGTTTTTACATTTTCATCTAGTGGCACTTGATCAGGATGATTAACAAGAAAGACAAACGTGCATGGGAGAAAGATCGCAAGATTTCAACTATTGATTTGAGCTGCATAACACATATATCTATATATGCAAGTGCAGTGGCTTAATGCCATTTAACCCTTTCAACATTAGCAGTAAACTGGTCCTCCATTCCATCTAAAGCTTGGCATTGAAGGAACGGGTTTGGGCTATTGTCCCCTTGGCATTGATTGATCGAAATTCACGTCATACCTTACAGTAATGTCATTGGGGTTCCAAGTAGTCAACGCTAAATAAATGACGTCTCGCTAAATCCCACGGTCAATATTTTGACCTGTTGTTAGTTTAGGGATAAGCGAACACAACAGGGTACCAATTAAAACTAGCAGCTGCTATACAGGCAAAGTTACTATGATATATATCAGAGGGCCAATGAAGCAGCCATTACTAAGTGACGTAACAAAAACATTATTATCATACACTTTAAGTCATTTACTTGGTGTTCAGGGTATATTTTATTTTATTGAATTCACACTCTGTGTTCAAAGGATTAAAAACTTTAAAATATCGTTGATTTCAGTGTGGTGTATTAGCTGATATTTGTGATGGATTAGTTACATCTAGTAAAGATCCATTAGTAGTTCAACCAGCATCATTAGAACTAGCTACCATTAGAAAAAAACCTGGCGAGGAATTGGTATGTGTTTTACAAACAAATTTAAAAAAACTTATACTAATTCTGTTTGATTATATGATTTAATAGAATCTTATCTTCATTTGAGACCTCCCCCTGTCAGTGATGCAGGTAAGAGGGTCTGACATGGAAAAAGCGTCTAGTCGTTCGGATGGGACAATAAACCGAGGCCCTGTGTGCTACAGGCTATGCACGTTAAAGATCCCTCGACAGTTGGAAATTGTAAAAGAGCAGGCTAATGCTGCTGTCCTGGAAAAATTTCCCTCATCGCACCCTGCATGGCGTTGCCGTCTTCATTAGCCAACATGGTGCAGAAAAGTAGGACGTAATACTCCATTCATTTCCTTTGATTTGAAACCTGTAATTATTGCTATGCCTGCCATTTTAAAGATAATGTTTGATTACTTATATTTATTATCCTGTCAGAGTTCATGTCATTATTTCAGGGCATGCATATACAATCATCTTACTATGGTACACATGTTCTTAGTGGAGTTAAAGATATGGTAAGTATCATATTTACTTTTTCGATGAAATAAAATGACCATTTTCAAGCATGCATACATACATATGTTGAAGAGTTAAAGTGAGATCAAATAATTGTTGGAATATTTGAAAATTTGAAGAATTCTTGGCGGTGTAAGACCCCGTTAAAATTTGGCAGGGTGAAGAATTCTAGGCGGGGTTACCGGGTTTGGATGTGAAGTTTGCCCGGGGTGAGATTGTGGGTGGAGTTTGGGGTTTTTTTTGTGCGTCTGGGTGATGGGGAAGGCTAGTGTGAGGGAGGAATGAGACCAGATAGGCCAAACTGGCTATTTTTTCTTTGAATTCAATACATTACGGCAAGAGTAAAACAAAATTGGGGGAGTTTTCTTGATATAAATGGATGTAAATGTTTTTGAAATCTAAAATGTTTAATTGAATTTGAATGAAGCATTCTTACTTTGATCAGATTGTGAAGAGGTTTATGATTTGTATTTTTCAGTCACCAGCTGATTTATGTAGAAAGATAGAGAAAGGTGATGAAGTTATTCAAGTCAACAATCAAACAGTGGTAAGTATTATTTATATCATATTGTCACTCCCAGCATTATCAGTTTATTAGACACACACAGGCAAATATACAAAAATAGAAATTTGTTTAAAAAATTGGAAATACAAATATATGGAAAGGTCCCCAGACCCAAAAGTTTTCCTCTATTACGCTCAGCGATAAAGGATTTTGCTCTAGACAGCTTTCTATGGTAGCTGTTACTTTGCAAAACATTGTAATATAGAGATAATATTTTATTTGAAACTAACTTAGTATCAATATTTGAACGATATCTCTCAAGTCGCTATCATATTCTTATGACTTTTTGTCAAAACAATTCAGTGCATACATTAGGACATATTTGTCATGAACAAAAAAGCAGGCTTCCGTCAACCTGGTAACTATTAGCAACTGAAGGCAACAAACACAAAAGCATCAGGCTTTTAACTGGTTGCTTTCATATTTATGTGTATTTCAAAATCTAAACTTTGAAATTACCATTTACCTTTTGTTTTTAGCTTGGTTGGCCTCTCAAGAAACTTGTGAACACTCTAAAAGAAAAGCCTAAAGAAGTAGTCTTACTTCTTAAGAAAAGACCAAGACATATAAGTCCTTATGGTACCTTACCTAATCGTAATAATAACAGAAACAAAGCACAAGTTGCCACTCTACCCAAATCATTGAAGAAAAGACGTTCTCGAGATGGTGAAAAACCACAGCGGCCATCTTTACAGGAATATGTTGCTGTTGATGAGCCAAATGAGGAAAATAGGTAAGTTGTTTGAATTTTAGACAAAGACTTTGTGTCAGTTCCTGAAGAATTTTGTAATGGTAAAAATTTTTAGGGATACAAATACACATTTGTTTATATTGGTGTCTGCACCCATGTCCATCAGTCTAAATTGCTTGTTACAGATTTTAATCAAACTTGGTTAAGTTGTTTTTATTATCACCCAAAGAGGAACCCTATTGAAATAAAAAATCCCATCTAAGTTTTTGCTTGTAGAAGGCATAATTCTAAACCAATTGTTTATTATCACCAAAAGATGAGCCCTATCAAAAATCAACACTATTGCGAGATATATTTTAGTTTGCCCAAATGTTCTGATTTAAAAAGAAAGCAGGCAGTGGGCGTATATTAACTTACCTGGCAAGCTATCTTTGTTAATAGATTTTTATACGCCCACATGAAATGGGGGCGTATATTGCTGTCATCCATGTCTGTCCGTCCACAATTGCTCGTAAACACTCTACAAGACACAATTCTTGACAAAACTTGGTTTGAGTGTTCGTAATCACCCAAGGATGAACCCTATCGAAAATCAGAAAAATCGAAAAATATGTAGTATAAGTTATTGCCCTTGTTCTTGAAAACGCGTTCAATTTTTAGCTTGTAAACACTGTAGAAGGGACAATATTATTTAGTATGGCCTCAAAAAGTTCAAAATAAATGTATGTCTGAAGGTTGAATATTTCATACTGGTAATTGTTACTGTACTGCCAAATATTTTTATTTAAGATCAAAGCTGCCAGTGGGCGTATAGTACCTTGCCTGGCAAGCATAATTTTCAGAACCTTTTTGATCCAGTTCATGATAAGGACATTAGTTTACTCTTCAACAACAGTGAACTCCTATTTGAATTTTTTCTCTGATTTCGAACATATTGAAAAAAAATATTTTAATACAACAACATGCTCTTGTACTGGTTTGATTTTGAGTGGTTTTGAAATTTATCATGAATTAACTACACTTTTTCCCCAGAAATTTACCATAAGAAATTACCAAGATTTTCGAATGAAACTCATCCTGTAAAATTGGGCTTCAAAATTTTTTGGTGAATGTGTTAATCAAACCAAGACATTTAGTTTGTTTACACTTTTGTTTGAGTTATCTACTGTAATTATTTACATCATCCCAATAGACCTTATTCCATCCTCGGTTTTGAGACACTGAAAGCGAGGTTCATAATGCAAATTACGTCATCCATTGATAAGATGGCAACGTCATATGAATGAATAGTCAATTTGACATCACTAAACACCCAATCAACAGTGAGAAAAGGGACCTAAATCTGCCCTTTCTGGTTTTAAAGACGTCAAGGTGGTAATTTTTCTGCAGTGAAACGCTGTTACCTTTGTTTGTTTGCGTTGTGAGCCTCATTCTGGATCCAATATGGCCGTCGCGTGAATAAGTTGTATATCTGTACAATTGTTGTGTTGGTCTTTCCTGGTGACGCAATATAACAACCAATATTTTTTTTTGATCCTAAAGAAAGTGGGTGAGCAGTTTTACATATGAGCAAATATTCTAAAAATAAACTGACTTGATTTACACTCATCATCCACTCAAGTATTGATTCATATCTAAAACAATGTATACTATAAATACCCTTTCATTTCCTTATTTCACTTGATAATTGAAAACACCATTTTAATTGTGAATAACATCCTTCCTGATTTAGTCATAATTTCAATCAGAATGAATTTTGTTGTCATTAAAGTGACAGGTGCCCCATTCTTTTTGACCAATTATACTTTAGTCTCAGAAACAAAATTTTTAAAGCTTAGCCAATCATTAATAGTGTTCACAGCTCAGCGTCAAATTTTGAGCCTCCAAATCCATGCGTGTCAAAAATTATCTGCGTGTGAATGTTGAAATAACATCTCATCAATTTAAGATACTCGGTCATATATAGAAAAGACATATATCGAAATTGTGAGTAAAATTCCTAGTTTGAAGTGTTTTTAAAGGAATCATGTGATTTTTGTACATTTCTAGTACTTCTAAAGACTATTAACATATATTCAAGACTCAAATCAACCCACTTAAATGGCGCATCTGTCCCTTTAAGGAGAAAGTCTGTTGAATGTTGAAGTGAAGAGATTAACTCTAATAAGGAATTTCAATTTTTTTTCATCACAATAGTTGTCAAAGCTTTCAATGGGTTCAAGGCGTAGTGAAATCAAGATTGAAAAATTTGATAATCAATTTATCACAGCAAATTTTAATTTTGGCAAATCAAGTTCAATTTTGTTTCCCAATCCGTAAGAATTCGGTTGCAGTTCAAAATATTCCAGTTGTAGATTTTAGATCGATCTTGCCGATGAGGTTAGTTCCTTAAGGTTACCACTTAATTGAAACCCTGTTAATTTATTGTTTATTGTTGTGTTTATACAAATTTAAAGTAATTGATGGTGAGTAATATTAATAATAATATGCTGATAAATACATAAAACTTTAACTGATTTGTGGAAAAGATAGATGTTATAAGTTATATTTGAAACAGATAACTAATGATTATTATCTCAAATGTGATAAACATGTAGGAAAAGGTTTATAGAAGATAGAAAGATAACCTATATTATTATATATAACCTGATTATATAGGATGAAAATATCTTCATTTCAGTATTAAAAAAAACTCTTGAAATGCATTGTTGTCCTTCTGAAGTGCAAAATGAAACACAATGAACATAAACCCTATATTTTTTATTATACAATCACTTTTGAAATAGTCTTCAGAAGTACTAGAAATGTATGAAAATTGCATAATTCCTTAAAAAATACTTCAAACTAGGAATTTTACTCATTATTTCTATATAATTATGTCTGTTATATATATCACAGAGTATCTTAAAATGACGAGTCATCATTTCAAACGCAGATAATTCTGGACTATACATATATTTCAAAGCTCAAATATCAATGATGTGCTGTGTACACTATTATTGTTTGGCTTAACTAAGCCACGACTAAGGTATGATTGGTCAAGAAAATGGCGCGTCTGTCCCTTTAAAAAAAAATTGCCAAAATTTGGGTCATTTTGTTGCAGACAGGTCCACTTTAAAGTTACAATAATAGACATTGTCTACATTGAGGAAGTAAATAGTCAATTAAAATACAAGCGAATTTGATTTGCATACAATCCATATAAAGGCCTTTTGACGGTAATCATATCACTTGACACATTTGAATAGGTAGAGGAACTTGAATAATAATGCTAGTCTAAAAGGTAATTATTTTTATTTATGACTTACTATTTGAATTGGTAGATCGTGTACAGGAATATTTTTTATAAAAAAAAGTTTACATGATTTTAATTTTTGGGTAAGGAAGAAAAAAAAGTTTTTGAATTAATTTTCATTCAAACTTGAAAGATCCAGTTGATTGAACACAGTTTGCTAGATTATTTTTTATTGACTTTTGATTTGTAAGAACTTTTCATTTTATTTGAAATAAAAACCATATATGGTTAAAGTGTGAAAACATTATTTGGAAGTGGAGTTGTGTTCATATTTTCAACGTTATTTTTAACAATATCCCTGTGATAAGAGAATATTTTATGAAAACTGGAGAATTTTTGCTGAGTGATGAGTGACAAAGTAAAGTTCTAACAAAGAATTTTGGAATGGTTCTTTGGCATGGCACAGATGCAGATTTTGAGTTTTGATATGGTGACATATTGTTTGTAAGTTTTTGTATGATGATATATAGTATGTAAGTGTTAGTATGATGATAAATTGTATGTAAGTTTATGTATGATGATATATCATATATGTATGTTTTTGTATGATAATAAATTGTTTGTAAGTTTTTGTATGATGATAAATTGTTTGTAAGTTTTTGTATGATGATATATAGTATGTAAGTGTTAGTATGATGATAAATTGTATGTAAGTTTATGTATGATGATATATCATATATGTATGTTTTTGTATGATGATAAATTGTTTGTAAGTATTTGTATGATGGTACATTGTTTGTAAGTATTTGTATGATGGTACATTGTATGAAAGTTTTTGTATGATGATAAATTGTTTGTAAGTATTTGTATGATGGTACATTGTTTGTAAGTATTTGTATGATGGTACATTGTTTGTAAGTATTTGTATGATGGTACATTGTATGAAAGTTTTTGTATGATGATAAATTGTTTGTAAGTTTTTGTATGATGATGAATTGTTTGTAAGTTTTTGTATGATGATATATCATATGTAAGGTTTTGTATGATGATATATCATATGTAAGGTTTTGTATGATGATATATCGTATATGTAAGTTTTTGTATGATGATATGTCGTATGTAAGTTTTTGTATGATGCTATATTATACCGGTATATATGTATTTTTTAGAAAAGTTATCACAAGTAAGTTATGGCAATATGTAAGTTTGTATATATAGGTTTTCCAATTACTACTTGGAAATTCTCCAAGTTAATTGACTTCTTGCCAAGTTTTGTCTACTTCCTTTTTTTGACTTTGATAGTGTTAATTTGGATTCTATGATTTCTACAACAGGTTTAAAAATTCAAGGACATTTCAAAAACTCTCTGTAGATTGAAATTTTAAATTTGTGAAAACAATGGTATCTAAAGGTATTTTTATTGACGGACAGTGTACTTTAACTAACACAGGTGTTGATCTTGGCCTAAAGTATAAAGCCAAGTTAACCCTGTGAATATTCTAGATAGTAAACATTTTCAAATATAATTTTATATCATGCTGTATCAATTATAAATTACATCAACTGTAGATTTTACTATTAGTTTGTTTCTGGAGTTTACTACACTACCAAAGTTGAATACCAAATGACCTAAAACCGAAGATGCATAACAATATTGTCAGATCATGGATGGACAGAAACTAAACTCTCTCAAAATCTTTCTAATTGATAGCTCAAAACATGCTGTCAACATGTGTTTAGGATATAAAATCTTCATCAGGACTACTATTTGGAATGTTTGTGGTAGACAAATGTTAAAGTAACCTCCCGCCATGATGAATAGTTTGAAATCTCTCAAACATTGTAACTATTAGAATGAAATATAGAAATTATGACATCAACACAGCTTGAAATAGATTAAAAACAGAAGAACACAGTCAAATTTCACCATTAAAACAGAATAACACAGTCAAATTTCTGCCTTCCATTTTTTTAAGGCTTGACCAAAGTATTTTTGTGTTATGGAACTTCAGGTGCTATTTCTTAAATATTTGAATATTGATTTGTCATGAGTGCATTTAATCTTGTCAAATTTCATATTAATGAAAAAGTTTGATCATATACGTTTTTTGAAAAATGGAATAACTTAGAGAGTAACTGTTATGTAAGGAATGACTTAATGTTTGAATAAGTTAACACTCCAACTTGGAATAAGATGAGTGCTGACTTTTAACGGGAATATGAGGAGTATTGACTTTTAAGAGGGAATAAGATGAATGCTGACTTTGATAGTGAATAAGATGAGTGCTGACTTTTTTGGGGAATAAGATGAGTGCTGACTTTTAACGGGAATATGAGGAGTATTGACTTTTAAGAGGGAATAAGATGAATGCTGACTTTGATAGCGAATATGAAGAAAGGAGTAGTATTGTAATTTGTAAAAGCATGAAAATTTTAATGACGATTTTTACAAAAATTGCTGCTGATTTGTTTTTAGTGAAAATCATGGCTTATTTTCTATGAAGACAACAGTCTAGGCCTTGAAATTGTTTGTCAGCCATTGATAGTAAATACAACTGTAGCAACACATGTGGAAAATGACAATTCATACAACACTTATGACATGTAAAACTTCCTTGATGTCAAATGTGGGTTTTTTGTGACAAATAATAATATATTTCATAGTTGAGAAATTATGTATGTCAAAGTTAGACAATACATAGTTTTAAATATAGGAACATTATCACAATGTCTAAACAGGAAAATATTCAAAGGTTTGCATTGGATATAATATGACAATTAGACAACAGAAAAGAACATGTCTTGACAATAAGATAACATGTCTGCAGACAGCATCTATCATCAGAAAATAGCATTTCTTGATAATTTGACATCAGAAAACAACATGTCTTGACATCAGAAAGGAGTGTGTCTTGACAATTAGACGGTATGTTTTGACAATTTGACATCAGAAAAGAGTTTGTCTTGACAATTAGAAGTTAGAAAAGAGTGTGTATTGATAATAAAGCATCAGAAAGGAGTATATCTTGACAATTTGACATCAGAAAGAGTATGCCTTGATAACAAGGCATCAGAAAAGAACATATCTTGACAAGTTTACATCAGAAAAGAGTATTCTTGACAATTAGTGGTTAAAAAAGAGTATGTCATGTCAATAAGGCATCGGAAAAGTGTATGTCTTGACAATTTAACATCAGAGAAGAGTTTGTCTTGACAATCGGCCCTAGCTATAAATGGGATTGGGAAATCTTATTCCATGAGGTTTTGTCAGAGACCGAACTGATAAATATAGTAATCTTTTAGACCATGATTAATGATCTTTCAAATGTATGAATGGTTTTTCTTTCCTATTATGTATAAAAGTATATGGCCTTATGATAAAAGTAAAGAGAATGTTTGAATGAGTAATAGAAACTAAGAGTAAAAAGTTGTAAAATCTAGAAAGTTTGTAGTGATAAGGTTAAACTGTAATTTGAGTGAATTTATCAATAGTTTTATCACAAATTAAATGTTGTAGAAAATGTTAGATTTGATGGCAGATGATATTTTACTGGTTGAAAAGTTTTATCTATGATTTATCCAGGTGAATTTGGTAACTTGATTCAACTTTTGTTTCATGTATATTATTTATCAGGAATTCTGAAATTAAGGATTTGTGTCAGAAATTCACCGCCAGGTGAGAATAAATTTCTATTTTTGGAGGATTTTGTGTCTTTTTGCTTTTCAATTTGAATTGTTGAAATATTAATCTTTAAGGGACAGGTAGGCCATTTTTTTGACAAATCATACTTTAGTCTCAGAAACTGGAATTTTTTATCTGAGCTAATCAGTAATAGTGTTCACAGCACACCGTCGAAATTTGAGTCTTCAAATCCACGTGTGTCCAGAATTATCTGTGTTTGAATGTTAAAATGACGACTCGTAAATTTAAGATACTCTGTGATAAATATAGAAAGAAAAGACATATATAGAAATAGTGAGTAAAATTCCTAGTTTGAAGTAGTTTTGAAGTAATTATGCATTGTTTATACATCTCTGATACTTATGAAGACTATTTACATATATTCACAACTAAAATCAACCCCCAAAATGGTATATCTGTCCCTTTAAAACAAAAATGTTAGCTCATAAATCTTCAGTCCAAATAGTTTTAACTTGATAACCATTTTCAAACAATCTCTTCTGAAAATTTTTTTTAAATTCTAAATAATGTCAACATCATAACATATGTTGAATTTGAGTACTAAAAGATTTGTTAGGGTTTTCATATGTTCAATTTGATGATCATAGAACCAAGAAACATTGTCAAAATACAACATCTTATGGTTGTGTAATACTGATTGATTTGTTGATAAACTAATCTATATGTACTTTCATGCTGATGAATTCAAATTCAGTACAAACCTCTTAAATTGATATACAGGTGTTATTCTTTAAGTACAGGTTAAATTATAAGAGTTATTAAAATAATACTACGTCTTAGAATAAACTTGAAATTTAAAAATTTTAAACTTGGCCAATAAGAGCATATATTATGTAAGATATATATTCATCAGTAGATATACCTGGTGTCATAAATACATAACAGGATCCTTATATAATCCGATAAATCCAAAAAACTTAATAAAAATACAATTAACTATTGAAAAACGTTAATATTATGATTAAGCGTTTTTCAATAATGACTTAGTTTTATGAATATTCCAATTTTTTAGATTTTACAGGGATTCTGTTGTAACTTTATCAGAATATGAAGCTTAAAGTCCCCAAAAATGGTAATCTGTTTTTCTGGTTTGAATACATGGATTAGAGGCTAGATATAATAGTTTTTTCAGATTACAGCAAAATTATAATTGATGAAAATTTATTTTTTTTAGAGAAGGAACAGATGGTAATGATACAGATAATGATGTTTTCCGTAGTGGTTCAGAATCACCTCAATATACTCTACCAATAAACATAGACAATAAACAACGTAGAGCAACAGTCAGTGGTGGATCACCTACATTAGAGCGGCCATCTTTAGTTATTGAAGACCTTGACCCTCCTACCCGACCTAAATCACAGGCCATCAACGCTTTAGAAAGAAGTGCAGCATTAGCCGCTTTGAGTGCCACAGATAGTAGTTTGACTAATTTAGCTGCTCATAGAAAAGTGACTCGGATGAGATCTCATGACCTACCAAAAACTAAAAGTAGTTTAACAGTACCAGATCAGTTTTCAGTCAGACCAGATACATTTTCTGTAGTTGGTGACGATCCTTTAACTAAGCCTACTTCCGAAGGTCAGTATTTATTTGAATTCTACAATCCTGTCATAGGTTATAAATAATAACGTTGTATTTTCAATCTGGTTACACCCTGTCAGTGATGCAGGTCTGAAGGACTGATATGGAAAAAGGGTCAAGTCTTTCAGATGGGACAATAAACCGAGGTCCCATGTGATATAAGCTGTGCATGTTAAAGATCCCTCGACATTTAGAAATCGAAATAGAGCAGGCTAATGCCTTTGTATGGCCAAAATTCCCTTAGTGCACACTGCATGGCGTTACTGTTCTTCATTATTATCAATTAGATGCAGAAAAGTAGGATGTAAAAATCCTTTCATTTCATTTAAATTTTTAATTTGAATGCTAAAAGAAATTTTTTTGGGAAAATGGGATGTCTTGGGATTGTATTTTGTTTAAAAGAAATATTAGAATATGTTACATGTTAATTTCAAGGACATCCGGGAGGTTTACACGAACCAGAACTTTCAATCATTCATATGAAAATATAAAAAAAATCTTTTTATGGAGGACACAGCCATTAAGGTAGAAGCTAGCACAATTAGAATTTCTATAAGCATTAGCCAATATTTTCTTGTTTCAGATCCAAATAAAACACCAACCAGTAACTCTGGTATGAACGAGGATGTGACAGTGAGGAAAGAAAAAGGTGACCCAAAGAATCAGGAATTCCGTGTAACCAGACCAACTCCTATTATATTGAACGTTCCAGAAACACCACCACAGCAACATCGTCTCTCCAAACAGAAAGTTCTAGATCGTGAATTGGCGTCTGATACCCCAAATAAACACGAACCACAACTCATGAAAATAAAAAAGTTAAATTCCTTGACACAATCTGACGTAGTGAGTATTTTTGATGTTTTGATTGATATTGTCTTATTTAACTGAAATAACTTGTGTTAGGGTGTATTGAGACAAGTCTCAATGAAAGCACTGGCCAATAGATAAGCCTTGTGAAAGCCTGTTATGATGGGTACCTAGACAACCATGGCTTCTTGGCTATGCATTCCTGTAAGCACTGTCATTTTTTGAAAATAAACCCTGGTCATGAGGAGGTCATCATGGTGTTAAATTCCATTTCGAACTAACTTATTCACTTTGGGGTTGATTGATTGAAACACAATTTTCAATTACAATATGTCGATGATATACTGACAGCTATGGTCACTTGCAGACTGAATAAATCTCATATACCCTGAACTTCAAGATATATATGGTATTAAACTTACATTAAACTCAGTAAGGACTTCTTCACTAGAGTTGTTGCTGGTGTTGAAAGAGTTGATTAATGTACAGTACTTGTAATGTTGAACTTGTGCCCTGTTACTTTTTATTGGTTGCTGAAATTTTGTTACTTCAATAATTGTTATTTTCGTGATCAATATTTGTTGGTAAATTTGAAATGATTATTATTTTAGGAGAATAAGAATTATGTTGAAAGTGAGGTAGATGGTAAAGGTGATATGGGTACTAAACATGTTGGCTTTACAGCTGATACTAAAGAAGACAAACAGCCCGAACCAGTCAGGTGAGTGAACATCATGTTTGAAGTGATTTATCAATACGCATTCACAGTTGCAATAAATATTCTTGGAACAAAAAAAAAAAAAACAACATCCCTTCAGAAAGAAAAGGACAACACTGAGGTTATTAATATTCATGATGTCATGTGATTTTCAAACAGCCAATCAATGTGCTTCTTCATAGTCATTCGTATGAATAATATACAAGTGAATGCAACCAAGTGGTTGGTCAAATTTTATTTGTCTGTTTTCAGCTATACACATATAGTAGTCGGTGGTGTTATACAAAAGATACCCAATGATCAGGCTATCTGTACAGAGGTAACTATAAACTGGCCAAGTTAACAATCTTTAAAAGAATTAAAGAGGTTTTCTAAAATTTTTATGTATGAGGGGACACTGATAGGTAAACTCGTCCGTGGTTCCTGCACTTTCACTATAACAAAGCATTTTATGACGTCATTAATGACCAATCACAGTTCTTATCTGATAAAGCATATGTTGCGATTAGTGACGTCATCAAACACTTTTTTGTGTGAAATTGCAGGATGTCTGATTGGTAATTTGAATGGTGCAATTGATGCTATCAGTGTCCCCTATAGTCTAAAAAATTTAGAAAACCTCTTTACAAACAGGCTTTACAACATTGCTGAAGCAATAAGGAAAATTAATACTTATATTTATATTTATATGACAATAGCAAAACCTGTAATAATATTTAAAAGCCTTTGCAATAGCTACGTCTTAAATACATACTGTAGATCACAGATCAGTGTCCTTGATATGCATAAGTAGTTAAGGAAGCCTCTTTACAATCCGTTTAAGATTTAGATTTCTCAGGGAAGTGAATACATCATTGAAAATGAAATTGAATGTAGTTCAACTTCAATATTCAATTATTTCCATTTCCCAGTGATATCATCTTTATTAAATACTAGTCTAATCTTGTTATTAGAGACAGACATGAGGTGTCCATTATATCCAATATGGCTGAAATAGTCTATCAAATTTTTACATGGCCTTTAAAAACATTTCAGTCACCATCTGCTGTTAGGAGAAGAAATAAACCACCAGGAAAAAGATTAGGTAATTTTTATTTATTTTTTTTTTTTTGGATGGACAATAATGAAAACCTTGTGAGGTACAGTATAACAGCAATATTTCCCTGCATGCTGTAATACTTCTGTTTCTTTTATGGAATTGTTTTTTTTTAAGATACAGTAAATACAATGGTGTTTCTATAAAAAGGGGCTGGGGACATCTGAAGCTTTTGCTCAAATTTCTTATTATTTAACATAGGGAAAGATTGCCTGTAAGCTTTCTGGACAATTTGATGGCCTTAATGAATCATATGAATGTCACTGTGTATATAGACACATTAGATAGAGGGAGCCATGTGGTCAGTGAGTAAGAGGCTTGCTCGCTAACCTGAAGGCATAGGTCGTAATGATGCCTGCGGTTCCCCTTGTCAGTGATGCAGTTCGAAGGGGCTGGGGGCTAACATGTAAAAAGCATCTAGTGGTTCGGATGGGACAATAAACCAAGGCCCTGTGTGCTATAGGCTGTGCACATTAGAACTCCCTTGACAGTTGGAAATTGAAAAAGAGTAAGGTTATGCCCCCATCGGGAAAATTTCACTCATTGCACACTGCATTTCCAATTCATTTCATTACAGCTGATAGAAGAATATCATGTAAAGATCTGGGTAAAGGTGACTGTGAAGGCTGGCTATATAAAAGAAAGACTAGAGATAGAGGACCTTTAACTAAACATTGGGTTAAAAGATGGTGTATATTAAAAAATAATAATTTATATTATTACAAAGAAAAAGACGTAAGTTTTTGTTTAATATTTAATATCATATTAAGTGTATAATATCTAATATGTAATTGTTGATTTCACATCTCTATTTAGATATTCCACTTAACAAGTCTAGGGTTAGATAATTGCACATTTACTCAATGGGATATTGAATTAAAACCTATTGAGTGTATGATGCCGGTTGGAAAATCATATACAGGTACCTCTGTCCTAGTTACCGAAGTGAAACAATGTAGAAATATGTATTAGTTTTGCACATGTTGTAGAGACCATTTGCATTTGCATAAGTCAACCTGAAGGTCTTGGCATAGGTGGAGGTAATACCTTCGGATTTTTCAACACGGTTACCCCCTGTCAGTGATGCAGGTAAGAGGGGCTGACATGGAAAAAGCGTCTAATCGTTCGGATGGGACAATAAACCGAGGCCCCGTGTGCTACAGGAACGTTAAAGACCCCTTGACAGATGGAAAATGAAAAAGGGCAGGCTAATGCCGCTGCTCTGGCAAAATTTCCCTCATTGAACCTAGCCGATCTTCATTAGCCCACATGGTGCAAAAAAGTAGGGTGTGTAACTCTATTCATTTCATATGCCTGCTACAAAGAAGACAAGGTCATGACATGATTAATAAGTGAACATGAATTTTTATTATATATAAAACATGAACATGTAGCTTGTCATTTTTACACATCATAGATTGAAACTGTGTTACAATTAGAATACTTGATAGTAGAACAGTAGACTTATGTATGTTTTAAAACTTACGCCATTTGAAATTGGTTAAAATTGTCTATTATAGGATTTGAAAGCAGAAGGTGTTATACATTTACTGGCTTTTCAAGTATCCCCTGCCACAGACATTAAAACTAAAAAATTGTAAGTAATGTTTATATTTTCTCTTATATTATGTCCTAGATAGTAGAATATATATTTCTTAACATATCATTTGTATCTAAAAGCCAAAATCGGAAAAAATAATAACTTTCTTATAGGAATATAGTTTTCTACATATTTGCTATAAGTTCAATTTCAGCTATCTACAGCACTTCTCCGAAGTAGAATTTGTTCTGGTTCTGGTTTCAATTGGACTGGTACAGTTTATTCAATGGCAGGAAAACTAAGCATCAGAATTAAATTCCGATAAGTGCTATGTGTAGCTAAAATTGAGCTTTATCAACTGTTAAAGCAAAACCCTTTAAAAATTGGGTACAGTTCTGAAAAAACTTGACTGATATTGAATATGCTTTATTCCACGCTGGCTAGACTGCCTACAATGTCCAATGTATAGTAAATATATATGGTTACATACACATTATTTTACAAAGATGACCATCTATGTTTCAACATTCTTGCTTCTTATCTCTACAAGCTTGAACTTGGCTAAATCTCTTGTCTGAGATAACTTGTGCCCACTGACAGCTGGGAAAATGAAAATGACTTACATGCCATGTAGTTATGACGGAAATATTTCCTCTCTAAACAGTTTATTGTTTTCTTATTAATGCTCCTATATAGTGAACATGGGTAAGTGTAGGTGTTATAAAACTATTGTTGTGTTTAAGTTTTTGTTTTTAGTTCACACTTCATTTCATTGTTTTATTCATTATTAATTCACAAAGCACATAATGGAAATTATTTGAATTCTGACCACAATAATCTAGTCAGAAATTGCAGATGTTAAAACCATGCTTAAAAAAACTGTCATTGTCAACCATGTTCATAATGTAGAGGCTAGAAAACCACTGTATAAATAAACAGAAATAACTCGAGTGGTGTATATTCTTTTAACTCAACACAGGTGGATTTTTACCTGAGGAGTAAGTTTTTGGCCAAAGTTCATTATGTTATTTTACCAATACATTGAATTCATGATATTGCATGCTTTCACATATTGTTTTACAGTTTTGTGTTGGGGGAAATTTGATTGTTTTATAAAATTGTCTAAAAACACCCCAATTTGACTTGCTTATGAAACAATAATTCCATGAGCATCACTTATATATAAGCACTTAAACTTTTCACTGAACACATTCAAATTTTTAGGCAGCACTTAGAAATTGCCTGGAAAGATTACTGCAAATATCTTCTGTTTGTTCAAATAATTTCAGAACTCAAAATTCTGAATTCAGAGTTTAAAAAATCACTCAGTACAAATTATTTGAAATCAAAGCCATCAAATACTGAAGAGATATTTTTTGACATTTTTTTCTTTTTCAGTGCATTTAAAGTTCACAATGCAGGAACCACATTTTATTTTGGTTCAGAAAGACAAGAAGATATGAGCAAGTAAGTCATATTTCATATTTTAAATTATTGATATAGATATAGATGGATGAGTAAATAGATGAATAAAATGGTATATTTTATAATATTATTATTTATCTTAAAGATGGATGAATAAAATGGGATATTCATATTATTATTATTATTTATCTTATAAACAGATGAATAAAATTATATCTTTTACATTATTGATATAGATATAATTATTTATCTTAAAGATGGATGAATAAAATGGGATATTTATATTATTATTATTATTTATCTTATAAACAGATGAATAAAATAATATCTTTTAAATTATTGATATAGACATAGATGGATGAATAAATAGGTATATTTTATAATATTATTATTAATTATCTTATAGATGGATGAATGAAATAGGATATTTATATTATTATTATTAATTATCTTATAAACAGATGAATAAAATGAGATATTTTATAATATTATTATTGATTTTTTTATAGGTGGATGAATAAAATGGGACTTGCTGCTATCAATTTTGACACTAGTAATATTATGACTACAGGTGGCTTTATTAAACCAGAAACTACTGTTAAAGCCCAAGGTTATGGTGTTCAAAGTAAGTCAAAATATTTTACAAACTGTCCAAAGTTATCAAGGTGACAAAATTTCCCTACAAGAAGGAAGGACTAATTCCTTCCTTCCTTCCTTCCTTCCTTTTCCTTCCTTCCTCCATTCATTCATTCATTCATTCATTCATTCTATCTATTTTAGATATGTACTATAGTGAAAGTGAAGAAGAAAATGATGACAATGGGTCATCTATGACTGACAGTTGTTTATCTTTAGCTAGTACCACATCTAAGGACAGTGTCGCTACATTAACTCCCTCTACACAGAACTCTCCAGAAAGACAAACTAAAGGTAGAAAAAGATATATAAAAGTTTTCTTTTTATTTTTGATTTATGGTGGGATAAGGTGCTACAAAAAACTTTGTACATTTGTGTATGGTCCTATGCTTCTGAAAAGACGTTTTGATTTAGAATAAGATACTACAGGTCTTTCAAACTACCAGCAGACTGCATCAAGTAGATGATATTATCACTCATTTTGATTGGTTGAGATTTTAGATTAGATTCAATGAAACAATATTATCTCCTTTAATGTATGTGTAACATTAGCTTTTATTGGTTGATTGAGTAAAAAGACTACAGAAACAAGATTCTGAGTGAAAGCTTATCTTGCCTTACTATCAATGGTAAACAAATTACATGAAATATGCCTCACAATATCATACTGAAATATTGTTTGAAAAAAAAAAAACAATTTTACACTCAAATTTTCAAAAAAAATTACTTGAATTATGAAAACACAAGTATCGAATACTACTAAATTTTTTGCAGCACCTTAAATATGTACATGCATGAAACATTTTATTTGGGTTTGGTCTGGGCATGGTTACTATGGTTACTATAACTTGTAAATTCTGGGTATTTATGGATTTGTTTTTATGTGAAACAGGAGAATATTGTTGTAAATTTAATGCTGCATTTGTTACCACTTGTATGTAGTGGGAATTATCATAACCAGATGATATTCATTGATAATCATTTTAGAAAAACAAAGATGGCTTATTTACAAGCTATCGTGTTTTACATGATTCAGATTTGCGGCCATTGTTACTAACTTTGAAACTTTGATTGCTCATGGCACTTGTGATTTTCCTAATCAGAAATAAAACTTTTCATTTAGTGTGATGGAATACTGTATTCCCTCTTAGAAACATCTATCTCCCAATTAAATGAGAGGTAATGAATGCAACATTGGAGTAAGTCAGTGAGAAAAAGCTTATATAGCACCTGCCCCAAAATATTTTTTCAGAATTAGTGGTTTGGCTATTAACATTGACTGCAAATGGTTTCATGAAGGCACACAATTGGTATTAAAAAAAAGGAAATGCAAATTTTTCTCTTGGAGCTTTGGAAAATTGGAAACAAATTCAAATTTGAATCAGTTTTGGCTTTATTTGGAGATTAAAAGTAAATTTGATAAAGAAAACTTGGCATGACAACTCTTTTGGAACATCTGTTCCTGTTGTGTCTTGTCTATGGTCTCTGCTGCTCTGTGGTGTTATCTGTTGTGTGTCGTCTGCTTGGTTTGGGTGGTGTTTGATTTGTAATTTATAATTACATAGATGCTGGTACAAACGATGACCTTCAAGTCATGATTCGAAATATCCAGAAATCTGATCTTACTATTGATGGTGTTGATCGTAATAAAACCAGACGCAGTCAGATTAAGTCTGTTGATCTGCTCAATGCCGCCTCCTCAGTAGAAATAGATAAACTTCGTAAACTTCAATCACTTCAAAGAACTCTCAAGGTTAGTTGAAGTTGAATGCTGTATGGAAGGAGTGTTATTAATTAAACAAAAGACATCAATGCTCATCTGGGTGCCATTCGGAACATAGGGATGAGTAGTCCACTTTATTTTGAGGTCTAATAAGTTTGGATTTGAAAGACATTTAGAAGACATGTTACAATATATCAAAACATCTGCCACTATTACAGCCACTGCTAGCTATTTTGAAAGTTGTTGGCTGGTGTAAAGACAGAAAAACTAGGCCCTGTTTTATGGGGATTTTCCGCATCTCTGAACTACCTTCCATTTTTTTGAAGCCACCTTTGCAAAAATATCCCAATTGTAAACATATGCAAAATATGAACAAAATCTCAATTTCTAAGGGCATCAAAATAAGAGGCCCAGGTAGGTGTTTGTGACTGGTAATTAAATATTTACACCCCTATCTCTATTCCTGTATTTACTTTGAATATGATATTCATTAGCATTAGAAAGCTGATTAAAATATATAGCAAATGTATCAAGTTATAGCATGGATACAAGTATTTTATGGCCAAGAAGAAATGATTTACTTTTTGTAGGATTTGGTCAAATTATTTTATATGAAAAGGGGAATCAGATAACTTAAAAAATTGGCGTATAAGTGAAATTGGCTATTTTTTTTAGCCACCCTATGCAGACAAAAATAAATATCAGAGAATGCATGGATAATTTGTATTTTGTTTTACTGATTGAGTTAAGTTTATATGTGGTTATATTTGGCTTATGGTTTTTGAGAATTTTTTTTAATTTTGGGCTGGTTCTGATTGTCAGTAACATGGCTTCAAGTTACTGAAGATTCTGAACATTTTTTCCAGGGAAACTAGTTGTTAATTTCTTGTTGACAACAGGCTCAATTTTTTTTTAACCCTTTCGACCCTAGCAACTTGTTTACCGCCCACACACTAACGTAATGTATATCCGAGCATCCGGTATACGGGCCATTACTAAGTGACGTCATACAACGTTAATATCATCACTTTTACTTTTATTACTTGAAGTTCAGGGTTCAAAGGGTTAAGGAAGTCTAAATTCTTGACCATTACTAAGATTTTTAATGAGCATGAAAGACAAGTACTTAGTTTTGAAATGTCAAATAATATGGTCTAAAAGGTTATCTTGATACAAATTTGATCTACTTTTAGGTACAAATTACAGATGTTTTAACTAAAATTGGAATGGTGTAATATAGTAATATTATGATTTTGTATATTATTTTTTCAGGCTAAAGAAAATGAACTAAATAGTATAGATAAATTATTAGCTGATTCCATTACTCCAGTTAAACTACAACAGTTTACAGAACAACACAAAGATTTAATAACCAAACGTAGATCTTCACGCAAAGATAAAAACGCTAAGTGATATGTCTGTTGACCTTTTGAATTTAAGCGTCTGTTTTACATGCATTATAAATATGGTGTTAAATGATCAAGCAAACTACATCACATAGCATCTTTGTCATACACATTTCAACAGAGAGCTTGAATCTTTAAGGAAATGAATTCAAAAATTACTTATTGAGCAATATCATACAAAACACTTTGATATTTTGGTCGGTCAATTTGAAACTTGACAGAAATTGACTGATTGTAGATTATGTGGTTTTTACAATTGTAAATAGTAATTTATATTATATGTAGTTAACGATGTCATTTATCTAGAATAAGAAGGTTTTAACTAGTCATGCAAACTATTGAGATTTTCAAGACCTATTTGTTTTGACTACAAAAGTTTGTATAGGATTTTTAGAACTATAAATTGTTGTCATGCAAAGATGTTAATACATATCTTAGGTCATTTGAAATAGTCACAAAAGCAGTTTATTGGCTTTTGGGCATTCTTGACTATATGTAAGTCAATGTTCTTTGCAACTTAAGCTACGATTACATATATATGTAAGCATAATGCAAACTCAAAACGTGATAACGTGTATGTACGATGATTCCTCAAAACTGTCAATGTATACAGAAAACCATTAACTACAGTCCATAGTCATCTGCAAATGCAAAATAATGGGAGGTGGTGAATTTGAGGACACATGTAAGTAGGATTTGCGAATGATTTTTGATTTGATTTGCTCTGGTCTTTTTTTTATTGATTATGTGTTGAGTTTGTGTACAGATGTAATCGTAGCATTTGACTATGTAAAAATTTGAGATGTGTATCAATATCCTTGCCTGAATAGTTGGAATACCTGTTATTCTCAGTACCATGACTTATTAGTAGGCTATTTATTGTTTTTGTTACTTATTGTTATTGTTTATACTGCAACACATACATGTCTATCACCACAGGGACTCAATGAAAATTTTGTACAATTGGATGTGTCCGTAGGAAGAATTTTTTGTGGCTGATCAGCATAGAGTTTTCAGCAAGCATGTCCCAGACAATTCTCAAGTCCATAACTACTTTTATATTGTTATTTATATGTAGTGTTGTTGAATTTTATTTCTATTTTTTTTGTATATTTTAATACTGAAAATTTACATAAGGGTGATATTGAATAATGAATACAGATCAGTGTTTATAAGGATGGAATCAAATTTTAGTTTCTATTATGAATTATGAGAGCTGAATTCCAGTAAGTAAATTCAGATTTAGATTTATTTTTATCATGTATTGGTAAAGTGAGAGTCAAGTTATTCTATCCAGTCAATTTGATAATGTTCCAGGTAATTGTCATCTACTTATATTTCCAGGGGGGCTTTAGTTGTCACATTCTTTGCTTTCAAGGGGGAATAGGTTTTGCCTTCAAGTTGGAATAAATGTCATGTTCTTTCAAAAGGGAGAACATCCATCTTTGCTTTCTAGGGAAATAGGTGTCAAATTCTTTGCTTTCAAGGATTGGTGATATGTTTCATGATCTTTCCATTTGCAATAGAGGTCACCGTTCTTTTCTTTCCGTGGTGAATAGGTTTCATGTTCTTGCTTTTCAAGGGGAATAGGTGTCACTGTTCTTTTCTTTCCTTGGTGAATAGGTTTCATGTTCTTACTTTTCAAGGGGAATAGGTGTCACTGTTCTTTTCTTTCCATGGTGAATAGGTTTCATGTTCTTGCTTTTCAAGGGGAATAGGTGTCACTGTTCTTTTCTTTCCTTGGTGAATAGGTTTCATGTTCTTACTTTTCAAGGGGAATAGGTGTCACTGTTCTTTTCTTTCCGTGGTGAATAGGTTTCATGTTCTTACTTTTCAAGGGAAATAGGTGTCACTGTTCTTTTCTTTCAGTGGTGAATAGGTTTCATGTTCTTACTTTTCAAGGGAAATAGGTGTCACTGTTCTTTTCTTTCCCGGAGTAATAGGTGTTATGTTCTTACTCTTCCAGGGGGAATAAGCTTCATGTTCTTACTTTTCCAAGGTGAATCAGTTTCTTATTCTTTCTTTTCCAGGGGGAATGTTGGCCTACGTTCTTTCCTTTCCAGGGGGAATAATTGCCACCGTTGTTTTCTTTCCAGGGGGAATAGGTGCCACCGTTCTTTCCTTTCAGGGGGAATAGGTGTCACTGTTCATGACTCTTTTCTTTCCAGGTCGATTAAGTGCCACCTTATTTCTTTCCAGGGAAAAATAAGTGCCACCGTTTTGGCCTTTCTGGACGGAATAGGTGTCATGTTCTTACTTTTCCAGAGGGAATAAGTGTCACATTATTTCCTTTCCAGGGGGGGATTAGGTATCACCGTTCTCTTATCAAGGGGGAATTAGTGCCACCGTTCTTTTCTTTTCAAACGGGGATAAGGTATCATGGTGCTACTAGGAATGGGTGCTACCGTTCTTTCCTTTCAAGGGGGAATGGGTGCTACCGTTCTTTCCTTTTGAGGGGGGAATGGGCGCTACCGTTCTTCCCTTTCAAGGGGGAATGGGTGGCGCCCTTCTCCCCTTTCAAGGGGGAATGGGTGCCACCGTTATTCCCTTTCAAGGGGGAATGGGTGCTACCGTTCTTTCCTTACTGGGGGGGAATGGGTGCTACCGTTCTTCCCTTTCAAGGGGAATGGGTGCTACCGTTCTTTCCTTTCTAGGGGGAATGGATGCTACCGTTCTTTCCTTTCAAGGGGGAATGGGTGCTACCGTTCTCCCCTTTTAAGGGGGAATGGGTACTACCGTTCTTCCCTTTCAAGGGGGAATGGGTGCTACCGTTCTCCCCTTTCAAGGGGAATGGGTGCCACCGTTCTCCCCTTTCAAGGGGGAATGGGTGCCATCGTTCTTCCCTTTCAAGGGGGAATGGGTGCTACCGTTGTTTCCTTACTGGGGGGAAAAGGTGCCACCGTTCTTTCCTTTTGAGGGGGAATGAGTGCTACCGTTCTCCCCTTACAAGGGGGAATGGCTGCCACCGTTATTTCCTTTCACGGGGGAATGGGTGCCACCGTTCTTCCCTTTCAGGGGGGAATGGGTGCTACCGCTCTTTCCTTTCAAGGGGGAATGGGTGTCACCGTTCTCCCCTTTCAAGGGGGAATGGGTGCCACCGTTCTTCCCTTTCAAGGGGGAATGGGTGTCACCGTTCTCCCCTTTCAAGGGGGAATGGGTGCTACCGTTCTTTCCTTTCTAGGGGGAATGGATGCAACCGTTCTTTCCTTTCAAGGGGGAATGGGTGCTACCGTTCTCCCCTTTTAAGGGGGAATGGGTGCAACCGTTATCCCCTTTCAAGGGGGAATGGGTGCCACCGTTCTCCCCTTTCAAGGGGGAATGGGTGCCACCGCTCTTTCCTTTCAAGGGGGAATGGATGCCACCGTTCTCCCCTTTCAAGGGGGAATGGATGCCACCGTTCTCCCCTTTCAAGGGGGAATGGGTGCTACCGTTCTCCCCTTACAAGGGGGAATGGGTGCTACCGTTCTTTCCTTACTGGGGGGAATGGGTGCTACCGTTCTTTCCTTACTGGGGGGAATGGGTGCTACCGTTCTTCCCTTTCAAGGGGGAATGGGTGCTACCGTTCTTTCCTTACTGGGGGGAATGGGTGCTACCGTTATTCCCTTTGAAGGGGGAATGGGTGCCACCGTTCTTCCCTTTCAAGGGGGAATGGGCGCTACCGTTCTCCCCTTTCAAGGGGGAATGGGTGCCACCGTTCTCCGCTTTCAAGGGGGAATGGATGCCACCGTTCTCCCCTTTCAAGGGGGAATGGATGCCACCGTTCTCCCCTTACAAGGGGGAATGGGTGCCACCGTTCTTCCCTTTCGAGGGGGAAATGGGTGCCACCGTTCTTCCCTTTCGAGGAGGGATGGGCGCCACCGTTCTTCCCTTTCAAGGGGGAATAGGACCGTTCTCCCCTTTTAAGGGGGAATGGGTGCCACCGTTCTCCCCTTTCAAGGGGGAATGGGTGCCACCGTTCTCCCCTTTCAAGGGGGAATGGGTGCCACCGTTCTCCCCTTTCAAGGGGGAATGGGTGCCACCGTTCTTTCCTTTCGAGGGGGAATGGGTGCTACCGTTCTTTCCTTTCAAGGGGGAATGGGTGCCACCGTTCTTCCCTTTCGAGGGGGAAATGGGTGCCACCGTTCTTCCCTTTCGAGGGGGAATGGGCGCCACCGTTCTTCCCTTTCAAGGGGGAATAGGACCGTTCTCCCCTTTTAAGGGGGAATGGGTGCCACCGTTCTCCCCTTTCAAGGGGGAATGGGTGCCACCGTTCTCCCCTTTCAAGGGGGAATGGGTGCCACCGTTCTCCCCTTTCAAGGGGGAATGGGTGCCACCGTTCTTTCCTTTCGAGGGGGAATGGGTGCTACCGTTCTTTCCTTTCAAGGGGGAATGGGTGTCACCGTTCTTTCCTTTCAAGGGGGAATGGCTGCCACCGTTATTTCCTTTCAAGGGGGAATGGGTATCACCGTTTTTTTCAAGCACCAATTCCCCCTCAAAAGGAAAGAACGGTAGCACTCATTCCCCCTTGAAAAGAAAGAACGGTAGCACCCATTAAAGGGGGAGTGGGTGCCACCGTTCTCCCCTTTCTAGGGGGAATGGGTGTTACCGCCCTTTCCTATTCCCCCTGGAAAGGAAAGAAGGGTATCACATTCTTCCTTGAAAGTATGATGGTTCCCATTCCCCCTTTCCAGAGGGAATAGGTGTTGCTGTTCTCTACTTTACAAGGGGAATAGGTGCCATCGTCCTTTCCTTTCCCTGGAAAATGACACCTATTCCCCCCCTGGAAAATGACACCTATTTCCCCCAGGAATCAAGAGAACGGTGACACTTATTCTCCCTGGAAAGTAAATAACACACATCATATTCTTTATAGAAACTCTTGAAATATACATGTAAACTGTGCAATATTAAAATCATTAGTTATAAAGAATTGTTTTGATATTATCATTCAACTCCAAACCTTAAGAATAATTATCATTTGACCTCTGACCTTTATCTTAATTAAATAGTTTTAATGAATTTCAGATACAAAAACATAACAAAGAAGTAACAAAACAGGATTTTTAAGTTCAATACAAAACTTCAAAATAAACAATGAAATTTCTCTAAACAATAGTAGAAGGCCATTGTAATCGTTTTTGACAATCTAATAAGTAAATATTGAAATATCACATGTAAAAAAAAAACACCAGCAAAAATAAAAGTTTTGATAATTTGAGACATTTATATACGTCATAGCCAAAATCTATAATTCAATCTAAATAAAAATTGCTAATTAATGTATTTACAATTGGTATTTTATTTAATAGTAAGAGGAATAGATTGGAATGCATATTTATTTCCATGTTCCTTTCACAAGGTTAAATATTATCCATATCAATATATAGTTAATATCGAACGTTGCTAAAGGAACATGATTTATTTCACTCTTTCATATTGTCCACATAGAAAGATGTTGGTGTATAAAAGTAAGAATTCACCGGGTTGTAAGGATGCACACTGTGCATTTTGAAACAAGGAAGACAACTTTCATATACAAACATATAGATTTCCAGCCCTAAAGTACATGCCAACAACAAGTGGTGTAGCCAACAACCCATTGGTGTTTATGTCAACAACCCATTGGTGTTTATGTCAACAACCAAGTGGTATACATGTCAACAACCAAGTGGTATCAAGTGGTATACATGTCAACAACCAAGTGGTATACATGTCAACAACCAAGTGGTATACATGTCAACAACCAAGTGGTATCAAGTGGTATACATGTCAACAACCAAGTGGTATACATGTCAACAACCAAGTGGTATACATGTCAACAACCAAGTGGTATACATGTCAACAACCAAGTGGTATCAAGTGGTATACATGTCAACAACCCATTGGTGTTTATGTCAACAACCAAGTGGTGTACATGTCAACAACCCAGTGGTGTACACGTCAACAACCAAGTGGTATACATGTCAACAACCAAGTGGTGTACATGTCAACAACCATGTGGTATCAAGTGGTATACATGTCAACAACCAAGTGGTAAACATGTCAACAACCCATTGGTGTTTATGTCAACAACCAAGTGGTATACATGTCAACAACCAAGTGGTGTACATGTCAACAACCCAGTGGTGTACACGTCAACAACCCAGTGGTATACACGTCAACAACCATGTGGTGTACATGTCAACAACCATGTGGTGTACATGTCAACAACCCAGCGGTGTACATGTCAACATCGTTTACCTCAACAACCAGTTTTGTTTACCCCAACAATAAGTGGTGTACATGTCAACAATCAACTGTGTACATTATTATGCTCTAATCAACAATGCTTCATTCTTAATAATGGAAAATTAAAGAGCTACATATATATAAAACAATATTAAACAAAACAAGCCATAAACCTAACAATTAAATATCTGCTTTTTTGGCAGCATGATGAGAGTCCCTAATTCATAATATTTCATTAAAATACATAAATTACTCAAAAAATAATATTAAGTTCATTCTACGAGTATTTTCAGAGGTGTTTTGATCATAGCTCCCTCTATGAAGTCTCCATATTGGCCAAAATTCTAGAAATTTCAGCTCTTTGACCTGAGGTCATGTGTTGTGTTATATGAACTATAGAATCCATGGCTACATCAGGGTTGTCATCCAATAAACTGAAATATAAACCGTGGTAGTTAATTTCCGTCATGTACATATACTTCAAAAAAAGCAGTAAAGTGTCTGGATCAAAGAGGCTAATCAGATACTCTGTGCTATGTTTCTGAATAAGGCTTATAAAGACAGAACAGAGGAAAATTTGCCTACCCTATTTGATTGCTAATGACAAAGGTATTTTCAACCTTATTTTAATTTATTATAGCTCCTAATTTGCGTACTATTATCGTGACCATTATCAATAGTGACTATAAACAAAGACTTACTTTCTAACTTTCTGTAAAACATGTTCCCTTTGTATACATTTAATATTCTCTTCTAATAAATTACTTTCATTATTGTCATCTAATTGTTCTGATAGCCATTTTACAGCAGATGCATCATCTTCCCATTGGTAGCCCTACAATACAGACTTTATTGTATATTTTACTGTTCTGCATAATATCGCTAGCTTCCAACTGTCTAATAAGAATCTTTTGGCAATCGGAAAGTACTCTATTTCTATGTTATTGAATACATACAGCTTTGATATGTCTTCTACTTACATTAATGGTACCTTTATCTTCAACAAACCATCGACTTAACATAGAATTTAACTGAGCTTCTACTAAATTATTGGTATATTTCCTCATTTTATCTTTAACTTGATTTTCTAATAATCTTCTTCTTAATCTCCAATAGAAAAACTTTCTACTGGTCTTCCATTCCAGCACATTCTAAAATCATAACAGAACAAAATATATCATTTCCTCTCTAGTAATTCTTAGCATTGACTAATTTCCCTGACAAAGATAATTTCAGTGGCGGAGCCAGGTGCCTCCCCTCGCTGCCCTGAAAGCAAGATTTTCAGACAAAACTCTCTTAACTAGGTTAGAAATTAGGGCAATCTCAGATATTTTTTACAAGAAAAAGTGCACCTGATTGGGCTTATTAAAATGAGCCAAGCCATGCAGCGTACAATGAAGGACAGCAGTATCAGTCTACTCTTTTCCCATGGGAAAAAGAATCTTTAATGTGCAGAGCCTGCTGCAGCCTTGTCCCATTCGAATACCTAGTTGCTTTTTTCATGTCAGCCATTATGACCTGTATCATTGACGAAGGATTAAAAGTATATTTTGACCAATGACAGTCTTAGACATTCTAGTATGCAATCGAGCATCCAATTCCTGACCAGCCACAGACCCCTCAATTTTCAGCCTGATTAAGATCATATCAAAACTTACGGAAATAACTCCTTTCTCTTCCATTCTACCTGGTGTATCATGAAGATCAGCAAACTGAACAGCTACTGTATGATACATAGGTAATAAACTTTCTTCTCTTTCCTTTAACTGTACTTTTAATTTACTCTTTTCTTCTTCTTTTAAGTCAGGATTACTTAATTGTTCTATCAGCTGACGACATTTATGATCTAGTCTACGTATCGATTTTTCCAGGTCTTTCCGTCTGAATTTAATCTCTACAGTACCTTCTGGTTCTAATACGCCACCCCTTCAAAATACATTTTAATTGAAATGAGTTAAACATGAACTTTCTGTATTTTGTGGGTTCCTAAGCTAATAAAGATAAAAACATCAGTGCATTCATGGAAGGATATTATTTAATCCCAAATTTATTCTGAACACAAAATTTAGCATACTTGTCCAGTTTCACAAAGTACTTATAAATTTACCAATTAAATTTTTTTCCATAAGGTATTTGAATCTGGTGTATATGTCTTCATATCTAAAACAGGTGTGGACTTGCACTTTTATCACATAGTGCTATTTGGCAACCTACCTGCTGAGTTGATCAGCAAACATTTCCATATGAGTAGGATTAATGGAGGGATCCACTACTACCCAGGCTCCACCTCGTAATTCAGCATAAGGTGGTATATACACTAATATAGGCTGCTTATAATCACGTAATGCATCAACGATATACGATCCAAACTTTAATACTTGGTCATACATATCTGAAAAGAAATGTCTGAACCTCAATTGCTCCATAGAAAGGGTCATGCAGGGAAAAAAATATACAATTTTACAGTGATGTCATTCAGGTTGTCTGTATTGAGGACAGATGGCTTTGAATGCATATTCACACCCAATGTATATTCTTTTTAAATCTGATTAATGTTACAATACCTACCCTTCATGCCACCAGAAAACCCTCTCCAATTGGCAAACACCATCAATGGTAGCTCTTCGCGATTGAAGTCCATTATAGCCTGTGCTGTTTTAAATGCAGAATCAGGAAACCAGACTTGTCCTGCCTGTTGTATAACTTTAGATTCTGAGTCTAGATTAGCAGGATCTGCAGGAACTTGTAATTCTACAGTTCTAGTTTCAACTGATACTACACCTACTGGAATACCACCCAATCTGCAAATAAAATGTAAAATATATATCTACTATTTTTACATGTAAATATAAACACATGTTAACCCTAAAATATTAAATTATAAAGGTAAGAACATAAATATTATCAAAAATTATCTTCAAACACAAAAGAGTTTTGATCATCTCTGAAATTTGAAATTTCACCATTTTTAAGCACCTTGAAATCTTATCAAACTGAAATCTCAAAAGCTTTCAAGCCCAAACTGTGGTCAAACAAGCAATAAAAAAAGCTATTCCTTACCTTGCTCTGCCAGTAACAACAGTTTGTGCCCATGGTGATAAAATTTCTGACCATGTTCCTCTGTCAAAAAATCCTGTTTGGTATGTTTTACCATCTGAAATTATAATATCAAAAATACATACTCAACAACTCATATCATGGATGAAGAGAGTAGTATTTCAAAGAACAATAAGGGTGTCGCTCGATTGGTTAATTCTGAACAGGTTCCACTTGTTCCAATTATTCTGGCTTGTATCAAATGATATGGAACCGGATGTCATATTCAAAATTTAACCTTCCACATTCTCAGCCATTTTGAATTCTGTCCACACCTTCTTTTTGTAGGAACACATTCTGAACCCTGTTTCAAATTGTTTTATAACAGAAAGACTAGCTGACTGGTCATCTCATCTTAGACGTGACTTACCTGGTAATTTGCGGCCAGCTAACATCCAGCGTACATCATACGGTGATTTAGTTGGTACAAACTCTATCTCTCTATCTATACAATCTGTTGGTTCCATAATAGGTACACCAGCACCATGACACTGTCAATAGAATTAACAATACTACATTGAAGACATAGTAAACTGTCTGACAATGGCAGACTTAAAGGAATTGGTAAGTGGTATCTAGTATAACAACAGGAGAGTGGGGTGTTAGAGAATAAGTGTGGTCTAAAATAACAATCAATGTTCAGTTATGCCGGCACAAAGTAAAAGTATCCTATTATTGAGTAAATCATCCAGTGGTAATGGTAAGCTTTTTAGAAATGTAGAAGAAACTTTTGCATGTTTTTGTTGTTTTCTTATAAAACTTTGGACTGTATCATATATACATAAAGTAAATACCCATACTGCCATATGTCAATAAAACTTCACAATATATCACAAGCTCAACTGAAATTAACCAAACGTAAGAAATCCATCACCCCAGGAATGAATCAAGGCATGTTTCAGCAGAATAATAACATACCTTTGGAACATAAGATAACCAATGTACAACTTTAAATACTCCGTCAAAATCGTCTGAAACTACATCATGTGATACACCATTATTATGCATGATCTGTATACCACCTAGCTGTCCATTACTAGTATATACCTCACGTCCCAATACCTATCAATACAAAATTATTTTCTTTAAAGATGGGTTCCCTTATTTTCATTTCAAAAATGAAAATGCTTATACTTATATGAATAGAAAGTAGAGGTGTTCTAATGACTTGGAAAAACACCACTTTGTCTGACATGTCCATAATTAATTCATAATTATCATTAGAGAATTTTCAGCAGAATTCCAATGAGTGACCAATCAAAAAAGGTCAAAAAGTCTTTTTGTTTATCCAGACTGTACATACATGGACATAATATATGACTGGTTTAAACTCTAAATTATATGCAATAAGAACATAATGATATGATTAAGAATAAATGATATTTCATTAGAAACACCAATTAATTAAATAGTTTGCTGTATTTTGTACACTAAAAAATAAGGAAACCCATCTTTAACTATGTATGAAATTGTCAAAATAACCTTGCTAAAATGGTATCCAAATGTTGTTTCAAGACAAACACATAATATTATCATAACGATGCCTGCCATCAAATTCCTTTGCAGGGAAAGAAAGTGTTCTTTGAATATAACAGATAATTTATAATAACTTTGCACTGATAGAAATACAATGTTATGCAAACAGATTTTCCTACGATCATTGCATACACTTTAGATTGAAACTACCCAAATTGAAATTGATGGCCCTTCATATGAACGAGAGGTAGGACTTCAATTCTAGTTAATTAATTTGCAAATCAAATAATCAGACAGCATCTTGCCCTTGAGAACTCATTACCTACCTTATTTAAAGCTCCAGCTCCTGTTAATATTATATGTGAGGATTCAACTTGAATAATTCTCTGTCCTAATCTCACTAAATACGCTCCAATACCTATTGCACGACAACTGACCTATAACAACAAATATTTACATCAAAATAAATCAAGCATTATAAATCTGTAATTATTGAACATTTCTTTAACAATTTCCTTCAAGGGACAGATTCACTATCCGTTAGACCAACTGTACCTTAGTTTAGAAATGGGATTTTTTAATCAGTAATAGTCTTTTCATGAGACTCTGCCAGACATATATAAAACAGACAGTGAAATTTCTAGATTGAGTTATATTTGAAGGGATTATGTGAATTTTAAGCACATCTGAAGACTATTTACATTTATTCATGACCCATGGCCTTTAATAACTTTAAGGGATCCATGCAAAAAAATTACACCTGAGGGAGTTCAATTAATATTAATCATATCACTTTTCAGAATGAAAATTTGATTTCTGATACATGTCTGATCAGAGCAAGTCGTATTTATTTGTCAAAGGGATGCACTGGTCTAACTGGCCAACATTCTCATGCAAATGACACTATGTATGTATACTTACTAGATTAATAGTAACAACTTCATTATAAGCTTGTGATGTTTCACCAGCTATCATACCAGATCCCTTTAAATTCTCTACTCCTAACCCATCTTCTTTACCTGCAAATTATGATATTCAATACATATTTGTTACTTTAATATTTTCTCGAAAAGCTGGTACATTTCTTATATTGCAGAAGAAACAGATTTCTTTCTGAAACAAACCACAATACCTCAAAATAAGCCAGTTTAGACTAATATTCTTTTAGTCAAAGTATTTGATGAGGGCAAGATGTCTTCTGCCAACTGGATCACTTCTATGAGTCGGTTAAGCAAATATAAAAATTTAATACATGTATAACCCTTTTTGAATACAAAAGTCTTTGGATTTAGAGCACTCTAGATGTCTTTGCAAATTCAAAATTGCAAATGTGCAGCTATATCTGAGGCTACAATGAGCACTTAGTTGCTAACCTATAATATCAGTAATCTTATATCTGGATTCTCCTTCATCTTCTATTAATTCAGCTCGTACAGAATTAGAGGCACTCACTTTCTTAAACTCATCTGGTCTCAGATAGAGATATTTAAATCCCTGTAAATACAATATAAATTTTTAAATAGTCAATGTGACCCAATTTATAGATGTATTTTGAAATATTTATATCATAGTCTTAATAAAGAGTTAATAATAGTAAAAAAGTGATTGTATGAGATCTTGTATGTTGATTTTGAGGACGGAAAATGTCACATGAAATAGTTTTATTCAACCTACATGACAGATTTGACACGTGTTCAGAAATCAAATAAATTGGATTTTCAAACAATTATTTCTTTAAAACATTAAAAACATAACGTACAGGACTGACCTCTGTCACACAACAATGATACACAGACTGTCATCTGCATCAGGATTTGAACCCAGTTGTGCAGTTCAGATATTTTTACATAGCTTGTTTACAATAATTGTAGCACCTCTATACAAAATGCCATTTTTTTTACACATATATAAAATGAATTTACCTTGTTAGCATCATCATTATCTATCCAGGCCACTCTAAATAAATGTTTTACTTCTTCAGCTAGACCTATTCTAGCTCCACTATTAGCTGCTATATAAACCCGAGGTAAACCTTGTTTACGTGATAATTCAGAAGCTCTCTAAAAAGACAAAGAAACCAGGTAGTTTGTGAGACAAGGTAACATACCACTACACCAACACTTAAATCATATAGTTCTTATTATTTCAGTCAATTTTGAACTTGTCTGTCATATTATCAGTGAAAACTTCATTGTGCTAACTAGTCTGATACAGTTTACAATAAATCAGAAACCATCCTGGAAATATCATCCAATATCTCATTAATCTTAATTTGGCGTATGATGTATCCAAATCACAACTTTATTCATGTACTTCAAATCTTTTCGGCTAGTTTTGTATCACAAGAGACCACAATTAATCCAATCCAGAAACTTTTAAAATAGATCAAGGGCAATGACGTTAACACCAAAATCATCCGAGATCTGAATAGTCATACATTGTTTAATTCAATTCAAATGAGAACTTTTTCTCTTCAAGTGAAGACATTGACTAAAATATTGTTCAGAATTGTTTGCATGTATTAAGGGGTCTGAACAAAACACATTACAAAGACAATCTGAAGCTATTCATACCTGAAATAGGATGTCTTCCTGAGGACCGAAGGAACCAATCTTAAATGTCATATCATTAGCTATAACAATAACATCTCTACCATCAGGATATTGTGGTGTTTTCATAGTCATTAACCATGCTACCATACCAATCTACAATATATAGGGCAATAAAGGACTGTCAATTTTTGCATTCTGAAATACCAGAAGTGAAATAACTTATTGCTATGTTATTAATTCAATTTTGAATTGATATCATTGATAATTGTTAATAGCTTTTCGTGCCCAATATGTAAAAATTCCGCAAGAGTACTACAACTACACAAAAATCCCATAATTCAATAATACCCTGAACTTTTTCCATTTTTGTCTTTTCTATATTTGGAGGAGTCTTGAGAAAACACATGGATTTGAAGGCTCAAATTTAAATGGTTAGCTGTGAACACTATTACTGATTGGTTTGAGAGATAAATAAACTTGTGTCAAGGGCAATAACTCTTACCTCATTTTCTCCTGGTAATCTATTTTGTTGTAGTAAATTACCATGATTATCTACTACCAATTCTATACATTTAAAAACATCATCTGAAGCTTCCCTTTCTTCTTGTTTAGTCACTTTATAATATTCTTTCCATGAATTGATTAAAGCCTACAGTATAAAATACGATGTTACGACATGGAAATTTGGGTCAAATATAGTGTTACGAATGGCATTCTATGGTTTGAAACAAATATTGGCAAACGATGGGCACCAAAAATGTTGAGGTGTTCTTTGCACTTTGCATGCAGTTTTTTTGTCAGTGTTATGGCTGACAAATAAGCACATGTTTAAAAGATCTTCAAGGAAAAGTTGTAAAATAGGTTTGTAAAAACATTAATATTTCAAATTTATCAATTCTTACCATTTTAAACATATCAGGATAATCATAGACATAGGTAGTACCACTGGATTGAGCTTGGAATCTTTTTAATTGTAGATGATCCTTAGTAAGATAGGGTGTACTAACAAATAGTCCATGGTACGGTCCTTGTCTAGCACCATAGGCTTCAAACATAATCTACAATATATATATATATATATTTATTATTAAACATAATCTACAAATATTCATCTTCAAACATTATCTACATTATATATTTAAGTTCAAACATTATCTACAATATATATATAAAAAAAAAAAATAATCTCCAATATACATGTTAATCATCTTCAAACATAATCTACAAAATACATTTATCTACAATACATTTGAGTAAGATGATCGTACATGTAAGTCAAATATTGTGGCGTTAATTTATGCACTTGAGTGAAACAGACTGTTTTTCAGTGGTGACACCTAGAAAAATACTTTGTTCTTCCAACTTCACCCCCACTTCATTTCTAACAAATTCTAAAATATGATTGTATACATTTTTGCATTAAGATATGTAACAGAATGCACCAAATCATATCTTTTTTTCGAACATTTTCATGGGGAGAAACCTCTCAAACGTTCCATGGCCTCTGTTTATAAGCTTCCACATAGCTGCCTCATTTTCAATTTTAATCCAGCCAGTCGGTCTGCCCATAATTATACTCCCAGTCTCGGGAGGCTGGAGACGTGGCTGCTGATAGCCACATAAAACTCAATCGGATCACGTATAAATATATAAAGTAATTTCACGATAAACAAAAAAAGACCAACCTGTCCAGTACGTTGATCTGTAATCTCTTTATATAAATTAATATCTAAATAATATCCACTATCATTAGTTATAAATATACGGATAGGAAAACTTGATCCTGATGTTGTTAACCTGTAAAATTATAGAGCATCTTCTTCAGTGCGTTTAATAACTTGAAGTACAAAAGATACCAATTTAAAGTGTACCATTGTGCTACCTGCTGGCTCATGCACTAGAATTCTGTAAGTTAGTTCAAGGTATAAACAGTAATGTCTGTAACCACAATTTGTTTTAAAGACTTGTTACCTGATGGTAAATTTAAGCTCAGCTTGTAAAACACGTAATTTCCACAATCTACTTCCATATCTCATAACCATATTACGTACTGTATCTTCTAACTATAAAACATTATATACAGATTAAAAACAATATCAAAATGAGCCAATAGCCTCTGATTTATGTCACGCTCCTTCAGAAAAACAACCTCCATAGGTATATCAGTTTTACAGCTAGATATTCTGCCATTTTCATGTCTATCTATTCAAAAATTTCCAGTATTCTTAAATTTTCGTCTCAAATTTTCTATTTCAAACCTAAAGCCACAAAGCATAATGTTGTTATCCTGAGTCTCAGAAGTTTATTTAAATTCTAAAATTACCTTTCCTGGTTCTGTCAGTGTTAGAGTTGGTACAAAATTTAAAAATATGTGATTACAATCTGTTTTCTGAGACTGAAATGTAAAATGTAAGAACAGTTCAACTCTAATGAAATGCAATTTGGACCCCAATGCCTGACAAAATAGATGTATAAATAAAAAAGGATTCATACAAGCAATCAAAATCTCATCAAAAGAATGGCAAAATCGAGAGTAAAAGTTGTGTGGTAGTGGACTCCTCCAAAGAGAAGTACCATCAGGTGTTTCGAAAAGAGTGAGCATGGCCTGCTTCGAGCGCGACCACAATGGTAAAAATCATGAGATACAACCTGATCAATTCAGGCTTGACCAAACATATGAGCATATTTATATTATGTTATTTACTTATCTTCATAAACTTCTAATACAGGGCCAAGATTTGATGTTCAACATTTTACAGGAAACTCTGACTGAATGTCATGAGACTCAAAGCTTAAGAATATGTACATGATGAAAATTGAAAATTCTTTAAGGTAATACATTACATCTATAAAAATTAACTTACATAAGAATGTGAGAATGCCACTTCTAAAGCATCCATTGCCTCTAATAGAGTTCTTTCTCCTTCATTTTGGAGATATTCAAATGATGCTTCCTGCAAAATGTAATATATGATATTGGTGATAGGGATGGAAAGATGAACCCAGGCCAACTTTTTGAATCCTTGAGGAAAATCACCTAATGCAGTAATCAGTAATTTTGTGTTCCCAAAGAAATATGTTTGTACTTAAGCCTATTAGTGCAACTGCTTCTTTGCCTTCCAAGAATCTTTTGGCAGCTTTATTCATGTGGCAAAAGTTTGAGCAAGAAATCTCAAAGAAATAAATTATCCTACCTTTGTAACTAAATCTGAATGTCTTATGATGGATCTGACAAAAAATCTATAATCTGTGACCTCTTGACCTTTGGCTACCTAAATGCAAAGCAAGGGATTATTTAAATTGCAAATTTAAAAACCCTGCTAACGACTCGTGCAGTTTTCTGGGCTAATGAAGACGTGGCAACACCATGCAGTGCGTAATGAGGGAAATTTTGCCAGGACAGTTAGATTGGCTTACACTTTTTCGAATTTCAAACTGTCGAGGGATCTTTAATTGGCATAGTATGGAACTTAATTTATTGTCACATGCGAAAGACTAGATTTTTCTCCTATAATCTGCAACACTGATGAAAAATCCGAAGGTATTATCTCAACAAGATCAAAGAAAGATGACAGAAAGCGACGGTACCTTAGCTTTACCAAAATATAAATGCATCTTATAATTGGCTGTTGGAATGATTTCTAGATCAAATTTACGTAGTCTGTTAATTTCAAGTTGGAAAGCCAGGCCAGGTTCTAAATGACGATAGATTCTATCTTCTTGAAACTGAAAATATATCAATAAAATTTATATAAGAACTACATTTTATTTACATGACTAATGGCATCAGACTGAAATTAAAATTAGAGTAGAGACAATTGACTTATTGAAATAAAATAAACTTATATTACTAAATGAAAATATACTAATAAAAGATAGACTGAGCTAGTTTGTAATATTCTTCACTGGCCTTGTCAATATGACTGAATCAAATTTCAAATTTCAAATATTTTGTTTCATTTTTTTATCAATTAGCATCAGGTGTTCATTTCTAGTTAAGACTTTAAAAGAACATGTATCATTTTGGTGTATAGTTTTCATTCATTTGTGTACTTAACTTTTTCGACCTACTAAAAAATCAGACTGTCCCTTTACGCTTTAGCTTTTGTTTTGGATTATTCATTTGTATTAATAACAATGGTTTTGATAGTGAAATATTCACATGGCATGTGTATCTTGAAGTTAAATTTTTAGAACTTGATGTGGAATAAAAGAATAAATAAATCAAATTTTTTTAGCATGCCAGTTGAATTTCCTAAGCCCAATCTATCATTTACACTACAAAAATATTTTAAATCAATTTAAAAAAAGGCATTAATACTTTTTCAACCTATCAAGCTCCAAACATAAACTCCAAGCAAAATATGGCTTATCTTATTTATAAACACCCATATCATGCATATAAGATATTGTAGATTTTTAGGCAATACCTACAAAAAGTCTTTGTCAGATTTGAACTATTTGTTAGAGAATTTGTGACTAGTATAGTTCTAGTACCACATCCACTCAAACACACAGCAAAAAAAATTGTCCATTTTAAGCATACCAGGAAGCAAAGAAAGATGCAGAATTTTCAGAAATAAGATATATCAAAGATACATATATGGGGCAACAGCAAAACATCAAACACTAATATGATGGATCCAATTTGCCAATTTTTTGCCTTAAGATTTTCACCAAAATGAAGAAAACAACTTTGCATCAAATTACATTTAGAGTCTGGAAAAGTCCAAATTTTGAAATTTAACTCCCGTTTCTGACCAATCTGTTTCGATTAAATACTGAAGATATATATCTTTGACATAAATATAGAAGCAGAATTAATATTGGACTACCATAAAGTTTTACCTATAAATTAACGTTAATAATACATTTCTAAATATTAAAGCCAAGGATATACAAAATAAATAGTCTGTTTTACAGGCCCAAAAATACCTGATTGTTGCCTTAATATTAAATGTACATTAAATTTGTGGTAATAAATAATAAATACTTTCGCCCGCTCCAAATTATTCCAGTTGAAAATCTAAACAAGCACTTATAAATAATAAATAATAAATTTTTTTTAAAAAAAGGCCTGTAAAACAGACTATTTATTTTGTATGTCCTAAAATATGTAAAATACTAAGACTAAAAATTGTTGTCTTCTTGAATTTTGATTGATTGAAAAAACAATTTTTCTAATCAATAATGTGAATAAAAAATCAGCTCTCTGTGGGCAATAGGGGAAATTTTTTGTTACATTAGCCTAGACTTTACCAATTTCAAATTTCAGGTCTACAGAGCCTGCTGATCCTGTCAAATACAGGTTTATCGTCAACATTTTATTATCATGTCAGCCTCTTTAAAGAACTGAGCGACTTTGGTACAAAATGTGAAACAAACTTGATAACGTTAACTTTAAATAAAACCATTCAATAATTTACCAATTTTCAACATTTGAACTGTCTGTTCCTTATTGACTGGGCTAATGAGGCTCGCTATTTAGGTCTCCATGTGAATCTTTGTGAGGCCTCTGACCTACACCCCAAAAAAATTTGCAAGGTTGACCTATGCCAGAAGTGACTCCCCTCTCCAGCATTGCTCTAAGCGACAACACATGAAATGAAATTTAATAAAAGATCCTGTAGAAATATAGGCATCAGTCATCACCTCTAAACAGTAAGACTACTTACATTTTCTTTACAGAAAGCTTGAAATTGGGCTGATATCTTATCATCATCTAGTTCATCATGACTGTGTATACCAATATTAATAATATGTATTGGATCATCTATATCAGATACACTCTAAAATTATCAATAATAATGTTAAATTACACATCTTAATATTTGGTGTCACATATAAGCACAGTCGGTTATAGTATTAGTTCTGTACAGGACGCCATTTGCTTGGTTATGTCCAACAAATGGGGTTTATAGGTTCTAATCTCAGTCAGCACATGAAAGTCCGATTGCCTACAATAAGTCATCTTAATTCATAATTTCATGGTCACAAACAGTTTCCATGGAAACTTGGGACACTTGATTTGTTTGACGTTGAGCAACAATGCTTTTCGGTCCTCTTCATTCAAGGAATATTTCATTTACAATGACAGTTTCGTATCTCCATCATTTATAATACGGCCAAATCCTCACTTCAAAAACAAACTGAATAATTCTACATGGCAATAATTACCTTATTAGAAAGGGTCTCTGAATCTAAATCAAATCCACTATCATGTAAACCTCCTACAGCTGGACTCTGTGGTGGTGAGGGGGAATCATAATTAAATCTTTCTAATAAATAGTGGAAGTTCCTGAAAGTCAAAAGAATCATCATGGTATGCAATCAATTTTCAAATAAACTGATCTTTTTATTTTTCAAAAATAAAGAGCTCAGGAATACGATCATTAACCCTTGAACACTGAGTCTTAATGAAAATTAATGGAGTTTAACATCGTACTCTTCTGCACCTAATGAAGACTGACATTGCCATGGAGTGTGCAAAGATGGAGAAGTTGACAGGAGAAAGGTATTGGTCTAGTCTTTTTTCTACTCCCAATGGATATTTAACATGCACAGCCTGTAGCACACAGGGCTTCAGTTTATTGTCCCATAGGAACAACAAGAAGATTTTTCCATGTAAACCCCTCTAACCTCCATCACTGACAAAGAGAAAACAAAATTCCAAGTAATATAACTTGGTATGATGCATCTGTTGTTTCAATGGTAGTTTCATGTAATTATTTTGTCTATTTTTATCCGCTCCAGGGCTGAACAAAACCCTTTCATAATGTGTTAAAAATACTTGTATACAATTTAATATCTCCACTTACGGTTGGAATTCTTCAAATGTATTGAATGCTGCCATGACACCCATTCTTTGACAAATTGGTGATTCTTCATAATGTTCCGAATTTTCAAAAATAAAATCTTCTGTTAATGTTGGTACACGTAGCAATCCACTGTCAAACCTTGTCACCATTAATCTACAATACATTATATAGACATAGTGAGTAAGGGGGCCTCTATGCAGAAGAGTAAACTTTGTACTTTGTTTGTGAACATGAATTTGTCAGGTCATTGTTGAAGGTTCAAATGTGACAAAAATCATGGCATGGCTTTATAGAGGCTTGGTGAACAGACAGTCCCCATGAAAATTCACAAAAATTACATTGTGTTTAAGAAAGGCATGATGAGCAGTCCAACAGAACATAACATTAAAAAATATTAGATATGATTCTTATGTTTACATGCTGATTAGGATTATGAAGACAGTCCCTGGACCTGCGATAAGCAAGCAGACATCTTACTCACTGAGCCATCATGGCTTCCTTCATAAAGAAAGCCAATAAAAATGACCTATGGATAAAACAGTTAATTTTCCAAAAATGCCAAATGTAGGGATAAGAAACAGAGAAAGAGGTTTAACTGTAACTATAATGTAGTAGAGAAAATTACCTATTTGGATGAGATCTCGGTAATAAAAATCTAAATTCAACTATACAGACGCCATTATCTAATCTAACATGTTGTAGACAGTTTAATTCATAAGCTATGTAGGCTCTTCTTATATACACCTACAATCATAATAATATATATATTCTTCTATAAATATTGGGGGGAAACACCTCCCTTTCTGTTCATCTCCAAAGTCTTTATCCTGACTTGGAAAAGCATTGTATATACTATGCTAAAATATTGGCTGAAAATCATTTTTATCAAAGCAATGACATTCTAAGACTAAGAGTACTATTTTAGGCTGTTACTCTAGTTCTAATTAAAAAAATGGAAAAAATTTAAAAAACTGTTTACTTTGCTCAGATAATAGTCCCATAGCTTCATTTTAACTAGAAATATATAAACTGCTAATGTTTTAGGGTGTAAAAATTCATGTTACATACCTCGAGAGCAGCCATTTTGACTAAATCATTTGGATGGAAGAAGAATTCTTGTAAAATATCATATATAGCTGTCTCAGAATTAATCAATTTCTGTAAATTTTCTGGGCAGAAGTCATGACCATACATATCAACAGCAGATAAAAATATAGATTCCATTTGATTATGACGTAGTTCAAATGGAGGTTGATGTGCTGCTATCAATACCTGCAATAAAACAAAACCACCATATAACTAATTGGGACGTGCTATGTCTTGGTTGATTGAAATCAGACACTCATGGGTTACCCAAGACTAAATTCTCATGTGTTTGCTTAATTCTCAATGCTGAATTCTCATTGTTGTTTAACATAATTCTCATTGTTGTATTCTCATTGTTTTGCATAATTCTCATTGTTTTACATAATTCTCAATGCTGAATTCTCATTGTTTAGCATAATTCTCATTGTTAAGCATAATTCTCATTGTTTTGCATAATTCTCAAAGCTGAATTCTCATTGTTAAGCATAATTCTCATTGTTTAGCATAATTCTCATTGTTGTATTCTCATTGTTTGCATAATTCTCAATGCTGAATTCTCATTCTTGTATTTTCATGTGTTGAACTAATTCCCTTACCTGATTTAAGAGAAAATTTCAAAACAAGCATTAGTAAACCAATATTATGGCTAAGATTATTTTTACCTGTCGAGCTCTAAGTGCCACTTTAGCATTCTCTGTTTTATTAAGCTGAGTTAATTCTGTTAAAATAGTTGCCAATTCATCTGTTAATCCTGGCTCTTTACCGCACAGATGATCCTACAAAATACAACAGAACAGAAGGGTTAAAGGGAATTTGCAAAATATAACAGAACAGAGGCTGAAATTTACAAAATAAAACAGAACAGAGGGAATATAACTAAAATTTACAAATTACAACAGAACCAAAGGGTTAACTGAAATTTTCAAAAAACATCACAGGAGAATTGTTAACCGAAATTTGTCGTGCATGGTATTCAAATTATCAATTCTAATACTGTGATGTACCTATTTCATATTTTCTTTGTTCATATTTGAGGGAAATTTAATAATTTTACATAAATTACAAAAAGCTGAAAGAAAGTAAGAGGTAAGAAACATATGATGTCACTTGATAGTGGTCACTTCACAGCTCGCTATCACTATAGAGTAGTCAGTGGTGTAGAAAGGGTTAATTACATTTTAGAAATATCCACACAAACTTCAAAATATAGCAAGAATCCATCATTACATTCAATATCTGTAATACTAACACATAATTTGAAGAAAAGGCAATCTGTTTAATGGTCATAGAGCACGTTTTTTTGGAGTTGTTTTGGGTCTTGAATATATGTAAATAGTCTTCAGAAGTACTAGAAATAATAATAATTCCTTCAAACTTTCTATTTCTGTATATATCTTGTATGGCAGTCTCAAGAAATGATGAGATGTCATTGTAACATTCAAATGCAGATAACTCTAGACACACATTGATTTGAAGGTACAAATTTCGACTGTGAGCTGTAAACACTATTACTGATAAGCATGGCTAAAAAATTCCTGTTTCTGATTGGTCAAAAGGATGGTGAATCTGTCCCTTTAAGGTGTTTGATAAAGTTAAAACAAGCAAGCTGTCAGAAAATAAAAACACAACACTCTATACATTAAACACAGCAAACAAACTAAAAAATAAATAAAATAATAAAACCTTTCTGATACAGAATCTCACCTTCAAAATATCATCCTGTAAAGAATTAGTTTAAATTTTTCTAGTAGCAAGAACATGCTGTTAATAACCAGCTTAAGAATAGCCGAGTAGGCAAACCCAGAAACATGCAAATGGACCTAATTTCAACACAGGTACCAATGGCGAAATTCCAATATGACCTTAAATTTTAAGATTATATTCATTCATTCAGTAGGGACGCAGGCGAATAATAGCAAAGGATTTATAGAGGGAAGGGGGTAATGCAATTGATCAAGGAACCTTGAAAGGGGTAAGAGAAAGAAAAGCGTTGAAAACTTGATCGAGGCATGAAATTAATTAAATGATTTTAAAAAGACCAAAGTAAAAAATTAAACAGGGTATTAAAAAAATCAAAATGAGTTCATGTATAAAAGCAGGCATTCTTAATTCAATATTTACTTAGCAAAGCCATTCATAACATAATAAGGAAGAATAGATTAAAGAAATACAATAAACACAATATAAACTTACAATCAGCATTATAACTAGAGTATTTTTGTGTTGAACAGCTAGATGTGAAAATATTGTAGCTGTAACAGTGGCCATATCATCTTTATTTCTCTCTCGAATTTTATATACACATTTATCATAATGTCCTGAAAAATATAAAAGAAAAATCTTTCAAAGCAAAAAGTGAGTAACAATTCCTTCTTTACCTTTGGAAAGCAAGAAATTACAAGTAGTTATTAACATATCATTAATGTGTTTTATGACGTCTCTATATGGGAGCTACCGGAAGCTACTATTAATATATATGCAGTTCCCCTCAAATGATGTCATAAAACGCGTAAGTTTTAGTGGAATTGCAAGGACCATAGACGTCAGAATGAAAACTAAAATGGAGCAAATTGATACTATCAGTGTCCCGATACACATAAAAAATTTAGAAAATCTCTTTACAATCCCTTTAACTCTTTTTATCAACTAATATCAAAATATTTCCAAATCTAACCTTTTAAAAAAGTCTGTCTAGTCTCTACAAATATAAAATATGATTAGAAATAGGCTACCTACCATTTTGGAATTGTAGTTCCATTTTAAGATATTGACGTAATAAATCTTGTACAACAGATTTCATGTGACCACGTATACCACTTCTATATCTCTGTACTAATTGAACGATACCCTGAGTTGTCATAAAGAATACATCCCTATCTGTCCGTTTGGTTAATGTCGCTGCATAACTATCAATAACATTGGCTATCTGAAATTCAAATACAACATCAAGTCACATGACTAACCAGTAAAAAAACAAAACATATATGGACGCTTGAAGTGTACTCTAGTGATTCCCCACGTGATATACTTATATGGATAACTTCTTGTTTCGTACAGCCACTTATCTATATCGTATCAAGATGAAACCCCATTTCTGGAGGTAGATTTTTCTATCTGATTATAACCGAATAAATTTATCTGCCAATGCGAAAGAAACTGGATAGAACTGGATAGAACCAAATTACTTTTGTAGTGTGAAAGCAGTATAATAAGCTTGGACCGGCTCTCTCTTTCCTAGCATATGACATTAGTCTGAAAAGTGATAAAGATAGCTTGATAAAGAAAATATATAAATGAAACCCTTATTAAAACTCAATTGCTCACCTGTTGACTAGGAAATTGACATAATACTGATGTTATATTACTAGCATAGGAAGCCATCAATTTACGTATAGATCTCTCAACTTTGATAGGTACTCTTCCTGATATCATAGATATCAATTCCTATAAATACATATTGAATATGTACAAAAAGTACAAAAAGTTGGGGACACATAATGAGATTCAAGTGTAGTAGTACCATGAAGAGACAAATAGATACCTGCCAAAATACCATTGAATTTTCCCCTAAACATGGATAATCGTAATTTGAAAAAGTGGTTTAATTTAGATCGGGGGTGAAGTAGGAGTCACCGAATTTGAGACCAGGCATTTAAGAACTAATTGATAAGGCAATTGAAACTTTAGGGGGAGGAGGGGTTTGGGGGGGAGTACAGCTTCAGTTCTGGCACGATATATTGGTGAATCAATGCATTGCGATACGTCATGCCATGATACCTGTATCGTATCGTGGCGCCGTGTATCGATACTTTATTCCATAAAAAAGTGCGGATTTTAAATGTTGTTTTATGATATAAAAATTTTTTCACTGATATTGTTAGAAACTTTTTATAAGACAGTGGACGCTAACCACTTCTATCAACTACAATACCAAATATCACAGTTATAAAGTTATAAATTAATATATATAGAAACATTTAATAAGACAGTGGACACTAACCACTTCTATCAACTATAATACCAAATATCATAGTTATAAAGTTATAAATTAATATATATAGAAACTTTTAATAAGACAGTGGACACTAACCACTTCTATCAACTATATTATCAAATATCACAGTTATAAAGTTATAAATTAATATATATAGAAACTTTTAATAAGACAGTGGACACTAACCACTTCTATCAACTATATTACCAAATATCACAGTTATAAAGTTATAAATTAATATATATAGAAACTTGTAGAAGATAAAATGTTAATTTTGATCTCATTAGACCTTATCACGAGAAGTATTGTATCGCGACCCTTGTATCGCATTATGTATCGTATCGTGACCCTTGTATCGCGATATGTAGCGTATCGTGGCATGATTGTCAATATCAAGCACTATTGCTGGCGTGGCTAAGTCCCCATTGATTTGAAATACTGAGAATACAATACCTGTAATTCTAGTAGAGGTAATGCTGGATCTTTTAAACATTTCATCATACTTTCAACAGTCTTTGATAATAACTCAGTGAAATATGGTTCTGGTAAGATATAACCAGACAATATATTCTCTAAAACATTCCTAGCACTCTGAAATACTTGATGTAATCTATCACCATGTGTGGACGGACTATTAGACACTGGTAGTTTACCTTTAAATGGTGTTGCCTGTAAAGACGAAATAATTGGATTAATTTAAGAAACAGCAGACAAAAAAAATTCATTTTCTAACACCTGGCTAAATATTTCACCTATATATCTGTCATCTTAATCATAAACCTACATACACTGTCCATGCACATTATCTAAATCATGAACCTATGGTTCATACTTATTGCTAAAATCATTAACCCATATACTTGTAGTCTAAATCATGAACCTATGGTGTATACTTGCTATCAAAATCATTAAACCATATACCTGTAGTCTAAATCATGAACCTATGGTGCATACTTGCTATTAAAATCATTAAACCATATACCTGTAGTCTAAATCATGAACCTATGGTGTATACTTGCTATTAAAATCATTAAACCATATACCTGTAGTCTATATCATGAACCTATGGTGTATACTTGCTATCAAAATCATTAAACCATATACCTGTAGTCTAAATCATGAAAACACATACAGGATGTCTAAATCATGAAAACATCTACTTGGTGACTGGTGTCTAAATCATGAACCCAAATACATGTTGTCTAAATCATTTATTCTCATAAACAAGCACTGTTTAATTCTACATCTAAATCTACATACCTGCTATCCAAAACACTGTCTAAATGATGAACCCCATACACGTGTAGTCTAAATCATTTACAAAGATACAAACCCTATCTAAATCATGAACCTACATTCCTTCTGTCTAAATCATCTACCTATTATTTATACACTGTCAAAATCATTACATATACTGTCAGCCATGAAAATAGACCTACCTGTTGAACACGACTAGGATCATCTAATTGTAAATGTGCTACAACACTTCCAGGTTCTAATACAGCTCCTGGTCTTTTACTGTAGTGTATACTGAAACCAAATAAAATTATTGAAGATAATCAGTTTTTGTGTGTAGCCGAATGAGAGTTGAAATTTGTGTGTAGCCGCATGTAGCAGTGAGGCACAAATATATACTCTATGAATGTACAATAACAAAATATTTTCATTGTAAAAATGGTACAATTCGTCAATTGTACAGTGATATAGAAATATCAAAACAGAGCAGAACATGTTGTTTCACGCTCAAAGGGATCCTTTCTGTGTGTATTGTGGACAATGATAGCATTGATTTGCATTATTTTAACTCTGGGTTTTGCAATTAAATAAAGCATTTTATAACACAAATGCTTCAACAGAAATAGTGAGCCTGTCATTTATTTGACACCCCTCAATCTTAAATGAAATCTTCAAACTATGCTTACAGCACTCTTAACATCATACAGTGTTAAGCATGTTTAGATGAGTTCATTATCTTAATATAGGGAATAACTATAAATAAACATCCATACCATCCACTTTCACTGACTGTTAATTCCATCACCATTTTCATTACTTCAATTTCAGCATAAACATCTCCCGAAAATACATGTCCTCCATCTTCTACTAGATAGTTTAATAATTTACCAGCTGACGATGACCTACAAACAAAAAATCAAAACATTCTTATCTAGTCGTATGTTATGGCATGGTATGGCATAACATAGAACATCAGCAAAAACAAATGCTAAAATATTGTGCTTGTGAAACACTCATTGACCTGAGCAAGCCTGTTAGATCCCTAAGCAACACCTTACCTTAGGATAGTGGGATCATTTTCTTTAGATAGTACACACGTCTGATTACCAATAATAATTCTAAAGGATCCAACTTGTTCTTTCATATAGGTAGTATAACTTGATCCATCTATAGATAATAATAGTCCACCATCTGTTAATCTACAAATAGTTAACAATATACAAATAGTTAACAATATACAAATAGTTCACAATATACAAATAGTTCACAATATACAAATAGTTAACAATATACAAATAGTTAACAATATACAAATAGTTAACGATATACAAATAGTTAACAATATACAAATAGTTAACAATATACAAATAGTTAACAATATACAAATAGTTAACAATATACAAATAGTTAACCATATACAAATAGTTAACCATATACAAATAGTTAACAATATACAAAGTGTTAACAATATACAAATAGTTAACCATATCCAAATAGTTAACCATATACAAATAGTTAACAATATACAAAGTGTTAACAATATACAAATAGTTAACGATCTACAATAGTTAGCAATATACAATTTACTCCATTTAGATATGTTTGACTTGACTTAAAAATGTTTCTGTTAATAGGTGACTTCTTGCTCGGTCATTTATTTGTATTTTGTACAGATAGTGTTTAAGATTGCTTGGTTACATTATATTGCCATCAAATAATGTTTACACCAAAATACTTACTTGTGAGCTTCAACGTCTATTGAAGAATTATTGGTACATAAAAAATAACTACTTGCTCCTGTTTTTATCACCTATAATAGAATACAAACTAACTATGGTAAATGAAAATGAAAAGGCCTTTTCAGTTCTTTAATGTACTGAGTATGACATTCACAATTTCCCTTATTTCATACTGCATTGTGTTGCCTGACTTTATTACTCTTGTCATGAGCAGAAAAGCATAGAGTAAAACTTCAAAATTCATTTCAGTCTCTGCATGTATTTAAAAAAAAAACATTGTTCAAGAACTTACCTCAAGACTATATTTCATTCCTTCATAGATAAATTCTACACTTACAATATTCTTCAGTGAAAATGATGGTAAAATTTGACCTCTAAAAAAATTAACATAATCCTAAGAATAAAGACAATGGGTTGCAGCCATTCTTACTCTGTTCCATTTTCACCCTTTAGATAAACAAGGCCTTGTAAACTACACAATGTATATATCAAACATTTGGGAATCAAAAGAGAGATTAACCTCAATTTTCTGACAAAATTTCCTACATTGTACACTCAATGGCATTGTCTGTATGTATGAATTAGGCATTAATGCAAAATATAATAGGTCATAAGCCCCACAATTTCATGTCAATCTCCATAAACTTGTTGAATACAAACATATGAATAGGATGAATAAACCACCAAAGAACCAAACGTTCCACTTACTTTTCCAGAGATGTTTGAAAATCAGTAAAATTGCTTCGAATTTTTTTATCAGCTATGTGTAAGGCACCACACATGACACCTAACATGGTATCTGGTTTCTCAGCTTGTACTTTCTCAGCTATCAGTCTATCTAGCCAACCAGTTGTGATATAGTTCTGTTGGTAGGCATCTGTTTCTAGCAATTTAATCAGATATTCTACTGTTGTTCTGAAATCACCTCTAATTGATAGTTCTTTTAAAGCTATGACCAAATTCCTGCAGAAAATAATTCAACTCTTTAAATAACGAGATAAAAAGTTAATATTTACCTTATACCCAGAGCTCCTAGCTGGGAAGTAGAGCTGAACGACTTAAGTATGGAGAAAAACATATAATATTGAAGCTTTAAAAGTAGAGTTGTATGACGCCAATTTGAAATGGACACTTTATATTCTAGGGTTGAGGTACATGTACATACAAAATACTCTTATTTGTGCAAGTTTAACCTTCACAGCTATCACAAGTTGCATATTGTTGTGACAATTTGCATATATAGGCATCTTAATTTTTATAAAGTTTTAAAATTACAATTGCAAAGGTGCAAAAATGCTAACCAAAGTTGCTTTCTCCTCGGTTTCTATATGAATTTACAGGATAAATTTTGTCAATTCTTTGAAAGCTTGAGTCAGTGGTAAAGTTCATCAATTAATGTTCAAAATATCAATTCTAAGACTTACTCTCGAGCATCTTCTCTACTTTCACCCCAAGAAAAACAATGTCCAAATTGAGAATCAGCAAACTCATGTAGACCACCAGAAGCTGCCACACTGAAGTATCCCCACACATTCTTGTTGCTACGGAAATTTAGCTCTTGTACTGTTCCTGAACTTGGTTTAAATCCCTGTAATACAAATAATCCCAAAATTTGAAGTTTTTCAACATTTTTAAAGAGCATTGGATTATCAGACTAAAAATAGTATTTCTCTCCTAGAAATTTCAACCCAAAAAATTCTGAAAAAACATAATGAAGACATAATGTTAAAGACATTTTAAGACTAACAGTACTATTTTGAGGCTGCTATTCCAATTCTCATAAAAACAATAGGAAAAATTCAAAACACTGTTTACTTTGCTCAGACAATAGAAAGATTTTTTTTACCAGCTGTTTTTGAGTCAAACTTGGTATTGATTTTTTATGTATTATATGTATCATTTTCATAATGGCATGACTGGAATATTGAGTAAAGATAACTTATTCTTAATATCACTGGAAAAAGTAAAAGCTGTCATGTAAAGATTCCAACACAATAACTCACAGTGCTACAGCCACCCTCAATAATATCCATTTGTGCATGAATATTTTTACCTCGTACCAAAATGGTATAAATAGAACTTCTTACCTCATCAGGATTCTCACTAGTAATTCTAGCTGCTATCACATGACCTTTAGGTACTGGTTTAACTTGTGGATCATCAAAATCTATAGAGTTATCTCCCCATGGATCTTCACCATACAACATTCTTATGTCTTTAATTCTATAGAGTGGTATACCCATAGCAATCTATATATGAATGGAAATGAAATGGAACTCAGAATTCTAGTCTAATGCTACCTAAAGGGTAAATGAGGTCATGCAGTTTGCAATGATGAAAATTTAGCCTGAACAGGTCTAAAAATTTATTGATCAAGGGTTTAATATGGAAACTGACACATGTACCCTTGAGTTATCAAGATGAGAAATGTGGTCATAAAAAAGCAATGAAATTTAAAAAAACAAAAACTGTACCTGTAATTGAGCAGCAGGTAGATTGACGTCTGCTATCATTTCTGTACAAGGATGTTCAACTTGTAATCTAGGATTCAACTCTAGGAAATGGAAATTAGCTTCTTCAGCATTATATAAATATTCTACAGTACCAGCACTAACATAACCCACCATTTTAGCCAGGGTAACTGCTGCCTGGAAACAAGATGAATGTAGAATAAATTTTTTGCTATTGAATATGAGAGTACCAAAAGTGTATTGTGAGAGGCTGAAGGTTCAAGGCCATTTTTTACAATAAAGACAGCATCAATATTGAAACACAATTGAAAACAAAAGTTGGAAACTTGAAACTCTATTTACTTCAACAGGTATGTTTTCATTAAATTGCAGACAACCCATATGTTGAATTTTCATTCTAATAAGAGATACATATTGTAGAAATTCAGCACTGGAGCTGGCAGAAAACTGTATCATTTCTGCAAATTTGGTATCAACAATTAAAATTTTATTATTCAATCATGTACCTTTTCCATTTTTTCAAAAACATCTGATTTGGCAATAACAGCTGGTGCTTCTTCAATAATCTTCTGATGTCTTCTTTGTATTGAACAGTCACGCCCAAATAAGGAGATAGCATTACCATAAATATCAGCTAGTAACTGTACTTCCAAATGACGGGCAGCAGACGCCAGTTTCATTATAAATATTGGTGAACCAGGTACTTCAGTCTGAACCTACAACAATTTTTAACAGGTTAAGCAAATCCAATTTGCTGGGTGGAATCTCAAAGAGTAATGCTTCATGGTACATTTGGTTTTCAGTTTACAGATTTGTAGTATGGGGTTAAGCAAGGTGCAAATAATGGCTTCTGTTGTTTTGGATTGAAAGTACTTGGTCTATCCCATATACCACTCCATTCATAATGATTTAACATAGTATGACAACTGAACGTGAAATGAATGGAGTTTTACATTCTACTCTTATTCAAGGGCTAATTTAAAAGGAAAGGATCTTTAATGTGCAAAGCCTGTAGCACACAGGGCAGTGGCGGAGCCAAAAGGGGGGGGGGGCAAAAGGGGCAGAAGCAAAAGCAAGTTTTTCGGGCAAAAATCTCATAACTAGGTTAGAAATTCGGGCAATCTAAGATATCTCGCCCCCCTCGGACGTAAACCTGGTTTCACCACTGACACAGGACCTCGGATTATTGTCTCATCCGAACAACAAGACGCTTTTTCCATGTCAGCCCCTCCGATCTGCATCATTGATGAGGGGCAAACCAGGAGTAGACCACTGATGATATAAAAACCACCGTTCAACTTGACATTCCACAGTGCTTTCTGATCTCAAAACATTAACACCAATCAGCATTCAGCATTGCGTAAATAATTACCAATGGATAATGAGAAAAAAGGTGATGTCATACTTGTCTGAATAAATTCGGGAACTCTTCAGCATTTTCAGCTTTTCTGATACCTTTCCCACCTCCTCCTTCTGAAGCTTTTATCATGACAGGAAAACCAATTTTTTTAGCTGATACTAATCCTTCATCTACATTTCTAGTACAACCTTGTCTATATATATCAGATGGTACATTTAATACTTTATTTTTACACAGATCTTCTTCACTGATTGGTAATTTTAAGCCTAGACGAAAAAAAAATAGTGAAACATATTACTTTTCAGAACCTGATAGAGACGAGACAGTTAGTTGGGTGCAGTGTGTATTAAGGAAACTTTTGTCAGGACAGTGGTATTAGCTTTTTTTTCCCTGATGTCAGTGATCCCTGGCATGCATACAGTTCTTTTTCCTGTTAGTCCCTTTCTCCTGCACTATTAACATACTATTCTGTTTCATGCATAATTTGTGTAACCTTTAGCATTCGGTGCTAAAGCTCTCTCAAAGAGAAACATTTTGAAATTAAGTTCATTCTCTGATCTTGAAGGGTTTGGAAAAAAATGTTTGTATTACACTTCTTTGTACACCACTTTCATTTTTTTTGCTCCAACAATTTAAATTTTCCTGTGCCTTTAAGTGTCCTGTATTTCCAGAAGATTTTTAATGGTGATAACATAATATAATCAACTTTTTCTTTACAAGTACTGCAGAAAATGAAATTGGAAGTAGACAAATAGAAGTTAAAAAAGTCCCTGATGTACAAACATGAATAAGAAATCCCTATTTTGTCTCCAAAGAGCTAAGAAAACCCATTTTTCATTCAATTATTGCCTATGCGAAATTGAAATATACCTGATCCACTCCAAGGTAACGTAGGTACACCAGCTGTTTGAGCAACAATAGATGAAGCTATTTTATCTCCTAATGACCACATAGCACCTTCTGGTGGACCTGAAATGAAGAGAAAATAATTCAAAATTTGTTAACTTATATGGAACTTACTAATATTGAAAGGAAATGAAATGAAAAAATCTATCTATACCACTTTTTCAGGGTAATGAAAATGGACCCATTACAGTGTACAGTGTGGCAAATAGTGTCAGAACAGATGTAATAGCCTAATCTTTTTTCGTATTTTTTTTCCAATGAATGCAAACGTTCATGTTTTTCAAAGAGAAAAATCAAACTAACCTATAAATGAAATATCATTTTTATGAAGTAATTCTGGTAATTTGGGATTTTCTGAAGCATGGCCCCATCCTGCCCATACAGCCTGAAATTACAACAGTACATGACAAACTATTATAAAAAATACATATAACTTCATTGTGAGACATTAGGGCTGAATTTTGTTCTGCTAGCAATAATGGCAAAATTCCAATGAACTCAAATTAATGGTGATGGAGACGTTTCTCTAAACTTTTTATGTGTATCAGAAAGACAGACAGCATCGATTTGCAACATTCCAATTTTCAGTCAGATGTCTGTGGTTTTCATACTGCCACTAAAACTCATCATTCTATGATGTAGCAAACGCAAAGGCCCTTGTCAACAGTTTTTGCGATAGTTACATCAGATACAATTCAGTATTTCTATAATTACAGAATTAGAAAGAACAACAGACATCTGGAGAAAAGTTGTAATGATGTCATAAATCATAAATGGCCCTGTTAAAGACAACCTCTTTACAAATTCTTTAAAAATAGGCAAATGCACAAAGTTATAGTAACAAAATAGTGATGATTAACTTACTTGAACTTGTGTCCGTTTGGCTATATCTAATATTCTTTCTACATTAGCATAGTTGTTATTATTAGATCCTCCTGGTACAGGTACATATTGATCAGCCATTTTAACATATTCTGGAATGAAATGGAGTTTTACACCATATTATGATGATTATGGCTATATAAGAAACTAAAATATCAGAATTATCATTCAAAATAAATGGTTTTTTCAATAGTAGATCCTTAATCTTGACCAGTTTATTCAGAAAGTATAGCATTTAAAGTCATTGCTTCTAGGGTACAATTTGATCAAAGCATTGCATTTACAAACTTCTGTGACACAAGAATAGTGGCTAAGATAGTCAAGGTATAAGACAAAGTTTGTAATACCTTGACCATTGTGAAGATGATTGGTACTCAAATATATTTCTAAAGGAGTTTAAACATCTTAAAGTATACCTGCATTGGCTTTAAGATCCTCTGGTGTAACCATAACAACAAATCTAATTGCTCTTTCATTGCGAAATATTTCATATGCCCACCTTCGAACTGATCTCATACATTTTACTGCGGCAATACCATTGTTAGCAACCAAGACCTGTACATAACAAAATATGTTATAACAAAATTTTCAAAAATTTTTTTTTGCTTACTAATGAATATTCCAAGCAGATTGTCAAAATTGTCACTTAATCTGTTCTACCATTTACTCTATACAGCAGCGGGTCACTTGACTCCTCGTCTTGTGGTAGTTGGTTGTTTACATTTGGCCTGAGTTGAACCATGACAATTGGCTGTCACGAAAAATGGTGTCTTTACATTACCAAAGCCATTTGGCTGACATGTGGGCAGTCAGACCTGCTGGTTTATATGTCTGAATTAGGGTTGCCAAATGTTGCAACATTTTATAACGACCAAATATTCTGGCAGATAATTGAGGCTGATTTGCTGCAATTCTACTCTATTGATAGTAAGATGAAATCTTACCTTATTTATCACTCTATTCCCGCCAAATCTTTTAACAAATTCTTCAGGTGTGGCTACACAGAAATCTTTTAAACTTGCTCTCCTTGATAATCTGTTGGCATCCAGATTGATTCCTGACATGGTATGTCTGAAAACAGACAACAGAAATAAGACAAATCAGCTAACTGTACATATTCTAAGACTGAGTTACCAGCCTCAAGATAAAACATCAGCTTGTGAGTATGGAACAAAGTATGGAAATCTCTCTGAACTTTAACTTGGCTTAAGAGTAAACCTTTTTTATACGCATTCTCATAACCAGTGAGAGTTTGGTATATTCTTATTTTCAATCACATGTCTGTGGTTCCTGCAATTCCACTAAAACTGAGTACTTGATGATGAATATGAATATGAATGAGATATAATACTTAATGAGTAAGTACAGATATGACATGATACCAGGAACCACTGTATTGGTCTCAAGTTCAGTACCGGGTGATGTGTTAATGATTTTGTGATTTCACAGAAAAAATTTCTGATTAAATTACTTCCTCAGTTTGTTGTTTGAGTTTTGTAATGAAATCCTTAATGATTGAAAACAGTTTATGGAGGCTAAGAACTTGACTGAGTCACAACAATAATCATTGCATATCCAATAGAAAATTTCTTTATGATCTTCATCAATGCTTAATGGTTTATAAAAAAAACCGAAATGTTTTCAGCTCTAAACCAAGCCCCAAAATATTTTAAAAATGGATGCTCAAAGTTACATAGAACTGTGTTTAGTATTTGACAGTGTTGAGTATTTAAATGAAGGTAATAAACAAGCTAATAATGTTGTAATATATATAACATTACAATGTTATTTTTATATATTTATATAAAATATAATATCTGAAATAAACATGACAATCACTTTATTTGTTGTTTATCAAACTTGTCCATAAAGTCATTGACATTTGAAGTCAGCAAATAACAAAATGTTTTAAAGATAAAATTGTGGCTAATAAATCTAAAGATGTAAGCTTTATGGGGATTGAGTTCCCAACATACAGATACATGCAGTACATTTACAATGTTCAACCTGGTTTCCTTTTGTCTGATCTATGAAGAAAACTTTGAAAAAGTATCTGGATCCACTGGCTTTCACTGAATACAGTCTTCTACACAGAAATTACAGAAATGAAATTGCTATAAGAATTTGTCTACTTGTATCTACTGTATCCACTTAGAGGGACTGATGCAGCACCCTTTTTTTGACCAATCATACATCTTGCTGTCAAAATTTTGGCCTTCAAATCCAAGTCCGTTAATCAAAATCTCATCCAAAGAATGGCAAAATCAAGAAATACATAGAAAATTTTCGTACATTTCTAGTACTTCTGAAGACTATTTACATATATATTCAAGACTCAAATCAATCTCCTAAAATGGCGAAATTGTCCTTCAGATAAAACAAAAAATCAGAATATCATCTTTCACTCTAAAAAGCAATTATGTTTGAACAAAATTGAATTTTATAAACAATGAACTCAAAATAACATAACTTAAGAGTATGACATAAATATTGAGTAAAAAGGAAACAACCACTTTCCTGGCAGCTATAGTGACGAAAGGGTTACGAAATTTTAAATTTATATCTTTATCATTAACAAGTCTAAGTGTACCTAATATTCACAAGTTATAAAAATCTCTGATATCAGGACCACTGTCATGTTACGTGTGATAATCTACTGACAATGTCTTGTTCAAAGTTCATTTCAGTTGTCAATGTTCAATAAGATATCAATGGCTTTTTTTTGTACCTTCATGGCGATAACCTTGTCTTTTGATGACAAACAAAGCTATATCAGCAAAATTCTGTCTAGACACTGTAGGATAATGAAAACAAAGTCTAGCAGTATGCTTAAAAAGACATTTTGATGGGAAAGCATCATCTAGCTCTCATTGATATCTGACTTTCTTGAGACCTTTTGGTCTATAATCATGATAAGAAAATCATATTGAAATGGAGTTTTATTGTCAATGCAAGTTGAAAAGTTTCTTTAATGTTTTCGATATTTTTAAGAGATTTGGAATATCAGCCTCGAAATAGTACTGATAGTCTTAGAATGTCTTTGCGTTGATTTCTCTCCTAGAAATTTCAACCAAAAAAGTCGAAGTTGTCTTCTGTTAAAACAAATTTTGAAGACATAATATGTGCTGATGCTAATAGTTTTATCAACATAAAGACATTTTAAAACTAACAGTACTATTTCAAGGCTGATATTCCAATTCTCATAAAAACAATGGGAAAAATTAACAAAAAAGTTTTTACTTTTCTCAAACAATAGGTCCTAATTTTCTGCCCCTATTCATGCTAATGAAGACATGCAATGCCATGCAGTGTACAACGAGGGAAATATTAACAGGACAGCAGCATTAGTCTACTCTTTTTCCATTTTAAAATTTTGAGGGATCTTAATAACTTGCACAGCCTGTGGCACAAGGGGCCTCGGTTTATTGCCCCATAAAATGACAAGATGCTTTTTCCATGTCGGCCCCTCTTACTGGGTTGAAAAATCTGAAGGTATTCAATTCAGGATAAGACTCACAAATGTCAGAGGTAGGAAATCAATATGGTGCAAACAGCAACTATAAGTGCACCAGAAGGCTTAAAAACCTTTCATATATTTTAAAGAAGAGAGCACATTAAGAGAGAATCACATATTTTGATGACACAAAATTAAAGAATGCCAACATGAAAAACTACAACAAACATATCTTAGGGCCAAATGCAGCGCTGGTACTTTACCTAAACTTTGACTAAAGTTAGACTTAAGTCGAACTTTAGGTATGCACCGGTCGATCTTTACGAAAAGTCATGCTAAAATTTGACTATCAAGTGTAGAAAATGAAAGCCTTAATCCTAACTTTAGCCAAAGTTCAACTTTAGTCAAGGTAAGAGAGCGCTGCATACGGCCCTTAGTCTTCTTACAGGAGATTTATTACAATCTCAATTGTTGTTATATACTGAATGCAGTTAACAATTATAAGTTTTTGGGATCACAAAGGATATTTTAGAGGCAAAGGTTCACTATTTTTGGGGGATGGTTTTGTAAAAAGTCTCATTATTAGAACTCCAACCAAGAAAGTTGCATAATCTCTTCAAATATACCTCAACATAAAAATCAAACTGATGGTGAACTTTAAAAGACATAACATTCTTAAAAGCATTAAGTTGACATCTTAATGTAGAAAAGGTTTCAACTCACTGATTGCACTGAAAATAACTTATTAGATACTCTATAGTGACACTGATAGTGTCATGTGGTTCATGTAACTTATAAATACCAGACAATGGATTTTAGAAATAAAATGAATGGAGTTTTTTCTGCATCATAAAGACGGGTAACGCCATGCAGGGTACAATGAGGGAAATTTTGCCAGGACGGTGGTATAAGCCTGCTCTTTCTCAGTTTCCAACTGTCAAGGGGTCTTTAGCGTGCACACAGGGGCTCGCTTCCCATCTGAATGACTAAACGCTTTTTCCATGTCAGCCCCTCTTACTTGCATCACTAACTGGGGGAAAAGGAAATGAAAAATCCAAAGGTATTATCTCGTCTAACACACTAAGCCACTGCAGCTCCCAATGGATTTTGGAGAATAAGCTAGTCCAACAGTCCACTTTTCTATATTCTGATAAAATGTTGACAAAACCTCTTTTAAATGAGCTAATTAGTAATAGTGTTCACAGCTCACAGTCAAAATGTCGTCTGCTAGGTGTTTAGGATTAGCAGAACTGAATTCATTTGAAGCATTAAAATCACTCAGGCCATGTGCTTTATGAATCATTAGGTATAGAATTTACTCAGTAAGTAGTAGTCATCTATCTGAATTCCTGATGCCTTAACCAGTGCTTTTCAGTTCCCATTCTATGTCAGGCCATCTTTCTAAAGCTCTGATTTAACAAACAATGTTTCAATGAAAACTCCTTACCATAAATTGTTTGTAAATCCTAGTTACACCCTTTCAACTAAGACATCATTGGCAGATGTCAAGCCAAAAATATGTGAAATCACTCAATAACATAGCTTATTTTAATGTCACGTTAACCAGAGTAGAACATTCTTTAAAACTTTTTAATTAACTGTAAAATAGTCACTGATAGTCACTAGGTTATACGGTCTTGAGGTTATTTGGTTATAAAAACTCATATTTTTTAAATTTAGTACAAACACAAAGAACTTTTGGCACTCTAATCATTACCATTCAACACTATTCTTATTACACTATAAACTCAATGAATGGTTCAAAGTTGAAAGTTCAATAGGTTAAATTTCCAAAATAAATAGAGGCCAGACATATGGCTAATGTAAGCTACTAGAGGTATCCTTACTAATATATATATATATGACAAAAACATTTGGATTTGTACTGTATCTAAATACATATTTTTTTTCATTCTATATATATTATATGATAAGTGGCCTCATTAGGGTGTATAAGCTTAATCAAGTTGATAAATACCTTCTTATGTTCATATATCTTTATCTATAATTACTTTATGCTGATATTACATTCTGTTTGAGATCAAAGCGGCCCAATTGTTTAAATTATCTGAGAGAGATTGCATATATTCTTAACAATTTAAAGAGTTTGTTTTCTATATTTTTTATGTGTATTGGAGACACTGATAGCATCAATTTGCACCACTCCAATTTTCAATCAGACGTCTGTTGTTCCTGCAATTCCACTAAAACTAAGTGTCTGATGACGTCACTAATTGATGCTATCAGTGTCCATGATACAAAAAAAACTTTTAGAAAACCTCGTTACAATCCCTTTAACAAATTCAAATTCAGAAAAAAATTGAAGCAGGCTGGAAGGGAAAGAAAGTGGCAACAGTAGGCAGTTTTTTATGTTTTTGTTGATTTGTTTAGTTTTAGATACAAAAAGATTTGAGACTTGAATAGGCCGGAGGGGACAGAAAGTGACAATTGTCATGCACACTACATATTTGTTTATTGTTCGGTTTCAGATAAAAAAAAAATTGAAAGAGATTGGAATAGGGATGAAAGGGACATAACTTAGTTTTTATCATGAAGAGTTCATTGAAGGTGAAAACCAGAAATCAAAATAAGCAGATTAGGATAATATAATGACCCCACCATTACATATTACATTGTGTTATTGCCATTGTAAGGTTAAACCTAAATAAAATGTCAATTCAGCAAGAAACAAACACAAAATTGCAATATTGCTAAGTAAAATAACTTACAATAGTGAAAAATAAACACAACAAAACAACAAAATGCTTCCCCAACTAAAAAACAACATCCAAACTCAATAACAACAATATGCAACCAATGAATACAACCATTCTGTGAATTTACATACCTAAAATTGCTTCTGTCAGTACGATCTTTACTCCACATTGTACTTTGACTACAGAGAAATGTTGAAGAAAAGTTTAATGCACCCAGAATAGTAAATAGACCAAATTTTGAGGTCAAATAAAGTCCAATTTAACTGATAAAATGGTCAAAACAAATGGTGACGTTTTTATCATAATATTGCACGTGCAAATTTACATCCTATTACTAGGACAGAATAAATAAATACAGCCGATATATTTGCAATAGAAATAAGGTCAACACAATAACATGTATATATCATAGTTTTATACTCATATACCTGCTGCAACAGATTTACATGTTTAAAGGGACAGATTCACCATTTTGTGGGGGTTTATTTGGGTCTTAATATATGTTACTGGTCTTCAAAAGTACTAGAAATGTACCAAAAATGCAGGATTCCTTCAAAAATATCACAAACTGTCTTTTCTACATATGGCAGAGTCTCAAGAAAAGACAAGTCACAATTTTAACATTCAAACGTAAATAATTCTGGACACACATGGATTTGAAGGCTCAAATTTCAACGAAATTTCTAGTGATCTGTGAACAATATTACTGATTAGCTTAGCTAAAAATATTCCAGTTTCTGAGACTGACGTACAATTGGTCAGACAGAAGGCGAACCTGTCCCTTAAAAACAACAATATTTCTAATTTTATTATGGATCATTTTTCAGCTTGTTACTATGGATTTATTCTGCTTATAGACCATTTATGCTCAGGTTAGTTTTCTTAAGCTTTGACATCAATGTTAGAAGTGCTAAAAACAACATAAAAACTGAGTTTTCAGAATTTGACTGTTTATAGTAGCCTATGGAATTATAGATTTTTAGCTGTAATTCTATCAAGATTTTCATCTAAATAGTGCTTTTACTATTAGTTTACTGAAGGTTTTTCCAAAAAATTTAAAACAGATACATTCAAATTTAGTCTTGAACATTCCAGACTGCTAAAATCTCCTGTTTGAGTTTTGATTTTTAAAACCTGTCATCCAGACTCATGAGTTAAATTGAAACATGATAATGATGGTTAAAATGTATATATTTCATTTGAAAACAGTGGTGCTGTCTGTGAAGGTGGGGAGAAAAGTGGTTTCCACCCTTATTGTACCCCAATTTATTTTTAACAAACCTAAATGTGTACCTTTTTTCTCCAAAATATGTGTCAGAATGCACAAAATCAATTCATTTTTTCTAAAATTTTCTTGAGAGAACCCTCTAACACAATCTATGAGAAGATTGTGACTATAACACCACCACAGAGTAGCCAATATTTGAATTCAGCCTCAGCAGTTGTCACCCCATTGAGTCAGTCTGTCCCCTACTTGTACCCCCAGTCTCAATAGGCTTGCACCACCACTATTTAAAAATGGTGGGTGAAGTTTTCCTGTGTCTTTGTTTTGTTAACAAAACTTAGAATGGAGGTTTTAACATTCCAATCTTTAAGAAGGTCATGTGCTTTAAGGACTGTTAATTTTCGAGGCCCTATGTGAACCTAGTGTATACTCATTGTAATGATATCTAAGGTACAGAACAAGACATCTAAAGTAAAATAGTTAGAAAATATTTCTCTAAATTTACTTGATTTATTACTTTATTATAAATAAATACCCTTAAGCTTATATAAGTCAAGACATGAATATAATTATATAAAACATACATGTGAAACCCTCTGTCTGTTTTCATCATGGATTATTTCAAGAAGATAAAGGAATGACCAAGTATAAAGCCTGATGTCCACAGAAAGAGTAAGTATCCTCTGCCCAGTGCATTGTTCTCTCAAAGATGGAATTGTCATGGAGACACAAAAAAGCTCTCAGTTCAGTTTTCTGTTTTATAATTTACAGGTTTCAAAACAATACATATATTTAGGCCTTGTATTTAGCTATCTCTATATAATAAGCTTAAAGGGTTTGTAAAAAGGACATAAGAAAATTGTTTCTAAATGAGCAGTCAAAATGATCAAAAAAACAAAGAAAATTGACATTCTGCTGAAAATTATGATAGCAGCATAAGAAAAGAAAAAGCTGTATGTGTACTAAAAAACCCAAAACAATGGACATAAAATGAAAATTTCTAACCATTAGCCATAATAAAATTAAATACAAGCGTGAAACTTTCAGTGTGGCAATACATTTAATAGGATTTCATGTTTGTATTTGTTGATAAATGTAAGGATTGGTTTCTTTATCTACATGGTGTGATATTTTAGATCCAGCTAGACTAAGGATGGTTGGGGGGTGATAGGTGCTACCAATAATCTGATTGGCTATTGTACCTGCCTTGTTCTTAAGGTAAAAACATGACAATAATATTGCTCTTTCATAACACATAAGGCACCATTTTGGTCTCATTATATAAAGAGTTTTATAGTGATTTTCAAAAATTAGAAACAATTAGGTAACATGCGTCACATCAATGTACGATGGTCTATAAAAAAATGTGTAAGCTTGCACATAATTTTGTTGTATAATAAATAAGTGTGCTGAGAATGTGCTGAGAGTGTCCTGTGATTTTTGCCCATTCTGTGGATAAACATTATGTCAAAAAACAAAAGAATCCTTAACTAGAGTAACATTTTTTATAAAGATTAACTAACCTCATTCCTGTTCCTGGTTTAGGCATTCCTACATTTTGAGATTCAGAAATTGAAGCAGCTTGGAAAGACATGGAATCCATTTTGTTGCTTAAATTTGTTCTAGAATTCTCCGAATATTCTTCAGATTCATCAATTGAGTCTGATCTCAGATCAAACACCCTTTTCTTTGGCTGCTCTTCTCTGTTATTCACTTCACTTTCCGCCATTTTGTTTGTATACTAGCTGAAATGATAAGGGATTCAGCTGGTTAAACGTAATTTTAAAAAACCCAAATATTCTGTCATATAAGCTTATATGTACATGTACGGTACGTGTATTTGTAAAAAACATTAATTGCAAAAAACTTAAACGGTCAAAGGCAAAAGTTAATGTCATGCTAAAATGCAAAAATGACAAGTCAATGTAAGTTTATAATCCTTAAAGCTATCAGCTGACCAATGTCCATTCCAAATTTCCCTTAAATCAAATTAAGGAAAGCAACATAAATTCTTAACTAACATGTTATTTTGTTACTGCCAAAAAATTAATTTCAAATCCTAATAGATATTTCACTGCCAAGTCAATATTTCTCTGCCAAGCCAATATTTCCCTGCAAAGTCAATATTTCTCTGCAAAGTCAATATTCCACTGCCAAGTTAATATTTTACTGCCAAGCCAATATTTCATTGCTTAGTCAACATTTCATTGCACACTCAACATTTCACTGCAAAGTTAATATTTCACTGCAAAGTCAATATTTCACTGCAAAGTCAATATTCCACTGCCAAGTTAATATTTTACTGCCAAGTTAATATTTTACTGCCAAGCCAATATTTCTCTGAAGTCAATATTCTACTGCAAAGTCAATATTCCACTGCCAAGTCAATATTCCACTGCCAAGTTAATATTTTACTGCCAAGTTAATATTTTACTGCCAAGTCAATATTTCACTGCCAAGTCAATATTATATTTCACTGCCAAGCCAATATTTCACTGCAAAGTCAATATTCCACTGTAAAGATAATTTTTCACTCTAAACTTAAAATTCCACTGATAAGTCAATATTGCTAAGTCAATATTTCACTGATGAGACAATCTTGCACTGCAAAGTTAATATTTTACTGCAAAGTCAATATTCCACTGCAAGGCAATAATCCACTGGAAAGTCAATATTTCACTGCAAAGTCAATAATCTACTGCAAAGTCAATATTTCCCTGCAAAGTAACTGCAGGTCTAAGTGTTTTGCAAAACCTGTTACCTTTAGCTTCACTTTCACCAACAGAAATCAAAACAATAAGGAAACTATAAAACTGAATAAATCAACAAACATGAAGCAATGAAAATGTCATTTAACCTCAAAATAATCCTAATTTATATTCTCTCTTTTTATATAACTTTTGAGTCAAGTTTCATAACAGACAGTTCTTGCCATCTCCTTGAAATTTATTTACTCACACTTACATTTTTAAGTTATGTAACTGTTAAAAAGATGCTTCTGGTGTATATATCAACATAAAGATAATGAAACTTATATCTCTTACGATTATACATATCATCATTAAAGGGATTGTAAAGAGGTTTTCTTAATTTTTTATGTGTGTTGGGGACACTGATCAATTTGCACCATTCCAATTTTCAACCAGACGTCCGTGGTTCTCATAATTCCACTACAAGTAAGCGTTTATGATATCATTAATCGCAAAATATGTATGCTTTTAATCACTTAGAAGGCCCTTTGCGGTTAGTGACGTCAAACACATAGTTTAAGTGGAACTGCAGGAACCACAGATGAAAATTGGAATGGTACAAATTGATGCTTACAATTTCCCTCATACACATAAACAATCCAAGACACCAAGTATGAGTCATTGAATTTCAACCAAACAATAAAGATTTCATTTTTTCTTCCTTTTGATCAAATATTAGTAAGTTAACATTGCTTTTAACTGTTGAACGGTAGTCTTGTACATCACAAGTATAATTAGTGACTTTGTGATCAATGCTAAAGTCATTTGGGAACCAGTTAAATTCAGTGTAGGCATTATAGCTTTGCTTAGCAATTCTCGGTGGAAACATGGTTTTTAGTGAAAACTTTCTGTCACTCCAATTGAATATGACTTAAAAAATTAGAATTTCCCTTTAAATCTACGTTTGTTTCAGTTTTGAATCAAACAGGTCTTATGTTGATTTTGGTTTGAATCAAACATGGTCTATGAATGTGATATGAACCTTTAGTTATCAAATATAGGCCTCCTCAACATTATGTTATTTGATAAATCAACTGATAAATGATAATAATAGCTGATATCTCAAATATAATAATAATACATTAGCATTTGAAAATATTTCAGTTGTAGACACAAGCTCGATCTCCCCAATGAAATTTCAAATAATATAATATATATGGTTATAGTTGTAAAATAGTAACATTATTACTAAGATACAATTGAAACAGCTACTTTCAGTTTCAGCAGAAAATTCAGACAAAAATATACAAGTAATTGAATTCACAAATCTTGTGATGAATCTAAAATTAGGAAAAGTTTGATCACTAACTGTGATGTGATACCACTTATATTGAACACTTTTTAGGGGGAAGTTAGTTTTTAGTTTGAAATCTGATATGTTTTCAACTATGATTTTGTAATGGTTGATTTAGTTGACACTTCTTTTATAATAAATTTGTGAATGGGCATTTGTTCAGCTTATTTACTACATTGTAATCCTTTTTTACACCTTAATACTGAAACAGTAGTTCTTTTTGATCCTCTATGTTTAATCCTAATGTGTTTACATCATCTTATTCTTAAACTAATCCGATCAATATTAGTAATCTATAACATGGTCTTTGAGTTTTAATATTGGTCCAAAGAGATATATACAATTCCAAAATGATCCATATTTCAGACTTTAAAATCAGATATATGGAATTAATCAATCTCTTCATTAGTTGTCACTGTCTTAAGTTGAAGAAAATCTATTCTTAAAATTTCAGATTGTACGCTACTACAGACACAGTAGACCCACTAGGTCTAACCGAAATAAAAAATAAAATGTGATTCTGTAAACACTCCGGTTGGACAGTGACATGCCAGTGGATCTTTTTGCATTTGGTCTCCTACCTACTTCCACTGGTAATCAAATTGGTAAATACCTTTGAAAAGTGAACTATAAACATTTATATCAATGTACCAAAATCCATCATTAATGACCATTAAGTTTTAGTTAATTATCAATTTATATTTCGACACAGTGCAAGGGAGGCAACTCACGTGAATTTTGATCACTGGCCTCAAAGCATTGTAAATAAACACACATTTCATCATCATATAAAGCATTAAGATTCAAGAATTTATCATTCCTTCATTGACAAAGTTACCTGATAGTCATTTGGTTTGAATTGGTAACCTTCTTCAAAAAACGAGACGTTCAGCGTGGTTTTCAAGACAGGATTTACGTGTAACCATGCAAAATTATATCCATTCATCGGCTGATGGGTGGCGTGAGAATGTATGATAATGCATGTTCAGGGGCTCGAACTTGACTCGCTTTCGATTAACCAGACCATAGAACTGTATGTCCAGACCGAACGACAGTCTTGAAGCTCGGAAAGTCCGAAAATAAGCTCTCAAAGTAGTTATGCCTACACAATTACTCATTGAAAACAGCATCGCTTCAAAGAAAATTTCTTAAACATCATTTTTGTCCCTTTTGGCCTAATTTCGACTTGAATATCATATTATTTTTATTATTAACCGTAGCATAATATAAATTCATGAACCACACTTGTAGAGTAGTCCGAAACTCGCCTAATTTGTATACCTTTTGTATATTATACCATTCTTTTATTCAGTAGTGTATGATTTCTCAAAATCGAGAGTCACCCTTTTTCTGCTAGGGTCTCATCGGCCCATTTAGCTTGACGCTAAGCTGAAGGTTTACTTCTAACACAAAGTTAGATACACCTTTGGATAAACATATGTATATAAATATTTTCTTATAGGATCTATGCAAAAACCACTGTCAGTGATATTAAAGTCTTTCACATGAGACCATATCCTATAACCAGTGTGCTACAGTAGGGCCTACAGCTAGGCTGGTTTAAGATCCAATGACAGAATTTGAAATCACAATAGAGTAGGCTTATGCTGCTATTATGGCAAAATTTTGCATAATGCTTTGTCCATGTTCATGAGAACAAGCAGATGCGGAACTAACAGATTGACTAGGTATCGCACATCTCCAAATTGATTCAATAAAAATGATTATAATTAAAGAAAGATATAGCACGTTTTTTATTGTAAGATCAAAATCACAGTTAATGCTTTTAAAATACACAACAGCTAACTAACATATTGCACTTTTTGGTTAAATACATGGATAACAATTACAATACAATTCAAATGTCATGGCTGGAGCAAAAAATTTGCAATATATTCAAAAAATGACACGATTAAAAGGGAAGATGTGACAATAAATATTTGGGGTCAAAAACAATGTTATATTTAATAAAACAACATGCCACAATCTCAATAAGCTTCACCTTAATAGCAATTTTCATGTTAAGTCACGAAACCCAGCTTTTACTGTTATGAGATTGTTGACATTCTATTTCTGTCAATCATGGTTCTGCAAATTCAGTTACACAAATTGGGCAGCAACCAACAAAAAAATGTCTCTGACTAAATATATATGTTGATAATTGGAATTACAAATAGGTTTTCAGTATATCAAAGGTGGTCACCAATCTGTGTCAAATCATACCAAAAATCTAATTTGTGAAGATATTATTGATTTAATCAAACAAAAACTTAAAAGTAAAGTAAAATTCTGAAAAACTGTCACCTCTATCGGTTCACAAGCCAACAAATTTTCGTAAGTCAAGGGCAATAACTGAAAAACCATTCATTGAAAGATCATCAAATTTGAACGTGTCCAAGATCTCATTATTATAAATGACCACACCAAATTTCATTCAAATCAGATAAAAACTGTTGTCTCTATTGCACTCACAAGCCAATTGAGGATGGACAGGAGCAAGCACAATATACAACCAAATTATAAAAAGGGACTTCAACCTAGGTTTTTTACACTGGGTAACATGAAAAGCATTCACATATTTGGCTTAGGAAGTATCTCTGTAAAGTAATCAGGGACATGACTTGCTTTAACATAACTATAAACAGTTTGTTGGCAGCATTTTTTTCAACAAAATACATTTTGACTTGAGTATATAGGAATACAATCAGTGTCTGTTTGGGCACTAAATTAAAGCATGTTATTCGGAGATGTTCAGCAAAGCACAGAGAATTTTATATCCTTACAATGCTAATGGCATGGGTTTTTCAGATCTTTGGTTATAGCTTAATGCAGTCACAGTTCTCATATGACATTCTTTCGGTGAAATTCCACCATACATGGTCCTAGTGGTTGTTGGGTTCCAACTATATGGAATGGACTCTGAATGAAAAATAAAACAGTGGATATGATAATAAGAGCAGAAATTAATTATTCCTTAAAGGGATGGGTAGGCCTTTTTTTTTTACCAATCATACATTAGTCTCAGAAACTTGAATTTTTTAGCTCAACTGATCAGTAATAGTGTTCACAGCTCACCATGTTAAATGTTAAAATGACGTCTCATCAATTTAAGATTCTTTTTGATATATAGAAATAGTGAATAAAATTCCTAGTTTGTAGTATTTTTAAAAGAATTATGTACATTTCGTATATTTCCAGTACTTCTGAAGACTATTTACATATGATATTCAAGACTTAAATCAACCCCCCAAAATGGCACACATGTCCCTTTAAGTTGGGTTTTTCATGACGACTATCTGAATTGAATCTTGCTTTTCAGATTCTTTTTATTCTTGATAAATCATCTACTCTATATAAGTTTTAATTGTGGAAGAAATTTAGAAAGTAGAAGAGCTTCTTTTTTGGAATGTAATAAAGCCCCTATGTTTTTTCCAGGATAAACTGCTATTGTGTAAAGCACAGTTTTTTGTAGCTATGAGTGTCCATTTTAGATTTCTTGGGAGTTGCTATGAAAACTGCTTAGAAGTGAAAGTAAAGAAGGATTTTATAAACACCTACTGGTTGGGGAACAGGATCAAAGGCTTCACATGTAAATTGTTTTAAAAACATAATAACAAATATCTGAATTTCCATTAAACCAAACCATCTGAAATTTGGAGAAAATGGGTAAACATATTTTATGACTTCAAAAAAGCCTAATTCTTTAAATTTAGTAAACATAGCTAAATTGCTAAAAGCCTAAAATCAGCATCGCTCAATACAAATATTGTATAATTCTGAAGATAGTCCTTAAGCTTTCTTAACCCATGAGTAAATCTGGAAACATTTGAATTCTGTCACAGGCAATATATATGAATTTGTGACAACCAAGTTTCATTTTAAAACAAGGCAATTGTCCTTAAGTTTAATTTTGTCACAGGCAAATAAATAATATATATAAGTAACATCCAACTTTAAATGTCAAAAGGCAAATACATGTGAATTCTTAACATACACAGACACATCTTTCACTTTCCATTTACAGTCACTACAGTTAGATCATAAAAACGAAAGCAATGTAAGTTTTGTTTACATATGTACAGAAAATTAGAAAAAAAAGGAATTACCTTCCAGGACACTGAAATCTTCCTCCTCCAAATGCAAAAAAATATTCAGGAAATATATTTCTCTCTACATCTTTCATGTTCCATCTTTCCTGTGATTAAAATATTAAGTTTGTCTCAAACTTGCTGACACATATATGGTTTTGTTAGTTATTTTTGTAAAAGAGGATGACCGAAAAGGAAGCTGAGCCTTTGTAAGTCTCTAGCCTTGTGCCTGCTGATAACTACCATTAAAATAGGATCACTCTGCACATATCTGTAACCATCAGTGTTACAGAGACTCTCATGAAAATAGATACTGTATAGGGAAATTGTATTCAATTAAGTGTATACTTTACAATTCAAAAAGCAAAATAGAATACTTCTATATGAAGGCATTTATAGTTGTGAACTGTCAATTACTTACAGGTTTATGTTCCTCAGGGTCAGGATAATGTTCAGGATTTCTATGAGCCCAGAATGGTGAGGCAAATATTAAATTACCAGCTGGTACTGTCAAGTCCTGCAATATGGAGTATATAATTCAAATTTACAAACTATTTGATGTAGGCTACCCATTTAAGATTTAGATAGGGAACAGGCTGTTGATCAAGGGGTTAGAGCATTCGAATTTTGAGGTCATATACTCAATTATGTTCAAAAAATGAAAGACAAGGATTAGGTCATCCTCATTATTCCAATAATTTATTTCATTGACCGTATCATTGTGGTGTAAATGGGTACCAATATATTTCAAGAGTTTATTTAAGAAGGCATTTTAAATCTTTTTTTTACATAGGATAAATAGGTTATACAATGACTAAAACCATTCATAACCATAGAATAACCTCTATTTATAATGTTATTTAGGGGTCTTTTTGGTCTTTTGATATTTCATATACTATATAACTGTGAATATTATGCTCATGCATAATGCACAATACTCTTAATCTACCGTTAATCTGGAAAAATTTTGTCAGTGTAAATAATAAAAACCCTGCGTGCAGTACATATACTTACCCTTATTTTAAAAGGTTTGGCAACATAGCGTGGAATGATACCAGGTGATCTTAACCTGACAGTTTCTAAGATGCAACTTTTCAAATATGGCATTTTACGTAAATCAGCCTCAGTAACTAAAAATTAAAAATATAGAAAGTGCTTCTTTTATACTTGCACAAAGCTGGTTATTTGACATTTTTATTGCCCAGCAAATGAATGATAAATCGAAAATTAGTACCCAGCCTTCGGCATATCATTAACTTTTTCACCTTGTACAATGCATTCATATCACCACAGTTCATTACTTAATAGTGCAAAGACAGTTCTGCAAATATATGAACTAGTATAACTAACATACTTGTTTCTAATTTCTCTGGAAGTTTTTCTTCAATTTCATTACACACTTTTTCATAAACAGATTGTCTTGTTACTATAAATGCCATTGTCCAAAATATCATCTAAAAATATAAACAATATTGACAATTCTAAATTGGCTTTGATGGATTTCTTCAAAATAACAGAGCAGACAGTAAATGCTGATTACTAAAAAGGGTTCAAATTCATATTTGACCTCTAAATGGCATGTCTAAAAGTTTTATACAAGAAAATTTAAGAATGAAAAAAAAAATTGTTTAAAGGGATTGAAAAGGGGTTTCTTTAATTTTTATGTGTCACAGAGACACTGATATCATCAATCTGCACCGTTCCAATTTTCTCTTAGACTTCTGAGGCTCCTGCAATTCCATTAAAAGTGTTTATGATGTCACTATCTATATTGATATAAATGAGGACTTCTGTAATAGTGACATCATATATTCCACATAGTTCTAGTGAAATAGCAAGAACCACAGACGTCTGATTAAAATTGGAATGGTACAAAGCGATGTTATTAGTGTTCCATTTTACATGAAATGACAGATCTGTTGATAAATAACACCTTCATCTCATGGTGACCGCGTGTTCAAAAATAATCCTTATATAACTGTTGGTAATTTGAGAATAGATTCAGATCCGAAATTCGTGATCATTCAAAGACACAATTATTTATTTTTACCTTTAAAAAAGTATTGATGAATGAATTGATTTTCAGCTTTTAAGTTATAACAATACTTTTAAGTCTCATTAGTATAATTGTGCCGTTAGTTAAGGTCATTGATGACATCAATAATTTTAGATGTTTTTTAAACAAGTGTAGTTTTCTCATAATTTTATCTTCTAATCATGTAAAAAAATATTTCATTCTCGAATTTTCTTGTTCACAACTATTGTAGACGCCATTTTCAACAATAATGTGTGGGAATTCTGATCATTGGATTTTAATGGTGTACTTAAGATCATCACAACCAAGTTCTATAGCACTAGGCTGTCTGCCATTCTTTCATATTTCTGTTGCACGCAAATTAATAGCGAGGGTTTGGAAGTATCCAGAATCATAGCAATGTAACAGCCAACAGCAAAAGCCTGAAGTTAAATGGAGGGCAGCTGTATTTTCACAGATCACTATAAACTGTTGGTGTCTGTTCTCAACCTTGTAGATTTCAGACAACTTCTTATTATAGAAAATATGCAATCGTTTACATTTCCTCATCATTAGCGCATACAGTGGTAGCACTAAGATTTGAATGTCTGTACATGCTCGAATAGCATATTTTAAGTTTTTTTTAACTTCCCCCTTAAGTATTTTCAGAAGAAATTTAAGATATGATCAGCCTTAGATATATCAAACACTATATATAAATATGAACAATGTTATCTATTTGCTCAAGTTTTCCTGCATTACTAGAAACACCTTCGCATGTACATATCTTATGATAAATTAATTCAATTGTTTAAATTTTGTCATCTCTAGCATAAACAATAGGCTTTCAGATTCATGTCCATACATGCTTGAAAAGCAAATTTTTTTTTAATGAAAATTCCCCCATTAGAAAGAATTGTTCTATAGTATTTTTGACAGTTTGACACAAACTAATATTAAGATATGATCAGCCTTAGATATACCAAACTAAAAAACTTAATAATCAGAGTATTAGTTGTTCCATGAAGGCATTACTAGGAACATATATATAAGTATAACCTACAAAACATAGTGTATGAATGATATTGATTATATAAAAATGTATTACAAAATTTACATACTACTGATAGTATATCTTAATATGGAATATGAATGGCATTGATCTTATAGATTTTGATAAGATAACAAAAGGAAATTGTGACAAATTGTTTCCTAAAATACTTTATCATTTCAATCCAAACAAGCTCTAATTGGCATAAAGTCAAGGACAAAATAATAAACATATTGTGGGTGATCGCTTGAAACCTTGCATGATGATATATGACGCGAAATTACTTTCCGAGAAAAACGCAAAAAACTATTTGTATGTTTATTATTTTTTTACCGCTATACGTTATTGATAAGTAAATGGCACGCAGACTGATTGCGATTGAAAATGGAATGCTTTATAGTAATCTATGATAAAAGGGGCTAAGTAGCAAAAGGGATGCTACAAGTGTTGATTAGATAGTATTATCAAATACTTACTGGTATACTGTTAGCTAGTGTAGCCCATAATAATAATACAGAATAATTTGGTGAGTTTTCTTTATCAACACATTCTAAGACATTATGAAGCAGAGTCTGAAAATATGCAAAAAATTAGTTTTGGGTGTTTTAGGCTCACAGGGAACATAAATAAATATATTGTAGACCCAAAAATTTTCCAGCCATTTTTATGAAGTGTGTATCAAGGAACTGATAGCATCAATTTGCATCATTCCAAATTTCAATGAGACGTCTGTGGTTTCTGCAATTCCGCTAAAGTTGATTGTTTGATGCTGTTACTTATCGCAAAGGCCTTAAGTGATAATGCATATTTTGTAATTAGTTAGTTCGTCTTCAAACGCTTAGTTTTAGTGGATTTCCAGGAATTATACAAAATCTAGGAAACTTCTTTAGGATAAGTTTTTCATAATGAGGTTTTCCAATTGAAGTCTATTCGTTTGTCTATCCATACTCACTTTCTCTGAAACTGGTAAATCTTGAGATTTCTTCTTTTCACTGTCTACCAAGTTTTTAAACATATCAATAAGATATTGTCTAGATTGAGACCATCCTCTATAAAAAAAAATATAAAATAATTTGTCAACCAAGATATTCACTGATTATGGAATCTCCAAGCATTATGAAAAAATAATTATCAAGGAACGAGAAAAAATAAATAGGCAATATCCCTTGTCCAAATTGCATTAAGTTTTAGCAATGAATTGATGTAATAAATCAGAAATTTCTTTACTATTTATCAGAAATATTTAGAATGAAACATTTACCCTAATAAAAATGCTGGTAATTTTGAACCATATTCAAATTGTTCATCAAATTTAGTGAAGTTATCTTCTAACTCTCTATACTGCTTCTAAATAACAGTAAAACAAAACATACAGAGAAATCTTCAAGAGATGTAAAATTTTAAACATGCCTGTTTCTGTGAATTAATGCAGAGTTTGTTCCTTTATTCTATATAGATACATCATGTACCAATTCTGACAACCGACTAATTCTATTACTGCAACTAAACACTGTACACAATTGCCCCTCTGAATATATTATTTGCACCTCCGAACAATTAAGCCTGGCTATGGGGCCGGACATGTACAACAGTCTACATTGCCAGACATTACCAGTGAGCCATCAAATTCCATGTTTTTGTAGAGTTTTTTTCGTAGCTCTTAAGTGTGTAAATTATATTCTCAACATATTCCATAACATTCATTTGGAAAAAAATGGCTGACAATCACCTTCATCAACATAGTATTCGGTTTGGTAACAGTTTTAGAATAAATTAACCTACCTCATCATCTGTTGGAAGTATATTTTTCCCAAATAATATATTTAATACAGATTTATACAAAACACTTCTGATCAATCTATTTAAATCTATAGTACCTGTAGAAGATAATAGCATTGTCTCAGTCAACTATGAAACTAGCAGTAGAAACCACCCTCAGGATTAGGGCTGGGCGATATACCGGTATCACGATAAATACCGGTATAGGAATTTATATTGTTAATACCGAAATATCACCAAATCGTGATATATGGTAGTTATCATGATATATCGTTAAACTTTTGTCGAGATAAGATCATCTAGACAATTTTAACAAGTTACTTAATATTTGAAACAGATGTTTTTTTCATGATATTCAAGTCTGAGTTGTTTTTAGAGATATTTATTGTTTTATGTTACATTTAAAATTTTTGATCATAATTTTGTTTCAAAAACCAGTAAAAAACATACTTTTAAAAAATATATTAATGCTACTCAGGATATTTCAGAACATATCAAGAAGACATTCCCACTTTAACCTGTACATGAAGTCAAATCAAGTAGTTGAGATGTTGATAAAAATTTTACATTTTAAGAAAAGCTAAATTTACCAGACAAATAGGGACAGAATTTTCTTGAGGAAGATTCTGCTTATGGCATATAACATGAACTATATATGTTTACAGTGGCTGTGTTGAAAAAATATTGTCTACTTACCACTTTCAGGAAGTTTTGCAAGCTGTTCTTTGAATTCAGTATATAATTTATCAGACATGGGAGCTAGTTGTGATGAAGCTAATTTCCCTTTAACTAAATCATGTATACTGCTGTGGTATGCAAAGAAAGACTCTTTGGTAATGGACACTAAAAGTAGAAAAAGAATCAAGAATTAAAACTCCGACAGTGCTGGCTGCTTTCACATACACACAAAAAACAGAATGTAACATAACCCTCTCACTCATTGAACACAAATCTGCAGGTATTTATTGACTTTTATTTGAAGGGTCTAAAAATAACTAGTACCTACCAACATTTTGAACTGGTCCTTGAACAGCTTTCTGAAAATCCAGGCAAGGTGATTGAAAAAAATACTGAAAGTCTTTAGGGTCTGTCACAAATGTCATATATTCACCAGTTACCTTTATAGAAAATATTGATCCCAACTGAAAAAAATATTATACATTTTAAAAAAGCCAGGCCTACCTTAAAAGCACAGGAGCTTTTTAAATCAATAACAGTGTAGACCCTATACCTTTGTCAAACTGCTTTAACAGCTCCTTCTTTACAGATAGTCAAAAGACATTGATAGCCTAACCATCAAAGATACTTCAAAGTTATATCATATGAAGTCTGGGCCAAATTAAGTTATGGTGATTATAATTTATATTGAGATTATGGCCATCAACTTTTATTGGAAGTTTGGATAACCAAGACTAAGCCTAGAACTTACCTCTTTCGATTTTTTGTTTATAAAATGTAGTGGACCCTTGCCAAATTCCATGGCACAACCAAACCACGGGAGCCATCCCCTGTATGTCGGTGGTTGTTTTGGTTTTATACCCCAAAATTCTTTCCAAAGACGGGAAACATACAGCGTGACAAGAACCATAAAGCTTCCCAACAGGCCGACATCAATCCAGTTCAAGGCTAAAATCGTAAATAGCGCCATGCTCGTCCTTGACACGTAAACTCTATAGGTCAAACGACAAAGTGCGAGACTATTCGTGATAACAACAAGCGGTTGTTGAAACCTGCAAAGTAAAAGTTGAAGACGTATTACAATAAAATAAAACAATATGTCGATGAAAACGCTACCATTATTGTTTATTAATTTAGGGGGTGAGATGGTTTACATATTAGACCAAAGACTAAGAGCACAAAATATTCCTGACTCTAAAGCAGCAAAAGGTTGGTACTGTCACTTTCTACTTTCTTGGTTTCTGTGTTTACGTCACGTGACTGCAAAATAAACGGGGCACCTGCTGTCATCCGATTTTCCAAATAGGCCTATTGATTAACCTTTATCTTTATTTCTGAATTCTGATCTCACATTTTCGTTTTATCGGTTATTTTGCTGAAAAATTGCCTTCTAAAAATGAAATTGAAATAACAATTACTTTTACATATCTATAACTGTTCCATTAAGATTCAGCCTTTTTTAGTTTAAAGTTTAAGTGAGATAATATTAGGCCTGGTCCTATGGCATGCCCATTTTCATATTTCCTACTTTCAATTGATACTTGTATTCGCTGTGTATTAATGGAATGTATAAGCTTATATGAATAAATGAAAATAAGGTACTGTTACCGGTAACAGAAATTCTAATTTTCATTACCGAAAAGCTAATTCTAATCAAATGAAATGAAATGAATGGAGTTTTACGTCCTACTTTTATGCACCTTGTGGGCTAATGAAGACGGGCAACACCATGCAGGGTGCCATGAGGGGAAATTTTGCCAGGACAGTGGCATTAGCCTGCTCTTTTTCGATTTCCAACTGTCGAGGGATCTTTAACGTGTACAGTCTGTAGCACACAGGGCCTCGGTTTATTGTCCTATCCGAACAACTAAAACTGGGTTGAAAAATCCGAAGGTATTATCCCTGGACCTTCAGGTTAGCTAGCAAGCGTCTAACTCACTGAGCCACCGCGACTCCTAATTCTAATCAACACTAGAGGCTCAGCATAATATATGTTATCTTACACATCCTACACCTTTATTTGCACACAAAAACTTTGAAAATTTGTTCTGATAGAGTATTAGTATGTACTAGAAATTTAGAAATAGGATTTAAAGCCACATATATATGGCCAGATCATAACAAGAATATCAAAAGTAAAAATATTTCTCAGATTTAATCAAAAACAAGTTTATTTGAAACCTTATGAAATAAACTGACTTGAAACAGAAATAGATAAAACTCCACTTACCAAATTTAACAGAGCTCCTTTAGCCTACTTCCAGTTCCAGTTGTGATCAAGATAGTTTTCAAATTTTCAAATGAAGTTCTTGATCAAAAATTGCCTTTTATTAGCTGTCATGGAATCTATAAAAATAATCATGAGGGTGTTTTTTTCTACTGCCCTAAATTGTATAAAAATAGCTTTCTATTCTGATTGGTTCTGTTGATGCAAGAGTTCGTTGTTAAAATTGTATTTCATAATGTGAGAAAATTTTGATTGGATCAACACATTGATTTCTATTTTTTATTCGGCTTAATTTCATATCCTCATTTGTATATCTCTATCAATAGATCTAAAGCCAGTCATTATCAATGGGAATTATAATATATCTTTAAACATTGATTTAAAGGGATACTGAATTGAAATAATGTGTGATGGCAGTCTTTCATGAGGAACTTGTTTTGAAAATGAAATTTCAACATGAATAACTGTTGCACTGTTTGGCAAAAATAGAACATGGGACACTTAAGAAATGAAAAAAGGGGATAAAATGTCAAATTTAATTGCTTTTTTCACCAAAATTTGACAAGACTGCTTAATGTGAAAATGTACGCTTTTAACTGTCTGACGATAGATCTCAATGAATCTGCTGACACAAAATTACAAAATTGTCAAAGTTAAAGATAACTTTAAAGTTATTTTAAAACAGGTAATTATGATCAAAAGAGCTTTGTTTATGTGTCTGATTGTGGGAGTGATTTGATTTGATTTATCTTTAGAAAATGAGCACAATAGATATTGCAATAAAATAAATAATACATTTCTGTAATAATTGGATATTTTTCTTTTCATCGATTATAATTCTTGACATACAACTAAAAGAAATTTGAAAGTAAAATAGACAATTAGCAAAAGAAAAATATGGGGGAGGGAAAAGAAGTGTTTCAAAGTTATTTATTCAGCCTAGCTAGGCAGACTCTCTAAATTAAAGTCTCCTTGAAATAAAAATAGATTTCACTGTGTTATGGTGTCAAATAGCACTTTGAATTAGAAGGCAACTTGTAGGCAAATAGGTTGAATAATGATGAATCTACTCTCTTGGTCCATAAGATATTTACCAAATAACCACAATATCTGAGAGAATCTCATAATCAAGAAAGGTGTTTACATATTATGGGAAGTTTGGCAGCTGGTAAATTTTTTAATTAAATTGTAGATGAACCTATTTTTAAATTGACAATCTAACAAATGTAGATATATCTGTGGTTTTGCTCTATTCCTTTCAACTGCTGTTTGACCTAACAGGCTCACAAAGATCTACAAATCAAATTGAATTATAAATTTTTTGTAGATATTCCTTCCATACAGATATAAGCAAACTCTTGGTGTTCTATATAACTGAGCAATTTTGAACCATTTAGTCTAGAAATTGCTGTATCCATTGTGTTATATTTTAGGAATAGAAATATTAAAACAGATCTTGAATCATGTTGTTTCTCAGAGTTTCAGACTATGCTATCTTCAGACAAATGAAATATTTACAGCCAGCGTTAGTAATATTATGGATATAGACATAATATTTTTGATGTCTTGGGCGAGATCAACCTGGAGTTTATACAAGCTTATGGGACAATTTGAATTGCTGCAGAAATTGCTAAGACTTAAATTTTGTGTGATTTACTGCTGATCCAATTTTCATTTAAAATTTAACCCTGATGTAAGATTGTGGTGTTTTTTTCAGTTTTACATGATATTGTATCAACCATGTTTAGTAAAAGATTTATGGAAGAGCTGTTTAAGCCTCAAACTTTGTACTCTAAAAAAGCTATGAGAACTGTCTTTGACAGACTGGCTCATGCCTCTATCATGAGACTTAATGCTGCAAGTATGGATAAGGTAAGGAAAAACCTTTCGAAAGATAAAAAAAATTTAATAAAATTAGGAACTTTTTCAAGGAAAAAAAATCATCCAATCAGATTCATTTCCTTTCATTTGCATGATCCGAACATGACAGTTTTTGTCTCCTCGTGTGCTCTAGTCAGTGACAAAAATTGGCAACCAAGACTGTTTGTGCCTGTACCCTTTATTTGCTTTTGTTCTGAGACACCTAGGGCAATAACTGAAATTGTTTGAAAAGATTTTCTTTTAGACTGCAGACTAATATAACATTGGAGGTGGTGATATATTTGAATACAAAAAAAAGAGTGGGAGTGACTTCTGCACTTAAAAAAAAAAGTACATCCTTAATCATTGTATTGATTGGAGAAGTGTATGACCTAAATAAATTAGTTCAGGATGACACATGATTTTGCTCAAAGAGACGTTTTAGATTTTTCATGGGAAAAGCATCGTCTCTTAAAGGGACAGCTTTGCCGTCCGTTTGATCAATAATACCTTAGTATCGAAAACCCAAGGAAAAATGAATGAATTCTGTCCATTATTATTTCAGCTGTATGACTTGATGACAATGGCCATCAAATATCAAATATCAATATGTTATAGACCTAAAGATATCATACTGAGTACTTTAAATCATATGGATGCTATTAGAAACTATGTAGAAGAAGCACCATCTATTAAACAACAAGTAGACTATATCTATAGAATGTTGATTGAGGTAAGTTACGTATATGATTTGTATAATATTAAATTATACGCCCACATGAAATATATTGGTGTCACTTTTTTTTATCATACAATTCATATTATATTGACTCCATACTATTTAAATTTACAATTTGTCTATTGGTTAATTTCATATCATTTTGTTTCATCAGTTTTATCAAATGTATCATACTATACAAGCAAATTAAGCTGATTTTATCACATTTGTTAAGCATTCTTGAGTTGAATTCTGTCTTACTTCACTATAAATTCAACATTATATTCTGTATAAGTTCTACCTTATCTATTACATATTGTTATTAGTCTAAACATGATATTAAGAAGAGTTGCGAGCAAAGATAATTAGTTTAATTGAAATACCTTTTTTAATGTTGAAAAAAGTGGCATTCTGCATTTTTAGCCAGTCAAATTTTTTTTGTGCTCAAATATAGTGAAAACCACTATCTTCAGAAATGAGTTAAATGTTTGATTTTAAAAAAATCCAGTCCTTAATTTTAATGCCAAAACTATTTAAAAAGTTTATGAAACTTTTAAAGTTTGTTACGCTTTTTGGAAGCTGTTAGAAAACTACTGTATGGATGTAACCACGAAAGATAGTGGACCACAGCCATATACCCCCTTCACGGCATGCGGGTGGTAAAAACGAAACATTCATTTTAAGTTTCATCAAAATCGGTTGAAAACTAAGCGAGTAATAGCATATTCAAGATTTTGGGGCAAGGGCAATAACTCTGCTTCTAATGGTCGAAAATAGCTCAAATTCGAACTTGATCTTCGTTTTATGAATATGTATACACATACCGAATTTCATTTGATTCCATCAAAAAATTTAGTTTTTAGAGCGTTTACAAGCAAATGTTGACCGACGGACTGACAGGGGTGCCGACAATATACGTCCACATAGAGAGATGTGGGCGTATAAAAACGCCTAATTGAAGAGAAATATTTCTTCTATGTATTAAAAAAAATTTCAACTAATAATATCAAGCTAAACATCAAACTAGGTCAAACTGCTTAATTAACAATTAGTACTCTTTAATTAACTCTTTTGAAACAAATTCAGTTTGATCAAGTAGATACATAGATATGAATAGCATAATTTACGATGTTTTTGATAATGAAAATTTTGCAAACTACCTCTTTAGAGAACTTTATCAGAAAACAGTGTAAGAATAGTGAATTTACTTGATTGACCTTCGTCATTATCAGCAGTTATTTTTTAAAAACTATTTCAAGATCTTCATAGGCTTACCTTTTCTTATCTTTGAAAAAAACATTCTAACAAAATGTGTTATCAGAAATTTGGTGACATGTCACTTATGACCAGTTGTGATTATTTTTGCACACCTACTATTATATTATATGTAAAATGTTCATTATATATACAGTCATCAATATCATATTCAATTTTTGGGGGTTATACAATTATTTAATACACAGTTATTACCCTTGTTCTGGAGAATCAAATGTTATGAACTTAATATATATTATTATGTACATGTATATATTTTGTATTGGTATTGTCGTTGTATAATGTTAAATTTGAAAGTAAGAACAGAGTTGTTGTTCTTGATTGTAGTTTCTTAAATTTTCAACTGATTTTTCATAAAACTTATAATCCCCCAAACTAAAAGTCATGATGGAACAAATTTGAAACTTCCATGTTTTTATCTGATTTTTGTGAAACTTTCTGTGCAGTCTTTCCTTACATTTAAATAATATAATAGGATAATTTTTATATTTTTATATTTTTATTTTGAAATTTTAGACCTATATTCCAATGTCTGCCGGAGAGTGTCACCTAATGAGACAGACTTTACTCAATTTCTTTCAAGACATGCACATAAGGGTGAGTAGAATGTTTTAATTTGAAAACTGCAATAAGTGTAGATATTGAATTGGAAAGCGTTGAATTTTCTTATCGGATTTAACGAATGTGCCATTATGTTACCGGGTACGTACAGAAAATATATCAAAGTTAATAACAAGAATATTATAGAAAATATATATTAACAATATTATATTGCTTTACCAACAACTATGTGTTAACTGGCTTATTCAGCAGCAGTAAATTAATACCTAAGACCAGTTACGGCTCATAATTATTGCCAAATTTTTATTTAGGTATCAATATTCTTAAAAGATAAAGTTCAAAATAATAATGGTAGATTTATTTTACCAATTGGTGGACCTTTACCATATGGTACTGAAGTTCCTGGAACCATCAGGTTAGACTCAAATTTAAATATATAACTTTGTAAAATCAGGAAAGTAACGCAATATAAAGCCAGGAGCATATGCCAGATTTTTGTCGGTTAAAAATAAATACATTATGTGTTCAAAAGAAAAAATGGGAATGCTGCTTTATCACCTGGGGTTGAAATGCAAATTTATTCCATGTGATGAGATATTATATGTTGTCTGATTGGAGAGGGAAAATGTTTTGTATAAACATTTTTATTCACTGCACACGCCATAAATACAACATGCAATCCAAATTCCAAATTTCCTAACTTGTCAGAAACAAATACAGATGTCATTTAATTTACAAAAATTGACAGTTGTCAGATCTTTATTTCTCCAGGCTAACCTAGAGCTGAAAAGATTGTCTATGAATGTAATCTTTTTGAATTGCTTATTTGAATCCAATCACAATTGTTAATGAAGGTTCCCTCAATCTAAGAAATTTTCATTGAGAAATTATTTTTTAAAGACAAATTGCCTAGGTAATAATGTTTATTTTAAGAAACAGGTCAATAGTAAAACATTGTTTGTCACTTTTCATCAATGCAATAAGAAATATAATTGGTTGTTTAAGTTTGAAATTGTATTGAGTAAAATATAATGTAAGTTTTATTATGTGGATTTAGAATGACAATGTTTGAAAGGTTTTGTATGAATGACATAGAGAAAGTGACAAAGCAAAAGATTGTAGGTGATCAGACATTCCATTTTTTGACAGTTGGCTCACCAAATATTAATGAGTGCTGGTAAAATTATAGTGTATTTTTTGACCAGGGAAATTGAGGTTGCATTTTACAGGTTGTCAAAAAAGAATTCTGAAATTATGGGACACAAACAGCTTTTCTCTAAAGTGGTCCATTTAACCTTTATCAGTTTATCTCAGGCATCATAAAATCTCATCATGAACAAATTTTTCAATATTACCAACATGATTGTGAGAAATATGACCAAAATAAGATATCTCTGGATATCAGAATCTATCAGGCTTTTAAAATAACAACAGTTAGCAATTACTTGCATCTGTTTTAGGTGTCAAATGTTCAGAACATTGACTTGAAAACCAAATGTTCAATAAAAATATTCCAAAACATTTCTCAAAAAGTGTTTCAAATAAATATGTTTTGATATTATATAATGATTATTCAATCAGAAATGACTTAGAATGCTAATCCTGCTGAATTAGTGCCCTAATTATATATCCTAAGGCTACATACCTATTGTTACATATTATTACAGGCTGTTTACAGATGATGGTAGAACTAAAAATGATCAATTTCCAGCTGGGGGATCATATATACTCTCTAAAAAAGAAGGTTCATTTGATATGAAAGGAGATAGAGTGACAAAATTTGGAACAAATATGTAAGTAGACTTGTAGATCAAATCAAAATGAAAGAACAAATATATATAATAATGAATAATATTTTCTAAAAGGTGAATTTCAATTTTGCATAACTTTTTAGTTTCAAATGATATTGATGAATTTTTCAGGTCCAATTTTTGAATTGAAGATAAACAAGGACTGAGAAAATTTTTGACAATTGCACTAGGGTTATTTATCCTTGATTACTATTTATCAAAATTAATTCAATTCTTTATTGAATGATTTATTAATATCAACATTTAGTTAAAGGCACAAGAACCCAATCTATATATTTTGGTGATACATAATATCTGCCATTTTTCCTTTTGTTGATTAAACCAGAAAGTTATGCACAAATTGTCTAAATTTCACTAATATCTCTGTAGTTTAGATATAGTGATATTACTAAACCAGGTGTAATAATTTGAATCATTACTGAAATTTGTTACAGGTATTCTACCTCAAGACCAGTTGAAACTACCGTAATACAACCTAAAAATACCATACCTTCATCAGATCTGGTATGTATAAAAAATACTTTAATTCTTTATGGAGGATAAAATGGGCCAATAACGTTATTTGAGAAAAATTTTCCCAGAGTCATATATGTCTCCGAATCAAATCAGATGCCAGATTTACATTATGAAAAGTGATATGGATAGCTGTAAATGATGAAATATTTGGGTTTCTATTCTATTCTATTCTATTCAAATTCGAATCTTAAGTGATGACTTACCTATATTTGATGTCCAATAGAGGTTTGTGATCCTCAGAAATTTGAGCTGCCTGTCGGTCATTGTATTTTTTTCCGTTATTGTTGTTCTAGGACACCAGTAATCCTAATCCTTTAGCAAAGGCTCATTTAGACTTGTTATCACAATTAATTGGTACTAAATTAATGAAAGATAAATCAGAATTTAGACTGAACTTATTTAAAACAGATGAAGAAGAAAGGTAAGTAAAAGTTAAGCTGTAGTTCAAAAGCCTGAGCAAATTTTTAAGTTTATAATTTTGGGTTATTTATCTATAACATACAAACACAGAGTACACCAAGATTTGTATATATGAATACAAAAGTAAGCTGAAATTTGGAAACATTACATAAGTACTACATGAATGAAGGACAAATATTAACTGTACGTACTGATTTCAATTTTTTCAGCAAAGCTGCAGCAATAAGACCTATTGAAACAACAGAGTCACAAGTAGTCAAAATTGATGCTTCTAAAGTAAGTATGTTTCCTTGAAAAAGTTTCTTGTGTGTGTGTCTTTTACTTTATATTTAATCTTCAGTGCAGACTGGCCATTAAAGACGCTTCTTAATATTATGGTTTGTTTTGTAAATATAAACACATGGGAACCTTATGACATTATGTGAGTACATGTACTGTTAAAAAGTTGTTTTGATTGATTAAAAATTCATCGTCTTTTACATGGCCTATTGGATTAAGTGAACCAATCAAAGCTATGTATCCTGATAACGAAAGTGTTGATGTCCAATTTTGTTTTGATACACAAGTAAAGTACTTGATTTTGATATTGATTTATGTGATATTATATGGTATCATACTAGTTCATACAGTCACGATTATCCTGATTCTAGATATTGATCATTTTCATTAATATCTCTATGTCTTTTAATAAATCCAGAAAACTATACATATCATGAAATTTTTGTAATTGAAACCAATTATGTATTGGCTGGTAATAAATATCTCCATATTTTGTTATTCTCAAGTTCTAATTTTCAAACGGATTTGGCATTCTATAAAGTAACAGCACAATATTGTTAGTTAAAACTTTCAGATTAGTTTTTATTAATCTGGGCACCTAACCTTTACATCTTGCTTAAAAAATTTGCCTCTTTTAATCACTGAATTAATCTGACATTTACGACCTGATGCCCAAAGAAAATTATGTTTGCAAATGATATGATATAAGTGAGGCCTGTGCTGTGTCAAAATGAAATCAGGTGATTGTTTTGAGAACAAAGGCCTTGACAAATATCTCCATCAATTTAAAGATATCAATATTTAAAAACACTTTCACTAAAAAATGTTAAAAGTATCATAATTCAAACGACTGTCTGCTATATAAGGCTCAAAGTCACAATTAGAACAATTTTCACCTTTGTTACCTTAGATTTTAATGACATTGAGACCAAAGGCATGACCAAGACAAAAAAAAAAAGAAATGAGTAAGGAGAAAGTTTATCTTATCATCTGTATGTGTGGGAGGGATAAAAGTTTTTTTTTTGTATTTTTTCATCATCTTTGAATAAACATGCTATTTTTAGTAAAATCGTGTCAGCATTGCTGTTAATGAGTAATAGTTAATTGATTGTTCTTTGTTCTAATTATTTATTTTGGGATTGTACAAGCACCACGCTTGTCTTATACACTTTTGTTGTTTGTTGACCGGTACTGGCAAGAATAGCTGGTTTATTATGGCTATAAATACCTCATCATTATTATCCTACTTTTATATAGTAATGCACTTTCTGCTGCTTTCATCTATCTGAATCGTGATCAAACTAAAAACTTCCTCATTTTGATGAAACATGGAAAATAGGATTTGATACTGAACTTTCATGTTTTCAAGTACAAAATGTTGGTATCAATACAAAGCTGAATCATCAATGAATCCATCAAGACATTTTTGGATAATCTGTTACGTCTGTGCCTCAACCTGGTAACAAATTACAGAAAATGGGTTAATATTAGAATGCAGAGATTCCATAGAATCGGGATAGTTTAAGAATGACCTTCTGTTTGTGTGTGTACACCTATAGATTATCATTTAGCCTTGTAAGTTTGTATGCAGGTATCAATGTATACCTATTTTCTATTTCAGAAAGCTAAGAATCCAGAGTTAAGTCGTATTATGGGTGAATTATCAGTAGATAATGATGATAGAAGTAATGATGATGGTGATGATTTACTTGATCTAATGGATAGTTAAATTACTGTGGATAGATAGTCAAAATATCAAAACTTTAAGCCAATGTCATGTCATGTCTCAATCTACTTTTTTTTAGTCAACCTTATCAAACCTTTTGAAAGTAATATTACATTAGCTATGTTACAGTTTTGAAAGTAATATCACATTAGCTATGTTACAGTTTTGAAAGTAATATCACATTAGCTATGTTACAGTTTTGAAAGTAATATCACATTAGCTATGTTACAGTTTTGAAAGTAATATCACATTAGCTATGTTACAGTTTTGAAAGTAATATCACATTAGCTATGTTACAGTTTTGAAGTAATATCACATTAGCTATGTTACAGTTTTGAAGTAATATCACATTAGCTATGTTACAGTTTTGAAAATAATATCACATTTGCTATGTTACAGTTTTGAAAGTAATATCACATTAGCTATGTTACAGTTTTGCAGTAATATCACATTAGCTATGTTACAGTTTTGAAAGTAATATCACATTAGCTATGTTACAGTTTTGAAAGTAATATCACATTAGCTATGTTACAGTTTTGAAGTAATATCACATTAGCCATGTTAAGTTTTGAATTAATATCACATTAGCTATGTTACAGTTTTGCAGTAATATCACATTAGCTATGTTACAGTTTAGAAAGTAATATCACATTAGCTATGTTACAGTTTTGAAGTAATATCACATTAGCTATGTTACAGTTTCGACCTGTTGTAAATTATAGAGTGAGACTTGACATTGGCCTGAAGATTATATAGATTAATATAAAGAAATCCAGTCTGTATTTATTTATTTAGTGTTTAATGTAATTGTTAGTTAATTTAGTGTATGCCTAAAATATATCTAAGTCAACTTATTTGAATATATTTAGCAATAGGTTGATCACTTGGATAAGATCTGATTATTTATATGGTGAAAAAATCCATGTGGGGCCTTAATCACAATTTTTTTTTTTCAATGGTTTTTGTGTGTTTTTCTGCCATTTTTGCAAGATTCCGTCCACCAATTGAAACAAAACATTCCCAAGTGACATAGGTTATATTTATGAAATATTGTAGCAATTGATAATTCCAGTCAAGTATGGCATCAAAGTTCATTTTACACGTAGTAAATTTTGTCATCTTGTTTATTATATGTATTGAGTCTACAAATTGTTATAAAAATGACTTTGTTGCTATTTGTTTATTTCAAACAGTTAATTTGCTCGACTGATATCTGTGAAAATATGTTTACTTAATTTTTTTCATTTCTTGGTTTTACATTTTCACCAAAATGGTCCGTCCATGGTTACTGTTTTATACATGTTGTGTTTTAGTGAATCAAAAATTATTCAAGAATTTCTCACAGAGTGGCTCTGAGCTAAAGAGATCTTTAATAAAGAATGTCTCATCATGTAAATGTTTAAATTTTGTATGACGTTTTGTAAATGTTTCAAAATAAAATAACTGTGATAAAATACCTGTGATTAATTGAATTCCCTTCAGGTAAGTCTATTCATAAATTTGTTGGTCCTGAACCTTAAAAACCCTAATCTATTTCTTGACTGATTAATACAATATAAATATTTTCACTGTTAGCATAGTACTCTATGCATTAATTGTAGAGTGATATAGAAATATCAAAACAGAACTTAAATCAAGTTGCATGCTATCTCACATGAAAAATGAAAAGTTCTGTTTTAATATTTCTTTACAGATTAATATAACAGATATTCAAATGGTTTTGGACTACTGAAAGTCTAATAGATGATCTTTAAATGTATAACAGTCAAGTTTTTAATCCTTTGTGGATGTAGTACATAAACAATATATTAACATTATTCACAAATAGTAACATTCATTACATATTATGTAATATCAATGAAGGGCAAATCAGTCTTCAACATAAAATGAGAAATCCAACATTCCCAATTTAAAACTTTTTCTACACAGATATTGCTTACATGACTGACTTATACTAAAATTTAGTCATAGGTTTTTTACCAGAAGAAACTCAAATTGAAGAAAACGAAAACCAACATTTAAGGGTTTTCTTGAGCGTTTCCATAACAAACATTTAAAATAAAAATTATTCTTGTTCTTAAAGAGATCCTACACTTTGTTTAATACACAAATTATATACATATTTACACTCAAAATAATCAAATATAGTTTTAGACAACTGTGTCTTTATTTACTTAATGAACATATTAAACATAATGAAATGAAACTAATAATGCATATTGAACAATAATGATTTATTTTCATTATGGTCAATTGGCAATCTGATTAAAATGTAGCTTATGATTGAATTCTCGCTCACCATTTCCCACATTGACAGTAGAAATTGTCATTTAATGTATAAGGATGAAAAGCATACAATATTAGTCAAGTTGTCCATCAATGGAGCCTAGAAAACCTAGAGCCTATTTTCATAAACTATTTTTATAATGACAATGAAATAAATACTGAATTAACAATGAAAATGCAGCTTTTTGAGAAAAAAAATTATATACCTGAACTTAATGAATTCAGAAACTTATCTACAATAGAATGAGTCTTTAGAAGGGCAAGTAGTAGTATATGAGCTATACCCTTTTAAGTTATGCGACCGATTTCAAGGAAACCAATGATAGTTTTAAACCACTTTAAGTAAATATAATGTCAGAAACAAAACATATACTTAAGGCTTAAAGAGAAGTACCTTATGAAAGTCAAACTGAAAATTAACAGCAGTTTCACAAGAAATAGTTAAATCAATTGCAATATTCAGAAAGTCGAAAACTCATTTTCAAGAACTTTCTGACTCTTACATATCCTCTTTGGACAAATTACAGCTTGGGCCAGAAAATTACACTTTGAGGTTGGATAAGTGCATCATTATTTTGTGTATTCATTACCTCTTTGATAATTGGAAGTCACTGAAATAAACTTTGAAATCATATCTACCAATATGAAACTAAGGTATTTCTTGAACAAACCAAAGTGATAAAACAATATGGCAGAGAAACCTTGTTTTTGGTTGACAAATTACAAGCCATATAGGTATATTTTAACTATGGGGGGGGCATGTGTTCATACTGAATTTATGTGTAACAGAAATGTAGAAGTTACTCTTTCTAACAAGGAAAATTTCCATTTAGCCAATACACCTTTGAAATAAGTTTATAATTTGACAGTAAAAGTAACAGGAGTTGTTGATGTCTGTGGTCCGGTCTTAAATAATGCTCTGTGGATTAAAGGAACTTCTACTGTAGCAGATGTCAGGGCAGAACTCTTAGGAAATCTATAATACAAAAATAACAACTACTTACAGCTAAACAAATATTTTTTATGCAATCAATATTTCATTCACATCAAAGCATGAACCAGGAAAAGAATTATTGATTATATAAATAACTATGGTACTTAATTGGCAGGTTTTGTTTTTTAAATTAGATTTTATATACTATATATAGCTAATTCAGATAAAACTCTCACAGTCTGAACATTAAGTATGTTGATCATATGCTGTGTCCATGCTGAGTATTTTTACCCCTGCCAAGGTATGAATTTCCTTTAACATAAACTTCATGTCTGATAGACCCTTTCTAACAAATGGACATTTGAGCTGGTTTGCCGGTCATGTACGAAAATACAGCCAAATCAACAGGCAATTTATCTAGCGGACGTTTGCAATTTTATATTCAATATCTTTGGTCTCCTATAATCTCCTGAATATTAATTACTGTCCTACACACTGAACTCCAAATAATAAAAATTGATGCAGATAACGTTAGTATGAACCACATCACAGTTATACTGTATGTATGAAGGAACAATTGAGAAAATACAAGTAACTTCCACAAGAAAAGAATCAGATTCGTATCCACAGGATTCATCAATTATTTAAAGTGGCATATATTGAATACTTAATAAGAAAAATAAAGCTTTACACATTTTCAGATGAAAGTATCTTCCAAAAATTGAATTAAGGAATGACCTGAACATTTGTTCTGTTTATACATCAATAAACTGAAAAATGTTCAGGTCATTCCTTAATTCAATCAACTCGAATACATGTTTAAATATTTATCTAAAGTAGCAACAAACTAAGGCGCAAAATTGGCGCATAAATACATTAGATTTTAACATATCGTTAATGAACTGATACTAACAATAGAGACGTCCTAGAGAACAGCCAATCAGCAATAAGAAGGTCACCTATTTATAGTCTACTATCTACTGCTTGAAAGTTGACGGAGCGGTCACATTTAAAGTTGAATTATTGAAAGTTGAGTTCGAAATAAGTCCAAAAATCATGATTTTGTTGATATTTGGAGAGTGCACATTCGAGGGTATTTGGAAAATACTGTAATGATTCAGTGTAGATTTCAGCTCTGGTGACGTTCAAGGGAAAGACGAATAAACCGAATTCACGTGACCGCTGTTATCCAATCAAATTGCTTGATACCGTGTAAATGGAATCGTGATTTAATTATATATCTATATTCAGAATTGTAACTATTTAAAATCACGTTCAACATAAGGAACTTTATAGACGTCTGTTTGCTACACAACTAATAATCTTACCTGAGAGAGTCTGGTATAGAAACAGAGGAGACATCATCATTATCATAAGGAGTAGATTGTATTCTAGCTGATATTGGTGTCACTACCTTTACTTGCATTGGTAAACCTGTTAATGATATACAATCATATTTCATATATGATACAATTTAGTGTTTTCCCTCTTTTACATACTGGTACCATGAAATCATTTATTATTTGAGGGAAATTAGTTTGTGTATTCATCCTTAAAAGCATTAACATGGAAACATAAATAAGTATAGCACTTAGTTACTGCTCTAACATGAGCATTCAATACAATTCAGTTCTTATTTTGTAAGGATTCTTTCAAAAAGATGTGTTTTTAACTTTCTCTTAAAAGAGTCAACAGATTTACAAAGTTTTAACTCTTCAGGTAACCTGTTCCATAACAGTGGTCCTGCTACACAGAATGACCTATCAACAAATTTATATTTTGTTGATGGTACAAGAAGATTAAGACACGTAGAAGATCTTGTGTAACACAGATTTTTATCTAGAGTTTAGAGATCCCTTAGAGCCAAATTATTTAAACATTTGTACACCATCAGAAGAAGTTTGTATTGTTCGGGGAGAACCGAATGGGTGCGGATAATCCGGGGAAGATCAATGGCCAAGTACCAGATGGTAAAAAGGATCTTTAACTGTGAACCGAAGTTGTTAATCTTATAAAATATAGTTGTTTCTTTCTTTCTTTTACATTGATTTCTATTTTCTATGGATTAATCTTATAGTTCATGAACTGTATTGAGTGTTTATATCTTGTAAATACTATTCATGACCCTACATTACTTCATATCAATATGGGCAACACCCAATGATGAATAATTGTACAATATACAGAAAGCTGATTAAAATTTCCATGTGACAGAAGAGACAACTTTTCCACGAATTTGATGGTCACAAAACTAATTAATGCATCTACTTACCATCTAGCTCTCTATCATGATATCTAGACATAGCTCTCTGAGCATCTTCTTTTTTAACATATACAACTTCACCTAAACCAGGGCGACTAATTTTAGCTCTTTTTAATGCACCAATTTCACCAAATAATTCCTGCAAAAATAAGAAAAAAAACCTTATTTTCACATCCAATGGTCTTCATCTTTTGTAAGAGTTGCTAGTACTTGCAGTAGACCATTGGTTTTGACAAGGTGGGGACATTTGTACTTTTCTTTGGGGAAATTGGATGTGTCACAGCCAGTCACATGCTGTGAAAAATAAAAACTTTCCAACTACAATATAATATACATCTCATATGATGGCTACACTATACACAACCTAAATTAACATTGTCTAGGAGTATTCAGAGAATTATTACTATCAAACTATGGGAGAACTTGCCTGGTATCCAATCATAGATATACTCTCGATATTTGGGAGCATCATTTTCATATTGATTAAGATCCCAAATCAATTTGAGTTCTACCTTACCCACATACTAGAGTATCATACAACATACAGATATGGTAGCCCACCGATAATACAACCCACTTCAACTTTATTATCAAGATGCCAAAATGTTTTGTGAAAATAGCTATGATAAATAGAAAGAATACTTACTATTAAATCATCTTGTGATACACAAGGATCTAAGTTAGTTACTGATACTTTAAAACCTTGTAATGGGCTCAATATATCATCATCCTGCTGTTAATAATAAAAGTTTTATTAGTTTCTTGGCATCAGAAGAATTAAGAGCCAGGTAAATGTCAGAAGGTTCTGTTGCTTTCAAAATTATTCAGCACTGTCGAAGTTCCAAGTTTAAGTCCTACATTGCACTATTTGCAGAGATATTTATCTCTTTTTTCCTTGCATGGGTGATTGAAAAAGGCCATTTCCATGCAGACTGCAACCATGTACAGTTCAACGGTACAAAAGATAGGCTTCAAGGTCAAGTTAAATAAAACAGAGCCTAGCCTGTCACATGATGAGATAAATTAATTCTGATACTTACATCAATATCATAAGATACTGGGACAGTGTACTCATCAGGTTCTTGTTTAACTTTAACAGGACGATAGACACTTTTGGTCTTCACAACTGGGGCTGATGGGGCAGGAACTCGACGTCTTGGAGGATCAACTTCTATTACTGGTGGTCTGCGTCTGATTGGAGTTAAAACTTCCTCTCTTGGTGAGGTGATGACTGGTATGGTTTTCTTGGCTGTTGTAGGTGGGGGCATTCTTAACCTTGCTGAGGCTGCTTGACTGGCAGCTATCTGAATTGCATCTGCAGCTTTATATGTTTTAATTAAATTGGCTTTCTTTGGTGGAGAAGGACTAGCAAATTCATCCGACCATTTTATGGGAGATGGTGCTCTTTTTACTGGCTGACTTAACTGAAATACACGTAAGCATTAGAAAATATAGGGCTTAATGATTAATTTGTAACATCTCTCTATTTGTGGACGTATATTGTCGGCACCCCTGTCCATCCGTCGGTAAACGGTCTAAAAACTAGAAATTTGGTATGTGTATACATATTCATAAAACGAAGATCAAGTTCAAATTTGAGCTATTTTTCGACAGTTAGAAACAGAGTTATTGCCCTTGCCCCAAAATCTTTACCATCCGCATGCCGTGGTTCATCCAATATCATGTGTTCTGCAAATATATTTTACAGAAAGTTACCTTTATTGTGGAGGCCCTTTTTGTGACTGTTAGTTGATTATTACCATCAAATGAAACTTGTGAATTAGGAACTGATCTTGTAATCTGTATAGAATTACCAAACATTTCAACCTGGGATCCACCATTAGCAAATTCATTCTTTAACTGAAAATAACAAACATATAAATATGTCGTAGCATTATCAAGATGTAGCTGAAATTTGTTAATTTTCTAAATAAGATTTCAGATTTACCTGAAGGTTAAGGAGGGATGTTCATTTTATTCACAATTACACAGTATGTAGAGCATGCATGGTCTTGTTTTGTCCATTAAGAAAAAGATACCTACTGTTTTTCTCAAACCACCCAATCCTCCTATCTGTACTCCTCCACCAGTATTTATCTGAAATAATATTTACAATCATATATTATTGTTAACTGGTCTAAAGAATATCATAGAAGAAAACTTCAAAACGAGAACAGCTTAACAGACCTAAGATTTTCTAAAGCTTCTTTCATTCCTAGCAATTTTCTGAATGAAAATATTATCAAAGATTTAGATCAATTTCATACTTACAGTTTTAGATAAACCTCCAGCAGAATCAAACTGAACACCATTACCAGCTTTCACCTACATAATACAAACAGATTTAAACTGAACCCAAACTATTGTGATACAAAATAAAAGACAGTTTGCTAATATGCAAAAATTTTACTCCATTCTGATGTGGCTCTATTCTCATCTATATGCAGATTTGCAATCTTTATCTAATTTCTGTTGAAAACCATGCATTATTTTTACGCTTCAAATCTATATTATTTAAAAGTATTGTATAAAACTGAAAGATTTGCACTTACTTTTCCTAATCCAGTCACTGAAAACTGTTGCTTTGTTGGAGATGGACTCTGTGCTTGAGGTTTCTTAATTCTTGATCTAGCATCAAATGTTCCTTTTTGTTTCTGTGAAAGAATAATTTTCTGTCTAGCATCACGAGCAGCTGCAGCAGACTTCGCTTGAAGTAATTTTTGCCTTGCGTCAAAATTTTTAGTCACAGAGAGTTTTTGTCTCATATCATTTTGTGAAGTTTTGTTTTGAAACTTTTTAGTTTGCAATCCACCAGTTTGGGCAGTTTTGTTCTGAAACTTTTTTGTTTGCAATCCACCAGTAGTTTTCTGAATTCTACCTTTAAAGCCATTTCCAAATGGTAATTTTTTCTGAAACACTTTTGTATTTACTTTTGCTTTATTGTTTCTGGAAGAGAAAAGAATCAAATGATAAAATTGTTTTTTGAATTATCTTTAAATAAGGAATATATTAAGTTTAGAATGTAAGTTTTATTCAAATTCTCAAACTTGACCAATGAGTGTCAACAGACTTAACTATATTACAGATTCCTCCTATAATCTGATAAATCCACAAGTAACTAACCTCAAAACTACTGCAAAAGTAATTATTGAAACAATTTTCAATGATTACCTGGATTAGTGGATTTATCAGATTCTACAATGATTCTGTAAAGTTATTACACCAGGTAAGCTGACTAATAAGTCTTGCTATAAAATTTAAGTTAAAATATGTAACAATTTTGTACCCACAGAATCAAGAATTAAAAAGAAAGAATTTTGTTTGGCTTAAGCCGTTAAGGTTGGAATTGCTAGTATGAGTTAGGTGGTAAGTAATTAAGAGATTAAAAAGGGCTTTAAAGGAATGTCATTGATTCAAAAATCAGGATCTTAGGCATAGTACTGTATGAACCTATTAAAAATTATAAGATAAGGTCTACAGTCAAACACACACATGATTTTAAAAAAGAAAAGGGGCCAAATAAAAAGAAAAACAAAATCTCAAAGTCCACTCATCTCATGTCTAACATGAAGATGGAGCCAAGGGCGGTTGCGTTCTGATGACATAAACATTGTTGTTCAAAATATGAAATTGCGCACGGCACATGGTGTAAAGATAAAAGCATTTACGCACTGAAACTGCACTTTGAAATTCTTCTTGCCCATGTAATCGTCCAACGACAAATCCGCCATGTTGCTCACATTGACATTATCTGCTGCACATTTCACCGGAAGTTGTATCTTATCTTTCGAGTGTAATTCTGTAGTATGTTATTTTTATTTCTGAATACAATCAAAAGTCATGACGAAAGTTAGAAAACCTCAAATAATCACTAAAAATAACAACTTAGACGAAATATATTTTGATGGTTAGGCTCGCAGTTATATGCCGAAATGTCTGTCGGGAATTAACAATAGAATTAAGCCTCTAGGCCTAGATTAAAACAATTGGAGATTTTGTGAAACCATTTTCAAGGAATATAAATTATACTTATTTCTTTGCTAAAAAACATCTATTTTCTGTACAAATTAAGTTGATAATAAATAATGGCATCAGAATGTTGAAAATGATAGTAGAACATTTCGGATTATACTACTTTCAGTTTATTTACAACGTGCTGTTCATGCGTTAAGACAGATCTTCTTTTTCGGTTCTGTTATAACTAAAAGTAAATATACAAAAATCAATTTTAAGATTAATAAAGTCTTAAAGGCTCTCTTTCTTTTACATATTCTCCATTTTATTCTATTCTCTTTCTCCAACCTTCTCTTTTCTTTCTTTATTCTATTCTAGCTTATTATAAATGTAATCTTAATTTACAGAATAGAAAATGAGTGAAAACAAAAGACAGGTAAAAAGAGACCAAAATCTTACTATAAGAAATGTGCCAACATAAAAAGAAAGAGATTAAATCAGCTAGAAAGTGGAATGAGAGGCTATATTGTTACTTGTGACAGAGAAAAAGAAGCCACTAGAGAGGCATATAATTTATTAAATGATTTTGCTGATCAGTTGTATGGTGCAGAAAAGGTCTGTTTCAGTGTTTCAATATTTTTCATTTTAAATCATTTCATAATGGGTGATTATGGGTTCTAATTGCAGTCGTTGAGAGTCAGCTCTACCCATTATTTTACCTGTCAGAGTTGCAGAGATGAATACCATGGTTACTAAGTTATGTATGTATTGAATCCTCATGCACTGAAAATATATAAGCTTATTATGATTTTTTTGTTAATCTAGTTCATTGAGGGTAATGACAACAACACCAACAGTGATGATGGTAGTGAAGAGGAAGATTTAGAAGCAGCTATGAAAAAGGAAGTTGATGCCATGAAAGAAACAAAACCTGTTCAACGCAGATTTCAAAGACTTGATAGCAGAACTAAAAACTGTTTGTTCATTAAAACTGATTTAGAAAATCCAGCAGAAGTGACCAATAAAATTTTTGAAAATTTGTTGGAAACTAAAACACAACGAACACGATTTGCAATGAAACTAATGCCAGTGGATGTTACATGTAAGGCAGTGAATGAAGAAATTCTAAAAACAGGAAAAGATTTATTTGAAAAACATTTTTCAACGCCGTTTGGTGAAGGACGTTCTTATTCTATTGTATTCAAGGCTCGAAATAACAACAGCATCAAACGGGATGATTTGATTCCACCATTAAGTCATTATGTTGGGGAATTAAATCCTGCTCATACTGTAGAACATAACAATCCAGACTTTGTCATTTCTGTCCAGATACTGTGTACTGTTTGTTGCATCAGTATTTTAAAGAATTTTAACAAATTTAGAAAATATAATCTGCATGAAGTTGTCAAAACCGTAGAAAATTCTGTCGATAAAACTGTTGGAGATGCTGTTAACAAACCTGATGGTGCTGATGTGAAACAAATTGATGCAACATCTGTCAAACAAACTGAAGGAGATGAAGTCAACAAAACTGATGATACAAAACAAACTGATGGTGCCGAGTTGAAACAATGTGATGCAACAAGTGAAACTGATTCTGTTGTTGCTCAATCTGGTTGTGGTGATGTTGTTAAAGACACTAGTGATGCTTCTGTGAAAAAAATCTGATGAAATCTCAACTGAACACTCAACTGAAAAACACAAAGCTGTTTATTTCAATTGATGCAGCCATAACATTTTAACAAAAACAGTTTTGGTAGATTTATTCTTTTAGATGTTATTTGATTTACTTTTTTCATCACTTTTTCAATGAACTAATTCCTTTATATTTGTATTTTGTAATAATAATAGCCTTGGAGAAAGCGAGAGGCAAAAGGAGCAACTCAATTGTATTTGATTACACACAAACCTAATGTCAGAATTCCATTCTAATAAAACTCTATAGTGTTTTTAGTATTAAAATTTATTTGGCTATGAAAGAGGAATGTTACAATATATATACAAAGTATTCATTATAAAAACAACTAGATCTACAATTAATAACAAAAATTCATAGAAAGGAAAAATATCTCGGTGGTAAAATTTCAAGAATTTTATAGGCATTCTAGATTAAACAAAACTGTTTCTGAGTATATGAAGTTCTTGACTTCAGTCAAAAGTGAAAAAAAAAGGATATGCATTTTGAATTGAGGATCCGAAAAGAACACTTGATCTAGGACAGATGCCCACAAAGGCACAAACATTAAGGAAAATGCACATTAGGTTTAACAATGATCTAAAAAAATATCACAGTCAACACTTCTATAACAGATCTGTAAGTTAGATATGCATGTCTCCAATTTTAATTGGAACGGTTGATGATTAAATTCATTCAGGGATTTTAAAGGGTTTTCTAATCTTGTGTAGTGTATTGACACAATTCTTCCAATATTTCTGTAGTCTGTTAGAAAATGATAACTTTGTCATAACCCCTCTTGAATTTGAGATTCAGAAGTAACTTGAAATATATACAAAGATCTAACTTTTGGTATTTGGTATTTTAGATTGGAAAAGCATGCTAAATGTATAGGTTGTATGCAAGTGAAATCTATTATGGCTACTACCAGTAAATCATGTTGGACAGCTACAGAGTTTTAAGGCACAAAGATCATGGTATGATGGAGTGATGCATTTAAAGTTAAAATTCAAATTTGAATATTTGTCTTCAGTGTACTGTGTGACATCCTACATCTTAGTATTCGGACATTCTGTGTAATCTGTACTAGGTATATCTTTAATTAAAGAGAGTAATTAATTGCTGGGGTGACCTAATATATTCCTTACATCACAGATAACAAGTAAAGTAGATACTTACAAAATACAAATATGTAATTTCTAAACTTTTTATGTGTATCAGGGACTCTGATAGCATCGATTTGCAACATTCAAATTTTCAGTCGAACGTCTGTGGTTCCTGCAATTCCACCGAAAGTAAGCCTTCTATGATGTCACTATCACAAAAGCTGCTATTGATAAGGACCTTTGCAATGATGGCTATAAAACGCCTAATTTTAGTGGATTTGCAAGAACCACAGATTTGAACCAAAAAAATTGATGCTATCAGTATCCCCAATGCACATAAAAATGTGCGTAACATGTGCATAAGATTACCTTGCAAGTAATAATAATCAGATTATATGATAAGATTAACATAACCCACAAAATTTTTATACAAACAAAGCATTTCAATCTAAATCATGGATTTGAAAATTATTGTTCTTCTGTCAAACGATTGCATTTTCAGATTCTTCACTAACTGACTATAAAATAAGTAAATTCTAACAAAATACAAATCATGTCAATAATAAAGAGTATAAATTGTTACATCAGATCTAAGTAATTGAGCAAAATACAAAAATATAAGTATAAATATTATAATGTTTCAAACTATCAAAATTAATAAAACAAAAACAACTAACATAATAATACATTATTCTTGTAATTCACACTTTTCAATAACATTTAAAAGAATATAGCTGATTTATTTGCTCTGCCATTTAACACATATTAATATCTGTTCTGTACCCCTTTTCAGAATGGAATCCAGGGTCTGGTTTAAATTGTCACTTTGACCAGTATGTTTTTTTCAAACAATTATCTAATTTTCATTCTAAAAATCAGCCTCTATGATAGTCCATCAGACAAACCCAATATTTTTACATGAATTTGTAACTTTAATTAAAGCTTCTTGAATATGGACACAAAAGTCAAAAGTTATGTGCAAGTATGAGATGTGATTAACATGTGTTTAAGATTACCCTACAATTTAATTAATAGATCTTCAGATTCTAGGATGAGATTCATTAATATATATCACATGATGGTATACAAAAACAAACCATTCCGATAAAAAACATGAATTGGTGGAAATTGCTGTTCTTTTATGTATAATTGCATAAATGAAATTAAACATAGTCAAAATCTTGACTGTAAGTTTAGTGAGTGATAGTCGTTGCTATGGTAACAATATTATTCCTAGAGTTGCATCTGGAATAATATCCAAAATTTGACAGTTATCAAAGAAAGCTTTCCTTTGCAAAAATTTAACACGTCAAAACATTTCAGTAGTTTATAATAAAAATACAGCCAAAATAATTTGCAAAGAATATTTGCGCCAATCTTTTTGAATCATGGACTCCCGGTTGAATTGTTTTAATTGAGTTCACCTATTTGGCTACAAAATCATGTAAATAAAGAAAAGTCATGGGATATGTTTCAATTATTAAATTTCACTGCTTTCTCTATGTGTAACATTTGGATTAATTTCTTCTGTATCTACTGGCAATGTGGCTGCAGCACCATTTGTACCAAAGTTATCATACATATTTCCTGATGGCTGTAATGTGTTGTATTCGCGAGAATTTGATTCTTGGAGTCTTGAATAATCAAAACCCTCCTGTTCTTCCAAACCATTTATCTAAAATAAAAAAAAATATACAAACCTAAGGATTTCAACTTAGATATGAACCCATGACCACCAATGGCCATAACCAAACAAATGACATCAAGATCCCATAGCTCTAATTAATTGTGCTACAGGCAGTATTCAGAACACTACTCCACACAAAGACTAAATAGCCTCCAGATTTCATCTGCATTCATGAATCATTCTTACCATGACTTTTCCTCGTCCATAATTAGGATTTTCAAAGGAGACAGTTTCAGATTGAGTTTTTCTTTTTCGTCTGCAAATAGAAATACATTTGTCATTCTAACTTCAGAGACAAATCTTAGAGAATAAGTATTAATCTAATAAATAATATTAAATTAAAAAAAAAATAGCCCTCATGGTGCTTTTATTGTATGGCCAGCCCAATATCTAATACACTCTATCCTTCATTAAGAGGCCAGAAACTGGTGACATAAAAAGTTTCTGGTGCAATTAAAAGTAAAACAGAGAAAAAAGAGGCTCAGTGATAGGCAGCCATTTTGAATGTGGTGCTCTGGTTGCATGGGCAAAAGACTAACACAAGAGGAAGGCCCACTCTTGGCTATAATGGATGACATGAATTCAAACCAAAAAGGTATGACTATTGAAAAATTATACGACAAAAAGCTGGTCAGATTGTAAGAAGTTCATAATAAATAACAAACCTTAAAATAAGGAAGATAACAATAGCAATAACAATGATAATAATAACAGGTATCAATATACCAACAGCAATGGCAGCATCACTTGTTCCTGTAATAACAACAATATTTTTAACAATTGGCAAAATTATTGATAATGACTTAATCAGGCAGCTGGAAACCCAGTAGCTCTTCAAACATACGAAAAAAATTTATCAATCCATTGCACAGTTCAAACTGCTGTCAGTTGAAAATTTGTTGGTAACAAGTTCTTTGCATGACAGGCAATTATCATGATTAGCACCGAAAATCATCTGACATTATCCAATTTGCTCTGATCTACATTATCCAATTTGCTCTGATCTACATTATCAAATTTGCTCTCATCTATATTATCCAATTTGCTCTGATCTATATTATCCAGTTTGCTCTGATCTATATTATCCAATCTGCATGGGCAATGATCAAATTTGCCAATCACGATTGGAAGATTTTATTGGTGTCGTGGAAGTAAACTTAATGGCCACATTCAAATAAGATTTTCCATCTCAATATAAACATATATTCATATTGCCGATAAGAAAATCAACAACCACAATATTTGATTTGGTGAAAGTTCATGTAATATATTAGTGTAAACACTTCCTTTCTTATTCAATGTGTAATTCTAAATAATCATGAAATATTCTGTATTTTGGGAGGAAAAAGATTACATTAACTTACGCTTTGATTTTGATGGATTTTTTCCTGTAATAAAAAATAAATAAATTACAAAATTCTATAGTTAAATTTCCAGCATTTTTTTTCTTTCTTTATTCAATTATGTGTTTATATTTTTGGGTTATTTAAAATTTGAAAAATTCACGTAAATGAAAAAACTTTAAACAGAAGACTATTGTTAAGCTTGCAATTTAAAAAAAGACAAAAAAAATCTAGAATCTAAATAATATCAAAAATTTATGTGTTAATGCAGGCTTGTGCAACCTACAACAGGCGGGCCAACGATTACCCGCAGGATGATTTCGTGCGGCCCGCGGCGTCATGTAAAATTTTAGGGAAATGAGCCCAGCAAGCAGATTGTCGCTGCCTATTATGATATCAAAACCCGTTATATCCGCGCTGTTATATCAAGGTGTGACATCAAAGTGAATCTAACCAATCAAATCGTGAACGAGGTCTGACCTCGTGTGAAACAGTGATTTTACTTCAAATATGTCTGCTATTTACAATGTACATTGAAATACGTTATTTAATAAATTACTAGAAAAAATAACATGTTCCTCATGGTTAATTCCATGATTCATTGATGGTTGGTTACGTGGCTCACGGCCTACTCGCATCCCCCAAATGTGGCCCGCCGTTGCGGAAAGGTTGCACAGGCCTGTGTTAATGTATTCAAAACAGAATTCAAATAATTAATTTTAAAAAAATTGATCAAAAAATATTTAGACTTAAGTAACAGCAATAATTGAGAAAAACTTTCTTCTAAAATCTTTAAACATCCATTCATTTTCGAGAGCATTCAAAAATATGACATATTGATTGCTATCATAAAAAAAAAGTATGAGGAAAAATGCAATAACCAAAATTTGTATATAAAGCTTGTAATAGCATGCAAGAAGTCAACTTAAAGAAAGTACATGTAATGGTAAAAGTAGTGAAGTTTGCAGTAGTGTATAAGCAACAGTATTTAGGCCAGACCAATCTTATTTCTTGTCCTACAGAACCTTCTACTTCGATTTCCAGAAATCAGAAGAGAAAAAAACCCAAGTCAGCCCCACTGGAAATAAAAACAACCTTTATTTCAAAAGAAAAAAAATCATCATCAGAAACTCCCATTATCCTGGCTATTTTTGTCTCCCACCCTTCACTCGAAGTTTTTTTTTACAGATTTTTCCCCTCCTGCCTTTACAGATATTTCATGGAAAAAATCCATGAAGCAAGAAAATAAATTGGTCTAGCCTTAAATATGAAATTATATATTGAATTCAATCACCTAATGTAGTATCTGTAAATATAAATAAAATAAAATTGTAAGTATATTTCAAAACAATGCACAAAATATTTCACTTTGGTATCATTGTCAAGCATAGATATATGTACAAATCTTGTTACAATTCAAACAAGAGCAGTTCATATGTAGTGTTATTGGTAGTGAACACAATATGACTGGTTAACAGAACATTGTCAATCCTTATCTTTTTCAATCCAAAAAAAAGAGTGGACCATTTGTTAATGTTTCAATGCAATGTGGAATTGCAAGCATAATGCAATTGCCTCATGTGGTTGGTGAAAACTATTTGACTTGATCTTCATTTTTTGGTCATATATCTACATAGGCCTACCAAGTTTTTAAACTTTGGAGAATTTTCACTAGTCATAATCACAGGAGATTAAAATTGGAAATTGTTTCATTTGAATTGATAAAACACTGTAAATTGTTGAGAATTTATGAAGAAATAGGAAGAGAAGCACAGACGTACAAGTGTGCCAACATGTAGAAAGATGTGTACATATCTAAATCAGTTCAAAACTTAAGATTCATTTGAAGGAACTGTGTATGGAATGGAAGGACTAACAGACAGACATAGGTGCTGACGTTAAAGGCCTACTTAGAAAGAACATCGTGCTTCATAAGCTAGATATTTTGTCAATGGATAGATATACAATTAATAATACAGCTGAAGCACTTGCATAAAGCACCATTAGTTTTGTTATACACTGTACATTCAATTTTCACAAACCATGGGACCTTGTATGCTCCATTCGTTATCTCTTGAATGTGGAAAGTAGTAATTACCACTGTTTATTTGGTAGACATAAGGAACTCAAGTAAGACCCTTGAGCTCTATGGTTTTCTTGTTTTCAATTCACATGACTTCAAACTGTTACTTCTCAGAAACTTGAGGGACTGAAAACAGACCTGAGTTTCCAACAGGGAAATGTGACTTCTGACTTCAATAAACGGTTTCCATTCGTGAACTTTCTACTTTCCATTGATCCAAGAGGTAACGAATACAGCATAATATCTCCAATATACAAAATGTACTTACTGCCTCCAGTAGTAAATGAAACAGTGTCTGAATGTTTACTAGCTTGGTTTCCTGAGGAAGCTACCACAAAGGCTTCATAAGTTGTATCTTTATCTAATCTAGGTATCTGTACCTTAAGACTACCTGTAGAAATCTGAAAAAGATAAAACAACACTGAAATACTAGTGTTGTCGTCTGCTACATTATTAGATTCCATATATTTCAATTCCTGTCAAAGTGAGTTCATTATCATATTTCGAAGCCAATGATTTCTAAATGACTTTGTTATTATTCATAGCGATGAATATGCCTAGCAGATTTCTATTTTAAACATCTTTATAAAGTGATGATGGTCTTTACATGTTAAATACGGTACGAGATCTTGGTGCAATCACGGTAGTTACTTACTGGTGTGCTTGCTGCAGAAGATTTGTATTTTCTGTAATAGACTGTGTATTTAAATGTAACAGAAGATGATTCAGATGGGGCTAACCATTTAAGCTCTACTGTAGTTTCACTGATCATTTTGGCATTCAGATTACGTGGGGCACTGTACATAATATCTGTAATATAAAGAAATTGATAGAGAGAATTTTTTTTCAAAAAATCAATATTTCCTCTACCACATTCTAAAGTCAGGTGGCCTTAAATAAGTTATCATTATTCTGGTAAATGCTTCAGATTCTATAAACATTTAGCCTCAATTCAGAGATAGGGTATTCTGTTAAGGGACATGTTAGCCATCTATTTGATCAATCATACCTTAGTCTGATCAACAGGAATTATATTAAGCCAATCAGTAATATTGTTTACAGTTCACTGTCAAAATTTGAGTCTTCAAATCCATGTGTGTCCAAAATTATTTTCATTGAAAGTTAAAATGACATGTATAATACACCATACAGAATAGACATAATATATAGATAAAAAAAAAAGGTGAAATTTCTAGTTTGGTATCTTTAAATATCAAGCCATTTTGAAATCATTTACAGCTTTTTTTTTATAAAACAGATTCAATATTGGTTAAGTTGTCATTAAAAAACAAAAAGATGACGTACCTGCAGCTTTAACAGTAACTTGTGTTGGTAGACTTGATCCATTGCTGTTTCTAGCTATCACCACAATGGTATAGGTCTCATTTGGTATGGTCTTTTTTATTATATATTGTCTAACAGTCTTTCCCTGTAAACACAGTATTATCTGTATAACTTTAATGAACTTTTATTTGGGTCATATTTTAACCCTTTTCTTTGATAAATGGACCAAATTTGACCACTTCTTAGCAAAAAATACATTCACATGTCGCTGGATATTCAGACTACCCAACTATATCTTGCCTCTGACCCAGCTTAAGTTCAGAAGAAAAATCACATGCTAACAAAGAGAATTTTCCATTTGAAAATGAATTGAAAAATGATCCTCAGACAGCCGACAATAAACAATTTAAGACTACAGAAGTATGAAAAACCTAACAAAACAAAAATCTAAAAAGCTAAGGTCAGGGAAGGAAATATTTGCCAGGAGATTGGCATTAGTTTTCTTTTATTTGATTTCCATCTGTCAAGGGATTTAAATTATGCTGTAGCACACTGGGCCAAGGTTTATTGTCCCAATCCAACGACTAGACGCATTTCCATGTCATGTCTCCAACATGTCTTCTGACAGACAGAAACCAGTTTGAAAAATCATATGCTGAACCTGGATATACATCTGATATACTATACATACCACATCATGAACTACAGGTTGTTTATTGGTTGATGTGGTGTAAGATATTTTATAAGTATCAACTTTATCTTGAGTCTCTTTAGGCTCTGTCCATGAAACAATGATTTGACCATTAGAATACACTGCTTTTAGTTCAGATGGAGGTGTTGGTATCTTTTCTGTAATAGAATTAAAATCATGCTGAAACCGAGGGCCTGTGTGTTTGATCTGAAAACTCAATTATAAGTTTCCTGTTCACCAAAAAATATCCTGTTGAAAATTTATCATCAACGAAGAAATTAGAAACAGGAAACCACAGTATTAAATGAATCAGAAATTTGAAAATTAGTCAGGTCTATTTCTATGCATCTTGTGAGGGTTCTGGACACAGACGAAGGGCGAAACTCATCACAAGATTCTAGTCGGCGTCATAACTTGACGACCAAGACCATTCTTATGCCCGCACATGCTCTGTACAAATTTTGCTAGGAAAACTGTATTTGCAAATTATCAAAGAATCTTCAAAATGGAAATCCCTGACATTGTGAAGATGAGTTTTAGTGGAATTAAATACAAAACCACAGACATCTGACTGAAAATTTGCATAATGCATATCAATGCTATCAGTGTCACATAAGATAAAAAACAATTTACACTTTCTTTCAATTAAATCATTATCACTCACCTCTACCCTCTTTAGCACAAGACTGTAGTGTATTAGCATCTGGTATACATTGTAAAATATTATTAGTATTAGTGTTGTTAGGTATAACACCAGAACACATCGGCACACAGAATGGTTTAACTCCTTTTTTAATACAGCATTGTGAATGATCTCTTCCATCTGAAACCAGAAAGAAATAAACTGTAATGGTCATGGATCTCGTGGCTTCTGGGATCACAAACTTCGGTCCAAGCTTTCAGTTTGTCACTTTTAGATATTATGTAGTTGAAAGCATTCATTTAATTTGGACATTAATATCTCTGAAGTCTGAAGTCACAAAATAAGAAACATCACTTCTGAGGAAAGTTTAGAACCAGATTTGTTGGACTAGGTGCCATCGGGAATACAATTTTCAAAAACTATGGGACCAAATCATTTTTGATCTAAAATCTAAAATAAATCCTCACTGATACCATTATGACAATTATGATACTTAATGAATTACCTAATTAATTTAACCTACATTGTAATCTTAGTTTTCCACCATAATCCTGTCCCAAAGGAAGTATTTTTAACCAATCAAAGTTGTCATTTAGAACATGTTGAATGATAATATAAAGAATTGTGGGATATTGGAACCTAAAGTAGAGAAATATGACAACCTCTTTCAGTTTTGCTATCCCACAATTCCTTATTATATCAAGATCCAGACGATGAATTTGTCAAAATAAGAAATAAAACAAAATACATACCAGCACCACATTTCATCAGAGCAGTAAGATGAACCAAACAATTTAATTTAGATAGGTCATTGGCAACAACAGCTAAATTTAAATCTAGATCACATAGATCCATACAATTCTTGGATACGTTAGCTTGTTGACAACATACTGTAATTTAGTTCATATTGTTAATATTAGTAATCTAACATACATGGCAGAAAATGTTTATGTGCACAATAAATGCAGATCTGATTTAAAGAGATTGTTAAGATGTTTTCTTAATTTTTGTATGTGTATTGGGGACACTAATAGCATCAATTTGCATTTTTCAATCAGATGTCTGTAGGACCTGCAATTTCACAAAAAATAAGTGTTTGATGTTGTCACTAATCACAAAGGACTTATGTGATACAAGGATATTTTGCGATTTGTGATATCATCAAACACTTAGTTTTAGTGGAATTGCAGGAACCACAGACATCTGATTGAAAATTGGAATGGAGCAAATTGATGCTATCTGAAGTGGTTCACCGATGTACTACCAATCTGTTGTTGAATTGTACAGGTATAGACACCTGAGTCCTCTTTTCGGGCTTTCGATATCTTTAACTCTCTCTGGTTGCTGGGTTGTTCTTGGCCATTATAGAACCATTTAACTGATTTTACAACATTGATAGAGAAAAAATCACAGGTTAAGACAACTGTTGCCTTCTGGTTGACCACACCTTCAGGTTCTTGACCAATAGAGACGTCTGCTAGCCCTAAAATAACACAAATGAGTGCAAACAATTTGAATAATAATCCAAAGGTTATCCAATTTTTTTGCTTTACTAACTCACAAAGTTCATTTCAACTATCTGTATCACTTCTCAGAATGAAAATTGAACTGTCCAGTTTATCTGCAAATGCAAAAAAACTGATTAATAAAAATATTGTAAATATTGTTTTTTCAGCATCCTTCCCTGCAGATTGCTAAAATTATGACATCAAAGGAGAATGTTCAAATGCCCTTGCAATTTAGACTCGTTTTTATTTAATTGTAGAACAATCAGATGCCAGTTTTAAGTTCTGACAAGTAGTATAGGTAATTGAAATTGAGGTATTAGCCAATAAAGACACAATTGTGATAAGCAGAATATAGTTATGACTATTGTATCAACCAATAATCTCATAAAAAGACTGTTCTTTTAAGTTTGATGTGCCCTGGACAGAGCTCATATTCACCAAATCTACAAATTTCTCCCATTCACATTACAGTATTTATTTTAATACTTTACAAAGCTCATGTAAACAATATTTCGAGATTATTGTACACCTTTGTTAAATTTAAGCTCCAAAGATAGCCTTGCCAAGCAAGTTGCACGAGTTGACCAATATAGCTAATAGAGTGAAAACACTAAGTATTTCGGTGAAAAATTATCCGATCATCCTGAAAATCGATAGGGATAATCTTCATAATGACATTGAACAACAAAATAAAAACCAAAAGAATCTGTAAAGAATTGTAGCCTATAGAGTGAGCACGAGTTGCACAATATAGCTAATAGAGAAAAACGTCAAGTCAGACATGATATTTCGGTGAAAAATTATCCGATCATCCTGAAAATCGATAGGGATAATCTTCATAATGACATTGAACCACAAAATAAAAACCAAAAGTATCTGTAAAGAATTATAGTCTTTAGAGTGAACTTAAGCCTGATGTCAACGGACCACCAGGGTGATTACAATAAACACAAATATATTTGTGGAAAAGGCAAGAATGCCATTTCAAAATAAAAACTACCATTCAAATGTGTTAGGAAGTTCTGATCGTACCTAGCCCATTAAGAAAAACATAGGTAAAATAATATTGCTATTTGTGTATTACCTGGATTTATAGATATTAAGGATTGAACTGGAGAAGGTTGTCCACTACCATAAGTATTTCTAGCTGATACAGTCATCATATATCTTATACCATGTCCCTTAAGAGTAATATTGTATGGACTTGAAACTCTCTACAAAAACAAAAAAACAATCATTGATTTAGGCCAACGATCCTGGCACACCCCCAAGGGCATATCTTGAAAATGTCCTAGGGGGCCAAAAATGTCCTCCAATTCCACACAAAAAAATAAATGTTTGATGACGTCAATAATCATCACAAAATATGCTTTATCAAATACAACCCTTTGTGATTAGTGTTGTCATCAAACACTTAGAATAAGTGAAATTGCAGAAACTCAAATACCTAATTGTAGAGAAATATATCTCCTACGTGATCTTAAAGTTTCAACTAATAATATCAAGCCATTATAAAGCCAAACACCAAACTGCTTAATGAACAATTAGTACTCTCCATTTTTAATTAACCCTTTCAGAACAAATTCAGTTTGATCAAGAATATATATAGATATAAATAACATTACTTTAGAAATATTTTCAGGTATAATTTATGACTTTTTAAATAATGAAACTTTTTACTAAAAAACACCCTTCGAGGAAACCTCTTTACAATCCCTTTAATATTTTTACAGTACTTACTCTGATAGTAGTAACATTACGATCACCATTAGAAGGTGATAATCTAGGGTCCAGTGATATAGGTGAAGACCAATAATGAACATCATATTGACAGTTGGTGCTACAGTTAGATGGTGCTGACCATTTTAATGTTGCTACCGATCGAAACTGATCATGTGTAACAATGAAATTGGTTGGTGGCTGTGGTACCAAATCTACAAATAAAATACTTGACTCAAACGCTTGTGATGTTAGTTTTTCATGCATGGTGAACATTTTGGGCATAAAGCCAAATATTGTCTCTTGCAACATGCAAATTGATCTGATTACTAATACAAGTACAGTACATAAATATTAAGGGGATTCAAAAGTCGCTTTCTATCTGACCTGCAGACTATTTGATCTGAACCTGCCTTGATAAAGATTATATATCCAAAACATGCCAACAACATAAGAAGATGAAGTCTTGTTGCTGGTTATGTTCACAATTTCACAATTTTTTGGCAAATTTCGATGCACTTTATAAAACATTTCTTAAAAAATTCAACATAATGTTTAGAAAATGTTACATTCTGGAAAAAAACTTGAGTTACTAACTTAATTCATCAAGGAAACAAGCAAAAATATCTGGACCATAGGAGAAACAGGATGCTCCATGGAAACCACTTTGAGCATTTTGACCATTACAAATAGGCAGACAACTTGTAGGTAATCGTTTTCTTTCACAACATGGTTTGTGATTTCTTCCATCTACATAATAATAGCATACCAATATATATCTTAATTTCAAAACAACCAGACAACAATGATACTCGTTTTACTTCTATGCAGAAATGGGCATAATGGATTTTTTTTTTGCTTAAATTTATGAAAACTATACACTAAAACCACTATGTGTCCCATAATTTATCTGAAAGTTTAAACTAAAAAAATCTTTATTTAACGCCAAAAGTTTAAGTTTGTTATAATTTTAGGTAAGCTTAAACTAATATATGGATTTAAGCAAAATAGATGCCTAATTGTAGAAAAATATGTCTAATATGTAATCAAAAGGTTTTAACTAAAATTATCAAGTCTAAATAAGGCCCAAAACTAGTATACTCTGCTTATTTAAAACAAATTCAGTTTGATTAAACAGATATATAAGAAATAATTTTAGGTCTAATTTACAATGTTATGCCCTTTTGGGAATTACTTATCTCCACTTTTTAAATAAACAAGCTAGACAGTCGTAATATTTTCACTTACCAGACGCACAAGATAAAATCTTATCAGCAAACTCAAAACATGATGACACATTCAGCTTATCATTTAAACATACACCTAAACATTCATCACTTATACCAATGTTCTTACAACAATCTGAAATAATGACAACAACATATTCAGATTATTATTTAAATAAAACAATCTGAAATAATGACAACAATATGATATATTCAGATCATTATCTAAACAAAATAATCTGAAATAATGACAATAACATGATATGTTCAGATTATTATTTTAATAAAACAATCTGAAAAAATGACAATTGATGACAATAACACGATATATTCAGATTATTATTTGAACACAACAATCTGAAATATTGACAATAACATGACATATTCAGATCAATATTTGAACACAACAATATGAAATAATGAAAATAACATGACATATTCAGATCAATATTTGAACACAATATGAAATAATGACAATAACATGATATGTTCAGATTTTTATCTAAATAAAACAATCTGAAATAATTACAATAACATGATATATTCAGATCAATATTTGAACACAACAATCTGAAATATTGACAATAACATGATATATTAAGATTTTTATCTAAATAAAACAATCTGAAATAATTACAATATATTTATATTTAGATTTCTATTCAATGGTTCACAGTCTGAACCATTAAACCATTCAATGGTTCACAGTCTGAACCATTAAACCATTCAATGGTTCACAGTCTACCCTATACAGGAATCAAACCTTTGGTCCTCGTCAGGCCTGAGGTAATTAGTTTGAAATCTAATCAATAACATTACAATATCAATTACTTTTGATAAAGGCACCTCAGGGACCCCTAGCAATAACATAACAGAGCTACATCTTGTGATAATCATTGATCCTGATGGAAAATATAACTTCATACCTGTTCTATTTTGCCAAACAGCATTGGCTGTAACATCAGAACCATTTATTTGAGGTGGTGGTAATGTAGCTGAAATTTTAAAATGTCAAACATAAAGGGTATATCATTGACAAAATCGGTATGTTGGAAAAATACACCATCATCATTTACATTATGACCTGGTATTAGTTGAAAGCAACTAGCCTCTTCCTCTGATTTTGTGATATTGTGAGGTCCAATCTTCTACTTAATACCTTCATTTCACATATTTCTCTTACCAAAACAGACAGCAGATCCTCAAATGTGTCAGTAAGTTTTGATGACTTATCAACATCAACAATTTACAGATGCTTGCAATTGACTTTCTGATCCAAAAAGACTTAAAAGAATGTGTGTGATTGATACATATGTATTATAGTTTTTGCACCAATTTGAACTTGAGGCTTTAACAGTCTAATTAGAATAAAACCAAACGTTAATTTCGCTTTATTTTTATTAGCTTTTTTCAAATATAGCTGCTTCAGTTAGGGTCTAAAGACATGATAAACATGATAAACACCATGTCAAAAATGCCAGCAATGAATAAGGTAGAAATTTGATTGGTTAAAACAGACGTCATCAGGTTAATTTGACAATGTTCAAGAGGGAAGGAAAGTTTGGTAGAATTATAATTAAACTGAGGCTTTAACTACTTTTCTTAAACATTACAAACACCATAAAATCCTTTTCAGTATCAGTATATGTTCAGTCCTAGATATGTTTTTTTTACTTACATTCTGGTGATGTGAACTCTTGTACAGTGACACTAGCAAGACTTAAAGTATCATTAGCTACAGACAAAACATATATTGTGTACTGTGTATTAGGTTTTAGATTCTGTAAGATATATCTAGTATAATTGACCTCTTTCTGTAAAAAAAAACAATATTAAAGAATTACTTGCCAAAATCTTATCAAATTCTCAAACAAAATACTATAAATCCGAACGGCAAAACGAAACATTGGAATCAGCTAATGAATTTTTCATATGAGAAAATACCGGTATATCATTATGAAAAGTGGTATTAGGTGTCTAGATAAATACCTTCATTAGTAAGCAGACAGAAATTTGAAAATTCTACTCAAACAAGATCTGAAAAGCATCTCATTTTCATCTAAATAAACATTTTGTGATGAAACCAAACCACAAATTGTTTATCCTGCTCTTTGACGATGAGGTAGACTAATGGAGATGCAAAGTGTCCTGCTCATAGGACTTGGCTTAATGTCCTATCCGAAGAATACTTTTTCCATTTCCACCTCCAACCTGTATAACTAACCGGGGAGTAAAGTAAGTAATTATAATATCAACTTGTGCAAGGAAATGTAATGAAAGATTGGCAAACTCTTTTAGGCTCACAAACATCAGGTCAAAACAAAATCGTATCTTGAGAAAAATCTTAGGCAAAAATGGACTTACACTTGATAATTCTTTAGGAATATCAGTAGCATAATATTCTACCACATATTCTGTTACAGTGGGACCTTTAGTTGGTGCTGTCCATTCTACAGAAATTGTATTCTTAGTTGAATTCGTCACTTTCAAGTCCTTAGGATGTTTGGGTAAGGTTTCTAAAATGGAAGGAAATGAGTTTTTGGAGAATTAAATATAAACACAGTGAAAAATATTTCACAAATGCTAAACCATTATGTTAAGAATTTTGGATCCATGAACGACCTAAAATATGTCATTAAAGAGGCAGTAAGCAAAATCTTTGACAATAGTGTATATCAATTTGAGCACCATACTTAACCCTACTAAAAAAAGTTGTTAGACTGCACCTTTAAGCTTTAAACTTCAACGGACAAAAAGGCATGTGCTGGATATTACAGTAACATATAATACTGAACACATGAAACATTTAGCTCTATGTATAGCTTCAGTGCATTATAATTGAATGAAATAAACATATTTACCTATTCCTTCTTTATAACAAGTCTGTATAGAAGTGACATAATTCAAACAAGCAAGTAAATCAGAACCACTATCTAGTGTGCTAGAATGGCCTGTTATCGTACATAACTTTATACAACTTGCTTCTACATTACTTTTGGTACAACAGTTGCTATGGTCTCTTCCATCTACAAATTGGAATTATTAATGTTCAATTAAAATAATCAATCAGATGTTAAGGATGCACAGAGAAGACACATAAAAAAGATGCAGAGAAAAGATACATGAAAAAGATATAGTGAAAAGATACATGCAAAAGATTTAAAGAGTAGATACATGAAAAAGGTACAAAGGAAAGATAAATGAAGAAGATACAGAGAGAAGATAAATAAAAAATTTGGCAGTTTAAAGGACACATGCAAAAGATGCAGAAAGAGGATACAAGAAAAAGATACAGAGAAAAGATACATGAAAAAGATGCAGAAAGAGGATACAAGAAAAAGATACACGGAGAAGATACATGAAAAAGATTTAGTGAGAAGATACATGAAAAAGGTACAAAGGAAAGATAAATGAAGAAGATACAGAGAGAAGATAAATGAAAAGGTTGGCAGTTTAAAGGATACACAAAAAAGATGCAGAAAGAGGATACACGAAAAAGATGCAGAAAGAATATTTGTGAAGAAGATACAGAGAAAAGACACATGAAGAAGATACATGCAAAAGATACAGAAAGAATATTTGTGAAGAAGATACAGAGAAAAGACACATGAAGAAGATACATGGAAAAGATACAGAGAGAAGATACATGTAAAAGATACAGAGAGAAGATACAGAAAGAAGATACCGGTATATGAATAAGATACAGAGAGAAGATACATGAAAAGGGTACAGTGAGAAGCTACATGAAAAAAATACAGTCTTAAATGTCCAGCAATCATCAAGTATGAATTAAGAGCTTCAGCTAATTTGGAATAATAATAAAAAATTCTAATAAACAATTTGAACAAGGAGATTTGTTAAACCTGGAAATACCTGAACCACAATTGATGATCTTTTTGAAATCACTAGAACATTGTAAGGCAATGTTGAAATCACTGGAGAAATAATTCACTAAATCAGCACTGTAACTACATCCTGGTAAACACATAGATTTGACACCACCCTTTATACAACATTCTGAAAATAACAAGGTCGTTTTTGTCATTACCTTTATACTATTTGTTGTGAATGTCTTCAGAAAAATTGATATGTTCCCCTTATTGATGGGAGTGATTCATTATGAGCTCTTTTCCACTGTCAATAAAGTATTCTAATTTTAAGTCACTTGTATAAAGCTGAGTAGTTTGTTCTATATTGAAGTGAGTTGTATGTCCTGTACTGAAAGAAAATTGTTTGTTCTCTCCTGAAAGTGAGTTGTTTGTATATATTAAGTGAGCTGTTTGTACTGAACTGAAAGTGAGTGGTTGTTTTGCCCTGAAAGTGAGTTGCTTGTCCTTTTGTTGAAAGTGAATTGTTTTTCCTGAACAGAAAGTGAGTCCTTATTCTCTACTGAAAGTGAGATGTTTGCATAAACTTAGTGAGCTGTTTGTCCTGTGCTGAAAGTGAGTTGCTTGTCCATTTGTTGAAAGTGATTTGTTTTTCCTGAACTGAAAGTGAGTCCTTATTCTATACTAAAAGTGAGTTATTTTTATAAACTAAATGAGCTGTTTGTCCTGTACTGAAAGTGATTTGTTCCTCTTAATCCTGCTACTCAAAGTGGATGATCTGTCTTGTACTGAAAGTGAGTTGTTTGTCCTCTGCTCAAGTGAGTTATTGTCCTCTTACTGAAAGTGAGTGAATCTTCAAAACTGAAAGTGAGTTGTATTAAATATCTATACCTGTAATATTATGAACTATGGCTGTAGGTTGGGTTGGCATAACATCATCAGGCTCTGAAAAAAAAAAACATCAATTGTACCATTAATGTATACAACTCAAAATTTGTCCAATAGTATACCTGAAGTTTCAAACAATTACGTTGCGGAACTAGAAATCCTTGGATATTTATTGTTAAGCATATGTTATTTTTTGGTAATGCAAGTTGAAAACCTATCTTTTATGAAAAACTGCAAAAGGAATAAACAAAAAATGAATTTCAGTATGAGAATGAAAAATCTATAAATTTATCAAATTTTGATCATGTAATCTTTTTTATATTAAAAGAGTGATCACAAAAAATAAAGCAAGACAACTTACTAGGGTATGTCAATATAGAAACAGTTTCAGAGGGTAAACTATTACCATTAGCTGATTCACTGATCACACGAAACTGATAGTCTGTATCTGGTTTTAAATCATCAATATAAATAACAGTTGATGATACTCTATCCTACAATATATTGAAGAAGTCTTATTTTATTCACTGTGCATTTAGTTGAGGGTAATAGGATTATTAAGCCAATGTGAAAACTTTCAGAGAGACACTTGGGTCCTAAATTACATGTATGTTACAAGACACCATAATGGCAATAGACACAAGACAAGTATTAATGGCTAGATTTGAACTGAACATAGCCTTTTTAAATAAAACATTCTTTAGGGGGAACAAAATCATTAAAAGCTTAGTAACATTTACGGCAATTTTGTACTTACCTACCAGGGCACTGCTTGATGCAAAAGACCTTTCTCTTGTCAAAATATAGAGCCATATTGTTATATCAGCTTACCTTTATAATAAAACCTTGATATTCAGAGCTATAATATTCTACTTTATATCCAGACGGTAGAATACCATTAGTACTCTGAGGTTCATCCCATTCTAATGTAGCACTGTTCCATGAAACACTTTTTACTTTGACAAATGTTGGAGGACTGGGTAGAATTTCTATAAAAATCACCAATAATATTATACCAAGTGTTATGGGCCATAAAACTGTGTAGATAAATCTTGCATATTTTGCATAGTCAAAAGCAGATTTTTCCCAGAAATGTCATACAACAAAGTCTAGATTTTCATTGCCATTGATAATAAAGATGGGTTCCTTTATTTTCATTTATGAAAATGAAAATGCTAATATTTTTTGAATAGAAAGTAGAGGTGTTCTAATGACTTGAAAAAATACTAGTTTGTCTCATATGTCCATAATTAATTCATAATTAGCTAAATTAGAAGAGAATTACAAGCAATATTCCAATGAGTGACCGATCAAGAAAGGTCAAAATTTTTTTTTGTTTATCCAGACTATATACACATGGACATTTATGATTGGTTAAAAACTAAGAACATAATGATATGATTAAGAATACATGATAAGTCATTAGAAACACAAATTAATCACATAGTTTGCTTAATTTGACACTGAAAAATAAGGTAACCCATCTTTAACATGTCTACCACCCTACCATCATAATTATTATATACTCTCTCCACCATAATATTGAGAAGTTGGTCAAAAAGTTGTGTTTCTCACAGTGTGAAATGATTCAAATTGTAATTCAAGGTCTCTGATGGTAATTTCCCTCCAAGACTTTTCATGTGAACATTTTATTTGGACCAGATCGTAGAGATTCTGAAGCAAGGTTCTTTCAGATATGTATTTAATATCAGATAAAACTTGTAGGTATATCCCAAAAACTCTCGGTATATTGTGGGAAAATCTTGAGTCTTTCCTCTTTTCAAAGGACAGGAACAATTCAAATTCTAGACAACAACTTACCCAAACCTTTCTGAACACAACCTTCAATTATTGGTAAATTGACAACACATTTAGCTAATGATGAATCAGCTTTCACTGCTGAACCACCACACAATTCCAAACAAGGGGAAGTAATTTGATTTATTTGACAACAATTCCTATGATCTCTTTCTCCTGCAAGTACATCATTCCCACATCATCGAAAGAAATTTCATGTGAATTTAAAGGTATTTATTGAAATGTGGTCAATGTGCATCACTTACAGCAGGAATTTATATATGATCTCAAAGCATAATCCAAATCAATAATGAATAAAATAGTCTGAAATCTAGTTCTGCTAGAAATGGTCCATTTCAGCTATCTGTATCACTTTTCAGAATGAAAATCTAACATATGGTTCTTCTGCACATATGTGATAAGAATGAAACAGATGTGTAAATGTGACACTCCTTCATCTATGCCATTGTTGACAAGAAATTTGTAAAAGAGAGTAGAATGGGGTCTTACCGGCTAAACATGTAAACACAGGGTCTAGGTAACCATAGCAACTGAGTAAGGCATCAGGATCAAACCTCTTCCAAGTTGTAGCTTTACATAGTAATGTTTGACATTTAGAGCTAACACCTTTTCTCTCACAACAATCTAGAAAATACATCAAATCAATCAATTAACATGCATTAGCTAGCACGGTTTCATCAACTGTTTCGCAATTTGAAAATAACATTTACTTGTCCATATATAACTGCAGAAGTACTCTTTCTGATCCAGATCATGAATACATAAATTTGTGTATTAACAATATCTGAAAATACGAACCTTTGATATCTTTATCTTTTCCAGTTATAGGTTCATCTATAATAAAATAAATCTAATAATACAACTTACAACTAATAGCACTTAATGGTAATTTGTAACCAGAAGATGGTGGATCTTAGCCACAAGATAGTAAATCATGGACAAAAGATAGACCACAGGATAATATGTCCTGACCACAAGATAGCAAGTCATGACCACAAGATAACATGTCCTGACCACAAGACAGCAAGTCATGACCACAAGACAGCAAGTCATAGCCACAAGATAATATGTCTTGACCACAAGGCAGCAAGTCATGGCCATAAAACAGCAAGTCATGGCCACAAGACAGCAAGTCATGGCCATATAAGAGCAAGTAATGGCCACAAGATAATATGTCCTGACCACATCATAGCAAGTCATGGCCACAAGATAATATGTCCTGACCACAACATAGCAAGTCATGACCACAAGATAATATGTCCTGACCACAACATAGCAAGTCATGACCATAAGATAATATGTCCTGACCACAACATAGCAAGTCATGGCCACAAGATAATATGTCCTGACCACAACATAGCATGTCATGGCCACAAGATAACATGTCCTGACCACATCATATTAATTTATGACCACAACATAATATGTCCTGACCACAAGACAGCAAATCAGGACCATAAAGATAGCAGATTTGGAAAAGATAGCATGTCATAACTACAATACACATAAAGTAAGTTTTAACTTTGAAATAAGGCAAATCATATTTGGATTGAAAATTATATAAAATTGTCAGCTTTCACAAGTTTTATGCTTTGTTTTTGTATCATTTCAGATGGTTTCAAAGCCATCTTTTAATTTATGTTATATCATATCAATAAATAATTTGAAACAGTATCCTTGTACCTCTTAATGAAATTAATTGCGTTAAAATAACACATTAATATACCTATTTCAGTTTAGTAATTTCAAATACATTAATACAAAATATTTACAAAATACATTACCGTCTAATGAGTTGTTATAACTCAAGAAACGATCTTAAAAACATAACAACATGGCATTGAAGGAAGACAAACCGGCGGATCCTCAACATCGATTCCCGGTATTTTCGAAGGGGAAAAAAACTCAAAAATTATTTAACCATGTATAGTGCGCACCCCTTCTGTGTGTATCCCTTTTCAGGGTAAAAACCTGCGCATTATACACGGAAATATAAGGTAATACACAGTATCTTCACAATTACAGAAGCGTTGCTTACCTTCCTTTGTAGCAATGTCTACCTTGTTTGAGGGTAAACTAGAGCCCTTATCAGACAATGCTATAACATATAACTGTATACGTTTAGACTTAATATCAATTATTGTATGTTGAAAACTCAAGGCTGATAATATACTAGTCTGGAATACAATACAAAATACAGTACAGCCATAAAAAAATGAAAGAGTAATAAGAATTATCTCCTATCTTGAACCATAAATGCTTGCAAAGTCCTGCAGGTGTGAAAATCATCCTTCAGGATGAAAGATAGAAAGCCAAAAAAAAAACAACTATATTTTACAAGGATAACAACTTAGGTTTACAAAGGATCCTTTCTACCAGCTCGTCCTTGACCATCTAGATTATCTGTACAATGTACAGAGCTGGGTTGACTGGAATTATGAGTAAAGATGGTCATGTCATTAGATTTGAAATCCCAAATGCCATTTGCTCGCATAACCAGGCAAATAATTGTAAAGAACCAATTCTTTAACAAACTGTGCTACAGAACCCAACTGAATAAAATGATTCGATGGTAGGGACACAGGTCACACAAAAATGGCTAAATTGATCTGAAAATTTTCTTAAATTGAATCTTAATATTATTTCTTATTTTAGCAGTAAATATATTATAACATAAAAATGCCCCAATTACATGTAACTTTTTGAAAAGAGTTCCATGTTCAGAAAAGTGCATTAGTAGACTAGTAAAGTGTGTAAATACATACCGATTGATAACTATTATTGGCACTACTAGAATCTTTATATAGTACTCTATAACCAGTAACTATATCACTGTTCTCGGCTGGTTGTTTCCAGTTGACTAATATAGATGATAAAGTTAGAGCTAGAGCATTGACTTCTTGTGGTGGTGTTGGTAAGTACACTAAAAATAAATGACTATTACATGTACTTCATAATAATAGAAACTACAGCTCTATAAGGTATTAGGGTATAGTCGTTTTAAAGATACAGTGGCGCCATTTTAGATCAATCATATTTCAGTCTCAGAAAAAGGAATTTTTTAGCTGAGCCAATCAGTAATAGTGTTCACAGCTCAACGTCAAAATTTAGGCCTTCAAATCCAATTGTTCAGAATTAGTGACTGGAGGCCAGACAATCTATTTTGAAACCCTTGATGTTTTTGAGGTGAGCTAGTCAAAGATGGTTGGCTGCAAAGTACTAGGCAAATAGGCAAATGGTCTTTACTCTTATTACAGACACCTAATATTTTCTAACTTGAAATATTAATTTCACCCCACAATTGATGTAATGAGTACTATTTAAACATGGATATTTCTATATCACTCTACAATTGATGTATTGAGCACTATTTTAACATGGATATTTCTATATCACTCTACAATTGATGTATTGAGTACTATTTTAACAGTGGTATTTCTATATCACTCTACAATTGATGTATTGAGTACTATTTTAACAGTGGTATTTCTTTATCACTCTACAATTGATGTATTGAGCACTATTTTAACAGTGGTATTTCTATATCACTCTATAATTGATGTATTGAGTACTATTTTAACAGTGGTATTTCTATATCACTCTACAATTGATGTATTGAGTACTATTTTAACAGTGGTATTTCTATATCACTCTATAATTGATGTATTGAGTACTATTTTAACATTGATATTTCTATATCACTCTAAAATTGATGTATTGAGCACTATTTCAACAGTGGTATTTCTATATTACTCTACAATTGATGTATTCAGCACTATTTTAACATGGATTTTTCTATATCACTCTACAATTGATGTACTGAGCACTATTTTAACAGTGGTATTTCTATATCACTCTACAATTGATGTATTGAGTACTATTTTCACAGTGGTATAGACATTGACTTATGGATTGAGGTTTGAAACAATCTAAATCCATCTTCTTTTCTTTAAAGAGAACAAAAATTAACCCAATGAACTCACCGTGACCTTGCTCAAAACATGAAATGATGTACTGAGACTTTGACAGACATACTAGATGGTCTGATGTTAATGCAGGAGGTGTATCCAAACAGAAATCTAAACAAGTTTCAGGAACTCTACTACGTCTGCAACATCCCACATGATTTCTGCCATCTAAAAAAATATTTACTAGTATGAAACACTTTGCTTGACTACATTTAAGTAGGGAGAATTTGGTGTGGGATAAAACTCTAAGCCAGTGGGAACTGATATTTATGTCATCACAGTGCTAAAAATGGCAGCTTTTAATAACAAAAAAGTTTTGATCATTCCAATGAAAGAAAATATTGTGCCAAGTTGTCACTGCCAATCTTGACTGTTGTTGCGTTCACTTGTCGCTACACTAATAACAGTCTGCTTCAGTCTTAGATTACAAGTGCATCATGGGTTTTCATTGCATCCAATCAATGCCAAGATGATAATAACTCTAACCCGAGGCAAAGATTTTAGATTTTTAGAAAATTTACAATGAAATTTAAGGTTGGGTATTGCTATTTCTAAGAAAAAAAATGAAGACGTAAAAAAAAAAACTACTTACCAGCAAAACATTTGAGTAATTTATCTAGATCATTAGGACAGTTAATTAGTGGATCAAAGGAATTGTTTACTAAATGTGGTACACAAACAGGTAAACAGGTTGCAGATACATTTGCATTATTACAGCATTCTAAAACAAAAAAATTAATCATCAAATTTTCAATCAAAAAGGAAGAGAAACAGGGTATATTTAAAGATGGGTTTCCTTATTTTCTAGTGTCAAATTAAGCAAACTATTTGATTAATTGGTGTTTCTGATGAATTATAATGAATTCTTAATCATATCATTATGTTCCTATAACATATAATTAAGAGTTTTAACCAATCGTATATATCCATGTATGCATTGTCTGGATAAACAAAAAAAGACCTTTTTGACCTTTCCTGGTCGGTCACTGTTATGGACATATGAGACAAACTGATATTTTTCCAAGTCATTAGAACACCTCTACTTTCTATTCACATAAGTATAAGCAATTTCACTTTCATAAATGAAAATAAGAAAACGAATCTTTAAGCGCACGCCTGATGAACAACATGTTTTAGGTTCTGTTTGAATAGTTGTATATCACTCTACAACTGAAGTAGTGATATTTAAACAGTGAATATATTTTGTTATCATATATTCTTACCTGAATAGTTACCAAATGGAATGGGTTTGGCTGGTTTGAGTTCTGCAATAACAAAACAAAACAAGGTGCCAATGTGAGCTGATTAAAATCTATATCTAAGTATTTAATGATCATTATGAATATTTTATACATGCAATAAATCTTGATATAAAATTCATCAAATCGTACTTGTGACCAGGCCCATAGGCAGACTTGATTGTTTAGAGGGTCAAGTAATATATCCAGAGGGGCAAGATCAGGCCCATAGGCAGGCTTGATTTTTTGGAGGGTCAAGTAATACATCTGGCGGGGCAATGGTGTATGGTGTTTAGTTGCAGTCATGGAATTGGAGAGTTGTCAGAATTTTTTTTTCAGGAGGGAATCATTTTTTCCCCATGTCCCCCTGTAGTTACTTAGCTGATTTTGATTCTTCCTTGTTAAAAGTGTAAGTAAAAATAACACGCAATGTTTGAGAACCAAGAATTGAATTAGTCAAGTTACTTGACTCAAGAAGCTTTCGCAACAAATTTTAGAGCAAGTATCAAAATGGATTGCCGTCTGCTGGGCAATTAGGTGCTATAGATTTGAATCCTACTAAAAGCAAGAAGAATTCATATGTAACGCTGGTACTTCGGAAGTCAGACTGCTATTCCCTTTCCACCCCTATTACCAACCAATCAAAAAATACAGCTAACTTACCTGTATTGACTTTAACTAAATGTGTTACACTACTATCTTTATAAGAACATTTATAATGTCCCCCATCTGTTTCTTGAGCATCATTTATTTGTAAATTTAATTGGTTGGTTTCATCTGAAATAAATGAACAAAATTCTGTGATATGAAGTGAAGTGTACTTTTGATTATCAAAATATAACAATCTAACTTTCAACGTGTTTTGGTCACACTACATCTTGTGTAGTTATTTCTTTTCCTATTTCTATAGATGTTTTTTCTATATATGTCATTGTCTCAAAAAAAAGATGACTCGTCTTTTTAACTTTCAAACTGAATAATTTTGGACACACATTGATTTGAAGGCCCAAATTTTGACGGTGAGCTGTGAACACTATTACTGATTGGCTTAGCTAAAAAATGTTCGTTTCTGAGACTACAGTATGATGGGTCCCTTTAATCTCAGCATTCCAAAGTCTGGATTCAATTTTATGTTGGTATATAAAAAGTGGAACAAACCTTGTGGTATTTTATAGCTGTATTTATTAGGATGATCTACCAGTAACATTTTACCTTGGAATATATCAATAGCATGATCTACAAATCTCCATTTTATCTATTAAAAAAAATAGAAATGGCATGAGAGGCAAGAGCAATAGCATAACAGCTATTATCATACACGAATACCAGCTTTGACATAATCTTACTAAGTGGTATTAAACTAAGCCCACTACATTTCATTTTGTGGGCAGGAAATGAGATTGGTGCTAGTCAAATCTGACCATTTAGATTGGAAATGAGGTCATGTAACCGATAAACGTTGTCCGTTTGAAAAGAAAAGAACACATTCTTTCCAAGTAAATATTACAAAGAAAGGTTAAATCTCTACCAAAAATGTTACTTAATTTTGTACCGTACATAAAAATCAAAGTATGTAATGTCACGCTGCGTTCGTTTTGTTTACGTTCACAATTTGTTGTGGTTGGCTGAATTTTTACTAGCAAGACAGCAAGGGCTATTCTGTTTGGAAAATATTTATCTATGAATATATAATTTCTCTGACTTGTATTACCACTGTCTTGAGAAAGTATGATGAATGGGGGCGGTGTTTGGATGCGATGAACAACTATTTGATGTTATCATACCTGTTCATAATCTGTGATGGTAGAATTCAACTGACATGATAGTAATATAACTCTTCCTGGTTGAACTGTAACAGTTTGAGATGTGGTAGTTATCACAGTTGAACAACATACTGAAATACACAGAAAAACATATTGCATCTCATGTTAACTCAATCTAAAAGGGATTGTAAAAAAGATTTTTAAAAATTTGTTATGTGTACATGTATAGGGGGCACTGTTATCATCAATTAGCACCATTCCTATTTTCAATCAGACATCTGTGGCTCTAGTTATTTTACTTAAACAAGGCATTTCATGACATCAACATTGTAAGTGGCCTTCTATCATATAAGCAGATTATGTGATAGTGACGTCATCAAATGCCAAGTTTTTGTGCCACCGGGAAAATTAAGTTGTCTAAACACTCAAAATTAATCTCATGTCATCTGAAATCTGCTTTTGGTATCCCCCCCACCATACTCAAGGAACCCAGAGAGACATCTCTTATTTATGCCCTACCCACCCCCACAAAAAAAATATATTTTGGGGCCAAGATGTATAAAAATCTTATTTTCAATTTTTCAATTTTTCAAAGGTGCAAATTCCTCCCTGTACTTCCTGTACTTCCTGTACCTCCCCCCCTCCCCCATCTTGACTCTGCCACTAGGTAAATAATTCAGAAAGTTTTCTATTACATAGACCTACATGTGAATTATCAAATTGCTGAAAGTGACCACCTGTGAGACGAATTAATCAATATTTGTACCTGTAATTCACTTAGACATAATATATTATCATATATACCAGTATTTATCTAACAGAAGTATGTTATAAAAAATCAATATTGTCTGGTTACAAATGGTTTTATATTCACCTATTGTAGCTTGAAGCTATTTAATTATCATAATAATCAGTTAAAAAAATGGCTTATCAATCCACTGATTGATTCCATTATGTTTTTCCACATTTCATCAAGCTACATAGCGTTTCCAATTTTTGATTAATATTTTAAGTTTACTTTATGAAACACCATCAAAGAACTGTGCCTTCTGAGAGGCAAATTGTTAAAGACAGAAAATCATATAATGTTAACAAGGCTTGAAATAACTCCAGAAATTGGGCCGGACATTTGTGTCGGACATTTGAAATTTTGTACGTGACCCAATAATTCATTTTTGATTTTCTAGGGTTCACATACTGTCTAGAAATATGTCTAGATGTGTACCATCTTGAGTGCTCTGAAAATCAAACGTGTTCCAAAATTTCAAATAATTTCAGAAAATATTTCTATTTTATTTTCAAATTTCGAAATGTCAAAATGTTCAAAAGGTAAAGAAATTAATTTTCCAAGTTTTGTCTCAGAATCCAGAATAACATTTCAAGAGTGTTTACAAGCAATTGCGGACAGACTTGGAGCAACTATATACATTTCAATATCATGAAGATATAAAATATCATGTAAAATATACAGGTCAAATTCCAAGAAATGCTATTACAACTTTGGCAACTCAAGCAGCCAGAAATGCAAAGCTTGGCATACTAATGAATTTCTAAGTAGGTATAATGGTAAAGACTATTGACATTGGTATAGGGATGAAAAGGTGAAAATTACATGTATAACAGGATGATTTTGCCAAAATGTATTGTTTTATTAACATCATATAAACATATTGTAACTTCTTTACCAAACTCACTGCCTGCATATTCTGTCTGTTCTTATTGCAGAAAAAAATTGGAAATAGAACAAAAAAAGATTGGTTATGTTGAAAACTGACTCTAATCCACAATAGTTCGATGGTAAGGCTAAAGCTGTTGCCCTGGCAAAAATTTTCCTCCAAGTTTGTTTCATCTTCACTATGTCAAGCTATTGCAATCTTGGTCTTATACCTTGACAACAACAGCCACCTTTCTAATATCACGGTTGTAAAAATCAGAAATTTGATTGAATTGTTCGCCATTCTTTCTGTCGAGGGCTCTGATTGGCTGTGTTAGGTTGTTAACAGGTTGTCCATCAAGGTATTGGCCTAATTCTGACTCACGTAAAATAATTTTATTACCATTATTATTTTTATTATTGTTGTGTAAAATCCAATCAAATGACTGCAGTCCATGATACACGAAGGGTGGCTATTGCAGGCAAGGTATAAGAGGAAGTTCATAATATCTTGACGAAGATTCATTAATTCAATCCTACAAGAAAAATTGGAGATACCACTCCTTTTCATATCATTTTTACCTTCCTGGTTTTGTCACGTTTATTATAAGGTCTACTATTAGATTTATGATTTTGTTTTTCTTGACAATGAAACCATTATTTGAAAGTTACAATGCCATTAACATGTTGTTCTTGGATTTTATGTTAACAATAATAAACATTATAATATATCAGGTGTGGTCCATTATAAATTCAATATGCAAAGGCCTCTTTTAGAAATGTAAGCCACGATTTTGTTGTGAAATGTCCACCTTCTTTAACGTATGAATGAAGATTTCCAATGTACATTAAATGTGCATTACATTATCAAATTAGCATGCTGGTTTCAAACTGACTGAATATTCATGAATATTCAAATAAGCTCATATATTATTTTGAAATCTGTTTTTGAGAGAAGGCAATTGATAAATACATTTTTAGAAGCATTTTGCATTCACTGTAAATTTATTGTCAAAAAGTTTTTTTAATTTTTCTATCTTTCAAGTTTACATTGAAAAGAAATTTCAATGCAAAAATCAAATTTTTTAAAAATTGTCCTCTAAAAAACATGTTCATGAAAATATTTGGCCCAACTATATATATATGACAACTATTGTTTAATAAAAAGAATCGAAAAAATCTCCATTTACCTGTTGCTATGAAAATAAGGAATGATATCACAGATAAATACTTCATGATTTAACAATTTAACAATGTATACAGTAGAAGGGATCGTTTCTTAATCACTATTTCATCTTTAACCTGCAATATAATAATACATATTATTAGTTAAGGACCAGTGTCCCTATGAACTGAATATTGTGTCAAAATAAAATGACATGAGTTTAAAATGATACGTCTTAGAATGAACACAAAAATTAAGTGTTCAAGAATGGTCAATATGAGTATATATTCATCAGTGAACATGGTGAGTTACAACAGAATCACTGTAAAATCTAACACTAAAAACTAAGTAATTATTGAAAAACGCTTAATCTAATTGGATATTTATGGATAATAACTAAGTTTTTTGGATTTATCTGATTATATAAGGATTCTGTTATGTTATTTATGACACCAGGTATATCTACTGATGAATATATGCTCTTATTGGCCAAGTTTAAAATTCTTAAATTTTATGTTCATTAATCATCGTATTTCTTTAAACCCTACTTAATTTGAACTGAATGTAATGCTGCATCATTCTATGTTGTTGTATAATAAAAGAAGTAAGAAGACACCTTTTTTATTACACAGAATAAAAATACTTTAGTCACTATTAAAGGACCTGTTGCACTATTTTCTTTTTACCTATCGTGCCTTAGTCTCAGAAACATGGATTTCTTTAATAGTATTCACAGCTCACCATCGAAATATGGGCCTTCAAATCCATGTGTGTCAAGAATTATCTACGTTTGAAAGTTAAAAGTTAAAAAGCCTTATATTTTCTTAAGACACTGCCATATATAGAAAAGACATTAAAGATTTTATCATTATTATTACATCTACAGAAAGAAATAGGAAAAGAATTTGAGATATTTTGGAAGGAATTATGCAATTTTTGTACATTTCTAGTTCTTCTGTATGTATTTAAGACGCAAATCAAGAAATCAACCATCCAAAAAGATGCATCTGTCCCTTTAAAAGGTGTCTTCTTACCTCTTTCAATATTATATTTATTACACATTAAGCTTATATATTAATATTTAAGGTTGAAGCAATGGAGGCAATTGAGAAAAATTGGCCTCATTTTTTAATTGATGACCATTCTTTTGTTTTTTTAATTATATATATTTTAAATCCACCCTGACCTTATTGACCTCATCTTAACTTGGATTACGCTCAGCCTGAAATAAGCTGAGGATTATGTTAATCCGTCTCCTAATACACACTACTTAATATTGACCCATAAAAAGAAGAGTTGTTATCATTATCATCATTATAACAGTGTCCATCAGATTTCTGCATGCTGGACAATGGGGGCTTCAAAGGAGGGGGAATCATATAATCTATGTGTGGAAATACCACATACGAACATAGTTCACAACCATTTTGAATCACTACCTCGATTAAATAAATCAAATTTTGAAAATGGCTATACAATTTCAACTAAGCATTCAAATCATATTTAAAACCATTAAGTGTGATTTGAAGGCTTAGTTGAAATATTATAGCCTTTTTCAAAATTCGTCTTTATTCGACTTATCACAAAATGGTTGTGAACTAGGTTAATATGTGTAAGTTTTCATGTAAGAACCATACATAGTTTCGTATGGAGGGGAAATATGCATTATTTCTTCCAAATATTTAAATAATGTAATTTTGACCAGAAATCCCATGTTTTGGCTGAAAATTGTTTTCTCTAAAAACGAATTTTGAAGAAATAATGTGTGATCATTTGTATATTTTTATCAACTGAAAGACATTCATTCATTCATAAAAGTAACGGAAAAATTTCAATAAAACTTTTTACTTTGCTTAGTTAATACATGGAGAAACAATTTCATAGCAACAACATTGCCACAAACAGAAAAAAAAATTTTCTGTCTGGACCAAAGAAATTTCTCACAGGCTTTTTTTTACAGAATGACAACAAAATTTCCCAAATAGATTCCTAAGCACATTTTAAAGCGTACCAGATACAAAAACTAATCCTATTTTAACGTAACTATTCAAAATCTGTTGTTTAGTATCACACTGATAGTCACAGCCAGGTTCAATGCCCTTTATTGAAACCAAATGGAAAAGTGGTAACAATCAACTTTCAAGGATTACACAGCCAATGGTATTTATTTGGTTTTTATCACAAGATAAAATAATTTAAACCCTTAAATAAAATATCGAAATGTCTGTGATTTCTTGGTAACAAAAGGTTTATATACATAAAGAAACTGTCATAAAAAAAAAGGTATTTGTCAGGCAATCTCTAAACCAAACCTTACTGCATACACCAATAAAATCTAATAAAACTTCATATATTATGACATAAAGCATTTAATAGGCTTTTATTGTCAACTTCATAACAAAAACTGAACTTGCTACTCTTTCAGTAATACATTAAAGTGGGTAGGTCTGACCATATACTGGTAACAAGATAATAGAAAAGACATGTTATATTGTCAACCATGATCTGAAATGAATGGAGTTTTACGTACAGTGGTGTAACCTATTTTTGTGGGTATAAGGATTCAACACCAAATTTCGTCAAAGTTAAAAAAACGAAATTTTTTTTTATGTCTTAGATGTTTCCTCAGATATCCTACAAAATAATTAAAATTGGCTTTTTTCCGATTACCGCTTGGGATTATAAGAAAATTCGGCCAATAAAAAATGGTGACGTTTGGTATTAAGTGAAATCCGCCATTTTGTATTTGTCAAAGTATACATTAATACATTTTAACTTGCTTGAAACTACTGGATTCATTCTACTAGCTGATATTGTAGAGAAAACCCATGTTTACCAAAAGAAACTAATGCGGAGGTCGCGCAAGCTCGCTCATGTAAATTATTAATCGTTTCCGGAAATCCACGAAATAATAGGTTTCCACGAAATTAGGTTACTTGACTGTACTACTTTCTGCACTATGTGGGCTAATGAAGACAACCCCATACAGATTACAATGAGGGAAATTTTGCCAGGACAGCAGCATTAGCCTGCTCTTTTTCTATTTCCAACTGTCCAGAGATCTTTAATGTACATAACCTGTAGCACACGGGCCCACGGTTTATTCTCCCATCCTAATGACTTGACGCTATTTCCATGTCAGCCCCTCTTACCTGCATCACTGACAGGGTAAACCGGGATGAAAAATCCAAAGGTATTATCTCGACCTATGCCGGGATTAAACCCTGGAAATTCAAGTTAGCGAGCAAGCGTCTAACTCACTGAGCCACAGCGGCTCCTATCCATGATCTGAGAAAATGCCTATATGAATATGTTAATTATTGACTAGTTTGTCATCCCACATTTAAATTAGTCAAATCAAAAACATAAGACAGAACACAATTTTAAGAAGAATTTATCAGATTGAGGAAGAAAAGGAAACAAAATATCTACTGCAATTGCTAAGGGTAGGTAAATCAAATTTTATTGCCATTGGCATATCTAGTACCATGCCTCTCCCCACCCCCCATTAGGACAGAAAAAATAAAAAATTTATTCTACTTTCACTTCCAAAATCGCGTTAGATGCATTCTCCACCTCCCTAGATGAGAAAATTTTCCAGGGCAAGGCCCCTAACCCACCAAGGGCAACTAGTAATGACCTTCAATTTAATCTGATCACATATTCAAAAAATATTATTAACAACTATTCTCAAAATATATATTCAAGGTGTTTTTAATCCGTATCATAAATTATGTTCGGTTGAAAGACAGTAAAAAATGTAAAATGATATTATTCAAAAAATCTTAGATTAGAAATCATTAAGGAAGACGAATATAAAGATATGTTTGTATATGAATTTTACTACCATGAAATAACAAACATAAAACTCACATTATTGAGACCATAATATAAATATATGTTACTTAAGGTACATAAACAGATTCGAATGCATTCAATATTTGTTGTTTGACTTCTTTCTACAGTCTTTGTTTGCTTTGCTAATAAAACTTGTTTGACTCGAGACACTTTAAACTAAATCATCATCTTCACAATGTCAAGCTATGACAAACTCTGTCTATTACCTTGACATCATGAGGCACTTTTCTTGCATCACAGAAGTTTGTGAATGCATCGATATAACTTGATCGTACAGCCAATCAAAGCCCTTGACAGAGAGACTGTAAACAATATGGCTGCACTTGTAACTTTTGATCATGAACTTTGAGAAATAAGAATTATAGAATAAGATAGTGGACAACAGTTTAGAGTGTTTACGAGCAATTGATGTTGATAGAAGCACTTACTGTATAGAGGTTAAATTGCTCCTCATAACTGACGTAAGAGGCCTAAATCTTGAAAATGCCTTAAATTTAATCAGAAGTAAACTAAACTTCTTAAACCTTTCGATTTAGGTCCAATAACATCCATTTTAAGTTTAATCAAAATCAGTTGAAAACTTAGAGAGTAATAGCATATTCAAGATTTTGGGCAAGGGCAATAACTCTGCTTCTAATGGTCAAAAATAGCTCAAATTCGATTCCATCAAAAAATCTAGTTTTTAGAGCGTTTACAAGCAAATGTTGACGGACGGATGAACCGACAGGGTGCCGACAATATACGTCCACATAGAGAGATGTGGGCGTATAAAAATGGACTTTATTAATATTCCATCAAAACCATGTAAAACAAAATCGAAACTTCAGAAGAAGCTCTTTTCTTGTGCTTTCTAAGCTCAACTATAAAAAATTGTGCTCAAGTTTTCTCTAGTATGGAATCATAAGATTGTAAGACACCATTTCTTTAATTGTGCATTTGATTAGCTATATTCTACTGTCACATAGTAGATAATTGGTGTACGACTTTCAATTCAGAAAAGTGTCTAATAATATCAAGGTATAAGACAGAGTATGTAATAGTTTGACATTGTGAAGATGCTTTATAATCTGCCTAAAATATTCTGCTAATAAACTTAAAGCTTATTTGAATAAGCAAACAAATGAAAAATATATGCAAGAATTTTGAGTTCAAAAATCTCACAAACTCATTCATTAGCATACTGAGTTGAATATGAACTAAATCTATGTCAAATTCTGATTAACTGTTTTCACATTCTATCACATTTTCAAAATTCAAGTGTAAAAACAGTGAAGATAGAAATAAATGTCTAGTATTAGATATATTTGAAGGGATTATGCAATTTTTGTTCTTGTACTTATGAAGCCTCATTACACATATTAAAATTAAATGCCAAAATTTTCCTCTAACATGTAGTGAATAATTATATAAATACTAGTTTTGTAGCATAGATTCATTCAGAGCCTGATTATGGTACATTTTTATACAGTTAGTTAATACATCTCAATTTCAACTTTCACCTAAATAACATATTCAGAATTAAAGTAAATAAGCCGTAGGTTTTCAACCACAGGGATATGTCCTAAGTTGGAGATATTTTCACTTTTCTTTAAAGAAATTTGACATGTCACAGCCAGTCACAGGCTGTGAAAAATAAAAACTTCCCAACTACAATATATACATCTCATATGATGACTACACTATACACAGCCTAAATTAACATTGTCTAGGAGTATTCAGAGAATGACTACACTATACACAGCCTAAATTAACATTGTCTAGGAGTATTCAGAGAATTATTACTATCAAACTATGCAAGAACTTGCCTGGTATCCAATCATAGATATACTTTCGATATTTAGGGAAATCATTTTCATACTGATTCGATTTGGGGACACATACAAACAGGTTGAAAACCACTGATATAAGCTAATCGTTTCCTGGAGGTTCAAATTATGTAGAGCTCTACTGGTATATGATACAACATTCAAGTATAACATTCCATGGTATAATATTTAATCAAGTAGACCTCTAAACAGTGTTCTTGGTACATCATCTAAGTATACTGTATATAGATCCATACAATAACATGTTGTTAATCAGGGCTTACCTTAAGGTTTATCGTTACAAATATAATGGCGATTGTAAAGAGGTTTTTTAAATTTTTTATGTGTATCGTGTACACTGATAGCATCAATTTACACAATTCCAATTTTCAATCAGATGTCTCCTGCAATTCCACTAAAACTAAGTGTTTGATTACATCACTAATCATGAACCGCCTAAAAGCATATTTTGCAGGAACAACAGACGTCTGACTGAAAATTGGAATGGTGCATATTGATACTATCAGTGTCACTGCTACACTAAAAATTTAGAAAGCCATTTTACAATCCCTGTTAACCCTATAGTATTAAGATGTGTACAGCTGTAGGCCTATATATGATATAACTTTTTAAGGTGGTCTAGAAGCCCTTAACATAACATAACGCAGTATGAACAGAATGAAAGTACATTGATAATAGGGACTGTTCGACAGTGGCCCATTTAGGCCGTTAGCCTACATATCAATAATGATGCAGCCCACAGTAGCCTACAATTTCTATCTAAAACTTATAGGTAGGCCCTATTTCCACACAGAAAAGCAACCATCATAAACAAAACGTCTTATCATAACAGTCCTTGGGTGGCTTTTAGTAATTGAGCAATAAATAACTGGACACAATTATATGGATAACAATTACTTTCATAAAATACCTTGCAGATGTGTTGACGAAGGTTCTTCTGTCATCATTGCTTGATAAACCAGAGGAACCTTCGCTTCGTCGAAACGTCGCGAGGTATTTTATTAAAATAATTGTTATCCATATAATTGTGTCCAGTTATATATCATAACAGTGTCTGATTAATTATATACAAAACTCTCATTTCGGAATAAAATTATTGACTTATATTTTAGTATCCTACCTGTACAAGCGATTTTTATATTTTATTTTTCGGAATTCTGTGGTGTAACTTGTATAATCCACGTCAAAATATACACAGTGTCATACAATCACGACAACTTCACGTATTCAAATAAAATACACTAAATTTACCTTTGACTTGGTCTCTCTCTTCAACCAAGCATGACAGACGATCCGTTACCTAAACCTGTCAACGATAGTTTACCTTGGCCTTCGCTGTTCATTATTTACATTAGTACACTAGTAAAATATGTCGTGTCTTCTCTAACAATGGTTTACCGTTAACTTCATATTTTGGCAGTAGTTGATTTGTAATTGATGAATGTTTTTGTTCACGGTTATCCAGCCATATTGTTAATCTTCAATATTATATTACTTTATAAAAGAGACTTGTTATGAGAAAAAAACATAACATTTGCGATGATTTTAAATCAAGTTCAGCCATAACAATTTGTTGATTATATGGACAGCAATCTTCACGAAAATATTTGATCAACGACAGCAGAGTTCATACACTTGTATCATTCCTGATGGCGAAATGAAAAGGAGCAATGGCCCAAAATCAACCGGTTGTTCGACAAATTCAGTGGTTAGCGTTTAACCTTCTTCCTAGACGAGTTTGCAATCAGGTCAAAAAAGTAGTAAAAGATGTTGCACCAGATCTTCTTTCTTAATCTACCAAATTGCTTGCATTCGTAAATATTGTTTGACCATAAAAAGGCAGGAACGTTTTTGTCTCCCTTGAATAGTATGTTTTACTTCTTTTCTGTCATTAATTTCCATGTCAAATGAGAAGACGTAGATGGTACGTTATTCCTCAAACTTTATGTTGTTAGGTATAGCGATAGTAAAATAGCGATTTTGATAGGACAGGGTAGAAGAACGCTAACTGCTATACATTGAAATAAAAATACTGGATATTAACTGAGTGATGATTTAATGAGATCAAATTTTGATTTTGGTGACCCCAGTACATCAACCTATAAGAGTCGAGCTGTGTGGTACTGAACCTGAAAATACAAACAATGTAGATATATTCCTTCATGTATCACAATTGACGCCCTAAATCAGTGCTCCCCAACCTCGGTGAAATCAAATGTATTCCTAGCCAAAATACATCAGTCATTTTGAAACACATTTCTCTAGTGATCGGCGACAATCGATTATCGGCCGTTGAAAGTCCAATCGATTACACCTCTCCGATTATTTCGATTAATCGATTATTTTTTTCATCCGATTGCCCATCATTACATTTCACTCTTGAAATGTATTCAACGATTAACCATGAATGAATAAAATCATTCTCCACATATCGAGATAGTTCAATGTGACCCTTCAATGATGAAATGAAATGAGTAACTTTTACTCCTTTGTGAGACATTCGTACGGAAATGGAAACAAACCACTTTATGAGGATGGCAAGCCACCACGTTACTGACAGTCATTTCACTGTCCACAGTTAAACTGACGTTTCATCTTATCAACCGATCAGATCATGATAATGTTACCATTACCATTTTTTCTTCCCAAAACTAATTTAGTGCACTGCGTTTATATTTTGAATTGTATACTGTTGTGCACAAAATCATTCTAAGACTATATAGATTCCGAGCAATTGTGTATGCCAAAAACAAAACTATAACGCAACATACCAGATCCCTGTATCTGTAACTTAGCACCTTTACTGCCTAATGTAAATGCCTTCTCATGTATAACTTTTTTTCCATGCTTTAACCTCAGTACATAGTCGCCTTTAAAACCACGAACAGACAAACTGTTAGAACTGGGGAGGTTGTGAGTCTCATGGGTTCTCCAATCATGTCGCACCAGTTTAATGTATCTCCGTCCAGCTTCGTTGGGCTTAAAGAAAGAAAGGAACTATATATACTGAATGTAAGACAAAAGATCGTCTCATGATGTCGACATGTGTTTTGAATATAAATCCTCGTCAGCTTAGGATTTAATTTTGGACAAAAAACGACTTGACTTTTTCCTGACAAAAATTTCGGAAAATTTCAGGAGACTTTGGAAAGGTGATATCGTGATAGCCGTCTATATGCCGAAAGGGCAGCAAGAAAAGGGTTTGAAGCGCATAATATTAGAACTCCTTGAACAGGAATTTTTGAGCGAACGTGCTGGTATTATCATTACTTCGATACATTCGGATTATCTAAAGCGAGTCGGTCGCTGTCCTTGTAAAATTCCCCTAATGTATAGCTTTGCACGTCTTCGGTAGCACACACGGTAGGAGAAAGGTAAGACGCAAACCTTCATTTCATTTCAGAAACAGAACCTGTACTACTTACCACCATATTGCCATCTACCAAAGCCCCCTTGGGTTCAGACATGTGTGGTGTAAAGCCCCAGAGCATGATGCCTTCCATAGCTGGGTAGGAGAAATAAAATCGTAATATGTCTTCCAGTTTATCAGCTTTCTTATGTTCATCAATATCAGCAATACGTAGTTCAGTAGCCCACATAGGTAATCCAGTCCTGGACAATAGATCCAATCTTTCCTGAAATAAAGGATTGCTAAATACGCTATAGTAATTTTTCTGGTCATGTGAAGGGATTGTATAGATGTTTTGTAGCACCGTATCCGCATAACCATTGTATTGCAGAAATTCAGCTTTGAAACCTCTTTATAGGCGGTCGATTTCAAACTCAGAGGTACCTCCAGTCCTGGTATATATAAAGACTTGAATTAATACTGAAAACACTCTTTACGTATTTGCTTTAAAAGCCATACCTTAACCGATCGAATGTCGACACCACTTAAATGACTCTGTATACCAATACCATAGACGGGAACTCCCGAGTCTTTCAAAATCTTTATTCTATCATAATATGCCTACAGAATATTACAAAAAAATCTACTAAATCAATTAACAAAATCAAATAACGATTAGAGCAAATCATATCTTTCATTGAATCGATTCTAAAATAGAAGATAAACCCGGTGTCTGTTGTCACCTTGAAGGTGCCACAAAAATTGATCTTTGGATTTCCACTACAAAATATACTGAGGTCATCTCGGAGTTTGAGAACACAATTCTACCGTAGTGTATCTTTGAGAGTTCACAACACCCCATTCATTCAGGAAGAGTTTAACATTAGGATCTAGTTTATGTACTTCTGTGTACATCCATGATGTAATATTTGGATCATTTAAATGTTGTTGAAATGAATCATAGTGGATATTCTCATTATACACATCCCAATGTTCAACTCTGCAATATATAGACATAAAGATATCAATATGGACTAGTTATAATGATCAGGTCCGTAGCTAGACTTAACTTAACGGAGGGGCAAGTAATATATCTGGACGGGCAATGGTGTATGGTGCTTAGTTGCAGTAATGGAATTGGTCGGTTGTCAGATTTCTTTTTGTCTCCCTTGCTCCACTGTAGCTTCAAGCCCGTTATAGACCTGTTTCCTTAGCTTTGCTCTGGAAATGATCACCCCCTCCTTTCAGCGTGCTTTTATTCAGGAGGACAGAAAATGGTACGAATAAAATGTTCATCTCGCCGAATAGCAATGTCCAAGAATCGACAAAGGGATATGTAAAGTATCCAAAAATATGCCGACGAGAAGGAGCTCCAAAGTGAAACGTTTCATTTATTCATACATTACTTACTTCCCTTTGGTGTGAGCTACACAGCTTTTCATGTGTTTTTCCATTTCATGTTTTAACTCATTTCCAGACAATGGTACCACCCAATCAGGAACATTATCCCAGAACATCGTATGAGCTCGCACCTTTATTCTACAAGAAACGATTTCAAATCAATTATCGACCAAGATTTAGATGATTGGAAACACTTTGACGCATTAACAGTATCCATTGCTGAAAAGTATCGACTGTATAGCAGCTTTAAAAACAAAACAGATTAGTAATCTGCATAGGGACCAGATATAACTTAATTTAGATTGCATATGTCTCATAAATCGGGCAGCAAATTTGGCCATTCTAGTTTCGTTGATTAAAATTGGCAGTTTATACGTTGAGAAAAATTATAGCTTACCCATGACTTCTCATTCCATCCAGAGCAACCATCGCTCCAAAGTTTTCATGACCCTATAAAGTTTGAAGATTCTGTTACAGAAAATGTATATAAAGTAATAATAAAATTTCGTTCCATTATAGTTCCACGACTGTTATTAAATTATCATTAAATTACCCTTAGGGCACACCAAATACCACTTTAAGATGGAGTTGTCATATCGAACCCTGTCTTTTGTAAGGTCCATAACGCGAATAATGTTGTTTTGGACTTATACTACGAACTCACTTCATGCCGATGCTAATCATCAGGTTTTGTCTTTCACATTAGTGTTTGACACGGAAACTCACCCGCGTTGACTCTATGTGTGGCCATTTTAGTCCACCCTCGGGTACTGTCCATTCAAAAGTATCAAGAAAAAACTTTCTGTATGCCGATTCATCTTTATGCAACCATTTCGTTGTTTTTACCATTGCACCAAATCCGAATTCTGATGTCTTTTGTTCTATCTAAGAGTGAAATTGACAGACTTTAGTCCCAAAATAGAAGATAACCGCACTGTTCTAACAAAATTGTATGAAATCATCTATATAGAATTCTCGAAGGGAATTTCCCGTGGAATTATTTTGACAGTATGATGGGATCGTGCGTTCATGTGTCTTCCCAATGCCCCTCTGTTCATGATCCCAAGATCTGGGTGAACCTGCAGAACTTACCTCCATACTGTAACCATGTCCATGCACTCCATTGGCTAAGCTACAAATATAAAGTCAAATGTTTTTGGATGTGAAACCATTTGATTAAAACGAGATCAAATCTGAAGCACATCAAATTCAATCCAAGACAAACCCTTCAGAAGGTTATGACTCTACTGGTGGACAATATTTCTCCTCCAGGTAATTCTAACCTAATACCTAATATTCTATTTAGTGTTAAGCTCTAGACTCCAAGACCAATGACGAACTTGATGATGCAAACATGCTCACACGTCCGGAGTACTCTACAACTTATAACATTTAGTTGGAATATTGATATTTCAGTTGTCCTGAAGAATTGGAATGGTTAAGGTGAAGAATATACAACAGGTCTGATATGATAACCGATTAAGATCGAAACATTTTTATTTACCTAATATGAATATCAGCCTTTCGTAACTGGTCAATTCTTTTATTAGCCTCATCTTTCCAATGGCTAGATAATGGTTGAACTTCGATTAAAGACGCAGAGTCAACCAAGAAATCCACCTTTTCTTCCCGTATCAAAATATCAAATCGGCAAAGGTGTACATCTGTAAAATAATACATGGACTACATGATCCCTGGATCCCGAGCTGATGTTCCTGTACATCAATTCTTGGCCATGTTAACTATGTAAGATCTGAGATGTCCCTTGCTAAATAACATGACGGACAATGGTAAACTCTTGTTAGTAAAAACTTACAGCCAGGTCCACCGAACACGCCACCTATTTCTTGCCATTCTGTTTCAGCTTCCATAAATTTAACTTCAGAAATGTTCCTGTACTGATGACCTGTAAAAATGTTGTAGAATTAAAAGATTTTGCCTTCAATGGTGAGAGTACGATTTCAGCTTGTCATATTCCTTAAAAGGTAACTAAAAACCTCGGACATGAAAATGCAGTCACGGTTGTTTCAGCTACTACAGCACTATTAGGTGTACAAATCTGACCCCGGCGTGGTAAATAGCTCGCGCCCAATACACAAACTAAAAACAATACTTTTGTAAGACTAGACGGCAACTGCTCGACGAGCATAACTTACCATGACTTGTTTCTGTATACATTCTGAAGTAAACATTGTGGTACATGAAACTCGGAACTCTATTTAATAATTTGATTTTAATTTTAGCAGTAAACCAAGAATGCGGTGGCAGTTTAACTTCTTGAGATAAACTTGACCATGTACCATCCTTTCTGAAATGATAACAAAAGATACTCAACAAAACTAACTGCCTTGTATTGATGAAGGACCGAAATGCTCTTATGAAAAACTAAGTGAAATCCAGAAATTAGATTATCCTACGAATAAAGTTAACCTTTTCGTATTGGCACACCGTCCGGTGAAGATTGAAAGAAATTGTTTTTAATTTCCAACTCCCAACGATCTTTTAACCCATACCATCTAAAGGTACCGAACTTCGCTTTATGCTTCCTTGATGGCTCGACGCCCCACCCACTACCACTCTGATCTCTGCTTCTATCGATACACACCTATGAGAAATTTTAGCACTGTAGCGACCATCATAGTGGGCTGTGGATTGTTGTATATTACATCCCCGACAAAACCATCCTTCACTCGGTGAATATTTTGCACTTTCAAAATTTGCGTTTTTGAAATAATTGCCAGCAACACAAGTCACGAAGAATAAAACATATATGTGATTCACTATAAACATAATGATATGGTCATTACTGGGCATTCAAACAACTTATAGAATCAGGTCTACATGCAAATCTGATAAGATAAAACGATTCAAAGCTGTTAATCATTTTATCTTTCTCTGCTCAGATTACTACGGTGGCACGTTTAGGACACAATCATCTGTTATCAAGTGTGACTGAATGCTTAATCAAGGCCGAGCTATCCGGTTTTCGATAATCTTAAAGGGATTGTAAAGAGGTTTTCTAAACTTTCTATGTGTATCGGGGACACTGCTAGAATCAATTTGCACCATTACAATTTCCTTTCCCACGTCTATGGTTTATGCAATTCCTACATAGATATCAATAGCAGGTTCCGGTAGCTCCCCACTAGTGACGTCATAAAACACGTTAGTTAAGAACCACAGACGTCGGAATAAAAATTGGAAAAGTACAAATTGAAGATATCAGTGCCCCGATACACATACACATTTTAGAAAAACCTCTTTACAATCCCTTTAGGATCTTAAAACCAGTCAGCAAACTTCCCGTCAACATTCGCTCGACGTAATAAAATTGTAAGAAAATCTGTCCTCACCATCCGACAAACGCTGCTATTCGTATTTTCTCAATTATTCTGTAATTCTATCCCCATAAAAATTGTTGTTCTTCCCATTATTTTTAATATATCAAATCCACGGTCATTGATTACTAATTGTATAATATGAAAAACGATCATTATTTGCTTATTGTATTATTTTAAACTATAACCAAGAATATTAATGTTTAGTCATGTGGAAAGAACAGATTTGACAAGTTCCATTCTCTAGAATTGGAAATTGGAAAGCTGTATGAGCATCTACGTGTATAGCCTGTATTCCAGCCTCTGAAAGATATTTTGACAGTTTTCGGTTGAGGTAGAGTCAGAAAAACAAGACCCTGTTTAATGGGGATTTTCTACACCTCCATAAAATGCGTTTTGTGCTAACATAATATTAAATTACCTTTAAGACAACACTAAATAAGAGTTGAAACCTTAATATAAATGAAAAAGGTTTTGATTTAGTAAATAATCTTGATGTTCATATGAGAATACACGCTGGAGAAAAACCTTATAAATGTGATGTTTGTAGAAACTCTTTTAATTGGGTAAATAATCTTGATGTTCACATGAGAATACACGCTGGAGAGAAACCTTATAAATGTGATGTTTGTAATAAATGATTTACATTGTTTAATAATCTTGAAGTTCACATGAGAATACACGCTAGAGAGAAACTTTATAAATGTGATGTTTGTAATAAATGATTTAAATTGTTTAATAATCTTGATGTTCATATGAGAATACATACTAGAGAGAAACCTTATAAATGTGATGTTTGTAATAAATGATTTAAATTGTTTAATAATCTTGATGTTCATATGAGAATACACACTGGAGAGAAACCTTATAAATGTGATGTTTGTAGAAACTCTTTTAATTGGGTAAAAAATCTTGATGTTCATATGAGAATACATACTGGAGAGAAACCTTATAAATGTGATGTTTGTAGAAACTCTTTTAATTGGGTAAATAATCTTGATGTTCAAATTAGAATACGCGCTGGAGAGAAACCTTATAAATGTGATGTTTGTAATAAATGATTTAAATTGTTTAATAATCTTGATGTTCACATGAGAATACACGCTAGAGAGAAACCTTATAAATGTGATGTTTGTAATAAATGATTTAAATTGTTTAATAATCTTGATGTTCACATGAGAATACACGCTAGAGAGAAACCTTATAAATGTGATGTTTGTAATAAATGATTTAAATTGTTTAATAATCTTGATGTTCATATGAGAATACATACTAGAGAATAACCTTATGAATGTGATGTTTGTAGAAACTCTTTTAATTGTTTAAAAAATCTTGATGTTCATATGAGAATACATACTAGAGAGAAACCTTATAAATGTGATGTTTGTAGAAACTCTTTTAATTGGGTAAAAAATCTTGATGTTCATATGAGAATACATACTGGAGAGAAACCTTATGAATGTGATGTTTATAATAAATGTTAAGAATCTAGTCCAACATTGGCAACACATATAACGTTTGCTGCAAAATTGAACAATAACAGCTTTGAATTTCTTTTAGTTTTTTTTAACCATAGCTGATATTCTTATCAATGTTTCAGGTTTTGTTTGAATATTGCTTTACAAATATATCAGATGAAAACTCTAGCCTATAAAATGTTGACAGATGGTCAGGGCAGTGAAAATTATTGGAATATAGACAGAAAATAACAAATTACCATATCATTTAAAAACTGATGATGTGAACAAATTAATTTACAATGTACATGAATATTTTCTATGAATAATAAAATTATATTGCCATCCATAATCAATATAAAGGATGACTGTATGTCTCACAGTTAAAGGGATTGTAAAGAGGTTTTCTAAATTTTTATGTATATTGGGGGCACTGATAGCTTCAATTTGTATCATTCCAACGTCTGTGGTTCTTGCAATTCCACTAATACTAACGTATTTTATGATATCACTAGAGAGGAGCTACTGGAAGCTACTATTAATATCTATGCAGCTCCCCTCTAATGATGTCATAAAACATGTTAGTTTTAGTAGAATTGCAAGAACCACAGACGTCGGATTGAAAATTGGAATAGTGTAAATTGATGCTATCAGTCTCCCTGATTAAAAAAAAAGTTCACAAGACCTCTGTACAATCCTTTTAAAATGTTTATGATTGATTAAAACATACTAATGACTGCTATTAACATTGTATACAGAATACACATATCATAAAATGATAGAGGCCTATATCTGCTGGGGTAATTGTTTATTAGGCCAAAAACACTTCAATGTATTCACATTAATCAGTATGTTTTATTCCATTCTAGTTATTAGGATTATTTCAAAAGAATTTCTGAAGACATTTTGCCAAGTAATATAATATGTAAAGAAATTTCATGAAAAAGTTCAATCTGTAGAAATAATTTTCGGCAAAATCAATATAAATTTTAGGTAGCACATATACTTACAATCAAAACAATGTCATGTGTAACATAAGAATGCATGGATAAAATCTGTTTAAAAATAAACATTTTAACAATATTAACGAACAAACGATATAAAATGATTAAAGGACATGTGAATAATTCGATATCAAAACATAAAATAAAACATAATATAATTTAGGACTGAAAAATCACATAAAATTTTGCTCAATTTGCAAAAATGTTTAGTTAAAGTTTTCTTCAATGAAAAATATGAAAAATATTAAAATACCCTGTTAAAAAGTGTGGTTTAAGTTGCAAATAAAATTCAAAATCATTATCCTTTTCTGAAATATATATTTACTCATAATCTACAATGTATACTATCAACTGATCAAATACAAAACAAACTCTTCAAAATAAATAAATTCAAATTTCTAGATGGGACTTAATATAATATCATTCAAAATTTTGACTTTTGAATTTAAATAAATTTCAACTTCCTGGTCATTGCAAAGATAATACTGTAATTTGTAAACATGTAATTTATATTTGACGATGAATGAGTCTAAATCTAAATGAAAAGTAGGGCTGGGCAATATATATTTATATTATAATAAATACTGTTATAGGAATTCAATTATAAAATATTCTCACTGTTAAAATAGTGTTCTATACATCAATTGTAGAGCAATATAGAAATATTAGGAATTCATATTGTAAACATTTTATTTAAAAATATCAAAATAGACCTATTCTTATAGACTTCTAGGTAAATATGGTGAAATGCCATGAAATGGTATATTTATAATTGTCACGATTTTTTGGAAAATTACAAAAATTGTATTGAATTCCTTTAACAGGAGTTGTAGATGGTATATACATTTTTATTTCAAATCCCATTTCTAGATATATCCCAGCCCTGAAGAAACATCACCCTGGTACACCAACATAATTTATCTCTGGAAGTATTAAGTAGTATAAAAACATCACATCTTGTGCATTAAACTTCTTACCCTGGGACAACCCACAAATTCAATTTGTATTAAAGGGATAGATGCTGCATTTTGGGGGTTGGTTTTAGTCTTGAATATATGTAAATAGTCTTCAAAAGTACTAGAAATGTATGAAAATTACATAATTCCTTTAAAAATACTTCAAACTAGGAATTTTACTCACTAATTCTATATATGTCTTTTCTATATATCACAAAATATCTTAAATTGATGAGTCGTCATGTTAATATACAAACACAGATAATTCTGGACACACATGGATTTGAAGGCTCAAATTTCGATGGTGAGCTGTGAACACTATTACTGATTAGCTTAGCTAAAAAATTCCAGTTTCTGAGACTTACGAATGATTGGTCAAAAAAATGGCCTATCTGTCCCTTTAATAACAATTATAAAGAGTTGACAAATCAAAAATGTTATCAATTCCAGATACTAAAATATTGTTACAATGCATCTGATGGGTTAACTTCCCAGGGATGTTAATGAAGATACATAAGGTATTCGAAGATAAGTACATAGGACATGAAGAAAAACTGTAGCTAATCACTATATATAGGTTGAGCTGGCGGGTCTGTTATTATAGGCGATATTTTCATATCCACCAAAGTCCAAACTACTATTATTATTATCATAATCTGCATTATTATTATCATAATCAGCATTATTATTATGATTACTTTGATCATATCTAACATTACCTTCACTAGATACTTCATACTTTCCACCACCTGAAAATATATATTGATGAATACAACTCATATTTGAACTCAACCATCTAACCCTGAGTTAAAAAATGCTTAAATTCTCAATGCATATTGGGAAAAGTATAATCAAATGAGTTCTATCATAAAGGCATCAGGCCAAAATGGTGAACCTATTTTCAAAATAAGTTTTTTCATAAGGTTAGCAGGAATACCAAAATACTAACAAAAACCCATGTATTATTGAGCACTGAGAGACAAGATTAAGTTAAGGTGGCATGTGCACACTTCATCAAAAGAATTCAAATCTAATATGTAATAAAAAATCAAATATATTCAATATTTTAAAGTGATACGTCTTAGAATGAACATAAAATTTAAGTTCTCAAGAATGGTCAATATGAGTATATATTCATCAGTGAACAAGTTACAACAGAATCACTGTAAAATCTGGAAAATTCATGAAACTAAGTAATTATTGAAAAACACTTAATCTTAATATTAAGCGTTTTTCAATAGTTAATTGCCTTTTTTTAAAGTTTTTTAGATTTATCGGATTATATAAGGATCCTGTTATATTATTTATGACACCAGGTATAACCACTGATGAATATATATACTCTTATTGGCCAAGTTTAACATTCTTAAATTTTATGTTCATTTTAAGATGTAGTATCCCTTTAAATTCAGTTGTTATAAATATGTTTTTAATTTCATATATAAAGAAAGAAACAAACCTCTTTTAACAGATGTCACACCATTATAAGTACTTAAAGTCTTATTACCACTGCTTGAGGCAGGAGTAGATCCTGAGTAGCCTGAAAATAGTACAAATATACTTATATAATATATTAACCATTATTTGTAAATACAAACTAGCTTGAGTCTTAATGCAATCAAACTAAGATCCAGGAAAAAATCACTAATATTCCACTTTTTGGGATCTAAGATAGTTCCAAAATTAGTCTAACTGTGAATGTTACCCTAAATTTTGAGTTTTAACAAAATAAAAGCGACACACTTTTCCCTATTAAACAATGTACTCAATCATGTTTCTTATTTATGATAGCTTAAAATTTAAAATTTTTAACTTGATTAGTTAATTCACTTTTAGGATGATATTTAAAATTTCAATTCAATGAATAAATCAGTTTGAAACTTGCTAACATTGAAATCTGAAGGCAATATTTGACAGTTATTTACTATTTCTTACTTTTTTGACAATGACTATTTGCTATCAGACGACAGAGCCAACAAGTTTCTGATTAACTGTACCATTAATAAAGCATGAAAGCATATTTTCATTGAAAAATAGTTTACAGTTTTTGATATCCCAGAATATTGATGTTGCTTGCTGAGAGATCATATTTTGCATGTATACATTAGAGCAAGAGAGATGCATTAACCTAAGAAAGAGAAATTCAGGCAGATAAAGATAAGAAAATATGTGTCAAAACTTATCCTAAATTTACATTTAACATGTAACTTTTCACATTCTTTAAGGGACAGGTAGGCCATTTTTTGACAAATCATACTTTAGTCTCAGAAACTGGAATTTTAGCTGAGCTTATCAGTAATAGTGTTCACAGCTCACTTTTGAAATTTGAGTCCTCAAATCCATGTGTGTCCAGAATTATCCACGTTTGAATGTTAAAATGACGACTCGTCATAGAAAAGATAAATTTAGAAATAGTCAGTAAAATTCCTAGTTTGAAGTATTTTAAAGGAATTATGTGTTTTCGTACTTCTGAAGACTATTTACATATATTCAAGACTAAAATCAACCCCCCAAGATGGCACATCTGTCCCTTTAAGCATATAGTAACTTTTGATTATAAGTTGTTTTTCCAAAACTGACTAGAAGATCATTAATGCTGTTAATAATAACTGATAAAAATTTCATTCAATAAGAGCAGCTAACCCATACATTCTTCCTCTTTCTCCTCAAAAACCATGCTCTGGTAGCCATTTTGCTATTTGTTTTTGCTATCAAATGCAATATAGCCAATTTGAATACATATAGCTATTATTCATGAGATCATACACAGAAAAAGGCAGAATTTCTGTTTGCAATAAATACTGCCAAATTCATGCAGCGAAGGTAAATATGCCAACAAGAGTCAGTCTTAGATGCCTAGTATAAAGAAAAATACATAATAGATAGTATCAAGAAAGTTAAATTTATTATAGCATGCAGTGTTAGTGTTAAAATTGTTACATACAACTAGAGTATTCAAGTTACAAACTACATTTTGTGCTCTTTACAATATTTAAGTACATCTATTTTGAATTTGACAATCAACTTTTTAACAGCCTATCAACACAACTAAAACTTGAGTTGTGAGTTTATAATGACAATGTGAACCGAGCCATCCACTCAAAAAAAAAAAAATTAATTCCAACAATAAGATGCGAATAGACGATGTATAGTGTACAGTGCCGGGTATAGTGCCGTACTTCTTGTGTTGACTTCTTCTATTTTCGTTTTTAGCGATTATTCCACACTTTATACCTCGTCTCTTCGCAGCCTCATTCTGATCACATCAGACAAAAGGTGTTCAATGGTAGCTCTTTTCTGTGGTACACTATTTCTAGGACAGATTCACCATCAGTTTGACCAATCATATTTTAGTCTCAGTAACAGAATTTTTTAGCTGAGCTAATCAGTAATAGTGTTCACAGCTCACCGTCAAAATTTGAGCCTTCACATCTATGGGTTTCCAGAATAATCCATGTTTGAAAGTTAAACAGATATAATAGAAAAAGAAAGTTAAATTCCAAGTTTGAAGTAATTTGAAGGAATCGTGCAATCTTATTTTCATGTAGTTCTATTATTTCTAAACACTATTTACATATTCAGGACACAAATCAACCACCGAAAAATGCAGAACCATGACATCTGAAACACAAGCATTTTACAACCACATCATGGTAACTGTCATCTGGAAAACTAACCAACAAAAAATCTGAACCAAAACCTGTGGTACCATTGAAACAACAAAAGCACCTCAAACTCTGATAAAACTAAAGACTAGCAAATACTACTTCCCATAGAAAACAAAAATTATAACCAATTCTGTTGGTTCTGTAACTAGGCACTTTTATAGCTAAGAAACCTAGAATGTTTCCTAAATAAAAAATAAATCTAGCTTTAAAGGGATTGTCAGATCTCACTAAAAAAGGAATCTTATATCTCAGGAACAGTTTTTATGTTTTATTACTAATATGTCTTTTTGGAAGTGTCTGTTTATGTGGTCTGTCAACTCGAAATCTCAAGTAATGATCGGATGAAATACATTTAACTGAAACAATAGAAGTCTGTGACAATTATTTCATTCTAAAACACGAAAAATTGATTTTAGTCTGTATTAGGAAAATCTTTGATTCATAATTTTAATACATCCAGTAAAATCTGGCACATGTTAAGTTAATTTTCAAAGGAAGGGATGGTTTAGCCCTAATTCTTCTTCCCAGATGTAAATGACAGGTTTTTTAGTTTGTAAGAAACAAATTAACCACAGGGATAAAATTCAATTCTATTTTGTGTGATGAGATATATATCATGTTGAATGGTGGAGGACAAAAAATATTTCCCTAGCACGTTTCTAAATTCAAACCAGCATCAATATGAAAAACCATTTGTCCATAAACTCTATTTGGACACTACAGTTCGGGCATGACATGCAACCATGCAGACAAACACATTGTAATATAGCAAAACATAAAACATGCTCTAGATATCTGAATTAGTACTAATTTAGTAGAAAACAATGGACAATCCCTTTTTCAAAATATAATATACCAATAAGAAAGCTACAGAAGCGTGCCTTAGAAATGAAAAGAACACTACCTGGACATCTAGATTTTGATTGTGCGATGATGTAGTACGTGTTTTATATGTCACTTCTGAAAACAAATTCCACATGCATAGTCAGAAACATGACTTCAATTTAACTGTTAACTAAATTTGAACTACTTTGTAATTTTTCTATTTTCATAAAAAGTGATATAGCCGAAACTTAAAATCCTTAAAGCCTTGACATGAAAAACTAAACATAATGTGGGCTATTTCTATTTTTTCTGTGTTACTGAAAAAATTTATAAATGCTGGCAAAATGACCCAATCATTCAAGATGTACATTCAAAACCGTTTTATAATTTATCCAATGTCCAATTCAGATATAAGTATAAATTTTCACTGTGAAATTTCAAAATATCATTTTCATAGTTTTTTCCCTTATTAGTCCTCAAGCTGGGTAAAAGCTTATTTTATAGTGTACTACATGTACTTGAAAAACATTGTTTCAAATTACATCATCTGCTTTGAACTTAAGTATTGTTCATCCTAACTGTGTAAAGTTATTTGATTTATAAAATCAAACTAAACATACTCCATATTAATTGGATTAGAAATAACCAAATTTATTGAGTAATATATCAAAAATTCAAAAATGATATATCAAAAAAAAAATTTGAAAAATTATGTTTAATCAAAATATTAGAACATGTAAACTAAAATATTATGTTTAATCAAAATATTAGAACATGTAAACTGAAAAATTATGTTTAATCAAAATATTAGAACATGTAAACTGAAAAATTATGTTTAATCAAAATATTAGAACATGTAAACTGAAAAATTATGTTTCATCAAAATATTAGAACATGTTAACTGAAAAATTATGTTTAATCAAATCAAAATATTTAAACATGTAAACTGAAAAATATATTAAACCAAAATATTGGAAACTAAAGTTGTACAACATCAACAGACTAAAACAATTACCTTTTCCATTGTTTTGTATATTACAAAAGCCTTGAAAAATAAGGAGAGAATAGTAAAAATCATCTATTTCTAATTTCAGAAGATAGCCAATTAATATGTGATGTTATAAAGCACTCTGTTAAAATTTCTTCTATTATCCACATGAACATCACATTTATAATCATAACCTCAGTCTTTTTGATAAGGCAGTATCAATATTAATGATAATAATAAATAATGGTAGTTTTGATAATGACAACAAGGTAGTTTTTGATAATGACAACATGGTAGTATTGATATTAATGATAATGATAAATAATGGTAGTTTTGATAATGACAACAAGGTAGTTTTTGATAATGACAACATGGTAGTATTGATATTAATGATAATGATAAATAATGGTAGTTTTGATAATGACAACAAGGTAAAACGATACTTTTGATAATGACAACTTGGTAGTATTTTATAAAGACAATATTTTTGTCATCAATATCAAAGCTACTTTGTCGTTATCAAAAACTACCTTGTTGTCATTATCCAAACTACCTTGTTGTCATTATCAAAACTACCTTGTTGTCATTATCAAAACTACCTTGTTGTCATTATCAAAACTACCTTGTTGTCACAATGCAATTGATGATGATATTGATGATCTATGAGTCAGGTATAATTTGAGTCTAGTGTGCTTTTTTAAATTTAATTTTTTTTGAATGTTTACCCTCAGGAATAAGAAGAACTTCCATGTCAAAGAATTATAATTGATTAAAGGGATAGATCCCTTTCTTAAATTGTTCATAAATTAAGTTCCATTAGTCTAGCATTAAAACAATATAGAGTCCAAGAATTGAGATATGGTAAATTTAAAAAAAAAATAGGAATCCACGAATATAAATCCCTATTAATATCTTTCCGAGGACAAATTAAAAAAAATTTGATGCTGAGGAAATATGATGTCACAGTAACTGAATAAATAGAGGAATGTATCCCTTCAAAATCAACAAGATTCTGTCAGAATTTGGACAAAAATATAAAAACTACAAAAAGGCTCTTACCTCGACTACTGGATTTCTCATCAACCACTTCACAACATGGCAGAAATCTTCTCCAAGCATTGAGGGCATCTTTTTTAAACAAACAATAAAAGAAAAAGATAAACACCCCTTGCAATGCATTAAATATTGCAAAAAGGTAGCTAAATACAGTTTGTACTGGACCTATTGCAAATATTGCAAATATCCATGTAAGTCCTAACAAAATAACTACTCCCACTGCTCCACGCACTTTAGAGAGTTTATCAGAACGGTCTGATTTTGTTAGTTTTCTAGCTTGAAGTCCACACAATTGACGTAAAACAAGCCCAAAAGCTACAAAATTGATCAACAACACTGCTAAAACTGGAGCAGCAAAAGCGCCATAAAAAGCATTCGTTGTTAACCAGCAACTGAAAAAGAAGAAATATTCGTGGTTAAATAGTACCTTAGAAACAGTTTATGATCCCTAACATTGAAAATAAAAAACCTTGCTTTTGGAAATCCAAAATCTGTTCTTGTTATTGTTATCTTTCCGTGAAATTGATGTGCTAAAAATAGCAAGTAGGTGAGCAGTGACCAATTGGAAATACACGCATATATATTGTACACTCAGATCAAGTTAATTGGAAAGGCACAAATAGAGCCATAAGTACTATAATATTTATGTAAATAGTGCACATTTTTATACCCCAAAAAGGGCTTGCCAAGTGTGCATTTTAGACAAACAAAAATTGTGAATCTTTTATGCGAGGTTAACCCAAGTCATCCGCCATTTTGTAATTGATCTAATGGTCAAAGGTGCTAATATAGAAGACCATACCCCAAGTAATAATCTCTTATCCCTGAAGGATACAAATAGATCAGTCAAATTTTCCTTAATTTTTTATGTGTAACATGGACACTGATAACATCAATTTTCACCATTCCAAGTTTCAATCAGACATCTATGGTTCCTGCAATTCCAGTAAAACCAAGTGTTTTATGATGTTGCTAAACGAAAAATATTCTTAATCACATAATCGATTTGTGATGTGCTTAGTTTTACTGGAATAGCAGGAACCAGAGACCAGATAGAAAATTGGAATGTTGCAAATCGATACTATCAGTGTCCCTGATACACATCCAAATTTTAGAAAACCTCTTTATAATCCCTTTAACTACACATATTCATACTTACATGCCACTATCTAAATATGTATAATTATCTGTACTGATACTTAATGTTATAATAACAACAATGAGTGGAATGCCTGAAATTAACATGAGTTTGTAGCACCATTAAAATAAATATCATGCCAGGTGTTAGGTACCATTTTGTTAAAACCTTTATTCTTTTTAGAGAGAGCTCATAGCTACAAATATTTTTTTTTTTATTTCAGATGTCCATGTAATTACTCAGTAAACTTTGGTATAGAAGAGCAGGATGTAAAACTCCATTCATTTCATTCCATTTCAGTCAATTTTGGGTTATATCAACTCTGAATATGATGCACAATCATACTTCGATAGAGGCCCCAGCCTCCCAAGATTAGGCAGACTGACTCAAAGGGAGGATAACTGTTGAGGTTGAATTTAAAATGCTACAACACTGATTGAAGCGTAGGGAGGGTTTTATCAAGAAAATTTTGAAAAATTGAATAGTATTGGTGCATTCTGAAGTATATTTTGGGGAAAAAAGTATAAAAATCATATTTTTAAATGTAATTGGGAGTGCAAACTATTTTTCTAGGGGGGGAGGGGCCATGCACTAATAGAGATTTATCACTAGTCATCCTTTTCATAACTTTACTTTACTTCAGTACATGTATATGATGTTTTTACTGTATGTCTGTGCATTAAAATCTGTAGAATTAATATTTAACTTACCATAGCCTACTACTGAACATTTTAACATAAATTTGGAATAGTAAGTTTTAAACACTAGTACTAAAGCCAAATACATATAAAAGGCCTCAACGGCCATCCAAGATAACGCTGATAAGAGAAAATAATGAAGAAGTATGGCAACAACCTGAAATGTAATTCTAAAAAGTGTTAAGGGGATAAAGTCAATTCAATATTCACTTTATAAGCTGAGAGAACTCAATTCCATCTGTCCAAAGCAAAATATTATCTGGCTTTAGGTTTGCCTGCAGTTAATGAAAAATGACATGTATAATAACATAATCCAAATAATGATGTCACAATATTAGTTGATTTATGAGATTTGCACTGGTTGAAGTATGTTCTGAATTAATTGTAGACAAACTTAAGACCAATTTTCAGTCCTAGAAGTTTTATGGGTTACATACCCTGAAATTTCTCTTGTAAAGGTTGATTGTAATGAAATGATCAAAATATCAAAAATAAAATTACCTTGCAACCAATAACATCATCCATAGCATAGCTATGCATACCAATAATAAATATCAGATTAGCTATAGCTAAAGCTATGCATAGATTCACTAAAATCTTGGAAGGGTTGTCTTTTCGTAATTTTCTGAAATAAGGGGAAAAAAACAATTTGGTCAAAGAATTTCAAAGAATCCTAAAGAGAAATATTTCAATTCACTAAGAGTACCTGTATATATGTTCCTTGCTTTGGTTCTACATGTGTGTTATAAATTCTGTTTGCTAAGTAACCTGACCAATAACACAAAATTCTCAGTGTTAAAGGTGCCCAATACATCATTTGTAGAGCAATATTAAAACAGAACCCCCAAAAAGCATGTTGTTACTCAGAGTTTCACGATATGTGATCTTCAGACAACTGACCTACTTCAGCCTGTGTCCCTACAATTTTTTGTTATTGTTAAATATTGCTACAGTAGCTAAATAGGTCTACTTTTTACAAATTTTGAAATTTTGTCATAAAAATTTTGGAACGAACACCAAAGACTACCCCTGCATCTGACTGACTAGAATATTTGAAAGTTGATACCAATAAATTTTCAACATAAGGTAAAAGAGCAAGGCTCTTCATGCTTGTTATTTGTCAAAACAGCAGATTTGCTAAGTAACAGGATGAATATTTTCTACTATAATAATGTTAACTGGTCACATGCAATTAGAACTTCATAATATGGACAATTCAAAATGTTTTTTAAAGGGATTGTAAAGAGGTTTTCTAAACATTTTATTTGTGTGAGACACTAATATCATCAATTTGCTCCAATTTTCAATCACACATCTGTAGTTCTTGCGATTCCATTACAAGTAAGCGTTTGATTATGTCACTAATTGCAAAAGTAACAGTGACGTCATAAAACGCATAGTTTAAGTGGCATTGCAAGAACCACAGACGTCTGATTGAAAATTAGAATGGTGCAAATTTATGATACCAGTATCCTCTATACACATACAATTTTCAGAAACCTCTTTACAATTCCTTTAAGGTTTATATACATGCTTCCAAAGATGGCCAAATGCAGAGACTGTTGATGTGGATAAGTCAGTCAAACGGAAATGTTTCTAAACAAATTTAAATGCATCATTTAATGTGCTTCATAGAAGAGTCCATCTCTGTTGTCTCTTAGTTTTTAAGCATGTATCTTGATAGTGAGAAGATATCATTATCAGTAAGAGGACTATCTCAAACTTTTCATGCTTAAGATCATTAGTTTAAAAAATGGTACAGACAAAAGGATCATGCACAAATTATGAAATTTTTTTTTCAAACTTTCACCCAGGAAAATAACACACAAAATAAATTTAAAAATTTAAAAAGATATGTTAATAGATATTCTTGTTATATTGCATATGTAGTTTATGTTATTATTGTTATTATCAATACTATTATTATGATCATTATTGTTATTATCATCATTATTATTATTATTATGATCATTACTATTATTGTTATTATTGATATGTTAACCCTTTTAACACTAGCGAACAATACTGGCCAATTAATTCAAGATTAAATATTCCTTTATATTCTTATTAGGCATACAACAGTTAGTAGAATCCAATTTTGATTAAGTTCAAGGGGATGCATTTCAAATGATATATGGGACATATGCAACAATTTTTTTGACCAATCATACTATAGTCTCAAAAACAGGGATTTTTTTAAGCAAAGTCAATCAGTAATAGTGTTCACAGTGCACCGTTTAAATTTGAGCCTTCAAATCCATGTCCAGAATTATTTGCATTTGTAAGTTAAAAAGACGAATCGTCTTTTCTTGAGACACTGCCATAAAAAAGACATCTATAGAAATAGGAAGTGAAGTTCCTAGTTTGAGATATTTTTCAAGGAATTATGTGCTTTTCATACAATTCAAGTACTTCTGAAGACTATTAACATATATTCAAGGCTCAAATCAACCTCCCAAAAATGGGTTTTTTAAAACTTTAAGGTTTTAATCTTTTCAGAAAATGTGTCCAAGCCTGTGCAATTCTTACAATAGGGTTTCATTTATAAATGAATCTGAGTTTGTTTACTTACATGAAAGACAATAGCATTGCAAAGTTTACACTGTCTAAAATAAAGAACCTTATCAGGATTTTATATCCGAAGGCTAACTTAATAGCCTATTACCCTGATACACAGGAAGGTTTTTACCTTAAGGTGAACAAATTACACCAAAATATTTTGGTTGACTTCTATGTGGGGATTAGGTGCTGTGGATTCGCATCCTCCTAAAGTGCCTGTGCCGGTGCCTGCGAGATTCGGCCCAATGTTGGCTCTTTTCCCCTAATACCATATGCGTATGTTTGAGAATAAAATTAACTATCTTCTGTTTCAAACGCAACTCTCTTATGCAACAGAGTTTTGTTGTTTGGTTCTTTTCTCATGACAACTTTCCTTATTCACAACTATACGCAACTGGTAATCGACTAGGGCTAAGCAATTTTTCAATTGTGTTAAAGTGTTTTATATTATATTTACTTTAATCCCTAAACCTAAATAAGAACACAGAAATCTAAAGCTACTCAGCCACCTAGAGTAAAAATGCCACTAAATCCAAAGCTAAATTCCATAAAAAAAAAGAGTTTTTGAACAAAATCAAACCTAATAGAACTGCCAACAAAATGATCACTTTTATGATTTTGAGATGATTCTGTGGTAGAAGTTGGTCCACTGAATTAAGAATTAACAAAAAAATGAAGATGTTAACATAAAATAAAAACCTAAAATATTAAATTCCACATTGACCACAATTATAACAGAATTCAACTATTGATGTGGCCATCAAGTAGAAAAACAAAAATAAACATCTAATATAATTATTTTCTGAGCAAATTCATTAATATCATTCATTATTTTTATGAGAATTGGAATAACAGCCTCAAAATAGAACTGTTAGTCTTCGAATGTCTTCATGTTGATAATAATTTGAATATAAGCACACATTATGTCTTCAAAATTCGTTTTTACAGAGACCCATTTTCAGCCAGAAATGACTTTTTTTGTGTTGAAATTTTGAGGAGGGAATTGTGTTTCTTTTCAATGTAAACTTACAAAAAATTATATTTTTATCAATGCAAAGATTAACAATATTATTTTGAGGCTGCTTTCCAATTCTCATAAAGAAATGGATAAAATGAAGAACTTTGCTCAGACAATAAATGTAACTGAAAACCCTTAGGACTTATTGATTGTTTAAGAAATTGATTAAGATTTTCTTTGATGGTGATTTTGATGAAATATATTTCCAAATTCTGAATTTTTTCCAAATAAAGAAAAATATTTAGATGACTACCTTCCTTTAAAAATAAAATCTAAATTTCTGAGGGATTTGTACGTTAATTTTTTAAAGTAACATTCTAGTGTATATAAGAATATGTTTAAATACTTACTTGAAGAAAATATAGGTAAGTAAAGTTAGTGCTAAACAGATAAATGATAATGAACAACCAACATAAGTTATTATAGATAATATCTTTTTATTTTTCTCGCTAATGCGGTAACCATCTTGGTACACATCCTAAAAAAAAAACAACATCAGAAAATGTTAAGAGTTCCAAAACTTCAACCATTTAGAAATACCTGGATCTGGCCTAAACTTTCCTGACATATCAGTCTAATCAAAATTAGACCAAACTTTCATTCTGTTTTTTATTAGCTTTTATTTCTAATATAGCCACTTCAGTTAGGGTCTAAAGACAGGCCTCTTGAAAGTTTTTGACCCAACCTGTCGACCTCTGCTTTAACCAATCAGATTCCTTCACTCTCTCACAAAATCCCAGTGCCGGAGTGGGCAAAAATTTGATTGGATCAGGTCATCAGGTTAGGTTAAAAGGTTATTGTGATGAACTGTCAAGACTCTCACTGATGTGGATGTATGAAATATAAGTTAATAAAAAAGGAACGAAAGTTTGGTCTTATTCTAATTAGATTGCTGACATATGGCTTTATAATTCACTTTCAACTTTCAATAATCCTGGATGGCTATTGAACTCATTTTATGTTTCAAAGTTATTGATGCTGCCTAGTTGTGGACTTCTACCAAATTGCAACTTGTTTGTTGTTTGTCTCTTTGTTATCAATATTCCAAAACATAAATGGGATATTTTTTGCCATGCAGTGTGCATTGAGGTAAACTTTTTAAGAAGACTATTGTAAATGAATCTAATCACTTCTTTCAAATTTTTTAGGGAAAACAGTTAGTTAAAAAAGCAGATGGCACCATCTGAGCCGAAGGAAGTGAATCCGAAGAAACTTCCTCCTGCTAGACCATTAAATAAAGGTTCATCAACAAACCACAAAATAATTAAACCAGGACAGACCTTATTATAAAAGATCTTGATCCTGGGTAAATCAAAATTGTATGGTAAGAAATCTAAGGGTTAAACCTACCATTAGAAGAGCAAAGTTAGTAAGATGATCACAAACACATGTGGTATTGGAGCCTTGAATATTAGTTAATACTCTACAACCTTCAGATGACCAACCTTCTGTGCCACTTATAATACCATCATCCCAAAATACACACCGAGCATTGGTAGAATTCTGAAGATACAAAAACACCAAAAAATGACAATATACATCAGCATATATTATGAGAGTTGTCATCTATTTTGCATTTAGACCATCAATTTTGCATTTTGACCATCAATTTTGCATTTTGATCATCATTTTTGTATTTTGACTATCAATTGTGTATTTTGATCATCAGTTTTGTATTTTAATCATCAATTTTGTATTTTGACCATTAATTTTGTATTTTGATCATCAATTTTGTATTTTAATCATCAATTTTGTATTTTGACCATCAATTTTGCATTTTGACCATCAATTTTGCATTTTGACCATCAATTTTGCATTTTGACAAACATTGAATGACACTTGATGGCTTAGCTATACTCTACATCCTATATAGGGTTGTAGTTCTTAGACATTTGAGATACATTCTTAGTAAGAAACTTCAAAGTAAGTACCTTTGATGAATGTGAAAATGTCATCTGTACAGGGTCTTGTAATTGACGAATCTTAACATTTGGTACACTGACTGATATAACTCCACTGTTTATTTTTGTAGTAAATTTATTATCATTTATTTGTTGTGGAGTATCATCTGATTTATTGCCCCCAATACTCTGAAATAAATAGCATAATAATGTTAGTGTAATAAATCCATCATCTACAATGCTGTAGAAAAATAGCATAAATGTTAAAGGGATTGTAAAGAGGTTTTTCTAAATTTTTATGTGTATTCGGGACACTGATAGCTTCAATTTGCACCATTCTGTAATAAAATATCATTGTCAATGTTGAAGAATAAGTAGCATAAATATAAATGTAAAAAATTTATCATCAGCATTTTATTTTATTTTTCCTGCAACTATTAGCACAATACCATTTTTGCCCCTTTAACTGAAATAATGTTGTAAATGTAAATGTAATGCTAATGTAATAAATAAATAAATACTTTTGAAACTTATGTGTATATCACTTACAGAAAATAATCTCCCTGAAGGGAAAACATGGAATGTTATTCTTTCAACAGCAGTTTTCTCAGCTTCACTTAACCTGGAGAATAAGGTTTTTGGTAAAGCAAAACTACTTGACTCATCATTATCATCATTATCATCATTATCATCATTATCCTTTTCCATTTCATTATCACCATCCTCATTATCCTTTTCATTAAATTCATCCTCAATAACAACTGGACTAAGAGTGCTGGAGTAATGATCATCATCCCGTTCATGATGATCATCATCTTCTCTACTTGCATCAGTGGTCTGTCGTCTTTTAAGATTTCTTTTCTGATTTTCATTATCATCATCAATTTCATTTTCATCATCATCATCATCATCATCAACATCTCTCTTCACCTAGAAAATCATAAGTTCACTTGACCTTATATTGTTTGAAAGCTGAAGCAGGTTGTTTTCTGAATATCTTTACAAAATCATCCTTTTCAACCTTCTTTAATGAAAGAGAGCGAAAAAGCATACCTGCACATGGTGGATATATTATAAAGCATTTTTGCAGAGAAAACCAGTGGATAGACTGGCCTGGTTTTGGCCCCCTATTTTAAAATTTTTTAAATTGAATTCTTAAATGTCTAACGTTGACAATTCTATAGCCTCTAATCAGGCTATTCTAATGAATCATAAAAACGCCACTGTACATTTTGTACTTACCATGAAGCCAGATAAAGTATTGCTTTTAGTTTTAGATTTGGCTGTAATAGTCAGACCTGTAAAGTTACCATCTACAACTGGTACAGCAGCTAATACTAAATTAGGTTGAACAATTTTAATATTACCATCGTTCAGACTAATTCTATTACTTATATTATCAACAGAGTCTAGAATCCTAGAAAATATAGGAAAAAAACAGGAGGTTATATTCCATAACTATTAACAATTCGAACGATTAGTTTAGATCATCAAATCAAGATCCATTCTGCAAGTACCAAATTTATCAATAATAAGAATTGGCCCAAAATTGTGACATTCTACCAGGTAAGCATATCTTTATAAACATATTAATATACCAAAGAAATATTTCTTATTAACACCAGGGAGTTTAAAGGTGCCGGCACACGAGCGGTCTTGGTTGGAGTTTTTTTATTTCTGTGAAAATTTGATAATTGTCTCTGATTATCTTAATGTCTGCATGACAGAAGGTCATCATCCAATCAGATTCATTTTCCTTTCAATTGCACAAGACCACTCCTGTGTCTGCACCTTAACTTGTTTTATTACCTGAACTCCGGTTCTAAAACAATTTGTACAATTAAACTTGCATGTTAATTGAAGAAAAATATTATTTATAAAGTTTACGCTTGTACGTTATTCAACGATATTTCGTGAAACAGAGTCCTGATGTCTTCATACATAAAATGACCATTCAAAACGAAACAAGTATATGAGGTCATGAGGACCTATTTACAGACTTAATTTTCATTTATAGTTTGAAAGTTACAGGTGGCTTCAGCTCGTATTTTTTATCTTTGTGTTAAGGGATGAATATCAGTTACAGAGGGGAGGATGTTACTAAATATGAAGAGAACAGAAATCAAATTTGAGATTGTACCTTAAAAGCAATAGAAACATGGCTTACTTGGAAGATGTCTGGTATTTCTCCTCTGCCTCTTGCAGCACATCATTCTTGGAACTCAAAAGCTGACTGACTACAGCTACAGAAGCATTCATTACTGGTAGTTTACTGTAGGATGAGTTTTCATTTAAAACTTTCTCAAGAACATTGACAGCTAAAGATAACTGAGCTGTGGTCAAGTCTTCAGCTTTAGCTGTTAGGCTCTTTAAATTGTTTGCAACTTGTCCAACATTGTCTGAAAAAATCAAATGACATATACATTTCCAAATGAACAAAATTTCAGAAAATTAAACATCCTATTCCTTAGGATGACCAAAAACTCTTAAACTTGGTTAAAATGAGTTTTTATTCAACTGAACTTAACCTGTTGTCAAAACTATACGACTGAATCCCTTTAGTTTAGTTAGTTTATTGGATATATCATCTTATATAAAGATTCTATTCTTTAGTCATGACACCTGGTTAGTCCAACTGGTGAATATTGATTAAGATTGAGACTTTAAATTGTATGTCCATTCTAAGAGGTAGTATTTTAGATTAAATATCATCTGATATCTGAATTACCAAATTTGTATATGAGGCCCTTGGTTTGTTTCCATGTACATCAAAATATAAAGGAAAATTTTGTTGGAAATTTTGATATTTTATGTTTTTGTTCTAAATTTTCCCTCTAAACTACATATTATAAATTAAATCATTCATCTTTACATCCAAAACCATTCCTATACTATTATTATTGCCAGATGAAACAACGTACAAAGTGGACCCCCTATAATAGACTATAGATATTCACTTTGATCAGTAACATAGATAATTTATATTACTAGAAATTATAATTAATAATTTCTGATAATTACCTGCTGTTACTTTGATGTTTAAGAGCTTCATTAATTCATTTCCAACAGACGTATTAATTAAACATGCTCTAATATCAGGCTTCAACCACGTTCCTTCATTTGATTTGGTTAAAATGCTGAAATTAATGGATTCCGAAAATTATTTCTATATTTATGAAGTGGTAAACAAGATGTCAGAAGGACAAAAATATCGTCAAGCTATTACAAATTTTGTCTTATACCTTGACTGCAATAGCCACCTTACTTGTAACAGGAGTGTTTGTAAATGTAGCCATTTGATTGGATTGTACATTAGCCTCAAGAAACAGAATTTGTAAACAATAAGCTATAATGTTTCAATTAACAAACTAACCATCTTCTATAAGCATATTGTGTGGACTTATTAGGACATGATATTTTGGCTGTTTTTCCAGTTGGAGTATCTGGCCAGGTAATTTCACCAACACTTGATGTTGCATTATCTTTTTCACAGGAAACTGCAAAATAACAGTTTGAAACATGTAGCATGTGTCACTGAGCTTTCTGACACTTTGGCTCAGTTCCTCAAAAAATCACTTTTGTCTTTAACATGTTTTTTCTCAATGTAACATTCTATGCTTATGACAAATTCTTATTTTCAGATTTTTGGATGGGTCTCATCTCTATGATTTCCTTTTGCAATCTTCAAATACATGAACTTGAGTCAAATTTAAATTTCCAATGAACAAGCATCAGGACAGATAGTTATGTAATATCTAAATTTGGATTTGACAAGAATAGCATTGGACTCAATATAAATCAAGAGATACTCTTCAGGTCTGTATTCTCAAAACGATCTTAGCACTAGGTTCTTATCTTCTAACATTGATTCTAGGACATCCTAGCGCCCAATATCTTTTCAAGAATATGGGGCCTGAATATCGATTTGGAATAATCAACAAAGAATTTATGTATGTGGACTCTCTGAAACAGAAGCCAAGTGGATAATAGTTGCACAGTGGCATCAGGTGTTCCTGAACAACTGTCAACCCCTGATCCCATCTTTTCTTTCAAATTTATTTCAAATATAAATTTCAAATATAAATTTCAAATACTCACCACCACTATAATTGTCAACTTTAACAGATTCCGGTAAAACACTAAGTTCTAGTAAATAATCTTCAGAAGCAGAAGTAGAGATGAATTTTTTAAGCAAAGTCTTCACACTTTCAGCATTGTGTATATTGAGATTAGTCGTTGAGATCAATGCATGGACTGTTATGTTTGGTTCGCTGAAACAATAACGATTGAAGTTTAAGGGGCATTCACATCATAGCGATCACCAATTGTGTATGATTGCCAATAAGAATAATGTGCGAAACTGTTGTGAGGGCACCTTTAAAGATGGGTTCCCTTGCTAAAACTTAATGACTTGCAAAAATACCAGTTTTTCTCACACGTCCATCATTAATTCATAATTAGCTAAATTAGAAGAGAATTACCAGCAGAATTCCAATGAGTTATCCAGACTGTACATACATGTACATTTATGATTGGTTAAGACTCTTAATTATATGCAATAAGAACATAATGATATGATTAAGAATACATGATAATTCATTAACAACACCAATTAATCAAAACATTTGCTTAATTCCACACTAAACTATAAGGAAATCCATCTTTAAGTCACATTTACAGATGATTTTCTTTTTATAAACTTTCATTTCTAGAACATAAAAAAATACATAAACAAAAGTAAAACTTGAGCATACTGATCCATTCATTGTCACCTATTTTGGCCTCAATCAAACATATGACAACAGACCTTATCTAGATCATAACAAAAGATTCTAAAACGTTTGGTTGCTGTGTCAATGTGCAAGTTCCTTTGGGGTTAAAAAAACAAACATGCAAATTATACAGTAAATTCTTCATTCTAACCTGAAACCTGTAACTTTAGCTGTCTGTCCACCATCAACATCTTCAAATACATTTTCTAACTGAAATACAACATCACACCATGTCAATATTAATACATATACATTATTATGAACAACATGTAGTTTTTGTGAGGTTTTTTAGCACAGTCGGTTAGAGTTTTGGTTCTTTACATGTCGTCATTTACTTGGTTAAATTGAGCAACTGACTGATGTAAGTTCTTTTCTGGATTGACGTGTGAAAGTCTGATGACCTTGAATAAGTCATCTTCAGTCATAATTTCAGTCAGCCCAGCTGTAAATGTGAAAGATCAATGCCAAGAGGTTTGGCCAAGGACTAACTGGTAGGAGGGATCTTTATTGGGTCTATAGCACAGTCGGTTAGAGTTTTGGTTCTTTACATGTCGTCATTTACTTGGTTAAATTGAGCAACTGACTGATGTAAGTTCTTTTCTGGATTGACGTGTGAAAGTCTGATGACCTAAGTCATCTTCAGTCATAATTTCAGTCTAGTCTTTACATTAAAATGTGATTATCCCTGGAAATGATGTTTATTATCCCATCTAATTGTACATTATGTTATCATGTATTCATTTAATGATGTTTTAAGCATTGTAATTTTTGTCCACACCAATAGATGATTAAAAAAATAAATATGATATGGATGTAATCGTAATATAAAACATATATAATCATATTCAAATATTATGGTCTTTGCTTTGATACTTTATAATAAAGGGATTGTAAAGAAGTTTTTTCATTTTTTTTGTACATCAATTTGCCCCATTCCAAGTTTCAATCAGACATCTGTGGTTCTTTTAAATTCCACAAAAAAGTGTCTTTTTTGCACTAATTGCGAACTACGTTTTCACCACATAAAGCCCTTCGTGATCTGTGGTGTCATCAACACTTAGTTTTAGTGGAATAGCAGCAACCACAGACGTCTGATTGAAACTTGTAAAGGTGCACATTGATGATATCAGTGTCACTGCTACACATAAAAAAATTCGAAATCCTCCTTACAATCCCTTTAACTGTAAAATTATAGTTTTTAATTAGAGCCATCTGATATAATATGTGCCTTCTATAAAGAAACATGAAACTGGTTATTTTTCAAAGGACAACATATTTGATCATTTAACAATGACCATTGTATTTGTCAAAGGAAAACAATACAGGATGATACAGATGTATAATTAATGTATAAATTCACTAAGCTTATAGTTTTGAATAAAATGAACTAACAAATGACCATTTTATAACTGATACCATAAAACCCTTTTTTTCTCACCTAAAATCATATAAATTATTTTTAGCTAAATTTGTTTTATTGGCCTTGGCCCACTGAATAATGTGACAATTTTTTTGTGAGCAAAATTTGTGAATTCAAAATTCTTGTTTTTTTAAAAACATGGCCCTGATATCTTCAAAACACTCTGGGATATTTTCATAACTTAAAATTAGTACTCACTGCATCTGTAATCTGAGCTTTAAGGTTATTATGAGCTCTAGATGTTGTATCATATAACACTTTATCAGATGGTCTATCTAATGTCATCTCTAAACTAAACCTGAATTCTCTTGTTCTACCTGAAATAATAGACAGAAATAGCAGACATTAGTTATATAAATAGGTTGTCTAGCCATGTTGTATCAACTGATAGAAATAACTTTTCAGACAGTTAATCTGGTTTATTTCCTATACCAAATTTATGACAGTTTAAAGGGACAGTCTAATTTTTTTTTAAGGAAAACTGAAAATTTAGGGTCTCAAATTGCCCACTTGGACAGATATCTTGAGATTCTGTTCACACACATGGATTTTAAGGCTCAAATTTGAAAGGAAAGCTGTGAACACTATTAATGATTAGCTGAGCCAAATAATTCCTGTTTCTGAGACTAAGGTACAGTGGTGCAACCTATATTCATGCATATAAGGATTCAGCACCAAATATCGTCAAAATCCATCATAGATAATAAATTTGACATTGCTTTAAAACGATAGGAAAACTTCTGCAGGTTGACGTAGAAATAACCTATATTTATCAAAACATGCAAATGCTGAGTTCAAGCGAGGTTGCACATGTAAATTATCTAACACTTGACTGTAGAATTGGCCAAATGGATAGTGAACGTGTCCCTTTTAATTTTCGAATACTGCCCTTTAAGTTTGTAAAGAGGTACAATGCATTAAGAAATTAATTGACATGCATTTATCTTTTACAGCTAACTACATGCAAGTTATACTGATGGGTTTAAAACACTTATGGTAGATAATATTGATCAGTACATTAGTGTCAAAATGAAATGAAATGAATGAGTTTTATGTCCTACTTTTCTGCACCATATGGGCTAATACAGACGGGCAACGCCATGCAGGAAATTTTTCCATGTCAGCCCCTCTTACCTGCATCACTGACAGGGGGAACTGGGTAATGTCAACTACATGTAATGGCCCTGAGAAATTCTATATGTCTAAAACACCATGTTTCAAAATAATATCAACACAGATATGACTGGCCAGACAGGCATGCTAAATTTATCAGAATCACCTGGTATTGTGTGTTTTTTATTTTTCCAAACTGACTTTGCCAACCACATACCTGTACATGCTCACTAATCTTAAGGTCCAGAAAGTGTTTTGTGGCATATCCACTAGAGCTCTTCAAAAGATTATGACAACAACACAGATAAAAGGACCCCCTTAATTGTTTTATTGACTGATTATTTGAGAAAAAAAAAATCTGTGCTTCGTAGACACATACCTCCCATATCACCAGCATTACATTTCTCACCAACACAGCAGAAATTACAGGCTCTATCAGGTTTGTTATATAGTCCACAATTTCGTACATTACTTCTTTCTTGATTTAAACAACTCTGATACCACATACATCCTTTATTGATAGATAATTTACCACCTTCATCTTGTATTCTACTACTACATACCATCTATAATAAATCAAATCAAATTCAATCAAAAAATATATTTCTTTAACACATACATCCTTTATTGATAGATAATTTACCACCTTCATCTTGTACTCTACTACTACATACCATCTATAATAAATCAAATCAAATCAAAATATGTTTCATACCATTTCTAATGCTACATGAATAATTTACAACCTTCATCAAATCAAATCAAATCAATATATATTTGATACCATCTACAATAAATCAAATCAATCAATTCAATTGCTCCATGTAAGCCTAAATATTAACTAAGCATCAAATTGAATCACATTTAATCGATATATACCTACTTAATACCATCTAACACATAGACCTTAATGAGATAAAATTCTATTCATTGTTCCCATTCAAGGCCATACGAGTTCTGAAAATAGTATTTAGTATAATAGTCTCTATTGTGAAGTCTCCTTTTGTTTTTATATCATATATTCAAAGAGATAATTACTATGAATTCAATGAATATAAAAACTTATAATGCTAAGCCTTAGATACTGTAAGATACTGTAGAGCACAAAAACAAAATGGGGTATTCTCATAGTCATCTTTATTCACCAAGATTTATGTGGACAATAATATATACCGTGATCTTTTTTATGTTTTAATCTAATCAAACAGACTGACTTAAAGTAATGATTGAATTTTATACCAGACTTTCTTTCAAAACAAAATAATAAAATTATATATCAAAATATTTCATGTATGGTGGTTTGTTTAGGACATGTTTAATCTTTTTTATTTATGATCTAATTCTACTTATTTTTCATTTTTGCTGAGTTATCATTTTTGTTTACTATTTTTTATATGTAAACGAAAATGATAATTCAGCAAACAAAAATAAAAAATAAGTGGAATTATATCATAATTAAAAAACTTAAATATATCCTACACAAATCACCATATACAATATAAAACTACACAAATTTTTTCAAGAACTATTAAAATGATATTATAGATTTTGTTGTATAGGTGAAGAATATAACAATTGGTTGCCTAGCAAGATACGCCCACTTTCCTGATACATTTTCAGTATATCAAGGGCAGTCACCTATCTGTGTCAAAAATCTAATTTGTGCAAGATACTATTGATTTAAACAAATTAACAAATTCTAATAAAGTTCTGACATAAACTGTCACCTCTAACGCATTAAGAAGCCAACAAATTTTGATGCATTTTTACTAAGTCATGGGCAATAACTCAAATTCCATTGATCAAAAAATCGTCAAATTCAATCTAAACTAAGATCTCATCATCATAAATGATCACGCCAAATTTCATTTAAATCGGTGAAAACTGTAGTCTCTATTGTGTTCACAAACAAATTTTGACCCGTTTTTCCTAAGTCAAAGGCAATAATTCAATAAACCGTTCATCGAAAGAGAGCCAAATTCGAACTTGTCCAAGACCTCATCATTATAAATATTCACACCAAATTTCATTTAAATCGGATGAAAACTGTAGTCTCTATTGCGTTTACAAGCCAACATTATATTGTGGGTGTGAAATTTTATGTTTTCAACCAACTTTGCTTTTATTAGCACTTTGACCCAGGACATTGTGAAGATAACATGTTTTCATGTGATAATTGCATTTGTTAATGTTCTTGAGGCTATGACACCTTAAACTATTTCAAATAATTTTTTAAATTCGCTAAATTCTGACTAAATTTGAAAATTCATCGATTTACAAAACATATTCGAGTGAAAAGAAAACTAATTTGAGAAATATTTCACAAATCTAAGGTGGAAATGGAAGAAAACTTGTCCAAGGTGTGCATCATGGATCATCTTAACTGATGAACAAACTTTTCCGTCATATAGTTGCACAGTTATATTTTAAAGAAATAAAAGAACTAAGATCCTTCACCAGCACAAGCAAATTCGCCACATTGATATTCTTGTACAGAGATAAAATACAGAATTAAGATCGTGAAGGACGATGCAGGCGGAAGGCTTCACTAAGGTCCATGGCACTTTAGAAATTCCAAACAATGTGGCATTTTAGATTTTTTACTTGAGAAACCCTGTTCTGCACTCTCAAATTTTGATGCAGACAGATTGTTTTCTAAATGAGGATTAATGGTAATGCCATTTATCAACATTCCGAAGACGTTCGTATCGAGAATTCCAAAACTCCTTCGAACCAAAAAGTTTCCTAATTTGAGAACAAACATAGCTCTTGTGAGACAATAAAAGTTTTATTCAATATCATTGCAATAGATTTACAACAACAAATACCACATACAATATTTTATGCTTAAAATGGGCATCTGCTTAGTTATTACTTTACAAAAGCACTATACATTATATCAAACTATAAAAAATAATCTAATCTGTTATCTTTGCAATGTCAAGCTATTACAATCTTTGGCTTATACATTTACTCCAATAACCACCTTTCTTGTATCACAGAAGTTGGTAAATGCAGTGATTTGATTGGATTGTATGCAAGCAACTACAGCCAATAAAAGGCTTGACAAAAACAATAAGCTATATTCTGTTAATAGTCTTTCTGTTCAGGGCTCTGATAGCCCTTATTCCTTTGCATACAATTGAATCTAAGTGCTGCATTCTGTGATACAATTAAGGTGGCTATTGGTGTCAAGGTATAAGCATAGGTTGTAATAGCTTGACATTGTGAAGATGATAATCTATGGGATAAAAGTGATAAAACAGTATTATCACAAAACATTTTCTATATAGTGGAGCCTTAAAATGATCATAAGCCTGAATAAAACTAGAAAATAAACGAATCATTTTCAGTCCTCAAAAAGGTGCAAGTAGCTTTTGACATCTTGAGACAAATATTGACTATATTCAGCGGTAGGCTTAGGTGATTTTGATATCAAAATTCATATTGTTTCATGTGACTAATTTGGCAGTTAGTTAGCTTTTCACTTTTTGAATTCAAGATGGCTTTATGCTAGTTTCAAATGAAACATGCATGGTTTGATATTTTAAGGAGATTTAATGAGTAGTTTTGGATTCCTGAAGAAACCACTGAAGAGATAAATGCAGGGAGTTTACTGGTCACAGGGTGGAAACATTAAACCATTTTTCAACAACAACCAAGAATCAGGTAGGCTGGTGACAGATATCAACACATCACATCACACAGTCACGCTTTCAAGTTAATGACTATCTATTTTTTTCACTTAAAGGTAATTTCATTGTTATAATTGTCTTGTCACTATAGTAATATTTTTCCCACCTCTCCTTTTTTCACAATTATTGCAAATGATATTGAAATATTGACATTTAACTTGTGAGCTTTAACAGTAGACAGTGATTACTAATTAATATCAGTTTTCATGCCTGCGGACATACAGGAGTTACGTGATGTCTTTGTTTAATTACAATTTATTAATATCAAAATTTCATAACATCAATAACAAGTCGAAGGTGATGACAGCTTAGAATATGCTTTCCCAGCTGATGAATCTCATTTTCAGAAATCTTGATCACTTTTCAAAATGAAAATCTACTGTTCAGTTTGTCTCCGATTAAAAAAAAACACCACACATAATAAGTGATAGACCTAAAAATTTTTTTTTTTTTCAGAATTCTTTCATGCAAATAAAATTGATGGTGTCATTTCTGCAAGAGAGAAATTAATAACAATCTTTTTGATTTCCATTCTGAAAAGTGACACAGATAGATGAAATGGAGTTCTATCAGCTGATAAAACTAATATTTTGATATCTATAAACAATTTAAGTGACAGTTCTAATGCTTTCCTTATTTAGAAAAGGTATTTATTGAAATATACGTTGTATTCTACGTTTCAAAACTTTCAGATCATCACAAAATTTTTTATTCATACCAGTATATATAATAGGGTTGACTGCATTATTTAAAAAGAACAGATGAGTCAGAAATTTCTGTACTACAGCCAGTGGTCCTAATTTTTTATCTGAAAATGCACCAGTAATAGCAGAAAACTTCACAATCCAAAATGGCAACCATGACAGCAAAAAGACCAAGGTCACCAAAAACAGCATCTTGGCGGTTTTTGTTGGAGAAAGTCCATTTGGTAGTGTAGCAGTCTGTATAGGATTCAAAACTGGAACTGGCTGCTTTACCTCTCTTTTGGGATTTTTAACATCACCATTATTTTTGAATCCTAGCATGTTTTCTGTACTGGTGCTATCTTTAGATTGTAAGGTTGTTGAAATCTGTGACAGGATCTGAAAATTATCAGCTTGTGATGATGACTGACGTGTCACTGAAGAAGAAACTGTGAGGATTGGATGAATTCTCTTCGATTTTCTGACAACTGCTGCTAATCTCCAATACATAATAGTGATAAAGAGAAAGGAGATAAAGAAAGCAAGAAATGCTGCAACACCATATATGACTGTTGACAGTGACGTCTGATACTCATCACTGTAGTCACATTTCTGAGTTAAAATCTGTCCATTTTCTAACGTTACCAAATCTGATCTTAAACCATAGAACTTCAAAACTGGCACACTACCCAAAAATCCCACTACCACACAACCAACAACAGAGCGAGTAAATTTTGGAAATCCACTGTAAAATTCCAAAGGAGAACATATTGACCTATAGCGGTCATAAGCAATACATACCAACAAGGTACAAGAAACACTTTGACTAGCGTGAATAAAAAATTCAAAAACTTTGCAGACGACAAACCAATCTTGATTAAATTCATGAAAGAGTTTATAGATGACATAAGGATGGATGACCAGACATGAAAAAAAGTCTACAAATGCCAATCCCAACATGCTGATGTTGGCACGGCTCATTCTACTTTTGGTACAATACACTATTATCACCAGAGCATTGCCGCAGATTCCAATTATAAACAACAGGATCATAAACAAAATAACTGGCACCATTATAGAAACACTCTCTTCATTTAAGTCTTGGAGATAATCTTCATAAGCTGACATGTTTCCACAGTTCAAACAATTTACAGAATCCATTTTGAAATGTGTTGCCATATCTAGCCAAAATTCAGAAATTTCAGTCAGCTTTCAGGGAACAAAATGGCTGTTTCTACTTGAATAGATTGTTACCTACCACAATTTCATTTAGAAAATTTTGTTTATTAATTGAAAAAACCATGAAAATCAATACACAATTTTAAATCCTTTGGCCATTAAGATTCATTCTCCTTCTCCATTGTATAAATTTCACATTTATGGTGGTTGGTTTCATCAATATATTCTTTAACTCTATTAACCCTGTGTATCTCCTCACAAGACTACTTCAGAGTCATCATCATTCAAACAACATCCCATCATCAATAGATCAATAGATAGATGGGACCATGGTTCATTTTATCCAAATAACTTCATATGAGACAGAGAATTGTAACCCATCAAAACAAACTTTACCTATGATAGGGGTTGCATCTTCTCATGTGTTTTTCACATAAGATTTATTAATCCAGTCTGTAATATGAGGTTTACCGCTTAAAGTAAAACACAATAAAAATATGTGACAATTTTGGACATGTTGAATAGACAATACTGATATAAGTAACTTTCAAAGGGTTAACTTTTACATATTTTTCTACCATCACAATTAAGCACTGTCAATGACAAGTTGGCAAGCAGAATCTAAGAAAGCTAAGTAAATTTTTCAGCAGTTCTGTTTTGATTAAATGTGTATAGTTCTTTGACACAGTTCTGCAGATGCTCACTGACACACCTCTGTAAATCTGTAACATCTTGTCATTGGACATTAATAGGTTCTATTGATTACACTCATACTGTTCATCAAATCCTAGTCATATCAATTATTTACCAGGTGTGCTTCAATAAGGTATGAAATCTTAATCCAATCATACTAATAGACAACTAAAATGATATTTATCTTATTTGGTTTGTTTAACAGTCTATAAAAGTTTTTTCAATCTAGGCTTGTTTGACCTAAAAGGTGTTCATGGCTGTTGATTTGGCTCTATAATCCGGAAATGACCGATGGAGCTGCTCAAATGACCGTCGGTCAATATCTTCTATTGGGCCTTCATTCTAATGCCTTTATTTCCAAAAGTCTATACGCTCTACATCATATTACATTTGAAAAATTTATCACTTATGTAAGAAATGATGACCCATCAGTTGTTTGACCCTGTGTAGATGGGATCGTCAATCTCTGTCTTTTAAACTGTGTCTTAACAGATTGAATAGTTTGTATGGCTGTCTTGTTCATAATCTGTAATGAAAAATTTATTATTGAATAACACTGAATCTAATAATGGTTTCTCGAAACAAACACATACAATACATTTGGTGATTTGTGACTATTTAAAATGATACTACGTCTTAAAATGAACATAACATATAAGTTCTCGAAATGGTCAATATGAGTATATATTCATCAGTGAACTTACCTGGTGTCATAAAGTTACAACAGAATCCCTCTAAAATCTAGAAAATTGGAAAATTCATAAAACTAAGTAATTATTGAAAAGTTTATTCTAAGACGTAGTATCCCTTTAAGTGGCAGAGCCAGCCTCACGAGACTAGGGGTACAATTAGGAGGCAGACTGTGACGTAATGAGGGGGGGGATATTTTGGGAGTGGACCATTAGCAAAGGTTTTTCAACTTTTTTTTCTAAATAAGCCTTATTATTATTAACAGGCAACAGACTCAATCATATTTTACACATGTAAGCTTTTTAAACACAATGTCTATTTCTGAAATGACTTGTCTTATCTGAATTCTTTATATGAAATAAAAAGCTGTAAAAGTTTGACGAATGGTGTGTCTCTCATCTTCAGAAATAATAAAGGGTTATGTTGTAGAGAATGATTTAGTCTACTTCAAATCAATTATAATAGCCTGTGGAACGAAGAATTCAATTTATTTATTGTCCAAAATAATGTCATTAAAATAGCGCTGCTGTCATGTATATCTATGTCATCAAAATAGCGCTGCTGTCATGTATATCTATGTCATTAAAATAGCGCTGCTGTCATGTATATCTATGTCATCAAAATAGCGCTGCTGTCATATATATCTATGTCATTAAAATAGTGCCGCTGTCATGTATATCTATGTCATTAAAATAGTGCTGCTGTCATCTATATCTATGTCATCAAAATAGCGCTGCTGTCATGTATATCTATGTCATTAAAATAGTGCTGCTGTCATGTATATCTATGTCATTAAAATAGTGCTGCTGTCATGTATATCTATGTCATTAAAATAGCACTGCTGTCATGTATATCTATGTCATTAAAATAGCGCTGCTGTCATGTATATCGATGCCATTAAAATAGCGCTGCTGTCATGTATATCTATGTCATTAAAATAGCGCTGCTGTCATGTATATCTATGTCATTAAAATAGTGCTGCTGTCATGTATATCTATTCCATTAAAATAGCGCTTCTGTCATGTATATCTATGCCATTAAAATAGTGCTGCTGTCATGTATATCTATGTCATTAAAATAGCACTGCTGTCATGTATATCTATGCCATTAAAATAGCGCTGCTGTCATGTATATCTATGTCATTAAAATAGCGCTGCTGTCATGTATATCTATGTCATTAAAATAGTACTGCTGTCATGTATATCTATTCCATTAAAATAGCGCTGCTGTCATGTATATCTATGTCATTAAAAGGCCATGGCGCAGTTGATTTGAGTCTTGATTTTTTAAAATAGTTTTCAGAAGTACCAGAACAGCATGAAAATCGCATCATTCCTTCAAAAATACCTCAAACTAGAAATTTCACTTTCTATTTCTATATTGTCCTTTTTTATATATGGCAGATTTGAAGGCTCAAATTTGGAACATTAGCTTAGCTAAACAATTCCTGTTTCTAAGACTAAGGTATGATTGGTCAAACAGATGGTGAATCTGTCCCTTTAATAAGTCTATAAGTCTGTCAAATCTCAGACACTTTAAAAAACCACTCTCAAATTTTTAACAGATTTCATTTTCACATCACAAGAGCATTTCATATACATCACATTGTCTTGGTGATAAATCAGATTCAAATTTCTAATAAAAAAAATGTAATGATGGTAACACTTACCTGAATGAATGCTTTCAATATCTCTGAATAAAATGACTATTATGGCTCTTATACAGAGAGTAATCAGTGGAAAAACTCTAACGCACGAGACATAATATATTACCTTTCTATTGTTAACACATTCCAATCACTTGATTAGCGCTTTTAAAAGGCACCTTATTAACTTTGTCATGATCTGAACACAGACTCAAGGAATGGACAGAAGCCTCCTGTTCAATGAGTTCATCCATTTATCCACATAAGATAAATAAGTCTCCATTCCAATTTGTTAATTGAGCATCCATGTATTACAACTCTAATCATTATGTTGAAAAGCCTGATAAATTATGTGGTAGGTGTAATAAACTGGTTAACAATACCTACTATGGTAACATCCTGGGCTGTTGATTTTAGCTCTATATGCCCGACCTGACCAACAGGACTGCTCAAAAGACCAATGGTCATTATCCTCTGTCGGATATGAAGCATAGGTCGGTGACGTTCCCCAAAAAAAATGAATTTACCAAACTTCATAAGTTAATAACCGGTCATGTCAATAATCCACAAAACACTGTCAGACAATTAAATTAGTTTATTTAAGGGATTACCATTCAGATGTTTATCAATGAACAGTTATAATCAAACAGCTTACGGGAACGCTTCAGTTCAAAGAGATCGAAGCTGTCTCAAACTATCTACTTTATTGACAAACAATAGCGAGCAATGGTTCCCACTGTTTTCCCATATATAATGGTGTTAAAGTTTAATCGGTCATCAGTCATTGATATTATCCTACAACATGTCTGTCCATGTTCTGATATTTCTCTTCCAACTCCACCAGTACCAAACTTTAGCATGACAAAGAAAATGTTGGCTGACAAGTTGCTGTAATTAACAACCTATATTGTGGTCAATATACTCACAATAAACTCAGTTCAAAGATTATTGTGTGGTTATTGTAATCAAATTGTGGTAAGTGTAATAAACTTGCTTACAATTACTACAAAGGAACAATCTTCATTTTGATAAAATTTCTCCCACACCCAATTGGTAAATGTAATAAAATTGTGGTAAAAGTAAACTTGCTTACTATAACTACAAAGGAACATTTTTATTTGAACAAGCAATTATGATTATGCAACCATACATGTCTACAGGTAGTGCGGTTAACAACATGCAAAAGCGGTAGAAACCCGACAACATCAGTAGATTACACATATATGTATGCAACTATGGAGTAAAGATACATAAAACTAATTCAATCACACAATTCCTCAAAATCATAGGATTAATGTCAAAAAGGCAATGAAGATATATCATACTTCATGTGGTCCACTACTTCCTTATCTAAAGTAAATGTTGCTAATTTCTTAAAAAAAAATAAACAACACATGTGGTCCTTTTACTTCATAGGTTTTATTGTATGACAAAAAAAATTTGCTGAATTGTTTACTCATTTATTCTGCAATAGGAGAGGGATTATATTGATGAAAGCATTTCTATTCATATGTATGTGTGCAAAAAATACTTTTCAAAAATGAACTTACTGAAGTTCCTTCACACTGTTTAATGGTGCCTTGATCTCTACATTGTTGATGATTGACAACATCTTGACAAGTAAAACAGGAGGCATTTCTAGCTATGACTTCAGCTACTGAAATTTTTAATGAAAAATTTTAATTTGTTTGAAATTAATAAAGTTTGTGAATGGAACAGGATAGCATAAAAAGAAAGTCAAAATACATAGAAATATGAATTGATTGATGGTGCGGGCACACGAGTGGTCTTGCGTGTGCCCGAGTCTCCGACAAGATTATCGTGTTGCCGGCAGGAATTATAATATTAAACTTGAACAGTGAGCTATAAACACTGATTGGCTTAGCTAAATATTCTCATTTCTGAGACTAAGATACGAATGGTCAAAACAAATGGTGCACCTGTACCTTTAAGGTCTGATAGTTAAGGTTTAAGAATAAAGGTTTGAGTCGTAAACTTCACTGAGCTTCCTTTTATGTTCACCATTCGTTTGACCAATTGTACCATACTCTCAGAAATGGGAATTCGTAATAGTATAGAGTTCACAAATCACTGTTGAAATTTGAGCCTTCAAATCCAGAATTATATGTGTTTGAAAATTAAAATGACTCATCTTTTCTTGAGACTCTATCAACTAGATTTAGAAGTAAAATTTCTATTTTGAGATATTTTTGAAGGGATTTTCCAATTTTCATGAAATTCTAGTACTTCTGAAGACTATGATATATTCAAGACCCAAATCAACCCCCCAAAAAGGCAAACCACGGTCAATGTTAAGTTAATAATGTGGCTGATATGAGCTCCCTCTACAAATAAAACTAAGTAAAAAAAGAGAAAAAACTTACAATTCGGACAGGAAGGAAATTCGCTATCTGGTGTATCTTTAATCTCTAGTTTACTACGTGTATTACTACATTTGGCACTATTTAATTGAATTCTGCCAGGATTATCTGTCATCCATTGTTTTAATGCCTTTATTTTACAATCACATTGTATTGGATTATTATTCAAATCTCTGAAAAAGTCAATAGCAGTTGTATATGTATTATTAAGTATAAATAACGAAACACAATTTTATGGTATATTTATAGTTTTATTGCACACAACGTTTCAACAATCTACATTGTGTAGTATAGCATAAAATTGTGTTCTTTTATTTAATGTGATCTCTACCCCTAAATGTTGCTTAAGGATTATTATTTTAAGAGGCCGAGAGGCTATGAATATACAAGAGCTCTTAATTAATCCTTATCTCCCATTGCATTAGCACTCACATAACTTATTTGGCAAAGTAAATTAATAATTCATTGGATAAACAGAAATTATTTGGCAAAGTAAATTAATCATTCATTGGATAAACAGAAATTATTTGGCAAAGTAAGTTAATCATTCATTGGATAAACAGAAGTTATTTGGCAAAGTAAGTTAATCATTCATTGGATAAACATAAATCATTTGGCAAAGTAAGTTAATCATTCATTGGATAAACAGAAATTATTTGGCAAAGTAAGTTAATCATTCATTGGATAAACATAAATCATTTGGCAAAGTAAGTTAATCATTCAATGGATAAACAGAAGTTATTTGGCAAAGTAAATTAATCATTCATTGGATAAACAGAAATCATTTGGCAAAATAAGTTAATCATTCATTGGATAAACAGAAATTATTTGGCAAAGTAAGTTAATAATTCATTGGATAAACAGAAATCATTTGGCAAAGTAAGTTAATAATTCATAGGATAAACAGAAATTATTTGGCAAAGTAAGTTAATAATTCATTGGATAAACAGAAATCATTTGGCAAAGTAAGTTAATAATTCATAGGATAAACAGAAATTATTTGGCAAAGTTATTTGGCATCAACATGTTAAGAAACTCCAACCAATTAACCTTTAAGTGTTAAGAAAGTAGTTGGTATATTCTTTTTTTAATATAGACCATACTCAATAAATATCTGTATATCAAGATCAATATATAACAAATTGGCAGGCATTCAGGCAATATAAGATCATAATAGATAACCACTAAATATTTTATGTCATTTTCTAAATATCATTTTCTAATGAGATATTTCTTCCAATATAAAAAATTAGTTTGGCTAAAATTTCAGAGATGAAAAATTTTCCAATTGATAAATGAAATTGATTGATTTTCTATTTAAATGATGTGACTTTAATAAGTCTTGTCTGGGTCATATCTGAAGAGTAGTTCAAGTCTTTGATCAGTAAACTTTGATCCAACCAGCTATCAAGCTAATAGACACTAGATTTGTTTTCAAATTTGCTTTTGAAGCAAATTTAAAGGAAATGTACAGAGGTTTTCTAATCTTTATTTTTGCACCATTCCAGTGTCCCTGATACACACGAAAATTTAGAAACCTCTTTATAATCCCTTTAACTAATCCATGATTATATTGTCAATATAGAGTCAATTTTTTTTTAATATTTGATTCAAGACATCTAAATTCCTAATTTCAAAAATTTAATTCAATTACATGAACATTAGCTTGCACGATTGTGATTTTGAGTCTTAAGCAATATGAAACCTGTTTATCTTATAGAACCAATTTTAATCTTTGTGTACCAACAACAAAATAGGGCCTATTACACCTTGCAGATGAATCAAGTTACCTGAACTGTTAAAGTTATATTTTGGCCTCAAATTAAGCAAATATTTGATTATTGTGTATTCTTAATCATGTCATTATGTTCTTATTACATATAATATTAAGAGTTTTAACCAATCATAAATGTTCATGTAAGTACAGTCTGGATAAACAAAAAAAGACTTTTTGACCTTTCTTAATTGGTTAATCATTGGAATTTTGCTGGTAATTCTCTTCTAATTTAGCTAATTATGAATTAATTATGGACATAATGCAGCAGCTCTGTGGACGCTTCAGTAGCAAGCCTCTCATGGAGTGTCTAACTGGGTTCTTTGGAAAATTTTTTGACAAATTGAACTGATTTTGTGCATTCTGACACATAATTTGGTTCAAAAAAACATATTTACTGCTTCCCGCAAGAGGTGTCAGAAAAGTTACCACAGGGATAACTGGCCTGTGGCAGCCAAGCGTTCTTAGCGACGTTGCTTTTTGATCCTTCGATGTCGGCTCTTCCTATCATTGCGAAGCAGAATTCGCCAAGCGTTGGATTGTTCACCCACCAACAGGGAACGTGAGCTGGGTTTAGACCGTCGTGAGACAGATTAGTTTTACCCTCCTATGTTTAAATTTGTGAAAAATAAAGTGAGAGCACATTGTTTATAGTGTTTATACTTACATTTTTGGTACAGGAACTAATGGTAATGTTATGAAGGCTTGTCTATATATTGTTCTGATCTTATTATTATGAAGTTTTCTGAAAACATTAAAATTTATATACACAATTCCACACAAAAACCAAAACATATATGATAGCCCAAAATACTAGACACTACAACAAGACATATTTTCAATTTAAACCATTTAAAATTTGTAAGTGTATCAAATGGGTTTTGACTTCTAATTCCATGAAAGACTTCAAATTCTCCCAAATTTTACTCTGCAGGATTGGAATTGCAATCAATTAAACACAATTATGAAAAAAAGTTTTTAATCAGAGCGGTCTTCCTGTTGTTAAATATTTGTGATAAAATTTATAGAAAAATACAGAAGAACGAAATGCTATTGATAATAATAAACTCTTTACTTTACTGCTATGTATTCCTTCATCTGATTAATTAAGAACTATTGAAATTTTATTTTTTTTTAAATAATTCAGATATTTTTTTTGAATAGAGATATTCTTCTACATTCTTTCGGTTATTGTTGAAAATCATCAGTTCTATCAATATAGCCACATCATAATATGATCAAAACTTTGATATATGTCATGTTATTGATGTCATCATAATGCAAAATCTAATCAATTCTGTAACTTTGATCTTATACACTAGCTTCATTGCATCTTATAAAATCATAGTATTCCAGTACATAAAAGTACATGTAAAGAGGTTTTCTAAACCTTTTTATGCATAGGCTACTCTGATATTATCAATTTACATCATTCCAAATTTCAATCAGATGCCTATTGCTCTTGCAATTCCACTAAAAATTAGTGTTTTATGATGTCCCTGCTGATATTGATATATAACGACATTTGCAATTAGTGACATCATAAAATGCATAGTTTTAGTGGAATTGCATGAACCACAGATGTTTAATTAAAAAAATTGAAATGGTGTAAATTGATACTATCAGTGTCCCCTACACACATAATTTTTTCAGAAAACCTCTTTACAATCCCTTTGAGTTTCATCAAAACTGCAGAGTATTTACAATTTGCATGACACTTATTGTAAATTCTTATTAGAATGATTGCTGTCAAGTATAAATCATATACAAAAATTCAACTTACATATCTTCTAAATTTGGTAAATGTTGAAATAGTCTATCTGGTATAGAGGAGATCCTATTATTTTCTAATACTCTAAAAAGTTAAGGAAATACATAGATATATAGGCTAGTAAAGGAAAACTTTTCAAAGATATGTTGAAATGTACCCCAAATGAAGAGTGACATCAGGTGTTCTGGAAGGAAGAGTATGCCAAATGATTTGACCTCTAATTGACCTTGATATTCATCAAGAACTGAAATTTCTAATAAAATAAAATATACATGCCTTCATCTCTAGCACATCGCAAAATATACGCTTTCAAACTTAATTTTAGCCCGCTTGTCACAAGAACACATTAGCCCAACAAGTGGCGTTTCTGCAGGGGTGGGGCAGGGCGGGCCATGCCCCCACCCAGAAAAGGGGCTGGCCTGGCCCCTCCCCTTCTTTCAAGATGAAATTCAATTTTACTACAAGAACACTTACAATAATTTAAGATTATATAAATTCCTAAAAGCTTCTGGATGGATATCTGTGATTTTGTTGTTCATAAGAAATCTGAAGGAAATAAAAATCATTGAACAGACGTCAATAAAATTTTCAATTAAAGGTAGATAACTCGAAGATTACAATAAAAGTAGACCTACAATTTTGTGGTCTGTAGTCTCAATAAAAAATAGGTCTACCAATTGTCATAATATAAGGGCGTGGGCGAGGTCATTTAATTAAGGTCGTTGGAAATGAATGTCAATGGCAAAGTGATACAAAGGTTCGCGAAATTGACGTCTGATGTCCATTCTATAAAAGTGATAAGGGATGCTCAATATATTATGAAACAAAAAAAGTAACTTACAATGTTTCTAGCTTTTCTAAACCCAGAAAATCGATTCTGCGTATTCTAGTGATTTTGTTAAAACTGAGATCTCTGAAAAAAAATAAAAGAAAATATGAATCATTTTAGCTTTAGCTCAGCATGAATTGATACCCCAAGAAATCCGGATTGCCAAATTCTCTCTATCAAAATCTGCCATCTGCCAAACTGCCATCCGGAGATGTTAGGCTACCGCCGAATTTATGTGGATTGGAGTGATTGATTTTGAGGTGTCCGAATGGGGCAAACCGGGGCATGTAAGACTTCATTTCGTTTAGTTTCAGAAATCACCCGATCTGCCATAAAACCATGTAATATCATCTATGATTCTCTTTAATAATTTTGTTAACATTCTAGCTACACTTGAACAGCAGTAAAAAGTTATCAGGGTTCACTTAACATCCATAAATTCTTCAATATTCTCACAAAATTCCACGTAAACTCAACGTTTTATGTATTAATAATCTTCGAGTGTCAGACATACAGGACATTGGATCGTTTTTATGGCATGGAAATCATGTATGAAGAAATTATTCTGTGAATAAAACACATATTTGTGAGAAATACATTCCGACCACAAAAAGATTCTTATGTACCAAGTACAGGCCTCAGTAGCTTAGATCATCCATGTTGGATATTTGGGATGTGACCTAAACCGGCATTTCACCGGATCAATGGAAAATTCCGGTAGGCCCGTGTAACTCTCACGGAACAAGTTGAAAAAGTAAATCAGAAACCTACGACCAATGAGTTATACATATGACTATCTAAGTTCAATGGCGGTTCACTGTTCTCGTGTCACAATCTGTTTACTACTTGAAAACGGTATTTCAAATACAAGAGATATTGATTAAAGTCTGGTTACAGTAATTAATATAATATAGAGTGAGAAACTTCGAACCGCCTGATAATTCAGTCATTGTTTCTAATATACAAACAATATCCGGAACGGTGTGAACAAAAGCACCCCAGCACAAAATGCTACAAATACTAATTCTTCGGGTACCCAGAAACAATGATACCCATAGACACATGTAACTGAGGTCGAAAACCTACGCTTTAAAGAATCTCATTTACAGAATGTTAATCTGCATGCCACTTTTTATGGTTTGTTCCTTAATCTTATATAACCAATGCGTCGCATGTACTTTGAAATTGTCCAAATTTTTCCAATAAAAAACTGAACCTTTATGGATTTCAACTTTTATTTGAGACATAATAGCGAACAATTTTCTACAATGTTTCGGAGATCGTGAGGATAAAGCCCGTTTTACTCGGTATAGTTCAGACGTGCGCCCTTTCAACTAGCCTTAGACGCCATTATTATTAAATTATCCGCATCCTATGCCAAGATAAATAAAGGTTGCATCGCCTTCACAAACCATAGATATTCAGTAGGAGTTTGTCGAGAGAATTTCATTGAACGAAGTGTTAAGTTACACCCTTATTCAAGATCAATAGGTCAATTAAATTGTAACACCTTTCATAATAGTAACACTAACCTCCATGCACAATCTAGAACACTGTAAATAGTGCCAGACGTTACAACAATTTACATGCATGAATTACTAAAAAAAAGTCCGACTCGTTTTGAATGGCTATTTTAGCGGTCTGATCAAGAAACGTCAAAATACGGTCTTTCTATCTAGGAGTCATCAAATTCCAGACTAGTTTTGATTGGATTTTTTTTTGATTGGGTAAGCAGTGGCGGAGCCAGGTCTACCTCCGAGGGTGGGGGGAGGCGAAATATCTGAGATTGTCCGAATTTTTAACCTAGTTAGATGATTTTTGCCCGAAAACTTGCTTTCGGGGCTGCGAGGGGGCCCCCTCTGTCATCCCTTTGGCTCCGCCACTGAGAGTAAGGTTATGGGTTAGGTGACAATCCAAATGCAATTCCCGTTAAACCTCTTCAAGTATCAGAGTATAACTTGAGCTCGAATAAATGCATTTTTGGGAGCCTGCTCACCTGCGCCTAGAACATTTGATGCCAGTCTCACCAAGTCGATTTCCTTTCCGGAGAGTTCACATCGTGCGTTCTTAATGTTTATTTGGACAATAAATTACTGTAGGCAATAACAATTTGAACAATAAGGTTGACTGATAATAAATCCGATTTGAAGATGATTGGTAAGGCTAAAGGCACTGAACAGAACACTAACGTTCAAAGCGTTTTAAATATCTGGTGATAATAGGCTTATAGTTATGCGTGGGTTAATCCCACAATACGACAATGAAGTCAGCAAACCAAGGCAGAAACAAGAAAAATAAACTAGATAGTTCTACAAGAGAGCACAATATTATGATAATATGGATTTATGTTTAATATTTTGTCAGTTTTGTTTCAGGCCTTGTTTTACCAATACTATCCTACCTAAGGTGGTGAGGGGATTAAGGAACTCTCCGGGATATTTCCAAAAACGACAGTTTTATAGTCAACGATTGATCCAGATATTTCAATCGAACCAGCCAAAAATTCATATTTCCATTATATATAGTAACCTGTTCAGTATACAGCTTCATTTCAATATTTGGAACAATACATTCCTTTTATACACAGGACAGAAGGTGGGAAAAGTATTGGAAAAGTCTGTACTTCTTTCAATACCAGAAACGTTTTCTTAAGAAGAGATAAGGGTGGTTGAAAAGAAACCAGTTACTAATTGGCAATCAACTAGTCAATATTTAACAGAAGGCACTGGCACAGGGTTAAAGTTGTCTTTAAAGAGAAATTTAGCCTACTGCCTTGTTTGAACATTCCTTTGAAATGAAATGAAATAAATAGAGTTTTACGTCCTACTTTTCTGCACCACCTGGGCTAATGTAGACGGGCAATGCCATCCATGGTACAATGAGGGAAGTTTTGCCAGAACAGTGGCATTAGCCTGTTCTTCTTCGATTTCCAACTGTCGAGGGATTT